ATATAAAATCTAGTAACTTACTTAAGACTTATAAGAGCTATATTCTAATATTAATTAAGTAGAAGTAACTTAATTATACTAGTTTTTAGATAGACTAGAATAGATTTATCTACCTAAAAGAAAAAGATTTTAATCTTTCTAGAATTAAACTAAGAGTATATACCTTATTATAATCTCTAGAAAAGAATATTTTCCTACTAGAAAATATTATTACTACTATTAATAAACTAGAAAACTATAATATAGAAGAAGATAAAAGTACTAATAGTAATAAAACTCTTATTAGTACTCTACTATTTATAGATATAATAACTAATAATATAGATCTTAAAACTAAATTAGAGAGTAATAAAAAAAAATATATTATTTCTTTACTATAGTAATAAAAGTTAAAAAAGATTACTACTAAAGAAAGTAATAAGAAAATAATTACTTCTACTAATAATTATATAAAATATAGATATTTATTATAATCTTCTATACTAATATAAGTCTTTAAAAAAAGAATTTCTTAAAGAAAAAGAATAGTCTAGTTATAATAAAGATAATTAGAAGAAAACTAGTAAAATTAGAAAACTTTACTATTAATACTCTCTATAATAGATATACTAAGGTATTAGTTAATTATATTCTCTAATTATATTAGTATATTAGATTATAGAATTAGTTTATAAAAGATTACTCTTAATAGTTCAGTTTTTAGTAGAAAAATAGTCTTAGTATCTATTACTTTAAACTATAGTATTATATCTCTCTTATCTCTAATTTTACTACTATTATAGAATAACTATTAATTAATACTCTAATTAACTAGATCTATACTAGAAAGATCTCTAATATTTACCTAGTAGAGAATATATATAATAATAGTAGTACTATTCTACTAGATCTTTTCTTATAACTTAGAGAAAATCTTAATAGAGAGTACTCTAAAGAATTATAGTTATTAATCTACTAGAAATTCTAAATATATTATTACTATATAAGTATATTAATAGTAAAGATTAGATAACTTTATAGAATATAGTATTTAAATATTTAGTAACTAATTTAGTAAAATCTTTCCTACTATATAGTATATATATTCTTTTAACCTAATTATATATAAGATCTAATTTTTTATCCCTCTTATACTAAAAGTATCTAGATTAGTAAAAATACTAAGTTTTAATACTTAGATATTAATATCTAAGATTATCTTAATATAGGATAGAATAGTAATATCTTATAAGAATTAGTATTCTTTACTTAGGAAGATAAATAAAACTATACTATAATATTAAAAGAGATATATAAGATAGAGTATCTTACTAATTAGTAAAAGGGTATTTAGTTATATAGTCTAGTTTCTAATAGTTTTATCTTAGATATTAAATCCTATATATAGATAAAGAATAATAAAAAAAAATATAGTATTAAATAGACTTATAAGATTTATAGTATTAGTAATATATATCTTTCTCTTCTATTTCTATCTTATAGATTAATAGATCTAGCTACTATAGTATATAGAACTAGACTCCCTTAATTTATTACTATTTAGAATAACTATAAAACTCTTAATTATACTAAAGTTAATATTTAGGAGAAACTTACTAAGATATACTATATATAAATACTAGTTACTAAGATATTATCTAAATATACTTTTTTATAGTATAATACTATCCTATTTTTTTTTACTACTAGAGTATAATTTTAAATATTATAATATAATATTCTAAACTACCTAGTAAACTAGTAGAGATAGGATAGTTCTTTAGTCTACTTAGAATTAGATAACTTTTTTAGTAAGAATCTAAATATTATAAAATAAATTATTTAGAATTAGTAGGAGAAAATATAATATAAATATCTATACTACTTTAACCTAATAATATATTTAGAGAAAAAGAAATATAGTAAGTACTCTTTCTTCTACTATATTAAAAAAGGGATACTTACTAATAACTCTAAGCTAGGTCTTTTATCTAATGAGTTTTCTCTTATAGTTACTTAGGTATATCTACTATTAAGTATATAATAACCTATTTCTGAGATAGATACTAATCTTCTCTATACTATCTAAGTACCTATTAATAAGAAGTAAGTTCTAAAAGGATTATTAGAGGTATTATTAGAGGGAATACTAATTTTATTTCTTTTATTTCTTTTGTTATAAATCGGCTAAGGGACAGTTAATTTTTTAGGAAGGGTAGTATATAATAGGGATTTTAATCTTAATATCAGAGTTAGGTAACTGGGGCCTTAGCAACAAGGCTACTATTTAGTTTTAAGGGAATAAGTAGTGTTTATTCTATAGTATAAATATTATTATATATATTCCCCCTTTTATAAAATATTCTACTAAGGCTACTAAGGTTATAGTATTAATATACTACATAGGAGAGGTTCTATTATTTGTTCAATTGTTCCTACATAGTGTCACGCTCTGTCTACTACTCTCCTACATACTACATGGGTGGTGGTTTTGTCCCTCTATGATCGACCCGTCTGCTTGACAGACAGCCAGCGAGCATTCCCATCTTTCAATATATAGGCCTATACCCCTAAAGTAGAGATAGATATAGACAAGAAGAAATAGGCTCCTATTAATATATAGTATAGTATAAATAGGTATCAAAATACACCTTTATTTTTGTTTTCTTTTTATTATCTTTCTTTCTTTTATTATTTGACCAAGGAACAGTCAAATTTTTAGGGAGGGTAGTATATGATAGGGATTTCCGCTCTTAATATCGGAATGCCAGAGTTATACAATTAAGGTCTCAGTAACAAGACCATCTTTTGTTTCGTAAGAATAAGTAGTATTTATTTAATAGTATTAATAACAATTATATATATATTCCCCCTTATAAAATATTCTACTAAAACTACTAAGGTGACAGTATTGATATAATACTTATAAAAAGTTCTATTCTTTGTTTAGTCAATTCTTAATAGTGTCACACTTTGCCTATCTCCTTCCTATACTCTGTGAGTGTGGTGGTTTTATCTCTTGCGATCAACCTGTCTACTTAACAGACAGCCAATAAGTATTCCCATCTTTTATTAATTAGATATTCTTATTTTATAAATGAAATAACTTAATAAACTTATCTATCTTCAATAAGTCTTTCTTAATCTTTAGTCTATAGTTATATTCAAGTTAAGATAGATAATATTTTATTACTTTTTTACTCTTAAGTTTTTATAGTCTTACTTTAAACTATTAAATTTACTTTTATTATTTATATTTCTTCTAAAACTAGTAAAAATAGATTAAATTAGTATTGGATTTATCTATATTATTATTAGAATATTTTTTATTAGTTATAGTATTATTAAATTTTAGAAAACCTTTTTTCTATAAGATTATGGTAAATCTAGTAACTAGGATTATAGTATTAGTATTAGGAAAGTCTTAATAAAGATTTAGATTATTTTTAATTATAATATCTTATACTTCTAGTAGGATTCTTTAAATGATACTATTGTAGCTATTATAACTAGAGGTAGATTAGTATTAGATAGATTTTAATAAGTATTCTAGCAAGAGATCATCTTATAATTGAGATAGTTAGAAGAAGAAAAAATTATAATTATAATAGTTAAGATATTAACTAGGTAAGGTGGAAATAATATAGTAGGGTAGATAGTATATTTAATATTAATCTATATTAGATTAAGACTTGGTCGGAGGGTTCTAGATTATAAAGATTTTATATCTCTTCTAAGTCTGATTTCTATCTCTTACAAAGTAGTATAATTAGAGTAGTATACTCCATAATTGATACTGCCAGTTTATATCAGATCTGACCTATCTTAATACAGTCTAAGGTTTTCCCTGTTACACTTTGACTTTCTAGGAAATAGATATCTTAGATATTCTAAACTTATTTTTCTAAACATTAATATCATTCTAGATAAATTTCTCTCTTTAGAGATAACAGAGGATCCAAAAGAATAAATAGTGTAAATATATCTATAATTTATAATCTCCATCAGTGTATTCTTCTTACTCTAATTTAGCCAGTAATAAGAGATAGCAGTTTTATTATAGAGACTATTTTTATATATAATAAAACCTTAACTTATACTATATATATTATATGTGAGTCACTGGCTAATTAAGAGATAAGAACAATAGAATAGTCTTTATATTCTCTATATAAAGAACGTTTTGTTAGTTTTAAAAGTAAAATTTATAAAATTTATTCTGAATTACGTAGTAAACTATCATATAATAAAGAGACTAGGGAGCTATTAATTAATATTATAGCAGTGGTATGGTTACAGATAGATATAGGGTTATTTGAGAGACTTACTGATTTGAAACCTTGTCGCATAATGGCTGTTATTGAAGCAGATGGATGGTATACTAAGTATTGAGCTTCAATTTGATGATATTTGCGAGGTTTTTGCACGGCAGAAAAAGTGGCAGAAAGATTTGTGAGCAAATGGGTCGGACGAGTTATTTTGGCCACCCACTGTAATAGTAATTCCTGGTAATTACTGGTAATTGAACTCGCGAGGTCGTGAGGTCGTGAGAGTCAACTACAACCCCGCGACCTCTCCAGCGGCGCGCCGGCCTAATCAGGAATAGTATGTACATCAAGTAATAGGACACTCCTATATCGTCACAATCATAGATCACTATTGGTGCCCCTGCGCACTCTCTCTGTCAAACACAATTCTACGCTGAAAACATCAACATGTGTGCTCCTATCCGTTTCAAATGCAGCATCTGTCAGGCTGCGGTTGTTCCAAGAAACATCATATTTGTCGAAAAGATGCATTACCAGTGACCGGAGTTGCTTGTCTGCAAAATACTGACCGAGGCACTTTCGTGAACCGTAGCCAAAAGCGTTCATATTTCGAATAAGCTGGTTATTCCAAAGTATTAGCTACAATTTCCCTGGTACAGGAGAGATGAAATAAATACCTCTATTGGACTTATAACTTTGAATCTCATTGGCTGATATTCTCTGGCGTCAGGTCCCCAGAAGGGGTTCCGGATGTTAAGCCCATAGGAGTCGGTAGTCACACTGGTCTGATTCAAATAAGTTGAATGTAGTGAATCTTATTAGAGTATAGTCACCTACATGCTTGGGTATGTGGTACCCGCCAAGCTCCTTGTCAGTAATTGATGCCTCGGGCAAGGTAAAAGCTATGGCTTGTTAGCTTAATATTCGGGTACAGAGTGATAGTTTAGCGGCATGAGCATACGCAGAACAGGTTGCAGGCGCATTGCCTCCAAAAATGCATAATGCAAGAGCGTATCTTTTCGACCAAGGTACTTCTCAATGTCATTTCGATGCAAGTCAATCTCGGCCAGAAGAGCATCCTGGGTCGCACGATTATCGGCAAGGAAGAGACAGGTTGTGGTGATAACGTGGGAGGTCACATCTAGATTGGTGTAAGTCATCTCAGTGATGGTTTGAATGAGCTGTGTTGTGATAAAGTTAGCTTTTATTGAACAAAAGGAGCTGTAATCTTACCTCCTTCTGGGTAATGGTGCCTTGGTGCACATGCTTCCAGAGTTGAGTGATGGGCAGATCATTTCTATTCTGTCTTGCCTGAGCAATTTTGTCATTGAATGAGTCCCAGCGGTTGAGAAACTCCTTTGTTGCTTTGTATTCAGTTGGGGTATGCATCCAGTATCCGAGCCAGCGCCTGAATGGACCGTTCTCAAAAAGTAAAAGCAAAGCTTTAGAGTAAATTCCCCCGATTTCGAGTAGCTCGGCCTTCTCTGTGTCCTCCATCTCACCAAAGAAGACGCGACTTGTCTCAAGAAGTGGGAATGGCATAAATGTTCTGGCAGCGGAGATAATGAGTGGGTCGTTCGCGCCACCTTTGTCTATTCGTACATTCGGAATGCTAGCCACAAACTCCGACCCGGCTTGGTTGATACGCGGGATGTGTTTGACAGCAACACTATTCGACACAAGCGGATCAAGGATTTTTTGGAAGACTCTCCATCGATCTCCCGAGACGAAGCCAACAGCTTCGCCTAAAACCGAATTGGTTACCCAGCCACTGCGACGGTGAAAAGTTTTGTTATGGGAATTGGCATCCTGGTAAAACTTGGCGACATCTTCCGGGGTTGTTATTACGCTTTGTATATTGATTCAGTACAAGTAATCGTCAAAAGGTGGAATCACTAACACTTCGGCGTGCAAGCCTGTCCAGATACGATAGATCTTGCCATACTGGTGTGCCCACTCGAATGAGTACTTGCGCGATTGGAATAAACGTTCTTTCGAGTTGCCGAATGGATAAGAGAACTTAGGTCCATCTAGAAGACCTTTGTTATCGATACTTCGGATGATGTTTGTATAATGAAGAAATGCCTGGCTTTGAATTAGCTACGATCACAACACCGACAGACAAACTTTTACATTGAAGATAGTGCTTAGTACCGCTGGGCTTTGAATAATAAAAAATGCAACGATCGCAAGCCCTATTGTAGAGGTAGCCAATAGAAAATTCAAGTCACCAAATGGCGCAATATAGTTTGTGATTGGGGCAGTTTTCAAATGCGCAGGAATGAGGCCCGCGGCCCAAAGATCGTCGAACTTTGACCCCATGGCGAGTTTTCGAAGTGACTTAGAATTTTCAAAACGGGAATTAGTGCATCTGAATGGATATGTATGTTTCAAAGTAATAGAGAGTTTCTATTATTCAAATTGTGTCGGCCAGTAAATTACGATAGCAGTGAATAGTAATATCGGCCACTATTCAAGGGGTCAGACGACGGGCCACCCGAGAACCCTTCATATTTTCTCGATCACAAATCGGCAAGTATCAGGACTTTCTCTTGCTTGTTATTGCGGAAAAATCCCGGCCCAATCAAAATAGGTCATCCAACGATCTCTTGAAATATACTTTAGCTGTTCCATTCCAGAGGAAAAGTCGACATCCATCTCTCTGAATACTGAAGCTTGTTAATGCACAAAATGACAATTCCTACTGAAAATGATCGCGATATTGGGAAACAATTTCCATTACCAGCCGATATAGGTAAGTGCTTTGATTACGCGGAAAACTCCGAGTCGCACATTGCCATCTTTATCTAATAGCATTGACAGATTGGTCTTCCCTCAGCCTTGCAGACCCACCGAAAGTCAACGGGCATGTCGAGTGTAGCTACGATGCATCGACCGGAAAATGGAGCACTCCGGAGCTGATTGCCAGCCCCTATATTCAGGTTCATGGGCTAGCCCCTGGTCTCAACTATGGCCAGCAGGTATACGAAGGGCTTAAAGCATTTCGCACGGCGGAGAATACCCTACACATTTTCCGTCCCGAAGCCCATGCAGCTCGGATGCGCCACTCGGCAAACATGGTTTGTCTGCCTGAAGTATCTAACGAGCTATTTCTGGAATGCGTGCGACTAGCTGTCGCGAGCAATGCGGAATTCGTTCCTCCAGCCGATAGCGCCGGTTTTTTATATCTGCGACCGGTACTTTTTGGGTCCGGTGCGCAAATTGCGCTGGCACCGTCCAACAAGACTATATTGGCCATTTATGTCATTCCCGGAGGCGCATACCACGGCACAGATGCCCTTGATGCACTCATCATGGAAGACTTCGACCGTTCAGCACCGCGTGGTACGGGAAGTGGCAAGTTAGGAGGCAATTACGCGCCGGCTTGGCCGCACCAGGCACGCGCTCGTCAACGTGGATTTGGTCTCACCCTTCATCTAGATAGTGAAACGCGATCCCAAATCGAAGAGTTCAGCACAAGTGGCTTCGTTGGCGTGGAAGGGGCATCTAAAACAATTTGCGTGCCAGACACACATAATGCTATCCACAGCATCACTAGCGAGTCTCTCACCAGTGTCGCAAAGCAAGAGGGGTGGGCGATTCAGCACTGCGCGGTAATTACCCCGAATCTAGAAGATCCGTTTGCTTCTAACATCGTATGATTCAGATCCCTTTCAACACCCTTGGCCGATTTTCTGAAGTCTTTGCGGTTGGCACAGCGGCTACTGCTGTTCCGATACGATCGATTTTGCGAGATTCCACCGGCGAACGATTCGAGTTTGGAAATGCAGTGCAGGGGAAAGAGATAATACAAAAGCTGTCGGGAATACAGAGAGGGACCCAGCCAGATGAGTTTAATTGGCGTTGGAATGTCTACCCCCTTTGAACATCGGAATAATGAATAGAGGCTTTCATGGTTGGGCTTACGGTTCTGTTGTAAGCAACTAATTAACTAGTCGGCACCAGTCTCATGTGCTTATTTCTCGTTTAGTCATCTAGCTATACTAGTTTACCGATTATATACTATTTATATGAGCGGAGTCTCGGGGAATATGCAGTATTCCTCTTATTACGTCCACACTTGGTCTAAGATTCGAGCCGATGGATGGTTCGGTTTCATTTGATATGAACTTTGCTGGCTCTTCTGAACTTGACCAATTACCAGTAAAACTGCAAGTGTTTGAAATACAAAACATTTCAATGAGCTTATTATTCAATCTCAAATTCTGTATAATAATCAATTCGCATAATCTATGGATATAAAGAGCTGAAAACAACGGGAAACAGTTTAGGGGGACTCCTATGGACATCGCGTCTAGTTTGGAATTGAGATTGTCTGCACATCACTCAAGCTTTTCAAATCTTAGTCATTGGGTTCCAACCACCCATTTGAACACGGGAAATAATGAAGCTCATAGCACCGAGAGCCATCATGGCGCCGGATAGGCCGATCAGGCCGCCCCAGTTGCCAGTATCGTCGGCCACTGCTCCACTGACAGGAATTCCCACCAACGCCCTATAAAATGATTAGCGATACCATTTAAAGAGACATAGTCCTTGAAAGCTTACCCAAATGCAAGACAAAGGCATGCGATTCCGAACTTGAGGCCGAGATTAGCCACTTGGCCATCTACCAGCGCTACAACACAAGGTGATAACAGACTGGTGTATCCACCAGAGACAAATCCGTAAAATAAGGAGAAGAAGATGATGCCACCGTTCGTTGGGGAGTAATAGACAGGAAGCCAGACAACGAGGAGCGCGATTGCCGAAAGGGTCGTGACTAGTGCCATGACATTGAATTGGCCAAGATGATCAGATATGAAGCCTGGTATAATACGTCCAATCATGGATCCGGCATTGATCATAGCAAGTGTATATTGAGCTAGGTCTTGCTTCATACCCTGTTCCACAGCGATGGTCGGCAGATAATCGAAAGGGACCAAAAGAGAGAACGTGCAGCAGAAGACACCGACACAGAAGGCTATCCATGGAACAAGATTGTGGGCCATGCCAGGAACTTTAGCGGCAGGCTGATCAGGGTTAGTTGAAGCTTCAACGGAGCCTGACACACCTAAATCACCCTCGTCAGACTTTTCATCTGTTTTTGGTGAGTCTAAGGACGGACTGGCGCTTGATTCCTTCTCTTTCATGGCGGCTAGGCGCTTCGGGGGATATGGCCCCTCACAACAGATCAGGCCAACTATCATACAAACGCCGACCACTAGTGTAGACCAGTGAATCGCGGTTTTGAAGCCGTGGCTATTGATCAAGCGAGAAACCATGATAGGGAAAATAAGTCCTCCGAAGCTGCTTCCGGAGCTCGCCAGGCCGACAGCAAGTCCGCGTTTTGTCGAAAACCATTGAGTAACGCAGATGACCGCAGGAAGAGTTGTCCCAGAGCAGGCTAGACCAAAAGCGACTCCTTGACAGAGAACAATCTGCCAGTATGTTTTGCAGAGACTAAGTAAACCGAGAGACACGATTCCCAGGGCAACAAACGGGGCCACCACAGGACGCGTGCCGTAGCGGTCTACAAGAGCGCCAATCGGTATACCAACACCGAAAATGAGGAAGACGGCAATGGTGGCGATCCAACCCAGCTGAGAAGCTGAGTATTCCGGTAGCATGACCTGCTTATAATGTAGAGTGAAAACACCGCATCTATTATACCACAAAATTAGCTTTTATGGCCATGATAAAAGTGTATTTCTCAACCTTTGAAAGTTGTTTCGTATATTTGACAAAGTCAATCCATGGATTTGGGGTGCTTACGCTGTCACATAGCCATACGAAGACGTCTGCAATAAGAAAGAGCCAAAAACTGTCCGCCAGGCCTTCCACCCCCCATTTGGGGGCTCCAATTCGATCTTGCCCACTGGAGCCATTGGCGAAGTATTTATTGAAAATTTCTTAGGCCATCACTGAAAGAAAATGAATAGACCACGAGTAATCTCATGGTTGTTTATAAGAAATATTCCTCGTGCGAAAGACATGGACCGAAAGGGTAAGTCTCCGAAGTCCGCGGACTTAACACCAGGCTACGGAGTAGTCTGACACCTACTTCCTTGTACTTGTACTCCGTGCCTGTGAATGGAGAAGTCAATAGTTAGCGCAGAGCCCCACATTTTGGAACAGCCAACCATATCCATCGCGAGCTGTGCTAATTAGCGTCCAATGCGGGTCTCGCACGAAGACGGCCGAGCGGGCCCGCTCACTCCGACGGCCGTCAAGCAAGTTACTCCCCCTGCATCTGCTATGTTAGTCAAAACTAATGGCTAACTAACCCCAACTTGTATGCGTGTGGACTCATAGAATCGAATACAGATCATCCTCAAATATTGAGTCACATAGTTGAGTTTCATTTAAGTTGGCAAGTCTCTGCTTTGTCAAAAAGATTTTTGAAGCATTGAAATACTCAATTATTCACCAGCATGGAAAGAAAACCCCTTCAGACCACTTTTGTACATCAAAGAATTCGACGAGCGGTCTCTTGTGAGCTATGTCGATCAAAGAAGCTGCGTTGTGATCGTGGAAAACCTTGTGCAAATTGTCGACAGCGGAGAAAAACTTGTGTCTATGGTGGACAGGCTGACACAAGGCGCGCGAGAAATACGCCACATTCTTCTACTCAGCAAAACGCGACCGCGTTACTAAACCTGAACGATACAAAACATATGGAAACAAAACCAATGATTTGCGAAGACGAATCTACCAACCTCCCGGAGCTGTTTACGCGCATCGAAATTCTGGAGGAAGCAGTGCTCCGGCATGCCGGAAAATCCATTTCAGTGGCACATCTACCAACTGGCTCACCCAACAACTCTACTTCCACGACTCTTGGAGTATGTATGGCCATGACTTTTAGGCGCATTGAACTAACTGGTTACCGTTAGACTCGCCTCTCAGGAACTGGATTTGGAAATGCACTAATTTACATGAAATCCAATCAACATCCTCACGACCAAAGCTCAGCCACTCTTGTCTTTGCAATAAGCTGCCTTCCAAATATTCATCAAACTCGTGACTTGTTCAATCATTTTTTTGATACTACTCATCCGAATTTTGGTGTACTCCATGTACCATCTACTCGCGCTATATTGGAGGAAAGTTATCATCGGCTAAGCCTGGGAAAAGCCCTTGAAGCAGGAACTCTTCTGCTTCTACTTAGCATCATCTCCAATGCCGCGTTTATATGGACCCCAGACCTACTGAAGAAGCTCTATATTACCCCTTCCGAGGCCAAGGATCTACATGTTGCCTACAGTCATCTAGCTTTGGGGCTTCTTGATCATGATCTGCCACCCTCTACTGCCGCCTTGGCAGGAATAAGTACCCTCACTTACCTCCACACCAATGCAGAGGGCCTTCTTGATAAAGTTCATCTTCTGCGTGCTAGGGGACTTCTCATGGCACGCGCGATGCGTATTCATTGTTTGGACACCCCTAAGAGTCGTGAGCACCGACGTCTCAATGGATGCGATGGCATTGAAGTTGAAGTACAAAGACGCATCTGGTGGCACATGGTATCTTCCGATTGGTATGCACTATGTTCTCTTTACTGGATTTAGAGACCAATATTGAAAAGTTAATATGTTGTTTAGGCTGCTTGCATTTTCAGGTGGGCCTCAAGAAGGAACCTACATTTTTCAAAAAAAACACATGGCAGTTCAGTATCCTAGCAATATTGATGATGGAGCTATCACTGCGAAATTTGACCCCGACCGTGCACCGTATGACTTGTCCTCCTCAGTCCCTACAACAATGTCGGCTTCTATCGCTCGGATCAGACTGGCAGAAATATGCGAAGAAGCAGTGAATCTGCTCCCGTTCAATGGACTTGATTCCATCGATCTGGATTACGATACTGTCATAGCATTAGATGCAAAGTTTCAATATTACTTGCAAGATCTGCCATCTTTCTTCCAGCTTCAGCCAGGAGGAGCTCGGGATACCCAACTTTGCCCACATGAGAACTCCTATATCATGTGGCAGCGACTAATCCTCCACTTTTCGGCCCACACCCGCCTATGCTGGCTGCACCGGCGCTTCCATCTGGAAAGTTCCGTAAACAAACGGTATGCATACTCACGAGAGGCAGGGATACGCTCTGCTCGTATGGTACTTGAGTTACGGCGTCTCATGGACGATGCAGGTCCTTTGGTGAGCATCAACCCTTGTCGTTTGTGGTCGATCATGCAACACGTATTTCACGCAGCCGTTCTTCTGGCAAGTGACTTCTCTCTCTATCCAACCAGTCTTGATGCTACTACTAGGCAGCAAGAGGTGATGGCAGCTTGCCGCATACTAGAGCAGTCTGCATCGGAGGTAGATGGCACTCAAAGAGTAGTGCAAAAGCTTCGAGCCACTTTAAAAGAGCGCAAACTCAAGAATATTCCGCCCACTACCATCAATCCAGCCTCCTTGATTTCAAGAGAACACACGCCAGGAAGCTCAGCTGCAACAAAAGTTCATAGCCCAGTGATGCAATACAAGGTAGAGCCTAGCCCGCTCTCGAGCAACAGTGACGGAATTTCGCCATCGCCTCTTGATAAACTTTGGTCTGAGTTTGTTGATGCAGCTCCTGATATGGACTTGGACCTGTGGACATCCCTTCTAGATGAGATCGATGGAACCTTGAGTGCAGACCACCCTGGAAGATTATGGGGTGGATTCGAAAACAGCATCTAAATCCTTGTCCTAGCGTCTCCCTTTGTCACAATCGGAGTGGTCGAGGTTAAGAATCGGCTTCGAGTATGTTGGTTTTCCATTATTTTGTTAACATTGGGGGTGAACTTGAATTTGTACTCTATCCATTGGACCATAAAAGCGCCGTGAAATAAAACATCTCCATTTCAATTACCGGTTCGACAAGATTTCCAAGGTTGACAAATGGTGGGCACAGATGTTTGTCGCATCGGGGAGATCGGGTGACCCACTGCTCACTCCGTTTGCTCTGTCTTCTACATTCCTTCCTCCATCCCTTCCTCTTCCAATTCAAATATTGATTTTGCCCCTTCTCTTTACTTCACAGATCGAAAGCAGCACCACATTTTGATAGCTAGTTGCTATCGACAATGTTCCCCAGCTCTGCTCCATATTCAATGAGGACCTGTGCTATCTCCAACTGGCCAATCTCCAATGCTTTGTGGAGTGGAGTCTGATTGCTGGCATCGATGGCATTCAAATTTTGTCTTTCACTATCGTTATTCAAAAGAGCTCTCAACACACCGATATGGCCTTGCTCTACCGCCAAGTGTATAAGTGATGTCGGTGCAGGCGATGGGGTATCAACAATTTTGTTTGCAGAAGAACAATTGTCCTCGGGTGGCTGCATCCCGTTCACGCAGTCGCTTATTGGCTTCGAATAACGAATTTCTTTCTGAATCCCAGATAACTCACTCTCTAGTCGAGCTAGCTGTGATGATTGGCTTTTCGCGCTCTGCCCTAATCAGTTGGGAGAGTGTCAGCCTCCTCACTCCAGTACTAGGTCCTTCGCCCGAGTTGAGTTAGAGCAGCAAGACAAGATAGACAATCGAGAAAGAACGTACGATATGCGCGCTGCGCGAGGCGATTCTGGACCCGACGACGACCAATGCGATCCGTTAGCGATCGCCAGTCCGGTTCACCTGGTCGAGAAAGCTTATGGTGCGCGGGGTTCTCCTTTCGGCCCATGATAGACTGTTACAGTTCTCAACGGTCTCAACGGTCGCAGACTTCAAGTCGGCCAAAATGAAATATCTATTTTCATACTTCTTTGAGCTCCTTAATCAGCATCTCCGCCCCATTCCGCCTTTGGACCAGCAATGTTCCGGTGAGTAAGAAACATCTGCTTACGCCCCGAAAGACGCCGACTTTGGCTTCAAGCTCCACTTTGTCACCGGGCAGTCTTCCCGATGAAAGAGATGATCTCGGCCTTCGCAATGTAGTGCCTTGTTCTTGTGGATTGAATGGCCTCATAGCTGTTTATATCCTGCTTTTTCTGTTTTCGTGCGATGCACATCATTCCCACCGAGTCTGGGAAAACCTCTCCACTTAGGGACGACACGATGATTCCCTCCACGATAAGGCTTGGAAGCAATCCAGTCTTGATCCCCGTGCCCCTCAAGAGCTATGAGAATGCCGAAGCATTGTCTCATAGCTTCGAAAAATCGTTGGAATTTCCCGAAAAAGAGGGATCACTAGCCGAGCTAGTCTTGAAATTCATTACCTTTGTGTGGCGTCAGAAAGCAACAACCTTGGCTTCTTCATATCCGAGAAACGGTCCACTTCTCGAACATCTATGCCATTTTTATGAGCAATCGGTCTTGGGGGAGAATGACATTCACACTCATAGTGGAAAAATTGCCGAAAATCCCAAACTCGTGCTTGAATTGCTTCGCCTACACTACGCAACCTACTTGAATCCCCAAATACCTCTTCAATTGAAAATGTCTTCACTTTTCCGCGACGCAGGTACCGGCAATGCGCATGTATATGCCATTTTTGGTGGACAAGGCAACACTCGAGAGTACTGGCAAGAGATACAACAGCTTTATCATGCATATGAACCACTTTTAAAGCCCCTTGTCGCTGCCCTCGACAGTCATTTATCTGCTCTCGCCCGTCACCCGGCCGCTAGCAAGCAGTTCTTCCAGGGCCTCAGTGTTCTTGATTGGCTGGAAAACACCAAAAATGTACCATCTTCAGAATATCTTTTACGCGCTCCCGTTAGCCTACCTCTTATCGGGCTACTTCAATTTATGAGTTTCCACGCACTGCTGGCGTCACTTGGGGTCTCGCCACAAGAAATTCCTTTATTATTCAGGCAGATACATGGGCACTCACAGGGTATAGTTGTCGCCGCCGCCGCATCCTCGGCCGCATCATGGGAGGACTGGCACCAAGCTTCTATTCACGCCATTACAATTCTTTTTTGGATCGGAGTTCGAAGTCAGCAAGCCTTTTCCGATGCACCACCATCCCCAAATCAGCTTTCAGAGATTGCAGAGCGTGGACAAGGAGAACCATCTCCAATGTTATCGGTGTCAAATACACACCGACATATCCTTGAAGAGCAGATCGGTCGTCTGAATGATGCATTGCCTGTCAACCAACACATTGCTGTCTCTCTTGTCAACAGCAACACAAACTTCGTGGTTAGTGGGCCACGTCGAGCACTGATAGCATTGAGCGATATTATTCAAAGGGACCGTCCGAAAGATAGTCAATATCGAATACCCTTTTCGAGGAGGAGAGTGGTCCCTTCACTCACATTCCTTCCTGTTAGCCTACCTTTCCACTCCGCCATCCTCTCATCAGCGGTCGATACAGTGTTGGAGGACTTGAAGGATTTGCGAATACTTCGGAGTCAGCTACGTATTCCTGTCAATCAATCCTGCAGTGGCTCACCCTGGAAAGATGGCTCTGACACGAACATTGTCCCCGACCTTGTGCGATTTGTCACTACTCTTCCGGTAAACTGGAAGGATCAATCCCTCGATGGTGCTACCCATATGGTTGACTTGGGGCCCGGATTGGGGGGTGGTATTGGGGCTCTAGCACAGCGCAGCTTACAAGGAACGGGTACACGAACAATCTCAGCCAATGTCCTCACCAACAAACAATCCAGCTCGCTCGGATCTAGGTTGGAGCTTTTTGACTGCCAAAATGTAGTCAGAGGAATGAAATGGAGCTCCTTGTTTGGGCCGGAGGTAATAAAAACGGCTGCCGGTATGCATATAGCAACTCGATTCAGTCGGCTCCTGGGCCTGCCACCTTTCATGATTGCTGGGATGACTCCTACTACCGCGCACATCCCGCTGGTGACGAAGGCTATGCAAGCGGGATATCACATTGAGCTTGCTGGTGGCGCATTTCATTCGCCTGCTCGCCTCACGGAAGCGCTCGAGAAATTGCGTCCGCAAATGCCCAAAGGTCGCGCCGTCGCCTTGAACATAATTTACATCAACCCAAGAGCCATTGCATGGCAAATTCCACTCATTGGGAAGTTGATCGCTGAGGGGTATCCCATTGACAGTATCACTGTTGGTGGTGGTGTTCCTTCCCTAGATGTGGCAACGCAGTACATTACGACGCTGGGTCTTCGATACATATCATTCAAACCGGGCTCCGCCTCTGCGATACATAGTGTGCTACAAATTGCACGCGCAAACCCTTCATTTCCTGTTGTTCTTCAATGGACGGGTGGACGCGGCGGCGGTCATCATTCATTTGAGGACTTTCATCAACCCATCCTTGATACCTACGACGAGATCCGACATTGCAGCAACGTTATCCTAGTTGCGGGAAGTGGATTTGGATGTGTCGACGACGTTCAACCATACCTGACAGGAGCTTGGTCACAAAGCAAAGGCAAAGCAGCTGCCATGCCGTTTGACGGAATTCTCTTCGGAAGTCGAGTAATGACATGCTTGGAAGCTAATACGGCCACCGGATCCAAGAGTTGCATTGCCAATGCCGAAGGCTTACAAGACAATCAATGGGAAGGTACACTAAAAGGCTCGTGTGGCGGAATTATATCTATCAAGTCGGAAATGGGAGAAGCGATGCATGTCGTCGCGACAAGGGCTGCAATATTTTGGGCTGAAATGGACTCGACTATTTTCAGCTTGAGCAAGGATAAACAACTTCCGGTCATACAGGCTCGCAAATGGGAAATAATTAAGAGACTCAACAGAGACTTCCAAAAGGTTTGGTTTGGTCATGATGCGAAAGCGAACAGCGCATCTGATCTCATCTACATGACCTATGCTGAGGTCTTGCAACGCTTGGCATCACTCATGTTCCTCCCGGCACCTCAAAGGTGGATCGATGAAAGCTACCACATCATCTTTTTAGACTTCTTTTTGCGTACGCAAGAGCGGCATGCGTCTTCGGTAATTCCAGCACCTGATATATCGGATCTTACGCGCTCAGATCCCGTGAAGACTATCCAAGACCTCTGCAATACCCATCCTGCGATTCACGACAGCCTTTTGAGTACCGAAGATATTCACTACTTTCTTCAAATTTGCCGAAGACCAAATCAGAAGCCCGTGCCCTTTGTGCCTGTACTGGATATGAATTTCGAGAATTGGTTCAAGAAAGACTCACTTTGGCAGTCAGAAGATCTAGCTGCAGTTCAAGACCAAGATGCGCAACGCACCTTGATTTTGCAAGGTCCAGCCACAGTCCGCTCGATCAGCAAGATCAACGAGCCTGTCAAAGATGTGATGGATGCCATAAATGATGGAAGCCTGTCACTTCTACTTGGTAATGGCAACTGTGGAGAACAAAAGCAACTGAGATATGAGGAGTTCCTTAAGCCATTTCATGTCACACCAAGTGCGGAAAAATGCCAGCCAGGGCTACGATCCACGGATCCCTCGTGGAAAACAGCATTTCTAACCCACGCCGTGTTTTTCCAAGATCGTGGGTTTATTACAAACCCACTTTCAAACATATTGACAGCATGGCCAGCTCTTGTTTCAATTGACAGAGAGAGAAAATGCCATTGCCTTTGGTCAGTACAAGGAGAATGGCGAATTCCGCGAACATGTCACTATCGAGCGTCATGGAGAAAGAATCGTGATGCATCTTTGGACGGATGTCAGTACGAATGATCGGCCAGTTCCACTGTCTCTGGTTTATGAATACCACCCCGAGGCATCATACTGTCCCATTTGGGAAGCAACTGACGATCGTACTGAACGTATCTATACGTTTTACGAAAACATTTGGCTTGGAGAGAGTTTGAACGGCCCACACACCCCCGTGGACTTCATGCGACCGCACGAAAAGTCGGTCGTTGTGGAAGAATCTGCTGTACAGGCGTTCATTGCAGCAACAGAATATATGGGTCCATGCGATGTCCCGCTAGACTTTGGCATCGTCCTCGCTTGGGGTGCGATATCCCGTGCTCTCCTTCAGCGACCTGTGCAAGGCGACTTGCTCACCCTGGTTCATCTTTCGAACAAGCTCGAAGTTCAGACGTCGGAGCTTCCATTCGTTATTGGTGACTGTATAAAAGCGTCAGCTCATATTCAAAAGATTAGTCTTGAAAGTTCTGGCAAGCTGATAGAGATTTCCTGCGATTTGAAGCGTGATGAAACGCTCCTCGTTACCATTACTTCCCAGTTTCTGATACGGGGCTCATGCAACAACAGCGATGATCGCTATGTCTTCTCCAAGTCCAAGCACGAAGCAACCCTAGTGGCTTTCTCCTCATCGGCAGAGCAGTCTGTTTTGATTTCGAAGCCCTGGATTCGCTGGGATTATCCGATAAGTCCCTCGCTCAACAAATCGGATCTTATATTCCAAGTCGAAACAACCTGTCAAGAACAAGTACAATCTACTCTGGGTGTTATTTATGTAACATTGCAGGGCCAGCGCCAGCGCCAGGTTGGTACAGTCGACTATGTGGGAGAGTTATCAGCGGTGAACCCTGTTCTGGAGATGCTTGACTGTCGAGGAAAAACTCTCCATTTGTCCCACCCCCTTGAGAATGCTATCCCACTTCGATGCGAAGAATTGCTAGTTGTTTCGTCCTCGAACAGCGAGTATTCCCATGCTTCGGGGGGATTTCAACCCAATTCATACATCGCCGGTATTCTCAAGTTATGCCCAGTTGCCTGGAACAATTTCACACGGGATGAAGACCTCTGCACAGGTCCGCTATGCCGTTGTTAAATGGGCAGCTGAGGGCGATGAGTCTCGTATCTCTCTTTACCATGTGTCGTTTGTCGGCATGGTACTTCCAGAGGACACACTCCAGATCTCCTTGCAACATGTGGCTATGAAGAATGGCCTACGAGTGGTTCAGATTGACGTTTCAAAGCAGCATTCAGGCGAGAAAGTTCTTTCTGGAGAGGTACATATTCATCAACCCCCGACAGCCTTCTTCTTTGCGGGACAAGGAAGCCAACAAGCTTCTATGGGCATGGACCTCTACGAGCGATCTTCTATCGCCCGGAATCTCTGGGACCGCTGTGATGCCTACTTTGAAAAGCAATTTGGTTTCCAGCTTCGCAAGATCGTTTGCGAAAACCCCACGGAGCTCGTAATTCAGTTCGGAGGACCTCGTGGTCGTCAATTACGCCAAAACTACATGCAAATGGTTTACGAGATTCCGGAAGACGGTTCCATACATCTGCGTCGGATGTTTCCCGAAGTTACTGCAGAGACAACTGCATATCGATTTCGCTATCCCGGGGGTCTTCTATTCGCGACGCAGTTTGCGCAGCCGGCGCTGACTGTTATGGAGATGGCATCTTTTCAAGACGCTGCGTCTCGGCAAGTAGTTCCACAGAATGCAGTGTTTGCCGGTCATTCATTGGGAGAATACGCTGCCTTAGCAGCTGTGACGGATTTTGTGGCGTTGGAAAAGCTGCTCTACGTTGTGTTTTGTCGTGGGCTGACCATGCAGTCTGCCGTTGAGCGAGATGATTTGAATCGGTCGAGCTATGGCATGATGGCTATTGATCCCTATCGAGTCTCCCCAGGTAAGTTTTTCTACTCTCACGCCCAAGAGTACATACTGACGTGAATCATCTTTTGAAAAGAATTCAATGATTCTGGGCTTCAGGCTGCCGTTACTCTGGTATCTAGGCATACTGGCTTTGCCGAAATTGTGAACTTCAACGTATCCTCTCGTCAATACATTTGCGCTGGTGATTTGCGTGCTTTGGATTGTCTTCAACATGTTTTAGATGCACTTTCAACCAAGTACACCAGCGACTTAGATGCACTGGAGAATTTAATTCTCCAGAAATCTACGGCCTACAAAGATGTTCAAGCTTCGGCCTTGCAACTGCGCCGCGGACGCGCGACTGTTCCATTGGCTGGAATCGATGTTCCATTTCACTCGTCGCAGCTCAAACCGATGATTGAACCCTTCCGCCGCATTCTGAGTACAATCATCGATCTGCGCGGGGCAATTAACCCAGCCCAGCTGGTCGGTCGATATGTGCCTAATCTAACTGGCACGCCATTTTCTCTCGATCCATTCTACATCAAGACCATACTTGCGAAGACCGGATCTGCACATCTTCGGCACATATTAGACCACTGGGAGTCGGAGTGGGGGTCACGCATTCGGCGTGAGCGCGTGTTGCTACCGGGTATCGGGCAGTAATCATACTCGTGATATTTTGCTTATTAGCTCGAGTCCATATTAGCTTTGTACATTTTAGTTAGTGATATTTTATTTTGCTCTCAAAGAATATTTTGTTCTTCTCGTCCGCATCTCACATGTGTTCCGTCGCCCAAGTTCCATAACTTTTCTAAAAAAGAAAAAACTTTGTATCCCGACGTGATTCGCTCGCTCCCTTCATCTTTTTCGCTAGACTGGTTCTCACCTCCAGTTATGGCTATGGCGCCCATAATTGAAATCACATTCTATGTCTGTTTATCTGCTGCTGGACATCTGTGGACAAAATCACCCCCGGTATACTCTGCGATAGCTTTTTTCTTGTTGTTGAATGTCAAGGCTTGGCCACTTTCATACACCGTGAGTGCGATCTTGCCTGGTTTTCAATATAAAATCAACTAAACAACATTAAGGCCCGCCTGCTTCCGGCTCTCATTCGGACCTATGTTCTTCCAGCTCCCGTTGTGCAGTTGCCAGCAGAAAAGTCGATCGAGGCGCTGTTTCGCGTGCAAAGCCAACGTTCATGGGCATGCCCGCTAGAATGCGATATAAACATGCACAAGTCTAATAGCACATTTCTTGTGGACCTTGATACCAGTCGCGCCAATCTACTAGCCCAACAACTTATACCAGCGTGTCGGGCAGTGAATGGCGCACGACTTATTCTCGGTTCCGTCGAAACCACCTTCTATCGCGAAATTCTACCCTTTCAAGCCTACGAAACACGCTCGCGCATTTTGACATGGGATAGTAAATGGATTTCGATCGTTACCTATCTAGTTCAACCGGGGACCGATGTGGAGGATGGGGCTGGCGGACTGTCGGACTTCCTTGGTCGTCAGCGTGAGAAAAAGACACTTTTTGCAGTGGCACTATCTAGGTACGTTGCGAAGAAAGGGCGACGAACGGTGGCCCCAGAGGATCTTCTGAACGCTGGAGGCTACAAGGGCGGGGCCGGTGAAATTTTGAACAAGGCTCGGGCAAGAGAAATGGAACAGTGGGCAATGTGGCAGAAACTGTAGTAACTTGTTGTCTGACGGGCCGAATTTAATCTAGCCTAGAATTTTGCTTATAATTCAGGAATGTTTAATCATGGGAGGATGAAAATGCCGATGAAACTTTGGAGTTGACATCGGCGACTAACTGTCGGCGGACTGAATGATACTAGAACTTGAATGATAGACTCCGCATATGCATTTATTTTCATGGTGCGAACCAAAAATCAAAAGTAGAATAGCAATTTGACTGCTTATCCAGCAAACATGTTTACTCCTTTAGATTTCACGTCCATTTCTCGACCAGAGATCTCTGAATCTCTGGTTGGGATGTTCAAAGGCACAGTCCAGCGATTCTCGGATCGAATCGCCATCGAAGACTGGTCAGGTACTCCACCGACGAAACAACAATATTCATACGCTGAGCTTGACAACGCCTCGGATCATCTTGCGAAAACACTTCAAGCCAATGGAATTCACCGAGGATGTCTGGTTCCGATTCTCACCACACGATCGATGCCAATGGTCATTGCCGTCTTAGGCGTACTGAAGGCGGGAGCATGTTATGTACCCATCGACCTGTCAGCGTGGGGGGGCCGACCGTATTGAAGTCACTTTGAAGACTGTCGGTGCTGCCAAAGTTCTTTGCACTGAGGCGTCAAGTGCCATTCCCCCTGAATATGAAGTTATTCAGTTTCTTGCAACAGATGCTGTGTGGACTCCGGCGCACGATCCGAGCTCCCTTGATTCACCAACACCCGATGATTTGGCGTACATCATCTTCACATCGGGCTCAACCGGAAGGCCGAAAGGTGTAAAAGTTGCACACCGTTCGATGGTGGCATACGCCCATGAGAATGGCGCTGGCTCGCCACTAAAATTCGTCGTGACAGCCGAGTCACGTATGTTGGTCATGTTTTCAATCGCATTTGACGGTCAGTGTCACCAAAAAGCCATTTTCTTGAAGAAAAAAAAATAGTTACTAACGCGGACCACAGGTTGCGCCGGAGTCTTTTTCTCATGCTTGGGCAATGGGTCCTGCCTCGTCCTGGCGAACCCTGATACTTTCCCCGACGCTGCTAAAGAGTGTACCGATCTCCCCCTAACCCCCCAGCATCTTGTCCTCACTCGATCCTTCAGACAACTATGGACGGGTAGAAAGAATTATTTTAGGTGGCGAGAAGGCCCCTGACACTCTCATTGAAGCTTGGTCCGCCCCAGGACGCAAAATATTCAACGCATATGGACCTACCGAAGCTACCTGCGTCACACTAATGGCAGAGCTTGTCGTTGGTCAGCCGCAGACTCTCGGATTCGCTCTCCGTGGAGCATTCGTGATCCTACGGGATGAAAATGGCGACGAGGCTGATGCTGGAGAGATTTGTATTGGCGGTACAGGAGTTGCCCTTGGGTACTTCCAAGACGAGGCTCGAACAGAACAATCATTTATTACATACCGTGGAGAAAGACTGTATTGCACGGGAGACTACGGTCGTATGTCTTTTGCAGGTGTTGTGTTCGCCGGTCGCAAAGACAGTCTTGTCAAGAACCGGGGATTTCTCATCAATCTTGAGACAGAGGTTGAGCCACTGCTGCTGGACATTCCGGCCGTTGAAATCGGCATCGCTGTATCAGTTGAAACTCGCCTCTATGCATTTGTCTGCCCAGCCTCCACCGCAATAGGCCTGCGTGACGATTTGCTGAAAGCAGGTAAATCTCCCTTCCTGGTACCTGATAGGATCGTCGGCATGGACAACCTGCCCCTGACCAGCAATGGTAAAATCGACCGCAAGGAACTCATAGCGCTCTTGGATACATCAAATTCTCCGACTGTCAAACCAGATCCACATGAAGAGCTTGGACCAGAAGAAGCTGTGTCAAAAGCGTTTTCGGTTGCTTTGAAACTCCCAGAGTCACAAATCACTCCAGTGTCTTCTTTCAGGCAGCTAGGAGGTAGCTCCTTAGCAGCTGTTTCTGTGGTTACAACAATAAAGCGCTATTCATTTGCTACCAGCCTATCTCAAATTTTCCAAATGGATACTGTTGCCGCGATAAGCCAAAGTTTGACTAGAATTGGACAGGGCCAGCCGCAACCAAAGTTGGATATCGCTCGACAGGAGCTATGGAAGTCGGTCAATGATACGCTTCAAACAGAAACAGACGGGATAGTTGATGTTGCACCAATGACAGACTTGCAAATGCGAATGATCCACGGGACTTTACAAGATCGCTCGGCCAACTACTTAAGACTGGGAATATCCTTTGCCCATGGATCACTATCAAAACTCAAACGCTCCTGGCTGTGCGCTCTTGCGGCGCATAGTTCACTTCGTACAACATTCCTGCTTCTAGGTGAGCGGGGCGCACAACTTATCCATCAACAGGTTGATCCAAGTTGGGAGGAACTGCCAGTTCAAGAATTACCCACTGAGGAAGAATGGCGCAATTTACAATATCTGTCTACCGAGGAAACTTTATCGACTCCGTCCTACCCGCATATTAAACCATTCATCGGATTTCGAGTCTATTCTGCACCTCATGGGGCCACTTTAGTCACCTTAACCATACACCACAGCCTGATAGATGGGTGGTCGGCAGTGAACTTGATCGAGTCCTTCTCTCAGGCAGCCGATGGCTGTTTACCATCTCTCCCGCGACCAGAGTTTCATCAATTCATCAAGACCATTGACCAATCTCATTTTCTAGTCAAGGAGAAGGCACAAGCCTTCTGGAAAGAGAATCTAGGCAATCTAGATCCTATTCCTCGTCTGACATTACCTGTCCCGTCCACTCCCAACTCGCCGGCAAAGAGAAAAGAGGTCTGTGTCTCACTGGGCACCACATCCGCGAAGCTGGAAAGCCAATCTTTGCGTGCCAGAGTAACTCCTGCCGTGTTTCTATATGCGGCGTGGTCAATCGTGCTCTCGACATACTCTGCGTCGGATGAAGTGGTCGTAGGAGCAACTTTGGCAGGTCGTTCCTGGCCAATATCTGAGATTGAATCTGCTGTGGGCCCATTCGTCAACACACTCCCCCTCCGTGTACAAATTGACGAGAGAGAGTCTTCTGAGCGATTCCTTCAAACAGTCTTTACAACATTGTGCCAGATTTCCGACTATCAAGGATCAACAAACTCTCTAATCCAGACTGCGACAGGGAAAAAGCGACTGAATTCTATGAGACAATTTTCGCCCTTCAGTATGACTTTCCTCCTCTGAGCAGCTGGAAGTCTGATACAATTGCGAAGCCTTCTTCGTTTTGGACTACCGACTCCTCGGGAGCAAAGCTAAATGTACTTGTCGAAGACTCTGCTGAAGGTCTGGTTGCCCGACTGGTATACCACACTGACAGTTTCACCACCTCTGCGGTGGAGGGTATGGGCCGACATCTCCAGAATGTCCTTGAGGCATTCATCACGCAAGACCTTTCGGAGCCCGTCTCACGCATCCGTGATCAGCTACTTAAGCCTACTGAGATAGATGCACTTGTTCGCAGTTTCCCCAGGTTCAACGACCAGTATGTCGGCGCTGTCAATCTGAAGGAAGCATTCGAGTCAATGGTAGATCGTGTGCCTGACTTCCCAGCATTGGAGTCACCGAACGGCGAGGTCTTGACTTATCGGGAGCTTGATCGAAGAAGCAATGCGGTAGCCCTTGAAATAATGCGGTTAGATAGCAAGAGCCCATTTGTGGCTGTTCAAGCAGACGGCTCTGTCGAATGGATTGTGGCTATTTTTGCTACTATCAAGACCGGATACGCTTATTGTCCAATAGATGTCAAGTATGGCCGGGATCGTCAAAAAGTCATGTTGGATCTGGCAGAATCCGACATAATAATCTATTCAACAGCTGATTCCATTCCATCGGATTCTCTCCATCCAGGCTTACGATTCTTGACAGTGGACACTATAGTCGGTTCAATTGACGAAATCAAACCTGTGCGCTTCCAAACGACGATTTCTGGTGAAAGTATTGCCGCCTTAATTTTCACCTCGGGCAGTACTGGAGTTCCCAAAGGTAAAATACCAAGTGGAAAATTTTGAGACCGGCTACCAAGATGCTAATTTACAGGGCAGGTGTTCAAATTCCCCACGTTAATCTCTTGTCATCTCTCGGTCATGAAGCCGGCCGGAACCATTCGCATCCTGGTCAGCGAAATGCGCAGCTGTTATCATATGGTATGATATCACATACGAGCAAATTTGGAGCGAAACTAATTCTGGTGTCATTAGGTTTCGACGGTTGTCTTCATGAGATATTGGCAGCACTGCTTTACGGTGCTACATTGGTACTCAAGGATGAAAACTCTCCAATGTCTCATCTCCGCCATGTTGATGCTGCCGATATTACACCGTCTATGCTTGCAACTCTTGACCCTAAACTTCATCCCAAACTCAAAATCGTAAGTTCGGAGCAAATTATCTCTTACCCGATGCGAAATAACTAACTTTTGTAGCTTTCTGTGGTAGGTGAGGTGTTTCCTCAAGATTTGGTTGATCAATGGGGCATTGACGACCGCATTCTCTTGAATGTCTATGGTCCAGTGGAGACAACCATTGCTGTCACTTGGGGGTATCAGAAGTCCGGACAACCAGTCACGAACGGACCACCTGCACCACGCACTGCCATATACATTGTCGATAAGGCCAGTCGCCCCGTTCCGGTCGGATGTACAGGAGAGATCTTCATTTCTGGAATCCAGGTAACGCCGGGCTACCACAAATTGCCCGATCGCACTCGGCAGTCTTTTGTCCCAGACCCCTTCCTCCCAGGACAAACTGTGTATCGCACGGGGGATATAGGACGATGGACCCCAGATATGAGCCTGCAGGTGATCGGTCGCATGGACTACCAAGTCAAAGTACGCGGTTTACGTGTTGACCTACAAGAGGTAGAACACATGATCACGAAAGCCTTCAATGGGATTCAGTCCATTGCAGTGGTTTTTAGCCGCGAGCTGGCCATGATGACAGCATTCGTGACTCCTGGAGATATTGACGTGCAAAAGCTGCAGCATAAAATCCGCAGCAGTCTGCCATACCATTGTCAGCCGACCCGAGTGGTTGCCTTGGAAAACTTCCCTTTGAATGTCAATGGGAAGATTGACAGACTAGCATTGCTCGCCATACCCATCGAGTCGACAGCAGTCACAGTGCTTCCTGAAACAGAAATGGAATGTCTAGTCGCACGGATTTGGGAGGAGAAGCTCCCGCAGCATCAAGTCGGAGCTCTAGACAATTTTTTTGATCTCGGTGGTCATTCCCTGCTGCAGATAGGGGTCGCACAGCGACTAACCGAAGAGCTGGCTCATCGCGTTCCTTTGCGCATGGTCATTGAAAACATCGTCCTGCGTGACCTAGCAGCTGCTCTAGAGACCAAAGTTAGCCAAGCTATTTCCGATGAATTTTCTCCTTTCTGTCAAACGCGAGAGGCCCCTCTATTTATCACATCCGGACTGGAGGAGGAGGTGTATAACGCGTGGGAGCAAAACAAGAGATCTACTGCATGGAACGTGGCACTTGCGATGCGATTCACTGGGCCGCTAGATCGCGATCACCTCTGGGACAGTTTCTCTCAAGTCATCAATTACTACCCGGTCTTGCTATCCGAGTTCGCTCCCGTTGACGGTATCCTCCGCCGATCTATTCGAGCAGATTTCGGTGGACCACTTCAGCTTCCAGCTAAGGTATCCATTGACAAGACTATATCTGATGAAATTAATCTTGGATTCGACTTGAACAATGGTCAACCTATCCGTGTTCGCTGGATTGAGGAATCGCCCGTTTCAATCGTGGTGGTTATTACAATGTCGCATGCGGTGTCGGACGGGACGACAAGAAGCCTTTTACTTGATGCCATCAGTGCGGCATACAATGGGACTGAGGAGTACAGAGGTCTTCCAGTTGACCAGGGCTACATGGATTGGGCGAGTTGGTCTTCACAGCAGAAGCCTGATCTCGAGGCTGTTCATTTCTGGCAGAAAACCCTGGCTGGATATACCCAGTCTCGCCTCGCTCCTTTCATAAACAAACCGCAGACCTATGACGGACACTGCCGGATGTTGACAATCCCACAGGAAGGGCGCCAAGCCGTCACTCGACTGGAAGCTGAAGCGGCTGCAACAAAGCACCATGTTGTACTAGCCATAGTTTCACTTCTATTGCAGTCATGGGGTGAAAGTGACTCTTTCGTCATTGGCGCCCCATATGCAAATCGCGACATGGCCGGGACCGACAAGGTCATCGGTATGATGGTCGATCGGATTCCAATCAGGGTCGAACTGCTCAAAGATGATACCCAAACGTTGCGATCTTTGGTTTCGCAGATGAAAGGGGCAAGCCAGCAATCCATTGCACATTGGATACCGTTCACACAGATAATGAAAGCTGTCGCTGGAAAAGCCAGTATCACACATGAAAATTCACACTTATTTGATGTTATGGTGACCTTCCATACTGCATTTGAGACAACTCAACGAATGCAAAACTTCGGGAACGCAGAAATGACACTGTTGAGAACTCATCCGGATGGTGCTAAAGTATGTTATTCTTTCAACCTTATCTCCAGTTCCCATCCAAATTACTAACATTTCGATAGTATCCCCTCTTGTTCGAGTTTACAGAATGGGAAGATCGATTAGAGCTTGATCTGGAATACGATACAGGGGTTCTTAGTGAACAACAGGTCGACAAGATTCAGTCCTTGCTCATGTATATATTATCCACCTTGGCTACGCAGCCTGACACATCTGTTGGTCAAATCAGTGAGGGACTGAAGATTGTGGGGATGTAACTTGAGATAGGCAATTTTTTTTTGGAAAACTGTGACCATCCGAAATTATTAGGAACAAAATATTTTTTTTTTTTCAAAATGGGGGTAGGGGGGGGGGGGATGTTTGCCCTAGGGGGTGGTTTATGTATTCTAAAAAGAGTCCAATCTTTCCACTTTACATAGATTAAGTAGAGACAATTTGCAAGATCTCTTCTTTCCAAGTCCTCCAATTCTTACAGCAAAGAGGGAACTAATTATCTATCTTCAAGTTCGCTTCAGCATCGGTAACGCATATCGGTATGGAAAACCCCCCCATAAACAGAACAAAAATACAATCGTTGACCCCGAAGCGACTTGAACGCTTAACTTTCAGGACTGGAATCTGACACTCTACCAATTGAGTTACGGGGCCGATTCTTATGTAAGGGGTGATCAACACGGATATCTGTGTCAAAAATTGGATATAATCTCATTGGCCGCCCGCCCTGGGCTTTTTTGCATTGAAACCGAAGTCTGGTTCAAGTTGTGGGGTCATGCTCTCTCCTTATTACTGTTTACTAGCTACTTTGGGGTTACCTTTTGGAATATTTACCTGCTGAGTCGGGTCTTCTAGTAGATTTTTTCTTGTTTTGTTCAAGGCTGATATATTCATTTGCTTTCCACTGGAATCTTAACTCCGATTGGCTGCTCAGATCAAAGGACTGAAAGGGCCTTTTTTTCTATTTAGACCGTACGGCCCCCCGTTTGTACTTTCGTACTTTCGTAATAAGTGGCGAGAATGAGAAGTGGGGGCCAAACGGCCGGTGGTCTTTCAATCTTTAATGATCTTCTCTTCATCTACCGCGCGAACTCCACATTTGCTCACTCCTATGGCCGCAGCCAGAGCATCCCAAGGACTCAATGATCCCCGCTACCAAGCGGACAGTCAACTCCTGTCTGCGATGTCGCGCGCGAAAGATTCGCTGCGATCGCGAAAGACCTGAGTGTCAGAACTGCGCTCGTCATGGACATTCCTGCCGATATGCCCCTACGACTCCCACTGAGACCGTTCCGAAGGGTAGTGATGGGCCTTACCAGGAGCTTGCACGGCGACTGAGTCATCTTGAGCTGGTCGTCGCGCGACTCGCAGGCAATACTGCACCTGAGAGCTCTCCTCCGGAGGACTCCGCTGTTTCCAGTGCGGGCGAAGTCCACAATGTGGACAGTGAGCCACGTCTCTTGTCAGGCTCGTACTGGAAGCAGTTGGCTGCACAGGTGTGTAATTTCTTGTTTTCAGCAGAGGCGCTTAGCTACCTCAGTATTGAAATCAATTGACAGAATTGGATTCAAACAGCATCCCGATTTCAACGCCCTTATAGACGCAGACCAAGATTCACAACCAACATCGAAACGAATACAACCCAGCCGGCCTTTGAACTTATTTGTCGCCCCAGACCCCGAATTTCACCCACATGCGTATATGCCACCGCTACCTGATGCCCAGCGATTATACAATATCTTTCTCGACCGGGTGGACCCAGTTGTGCGGCTGATTCACAAGCCGACATTCTGGGGGGAAATGAAAGAATACTATCTCCAAGTGGGACATGATAATGGAGCTGAGAAACGATCGACGGCGGCTTTCGAGGCACTTCTCTTTGCTGTGTTGTTCAGCGCCCTGACCAGTCTATCCGAGCAGGAGCACTGGGACTCATCGCCTCCCGGCCAGGATTCTGCACCTTCATTAGTCAGGCAGGGATGTTTGAAAGCCCTTCGGCTCGCCATTGAGCAGAGTTTGGTCCGATCAGAGTTTCTTGAAAAGCCGAGCCTTCACTCAATCTCAGCGTGCTGTCTGTTTTTGGTAAGTGAATTGATCTCTGTTCATGCACACATTCTTGCTGTTTACTGATGCGTGATCATGTTTCAGTTTGTTACGTGTGAAGAAACAGATGTCCCATACCATTATTGCTTGACGGGTCTCCTACTACGCGTTGCACGATCATTTTCTCTCCACGTGGACCCAGAAGCACTGGCAGATCGGAGGCGAGCACAAAAACCAGCACAAGCTCCGATCAGCGCTATTGTTGCCGAACTTCGCCGGCGAGTTTGGCACGTCATTGTTCAGTAAGCACTGCTCCCGTAAAAGACAAGCCAAGACTCGTTCTAATAACTCCGAAGCCTTGACTTCATGTCTAGCGAAGCACGTGGGGTAGACCCTGAACCTATTGGCATCCAAACTTGGCCCACGACCCTTGCGACTGCGTTACCGAGCAATGTGAATGATGAGGATATCATGCAGGATAAGAATACAGCCCGTTTTACGGACATGACAATGTCTCTCGTCCGCTACCAACTTTCCCTCGGCCTGAGACAGATAGTGACAACCCCTGTCCCTCCAACTGGGTCTGATGCGCTCCGGAAATGCCTTGACGAAACAATAGAAATAGTTAACAGACAATACTTGCAATTCTGTGATGCTAGCGATCCTATCCAGAGAGTGACGCTAGAGCTTGGCCGCCTTGGAGAGTATAAACTCCGGCTCTTGGTGTATCATCGATTCCTGAAAGAGCGCAATGGAACTACTACTGGTAACAGCCAGTGGACCCCGGCTCGAAAGAAGTATGTCATCAAACCCCCTTCCATTCCTAGCCAGTCTCAGTTCATATCTGTCTTTGATCCTAATTTGAAATAGGGCTATGGAATATGCGAAAGACCTCATTTCCTCCTATCAAAATGTTTTAGCCGACCCTAATATCAGACGATTCCACTGGCACATTCGGCGTCATTCCCAACTTCATGGAATGCTCCACATAATAAACGAGCTGTCAACGATAGAAACATTCGATTTATCAAGTGATATTAGCGTTATCTGCAAACAGGCATGGGAAACAATTGCCGACGTGGAGATGGAATATGGCACCCCCGGGGAAGAAAACAACGACGAGGAACGACTGTGGACTTTTCTACACAATCTGCGAGAGAAAGTGCGGCTCCGATTATACACCCAGGGATTCATCAGCCAAGGCTTTAGTACAGGTTCAACATGGGAAACCGAGTATGATTCCCCCATGGGCGGTATTGATGGTACGAACCTGATAGAGTCCCTGTTCGGCGGTCAGCTTGCTTCGTTTGGATTCAGTGGCAATACTGGACTGGATATCTAGGAAAGGTACCTGGCATATAGCCTTGCACAAAACCACAGTTAATGGGTCCGAATTACTGAACATGAAATGATTGACGACTTAGAAAATAATTAAAATTCAACACTGAAACAAAATTTTAAGAAATTTGAATGTCTTCGCTTGTAAAATCGAACTAGAACAAATACTCAATGCCACCCGTAGTTAGATATCCCTAATAAGACATCAAGTATACAAATCATAAAAAGCGTGCTATGACAGCTGTTCAAATGAAACAACGGATTCCGGGACACGAGTCCATGTATCTGGCCGAAGCTTGGTGTCCAAGGCCCCACCTAGCTGGTAATTCTCCAACACCGTGATGACAAACAACTTTATCATTATAGATGCGAAATTCTTTCCAAGGCATTTTCGTGGTCCAAGTCCATACCCATGCAGACTGTACCGTGCATCCAATCGAGAGACGGAATCCCAGCGGCGCGGTCGGAAAGATTTCCCATCTGGAGCCCAAATCGGAGAGTCTTGATTCAGACGGCGTACATCAATGATCACAGGTGTGGCGGCTGGGATGAGGTATCCTCCGATATATTTATTCTTTGCGGTCATCTCAGGAAGGGAAAACCCTATAGCAAAAATTAGTCTCATATCCTGGCATACTGTTTCGGAGGTACAAACAAGCAGGAGGGTTGTTGCGAAGAAGTTCCAGGTAGACGTGATGAAGCTGTGTATTTTCATCTTTCAGATAGCGATCCAGCGTATCGATGTCTTTTTCCTTAGATAAAATCTCATTTCGGAGATCAGTTTGTTCATCGGGGTGACCCGCCAGATTTATCAGGCAGTACGCGAAAATGGTAGAAGTGATGTCGATGTTCGTGAAGATAATTTCATCAAGAGATTGCAGGAACTGCCTAAAGGTCAGTATGGTCTAACTGAAATAAATACTTCAACAACTTACACTAGTCATATCAATGTTGCCATTCTCAACGGCCCGGTACATTCCTTCCAAAGGAATTGAAATTCCCCTCTATGAATATATTAGGATTATCCACAACTCAACGCGATAGAGTCTTCATACCTCTCTTGCAAGAGCCACTGCATCTAGGTTCAGTTCTTCCCATAATTTGTTGAACTTCCTCAAGGTCGCATTGGCTTTTGTTGGTAGCCAGGGATACCACCAGTTCTTGGCTGCTGGACTCAAGAATGTGACAAATGTCACTTCCTCGTGCAGCGTATTTAGGTCCCAAAGTCGCCCAAATAGCTGGGAAAAATTAATCTGTCAGTCGTTGATGTTGAATTTCTGAAGTACGGTTTTAGACTGACCTCTTCTGAAAAGACTTCGCCGTACAGCGCCATGGCAATTAGCCGAAAAGGCAGCTGGCGGCAAGCAACTATTGCGTCAAGTTCAAAAGGCCCAGACACACCAGTGTTTACCTCCCGGGGAAGTGTCTCAGCCCAGGTCTTGATGGCACTTTTGGTTGTTGCAACAACTGAATTTGCTGATGTAAAGGAGAAATGAGGGTCTAGATGTGATCGCGTGTTCTTCCATTCTGCGCCATTCTGGACTCCAACACAGGAACCAAGCGTTCTGGCAAAGAAAGACCCCATATTACAGTCATGAAGCTTTTTGTGATCTGTCGATCCATGATTTTGTTAGATTTTGTTTTGAGTAAGATAATCATACTTCGTTCACTTGCCTGCAGCATCTTGCATATAGAAATCTTTAATATGAGAGGGGTGAGAGATAATCAGCTCCCTCTGACGTCCATTTCTCACAAGAAATGGTCTATCTCCGAATTCTTTAGCCCCTTGGTCTGATATCTCCTTTCTGTGCCAAAAAAGAGTTCATTAGCATCAGAATAGTCACCAAAATAATCGAGGTAGCTTCTCATGGTCAAACTCCCAACTGGAACTAACCCATTTGTAAACCGCCGGAATCTCGTGTCCCCCGGGAGGGATGGAATAGGGTCCCCAATCTTGTCCTTAAAATATCCACTTTGACTTTCGTTGCTTTTACTCTTCCTCAGGACCAGATAGAGCACCAATACAAAAAGGAAAGCCAGTCCCTGAACAGCGTAGTACATGTTGGTTGTTTTGACTCAATGTTTTAGCATATACACATGTTTAGTCATAGGAAAAAGGCATGTTTTAAAGCGACGTCAATATCGAGTTATCTATTGCTCACTTGCGACGCCGAAAGCTGTCGCTCTGTTCGGTGCTTATTTTTTTTTTGGCTTGCTCACTGTAGCATACTCTCGCAAAATTTACGAACTTTCGGCTCTAAGCCCCATTCTTAGGCCGCTAACTATAGTGGCCGCGTTAGACCGATAGTGGGGAGTAAGCAAGCCCTTCGCTAGTTAGCGATGTCACCGAGTATAGTACTTAAGTACTGCCAAGCAGCTATCTGCCTGTGTTTCTCATTTTGGTTTAATTAATATCCATTTTAAGGTAACACTTTCCATTATAAGCGAAGAGGGGAAAGATGAATGGCTAGTCGCTCTATATTCAATGGGTCGCTGGCGTTTCAATGCGGATTTTGTATAGATACGAAGACATGCAAAAGCATCAAAGAGGGTACCTGTCTCACCACTATCACCGAAGTAGAGATTAATAACGAAAGCATAGGATTGGGTCCTCTCTACTTCAAGTTTGTGATACCAAGGCTCGGCGAATATATGTCAAGCAACCTTAGAAGTCGTGCGGACGGGCGGGGGCGACCTGTTTCAAGCAGCCAGCCAGAAAACCGCGGCGAATGGTCGCCTAAAGGATCAACTGATGCAACGCTAAATGGCCCCTGAAGAGTCCTGGTTTACCTTTACGAGAAATGCCCTTATTTTTTTCGGTACCCACATACGCGTGGCAATAATGTCGGCTATGAAACCCCGGCCCCAATCGGGGCAGTCAAGACACCCACTCGAGAAAGACCCACATAATTTTCTCCTTTCTCCTGTGACTCGTGGATATTCGCCGTAGCTACTCCGTACGCCGTACGGAGTACATATCGTGCAATTCCGGCCGAACGCAACCCATTAGTCTGTACTCCGTACTTCATCTGAAAAGTCTTGGCTGAAGGCACATTGGGGGTTCTATGTGTAAACTATTCAGGAGGTCTCAGGAGGGTAATACGCCTATTTAAGTTGAGAAAGGGCAAATGAATGATCAATTTGACTGCAGGATCCATGATCCATGATTAGGTACTATCTACTTGTCAGTAGTAACGTGTTTCATTGGTGAGTGGGCCGCCCGGGCGAGTGGGCCACCCCAAAACACATAGTAAATTTGATATATTACAACTATATAACTCAACCACTATTTCTATTCAACAGGCTATGTCAAGATTTAGTATCCTAAATAATAATATTAGCTAGTGTTGAGAATATCCAATGGAATAATATTTTTTTTCACAGAGATATATATGTTAATCTCATAGACACATAAAATACCTTGTATTCTTTGAGATATTGTAAAAATATTATCTAAATCAGAAAAGCTTCCATTTTATTATTCTCTATAGTAAGTTAAACCTATATGCTAACTTATAATGAAAATTAATATTTATTTATTGAGATATTCAAACTTGTAATTAATCATATTTCTATGTATTCTTGATCCAGCCCAGTCGCCCGGGCGGCCTCACCCATGAAACACGTTAGTTGTCACTGCATTTCATCAGAGTAGCCAGATATTCACGTATTGAGCAGTCTAGACGTAAATAAAAAAGGCTATTATGGGACCCAAGCTCAAATCATTTGCAAAGATTGTCCACGTTTTAAGCTTTGATGCACTCCAACACCGTATCTAGACCTGCATTGCGCCACACACGAACTACTTTTAGTCCAGTGCTATCGACCAATGCACGGTATTGAGTTTCGGTTCTTTCTTTTGCGTTAAGGCAGGCCAGCATCTGCAGATCTAACCGACTAACAACTGACTGGCCCCAATTGGCAAGTAAAGGCTGTGGCGCAACTTCGAATGAACTCTGCGACGTGTCCCGATATGTTGGAGCCAACATATGTTCGAGGATCAAAAGTTTGTTGCCCAAGCTCATTTTAGCAGCGCAATTGGACAGGATCTGACGTGCCTCTTCATCTGGCCAGTCGTGGATGACATGACGCAAGAAATAGATGTCTCCTGCCTCTTGCTGAGGGGTGAAGAAGTCATGACCAACAAATTTGACGCGATCTGACTGTTCAAATTCGGGATACGAATTTTTGAGGTACTGATGTGTAATATCAGCTGGATCAGCAGAGTTCAAGTAACCTTTAACTTTAATTTAATGTAGCACCCACCTCGTAAAACTTTGGCTCACTCTCAGGGCGATCCTGAACTCTCAAATGAAGATTGGGATTCTCTTTCATGATTGGAAGAGTTCCAGCCCCAACGCCACCCCCCACATCAATGATCGTTTTGGTGCCTTCTGAATGCCATGGATAAACTGTTCAAACATTAGTATTCGGAAACCCCGATATTGTCCAGTGGATATAATTACGGGTCAAATATTGCTCCAAGTTGAGCCCTTTACCGGCCATAGCAGTATTAGCCCTTTGACCGATATCGGGCCTGACACTTTTCACCCATTCAAAAACCGTCAAATCAGTGTCGTAAGCCAGATTAAATGGCGCTTTATTAGCTTCAGTGGCGTCTTTGTAGTCAGGATGTACAAGCGCCTCCCAAGCCTTGGAAGATGAGGTTCTGCATTCATCGGCACTAGTAACCACATCCGTTATTATTTAAATTTCAGAATCTGGCAAGGCATCTTACCAGTGTCCAACTAAAGCCCGTTTCCCCTCCGATTGGAAGGTGACAGAAAGGAAGTTGTTGGCAAATCTGTTATTTGCGGTCTCTCGGAAGATTTGTTTATTACAGAGGTTCCTCAAGTAGCGCGCTAGCTTTTCTTCATTAAGGCCGGTCTTTTGGGCTAGCTCCTGAATGGAGAGCTCCTCCTTGCCAAGGTGGTTCGCAATATCTGCTTGACAGGCAATAAACAGCGCTGTTTCATCATGATACTGCAGAGCGGGATGAGCCAAGTATTTATGTATTTGCTGAGATAGAAGTACTGACCCCATAAATTGTATCGTTGAGATACGTGTTTGGGTCACAGAGAGATCGCAGCATATTCGTCGCGGATGATATAGTCTTCAAAGCAACCTCAAGGTCGGCTTGGAGGCGACTATGGACGGGGTGAGATTCGCATGAGTCCAGGGATAATTCCGGGTCATTGTGGTCAAGAATCGACTTCTCGACGATGTTTAGAGATTCATTTATCAAACATCTCAAGCTTTCCAAAGTATGAACAGAGTTTGAAGAAGGCACCATTGCAATGACCAAAACGTAGTTGCAAAGCTACTAGAAGTTTTATGAAAACAATGTTGTTTTGAAGGACAGAGAGCCCAGGTGGTCTTATAATATATGCGTAGACATGAAAGTAGTACAAAGGCAAATCGGATACACGATTGCGGAAATTTCCCGGAATAGTATTCGCAAGTTTTCCATCGGCGAGTATATGGCATAATCCCCAAAATGTCGATTTAACTAGCGATTAGACTGGTTCTATTGCACGAACTTGGGATGTAGGAATCAAAAGCAGTAGAGTTAAACGACTTGATAAGATAGCACAGAAAGAGCGCAATTCTGTAACGTGATGCCTATGGTTACAGAGGAAATGGAAGCATCATGGCCAAGGAGGCCTTCATTTCTGCTGACTTCCAAATCGGCCTCTATGGTCAATATAGCTTTTTTCGCCCCTATAAGTGCAGAATACAGCCCTCCAGTGGCTACCAAAGCCTTTGACTCTGAAACCTGCTCGAGGCCTTATTTGAAAACCGGGAGACCTGGGAATTCCAGAGGACGGACTAAGAGTGTTCGTGTTTCCTCGGCCGCTTTCTCGGCCGCGCTCTCAGCCGCCTTCTCAGCACTAGGGCCGTATACGAGACTAAATTTTCCTTAAGTTAGACTGTATGCACTGCCGAAAGTATTAACCGAAATTATTCACGCCAACCAGAACCAGTTATCACTAAGCCAAGAATTACGTTAGAAGTGGGAGAAAGCCGAATTGTGCCTTTAACCCGATGACGGCTAGCGCGACGCAGGAGAGTCGTACTTCTCCGGTATTCTACCGTCACGGACTGACTGTACGCCTTAAACCTAGTGCCAGGTCCCGCAAGGCGCCTACGGGACTACCCCTGGTGGATGGGTAGATCGCGCCAAACCCCATCCACCACTTCGCATAGAAACGGCAAAATTACGAGTGGATACCTGCGGATCAACCGAGTGGCGTTAAACAAACATCATCATTTATCACGACAGCTGGTAAGATTTTGGCTAAACACCCAACCATTCACTATGAAGAGTTGGCGACGTATAAGAATTCAGTTCGCTTTTCCTAGCCCAATTCGGTTCAAATCACAGCAGCACGCCTGCAAAAGCGCCGATCTGCCTGATAGATGTAGTAAGATAGGGCATATACGAAATAAATTCGCAGCTGGTAAATAGTTCAATAATACTAAGGCTGATTTGGCTCATATATACGCTATAAAATAAATAGAGAACGGGTGAGTGGCCAACTCAACGCTGCAGTCAGCTCTGTGGTGGATTACGTTATCACGGAGAATGAGGTAAAGATCAATCGTGTGATTTTCTCACTTAAGGCCTGAAGCACTTTTAGAGAAGTTCTGACTCACTGATAAGTCATAGTACCCAACTAAGCTTGTTGGAAGATTGGCACAGAGGCTGGTAGTTGTGACCTTAGACACGAGATTTCCCTTGAGATCAGTCAATTGGAAATTATCGGTTTCATCTAATTCGACTGCTCCGTAGCCTGATTTTTTTTCTCTACAAGTTTAACCATGTGGCCGTGCGCCGTTAAAATTTTGTAATACCATTTCCTGGGCTCTTCATTCGCTAGCTTTGGTTAGAGAGCCCCTCCATGTTTCCGTGACTAGTACGTGTTTAGCACCGAGGGCTTGGAGTTTGGGGGCCAGGCTGCAACCCTGGAACAGCCCTAGGCCAGACTTCGGCCATTGGCGTTTCCATCGATTATTCAAGATAATTTACCACGCGTATTTTTGATGCATGTAAGATTCCTCAGCCCTTTCATAGGTCGAGATTTCAGCAGGAAGCTCGGCGCAGCCGCACACAAGAAATCCAGTACAATGGTGACCTCACGCTAAGCTGAATATGGCGTAGAAGACTATTGTACTTTTACAAAAAATATTATAATTGAAAATAATAAGCAGGCTAGATATCTTCATATGAAGAAGGATGTGTCTACCCTCCACCCTTCGACTTAGTTTTTCTTCCCTGAGCCTTCAACATGACTACGGATTCAAACACTTTTAAGTCAAATCACACTGGACCTGATGAGGATCAAGCAAAGAAGCTTCGAAGAGCTTGCAATGTCTGCCATCGAATGAAACTACGCTGCTCAGGAACAAGTCCCTGTACTCGCTGCAAAAAGGCGGGGTCCGAATGTGTGTACTCCTTTGCGGCCAAGATCGGCAAGCCTAAAGGCAGTCGAAATAAGAAGACATTGGAAAAATTACATCAAATGAATGAAACTATTGAGGGGACTAAATTTCATCATCCGATCATATCTACTCCGGTGACCGATCGCTCCGTTTCTCTCGATTGCGATTTTGATGACGAGGAAGTATCCGAAGACCAGGATAACATTTTGAACCTTGACACTTGGATGTCCGATCACACTTTGGTTTCCTTATCGGATGTGGAGTTTCCTGTCGATATCGAGGCTTTGAAAGAAACCGCAATGTGGGATGTACGTAAACCACCCCGGAATGATGGGTGACTTTGATTTCTAATGATGTAATAGGTACAAGGGTCGTCCGATACAACAACTGACGGGCTTGACCAACATTTCTTCGGTACGCTCTTATTACAACCCTGAAGAATGATTATACTGACTTAAGATCCAAGCCTCCCCACCCAGTTTATCAGGAGTGGTGCAGTCGATTGATCTCTTCCCGAGTGCCATACAGCCACTAGGCGATACTTGTCTTCAATCCCCGTTTCAGATGACAGAGAATGCACAAACGACACAATTAGATGGTACAAGTCAACGGGATACCCAAACTAGCTGCTTCTGTCTTCAGCATCAGTTCGAATCACTTTCCAAACTTAAAGCTCTGGAGCAAAGCTGTGGACCAGTTCAAGCGGACACAGATTTTGCAACAACTTTGAACGCACTGACGGCTACTCAAACCGTTCTTAATTGCGACCGGTGTCAGGAGGACTCGGAGACGAACATGTTAGTGACAATGGTGGTAGATTTGGCGTTTCGCCGCCTTCAGAATTTGACTGCCGCCATGCCAGACGGCTTAGTGGAGCTCCGACTCAGCCTCGGAGGCATACAGATGGTCGAGACTGAACCATTATCAGCAATGCGCAAGACAATTGTCACATTAGCTCGCGACCAGGTTGAGAAAGTTTTTATTGCGATGCGAACCCGTGTCAGTCAACTAAATGCGCGGGCAAAGGAAACGACTCAGAAAGATGTCGATAAAATGAATGCTATGAAGTTGCAATTGACTTTGATGCGCCTCGAGATGATGTTTACGGCCCTTCAGACGATTCTAAAATAGACAGACTCTGCATAAAGATATTGGCTTTGGTTCAAACTTTTCGACGAAATATACTAGATAGTGACTACACTGGTGAAGCAATATGACCCTCATTTTACAATTGGTGCCGGACACAATCAAGCGCTGGCATTATATCTCAAGCATTCAAGTTCATTCCAGTTTCTGACATTACACCTCAATATTAGATAGGCGGGTCTAAGATAAACAGTGATTGGGTTGACCTTAAGAAATACACAAGTCAAATTGCGTCTCAAGGTCTCGCATTTGACCTCAGAAGTTTGTTCAGATGAATACGAGGGCAAACTGGCAGCATGAATTAGAATAGACAAAAGAGGCATATAGGAGTGATCCGTAATCACCTTGGAAGATCTGCACAAGTGTGTTTCACGAGGCATAGCTACAATACTATTTAAGTTTAAGACAAGCAAAGACTGAAAGCAGATTCGATAGAGCCGGCTGATCTCTTCGCCTTGAACAAGCATTTACCTTGTTTGATTTAACTTTCTCGTGATGAATGTCTCGTCTCAGGGCTGTTCTTTACAACTATGCTGCTGACGAGCTGGACCTTGGGCCGCCAGTGCTTACTTAGGCAATACGAATATCACTTCTGGCCTCTTGATTGGAAAGTCTATATATAGAAGGTCCAAGTTTGGTATGAAATTGCGCACATACTAGTAGTATACCTAGGTATTTGAATTTGAAATTCACTTCAGCCTGGCAGGGACCATAGCACTAAAACAGTTGCTGCAGTGAGATACTAACATGCTGCCTGATTATGGACTATGTATAAGAGTTCCGACCGCTAAAACGTTTACTTCTGCCCCCCGAACTTTAAACTGTAGATATGGACCTTCCTTCTGACTGGTAATATGATCGTGCAGCTGGTATTCATGAGCCCTGTGACGGTGTATTCCCTCCCCAGGACCTCCTTCTCCAATTCTGCCCAACGCCCCATCCGCCAGCCGGAAATCATAGGTATAGAACAGAAAGGCCAGCATGAGATGAATTTCCACTGTGGCCAATCCCTTGCCGAGGCAGCTACGGGTGCCAAGCGAGAATGGGTTCATGACTGCAAGGCCACGATCGATGCTCTCTTTCGTCTCCTTTTGCTCATTCCCCTCGAGCCACCGGTTCGGATCAAAATCAAACGGAGTTTCAAAATATGTCGAGCTATGGTGAATGGAATAGATTCCCACACCAACGTCATAACCAGCCGGAATTGTCTGACCATCAATTGTAATGGGATTATTCACGACCTCGCGAAATAGACAACTTCCAACAGCCGGGGACATACGAAATGCTTCATTGACACACGCCTGTAAGAATTGGCAAGACGCAAGCGCGGGACCAGAACGGATTTCGTCGACTGAACTGAACTTGCCGCGCACCTCCGCAGTAACTTTGTCATATACATCCTTATGGTGTGAAAGGTAAAAGAGCACTGCGGAGATGCTGGTAGATGTCGTATCAGATCCAGCTACAATGAGTGTTGTGCTCTCAGCAGCGATCTCATCCAAGGTGAACCCAGCACCGGTGACTGGGTCTTTCGCATCACGTAGGCGATGGAACACATCCGGTACATCTTCCGCTTCATTCACAGAAGTGGGTGACAAACGCATCTGGACAAGTTTCGTAACAAAACGCACGAATCGATTGCGACCGAAAATCGCCTTCCGGAACAAATACTTTTCGATCTTTATCGATCCCCATCGTCCTGCCTGGACCAGGGTTCCCATGCGTACATTGGAGGCATCGATGGCGTCGCAAACGTACCGGAAACGCGGTTCACCCAGAAGGTTGTACTTCGCCCCAAACACAACATCAGCCATGATATCGAATGAGAGATAATTGCACCATTGTCCCATGTTCTTCGGCTCACTCCAATCACCGGGCGATCTTGAATCTTCGACCATGACTTGAAGAAACTTATCGATATGTTGGATGATTCGTGGCTCATATTCACGCAGCGCCTTGTCAGACAGGCCCTGGGCCATTATTCGACGGCGTTTGGCATGCTCCTTTCCACCGCGAATGGTAAAAGTGTTTGGAGCGCGATGCACCATAGGCTCATATACCTTTGACTTGACAATGCCACCAGGACGGCGATATATGAGGTGGAGGGCTTCGACTGTGTTGAAAATGACTGAGTCTGGTTTGTAGCGAATAACATCGCCTAGTTTTCTCCACTTATGGTAAGTCAGAAAACTCAGAGCCAGAGATGAATAATTTTATGCTTTGACTTACCATAACGTTGGTGACAAGCCCATATGTCTAAATGAATGTCTCCTTTCCAGCCATGGTAGGCCGCGTACAAGGTGGTAAATTTCGCCAGAAAGGGCCCAGGGTATTTAGCCAGTGGATGAAAATGAAGTGTGTAAATAATCTGCTTTGTTAGTTATATTTTGATTCTACTTTGAATCTGGATTTTCAAGAAGATGCTTACCCAGCATAAAAATGGGATTCCAAAAACCCCACTGACGAGCGGGAACAGATAGCTCGGATAATACATGTTGACAACACTGCTTCGTAAGATTCGATACTTTTCGCCAACAGGCTCTTTTTATTGTTAATAGCTGGAATGATGATGTTCAGCTCCCCGATATTTCGGCCTGTTACTATCCTTTCGGCTCTTTGGCTTTGCCTGTAAGCAAAGGAGATAGTCGCCGACCTATTAGGTTGCGCTTCACATTCTTGCATTAATCTTATATGCCAATGCGGCTTGATGTTTAAATTACGAGTTCTTGATGGTGAGAAATTTTTTGTACTGATCAATTTATTCACAATTTGAAAATGCAAACATATACGCGCGCCGAGGAGGAGCTTACCGCGATTCTTGTTACAGAGCTACTAGCGTGAGTGCCCACATGGATACAACCAGAGCCCTGAATTTACTTGCAATCTTTGCTGAATACAATCTACTCTAGCTATCAATTTTGCTCCCCAGTACAATGGTATTTACTTCTCTCTCCAAAATATTTGCCTCCGTCTTAACGTTCGCAGGATTTCAACACAAGAGTCCATTTTGCGCGGGGCTCAGCCTGCGGAGCGTGTAATAGAAATTGGCCCAGGGGAGACTCTGTTAAACATGGCTAAGAAGACATTGGATATTTCATGTAGTGTCCAAGACCTTGTTGCCGGTCGTACCCGGCAGCTTCTCAGCTATGCAAAGAACGCAGAGGAGATTCAATACTCGGTGCAGTCTCCATCGGACGCTGATATTCCTACAAACAGTCATGCTTCTTCATCAGCAGAATCAACACAGTTATCTGTTGCGGTCCCAACCGCATTTTTGGCTCCAGCACCCACCACAGGACCCCTTAAGATCGAAGACATACCATTGAATGCATCCGATGCCCTGCGCACAATTGTCTGTACTGGTCTGAAAAAACAGTCGGATCAGATTTCATTCACAGAAACGATTAAACGTTTATGCGGAGGTAAGAACCTCAACTATAATGCAATAGTCCTTGCTAAGCAGATAATTCAGGTCGTTCGCCTTTGGAGAATGAGATAGTGGGCGACTTGACAGTGGAATTTGGGAATCTTCCAGATCAGCCAGAGGATCTGACGTTGTCTCAGCTAGCGGTTACACTCAACGAGAGCCAACAAGTCAGAGTATTGGGTGCATGGAGCAACTCGAGAATCGGAAGATTCGCCACTTCCAAGCTGTCCGCAGGCTCAAGTATCTCGTCGTTGCGACGGTACCTATCTAGCCGCTGGGGGCTGGGCCAAGGGTTACAGGATAGAGTATTGCTCGCGTCTCTATTGAATCAGCCCTCGGCCCGTCATTTGGACGAGACTGCAACACAAGGATTTCTAGACGACATGACAAGAAAGGTTTTAGCCGCCCACAAAATCAACTATGAAGCAAGCTCTACAGGAGCCATAAGCCAGCCTGCTGGTGCTGCTAATATCTCACCTGAAATTCTTCTCGCCCTTCAAAAAGACAGTATTGCACATGACGAACGCTTGTTGGATGTGTATGCACGCCGCTGTAACCGGGATCTCGATGACTCTTCCGAGTCATTAGCAACTATCAAGAAAGAGATGAGCAGAATCCAAAGCCAATTGGACTTGTGGGTAGAGGAGCACGGGCAATTCTATGGCGATAATCTAGGTCCGAAGTTCGACCCACTCAAAGTCCGCACGTTTGACTCCTCCTGGAACTGGGTTCTCCAAGATTTCATGGTGTGGGAATCATCCTGGAAAAACAGCAACGGGTGTGAAATAGCGACCGCGACCGATCGTGATCTCCAATATCTCGGCTTTCAAACAAGAGCCACTTCCCGTTTGCTGCAGACAATTGATTTTATTCGAAATCGATCTGCTCAAGATAAAGTCCAGATGGAGCAACTGGAGAGAATTCGTGAATTCGTGTCTGAGGGAATCAAAAAGCCCCCCTACATTTCACTGTTCATCAGAGTTGATCAAGTCCTTTGAAAACACGGACTATTCAAAGAAAGGCGTTCATCTCAACTTTGAATTACTGCTGGAAGGTGACGATAGCTACTTCAAAGAGGCCGTATTCGAGCAGAATCCTACTCCATCAAATTCGGACACCAGCACCCCTGGGGAACCAAGCGATGGAATCATCAACACTCCGCTGAGCACTATCTCGTCGAGGAATGAGGACTTGACTGACCAGGCTATGAAATTCGGACCTCGGAATCATGCCCTCGAACCAACGATCAAGACAAAAGGACAAAGTGGTTGGTCATGCAATGCAAGTATTACTGCTGATTTCCACTCTTGGGTAAAAAAGTCATCTATCGATGGGACCTCTTTCGAAGGACAAACAGTTCTGGTGACTGGTGCTGGAAAAGGTTCGATTGGACAAGAGTTGATTCGCTTCCTGATTACTGCTGGTGCGCGAGTACTAGTTACCACAAGCTCATATTCCACCGAAGTGACAAACTCCTGGCAAGCACTTTACGCGAAGCACGGAGGTCGCGGGTCCAAACTATCAGTCCTCCCTTTCAACGCCGGAAGTAAAAAGGATACCACATCGGTTGTGGAGTACATTTTCAACGACCTGGGCTTGGACCTTGATATTGTAGTACCGTTTGCTGCAATCAAAGAAACGGGCCGGGGGATTGACAACATCGACTCACGATCCGAGATGGCCCACCGGGCAATGTTGACCAACACAATCAGACTCCTAGGTGCGATTAAAACGCAGAAAGAGAATCGGCGGATTTTTTCAAACCCAACGCAAGTCATTCTACCGCTATCACCAAACCATGGAATATTTGGGAACGACGGCCTTTATGCTGAGAGCAAGCTGGGACTAGAGTCTCTTCTCAACAAGCATCAATCCGAGGACTGGCAAATGTACCTCAGCGTCTGTGGAGTAGTAATTGGCTGGACCCGTGGAACTGGGCTGATGGCTTCGAATGACATCTTCGCTAAAGAGATTGACCAACGCGGAGATATGAGAACATTCTCCACCTCTGAGATGGCGAGCTACATAGCCTGTCTCATGACAGGGCCAGTGCATACTCTTTGCCAGATGGAACCACTACTTGCGGATATATCAGGTAATATGTCCTCGCATCCAGACCTGAAAGGACTTTTGAATCAGATCCGAGCCGAGCAAGACGAATCGAAAAAGGTGGCAGTTATTCGAGCATGGGATCAAGAGTCGGAGTCTGTCGAACAGAAAACAATCAAACCAACTTTTCGACCACGCCCAATGATGGTCATTGATAATTATAAGCTCCCGGATGACGAGAAAGAGGTTCTTCCATTACGGAAAGAGCTCGAAGGCATTGTCGATCTGGATCATGCTGTGGTCATTGTTGGCTTTGGAGAAGTTGGTGAGTGACGGGCTTCATGAACTCCACGCACCCAAATCCCTTTCCAAATCTTGAGAAACTTCACTTACGATATTTCAGGTCCCTTTGGCAGCAGTCGAACACGATGGGAGATTGAGGCGGTTGGAAAACTGTCTATCCAGGGATGTGTAGAGATGGCCTGGCAGATGGGTCTCATTCAGTACCACAACGGAGTATTGAAAGGCGTTACGTACTGTGGATGGGTCGATAAACAGTCCGGGGCTCCCATTGCCGACTTTGATGTGAAAGAAAAATACGAGGAGTATATCATCAACCACACTGGACTGCGCTTCTGGGAGCCACAAGGCGATGAGTCGGCAGGCGCCTCTCAACAATCCGTTCTTCATGAAGTTCACGTCACCGAGGACCTTCCCCCTTTCGAAGTCACGCTCGAGACAGCAGAGGATTTGCAAAGACAGCACGGAAACAAGGTGGATATATTCGGCCGAGATGGCGAGACATTTGCTCGGCTCAGGGCGGGCGCGACACTTTTGATCCCCAAGGGAGCCAAACTAGATGTTGGAGTCGGGGGTCAAATTCCAAAAGGCTGGGATTCCAGTGCCTATGGTATTTCCGACGAAATCATCAGCCAGGTTGACCCAGTAACACTCTGGACAATTGTTTCGACCGTGGAAGCGCTGCTTTCGGCAGGTATTACTGATTTCTATGAGCTGTATCAACACATCCATGTTTCCGAAGTCGGGATCTGCGTAGGAGCCGGTATGGGGGCAGCGGAGTCTATTCAGAAGATGTGGAAGGGGCGTTACACGGACCAGCCCGTTCAGAAAGACATATTGGCTGAGACTTTCATCAACACAACAGGCGCATGGGTGAATATGCTGTTACTGGGTGCATCGGGGCCGATACGAACACCGGTGGGCGCATGCGCGACAGCCCTGGAGTCGGTTGACACAGGATATGATCTTATAACGACAGGAAAAGCGAAATTGTGTCTGGTTGGAGGATTTGACGCGCTACAGATTGAGACTGCGGCGGAGTTTCGAAATATGCAAGCAACAGTCAACGCCACCCAGGAATCGGCTGCTGGACGAGAGCCTCGAGAAATGTCCCGACCCATGACTTCTTCGCGTGCAGGCTTTGTGGAATCAGAAGGCAGCGGGGTGCAAGTCATGACAACAGCGCGGTTGGCCTTGGATATGGGCCTTCCCATTCATGGCATAGTTGCTTTGTCCCATACAGCCAGTGACAAAATTGGACGCTCTGTGCCTGCTCCAGGCGAAGGACTCCTAACTGTGGTTGCTGAAACGCCTTCCAAGTTCCCGTCTCCCATGCTCAAAACCGCGTATCGTCGGCGGAATATTGTGTTGAGGAATTCCCAAATCCAGGAGAAAAGAACAGAAGATTTGGCTTGGCTGGATCAAAATGCTAGTGGATATGACACGGAAAGCGTGGATGCTATGAGATCTGAGATCGAGATGGAGGCAGAGCGAGCCCAAAAAGAGGTTCTTCGTACATATGGAAACCGTGTCTGGGAGAACGACGAGCGAATATCGCCACTTCGTGGAGCGTTAGCGGTCTGGGGGTTGACGGTAGATGATCTCGACTTTGCGTCTCTGCATGGGACCTCGACTGTTAAAAATGATTTGAACGAGACAAATGTCATCCAGCAACAAAATGCGCAATTGGGTCGAGCACCAGGGAATCTTTTACCTTGTGTCTGTCAGAAATGGCTGACTGGGCATGGAAAAGGGGCTGCAGGTAAATCTTGATTCCAAGCCGATGCAAGGAGAACAAACTGACGACATATAGCTGCGTTTGCCCTCAACGGCTGTCTGCAGGTGCTTTCCAGCGGGCAAATCCCGGGAAATCGCAACGCGGACAACATCGACCAGCAACTTGATGCGTCCAACTATTTGGTGTTTCCGAACCGTACCATTGTTGCTACCAAGCCCTTGAAAGCATTTACAGTCACCTCATTCGGATTCGGACAGAAGAATGCCCAAGTTATAGGCGTGCACCCTCGATATTTGTTTGCAGCCATCTCTACGGATGAATACAGAGAGTACCAGGGGAAGGTCAATGCCCGTCGGCGACGCGCATTTCGACATTTCCAGGATGGCTTATACGGCGGCAAGCTAGTGCAGCTTAAAGATAACTCACCATATGCGGATTCCGACACCGCGAAATTCTTGATGGACAGCAAGGGGCGGGCCTCGGAGAAGGAACACCAGCAACATTAACTATTAGATTAAAGTCTTCCTAGTCCGGTTTTGTAATTAGCCTTGCTTGTGTTAAATCATAATTCAAGTTTCTATCTCCGTCTCGGATTTATTTTATAGTTTTTGATTTTGTACTAGTAATAGTAGCATCATCATTTTTGCTATCGAAATACATCAGTTCGTAACAGAGAAGTAGTTGGAGTTCATCTACGCACATTGCAGAATCCCTCCCATGACGCACGACTCGGAGTTCATGACCTCAAAGGGTGAGTATACCTAGCAGTAGCTATAGAATCTGTCTTCTATGGTTTTTCTTTTCCTTTTGTTTTTTAAAAAAAAACTGTCAACCTTGCAAGGAGAGACTCAAGTAGCCCAGATTGCCTTCCCTGTTCACATGGCTTGTTGCCTACTATGTAGATAGATCTAGTAGTTCACATGTATCCACCACTTTCATAACCTGAGCTTCTAACAAGTACTTGTAAATCGATGATCTTCAATTTATCATTCGGTGTCAATGTTCGGACTCGGCGAATTAGTGAATGTCGGCCTAAGACTCGGCCCTGACCCTAGTGGACTGACTAGCTCAACTAGTAACCGGCCCCACGCGGCGGCATTCAACAGCTCGGCCGCTTCGGCCGCCTCGGCCGCGCATAATCCACGCACCCATTCTATAAAATTGCATTTGAAGGCGTCAAATTTAACGATTGGATAATTCAGCCACGTGATATTTTCAGTCCACTCCGATCAACCCTGGCACGAAGAAAACGAAATTAACCGCAAACATGGAAACCGACTCCGAGCGCAGTGCAGAGTTAAAGGAAACGTCAACAATTAAGGACGGAGGACCCGAGCAAGCAAAAGTACCGGAGGAAGGTCTCAAAGCATGGCTTTGTGTACTTGGGGGATTTTTCTGCCAGTTTTGCTCATTCGGATTTCTAAACGCGTTGGTCATTGCGAAAGAAAACAATATCGAAAAATTGTCTAACTTGGTTCTACTAGGTGTGGTATTTTCCAGTTATACTACGAGGAACACACTCTTTCCAACTATGCCCAGTCAACTATATCATGGGTCATCACGGTGCAGATCTTCCTCATGTTTTCTCTCGGGTTGATTAATGGCGTTCTGGTGGACATCGTGGGCCCGCGTAAAGTGCTTCTCCCTGCGTCTTTCTTCGCTCTGCTGGGAATTTTCATGTTGAGCTTGAGCACGAAATTCTGGCACATCATGTTGACGCAGGGGATTGTATACGGACTTGGTGCTTCTGGGCTATTTTTGCCGCCCATGATTTGTGTTGGTCGATGGTTCACGAAACGTCGAGGATTGGCTACTGGTATCGTGGCTAGTGGTAGTAGTGTTGGTTCGTGGCTCGACCCAATCTTGAACACCAGTATACACTGAGTATTGCCTGAATATGAGCTAACTGTGTTTGCCAAAAGGTGGTGTGATATTCCCAATTATGGTATCTCGTCTCATAGAACAAGTCGGATTTCCAAGTGCGCTTCGTTACATCGGTCTTTTGATGGCTATCTGCCTCATCATCGCGAATCTCTGTGTCTCCTCGCCCTTTCCTCCAGAGGGTCGCGCGAAACGCAAATCCGCTGGTATCGAGGCATTCAAAGATACCCCGTTTCTACTATTCTGCGCCGGGTGTTTCTTCATGCTGTGAGTCGAGCACCCCAATCGTTCCCTTTCGCTTGATTGGCCTTGTGTAATTATTTAATCTTTACTAACAAATCGCCTTCACAATAGCTGGGGTCTATTCGCTCCGTTCAACTACCTACCGACAATGGGCGTTTCCACAGGAATGTCGCAAAACATGGCGGTTTACACCATCTCAATTATCAAGTAAGTAAATGACTACCATCATCAACCTGGAATAGCCTTGTTGACATATGATATCTACAGTGCTGCCTCAGTCTTTGGCAGAATTCTCCCAGGCTTCGTCGCAGACCGTATTGGCCATCTCAACGTCATGGTTTTCATTGCCTTCTTGTCCGGCCTTTCAATTCTGGTCTATTGGCTACCCGTCACTTTTTACCCGTCCACTGGTGCTATTATCGGATTTGCCGTCCTGTACGGGCTAGCGAGTGGTGGATTCGTCAGTCTGATGACCCCGTGCGTGGTCGTGTTGTGCGATGGTAAAGTCGAGGAATTGGGGCCTAAGCTGGGTGCTTTCATGTTCATCATTGCTATTGCGTATGTGCTACTCTTAGCCTCATCCCTATATCAAATAATTGGAACAAACATACTAACAGCTATTCAGGGCTCTGACTGGATTACCCATGCTTGGAGCAATCGCGGACTCTGCCTCGATTGGGTATAAAGGCCTGGTTGCATTTGCCGGTGCTGTAATGACATTTGGCGGCGTTCTCGTCACGTTAACAAGGATGAAGAAGGGCGGTCTCCGAATGGCGAAGGTGTAAAACAGCCTGAGCGCAAGGTAAAAAGGACCATATTGGATGCGGATAGATAATTCCAGCCAGATAGATGGCTAGTTGAACTGAACTGTACAATAGGTATATAAACACCCAAAATTGCCAGTGATCCCATTAAAATACAATAGAGACTACCTTCTCCTTCAAGCCTCTAACCAGGTCGCCGTAAACTGGCATGATCTACCTCTGTCTAGCACAAAATTGAACACAATCCGAGCCTAACTCCAGCTCTGCCCTAATTCATCCCCATGACCCGGCCACTCAACAAACTCCATCCTCTCAAAAACCTCCCCCTCCGGTCCATCCGGTCTCATAAGCAAAAGCAAACTAACACCCTCCCCATCCTTCACATCCGCCGAACACTGCAACGGCTCAACAACCCTCCACCCATTCTGAACAAATCGCTCCGCAACAGGTAAATGCGACACAGGACCCTCCTCAATCTCCATAATCCTAATCGCACTAGCCGCATGCCGCCGATTCTCCCACCCACCCTGACAACTCGGAAACTGTAATATAGCCCGTATAGCCCGGCGGCGGAGCAGCGGGTCCCGGCATTTATACGCGGTCCAGTAGAGGGATGGTGTTACGGGTGCTTCCATAGCGAATCGTCTGCGGAATGGGAGGGAGCTGTCACCCCCGGCATTCGTAACCGGAGTCGAGCCAGAGCTAGAACTGGAACTGAAGCTAGAGCTAGAGCTAGAGCCCGAGAACGAAGACGAAGGCGAAGGCGAACTCCCGCTCCCATCATCCCCACTCAACCTAATAATTTCCTCCGCACACTCGACGATCTTCAAATAATCAGCCCAATGCCCATCATACTCCGTCTCATAGCGCGCATTACAATTACACAGCCAGAAATAAGAGACATGGTACTCGATCAGCAGGGTGAGCGGAGCGCGCGGGTCACGAATACCCACCTCCTTCGCCGGTCTAGCCATCATTTTTTCGAAAGCGTGGTGCCAGGCGTGGAAATTGGTTATGAGGCGTTTTTTGCGCGCTTGATGCTCTGGTGAGTGCGGGACTGGCGGGACAGTCAATATGAAGCCGATTTCGTGGAGGAGGGATAAGGCACGGAGTTTGATGCTTGTTATGCAGTCTCGGGCTTGGGAGAGGGTTTCGAAAACTAGGGTTGGTGTATCGTCGTCGTCGTCGTGAGTGTAGTCCTTGGTGAAGAAGGGTTGGGCTGTTGGGTCTTCGGGGGGGAATTTCAAGGAACTGTTGTTGGCGGCCTGAGAGGCTGATTTGCAGGTTCATTCTGTAGAAGAATTGAGAGAGTTCGCGTTCGAATTCATGGGCTGGTTGCTTTGACTTTGACTGATTTGAGGGGGATGTGTTCGCACGAAGTTTCGAGATGAGGATCTTAAGCCCGCCTTCGACGTGGTCCATTGCCCCGTTCTGATTCGAGCGTAGCATTTCCAGACATGAGAAGAGAGCGCAGGTCATGAGCATGACGTCAAAATCCGAGGCCCGGGCAGTCTGAATCTGCTCTTGTAATAACTGAATAGCCTTATTATATTGCTGTAAAGCAAAGCCTTCGTTGACATTCTCGCCCGGGGCGCGGAGGGCATATTGCTCGTAAGCAGCACCGACTGCTGCAGCTGCATGGCGCATTGTAGAATTATGATGGCTCATTTGAGGCAGGAAGCGATTCCAGAAATCTGAAGGGAAAAATCCCGACAGGGCATCCGTGGCTTCGGCACAGAAGAAGTGGACATATTGGCGCTCCTGCCGAGTACCAGGGATCAAGACGATACGGCTGTCGGAACTAATAGAGGATTTTTCCGGCACGACTGGTGCGTATGATGACTTAGTGATGTTTGCATGGAGTTCCTTTTGCGAGGCGCTGGAGTATCCGTCGCATTTGCGGCCGGTGGTGGTGCATTGCTTGCACTCGGGCTTTTCTTCCCCGCATTTTACGTGGCGGATTCTGGGAAGGTCAGTGAGATCTGAAGGAGGAGGATATTTTGCCCAGCTGAGCTATTTCCCAGCTTACTTGCAGGTAATGCAGCCTTTTTTCGACTTGGGCCTGCCCGCTCGTCGATATTGCTGCATGGTGGGAAGGTCGACGGAGCGGTCAGCGTTGCGGCGTGAAGATCCCAAGATGATACTAGTAGATGACCAGGCCGTACTTGTTTAGTCAAAGAAGATGCGATGGAGATAACTTTCTTCCGGCTCTAGACCTGAGGTCTCAGGTCTCTTGGAGATACCCTAGGGTAGGGTAATTCTTCAGGATGCGGCTGTGAGGGTGCTTATGCTTGTTTTTGGCCCCCAAAGCTGACTCGACGTCAGCGAAGAAAAAACCAATGATCGACTGCGTTGAGCGTGAGCTGGCGAGGTAATTATTCTTGGCACGAATGTGACAAGCAGTGACTAGTAGCGATAGGTATACATATTGCATACTACTCACCGGGTTCAGGCTCGAATTGAAACCCAGCAGCACTGGCCGTCCTGGTGGCTGTTCAAGCCTACAGAGTTTGTTCTATAAATAGCTTTTTTCCAAAGACTAAAACTAAAAATATTACTAGCAAATCGTATGTATCTTCAAAATACCGCCTACGGTGACTTCAAGTCCAAGTTATTACCAGTGTTCATTCCAAAGTTCAAGGTAATTTTGCTAGTATCAACTCACATACAATCAACCCCCTCCGAAACTAACACTGATGCTATTTGAACTGCCCATTTTCAAATCCAACTCGGATAAAGTCGTAACAGAAGAAGTTAAATCAAGAGACCACTGGCAAATTAAGAAGATCTGAATCAAGACATATAGTCCCAAAATTATGACTACTAGCATTAATCCGAAGTATAAAAAGATCACAACAGCTCCGAGTCCAGCCACCAAGGGTATTCGAAAATCCAAATCTAAAACGTGAAAGAAAATGACCAATCAAAGATCAACAAGCCCATCCCCGTCCCCATCCCTGCCTCCCAACCAGAGACAGAGACAGACACGAGGCTGGATAGCCAGAACCAAAACCAAAACCGAAACCAAAAAAGGAAAGAAAGAAAGGGACATCATTCAAATTCATATCCATTTATCCTATCACGCAAGAGAGCGCTCTATATTCCTCGGCCCCGTCAATAAAGACGGGGGTATAGGCGACACAGCGCGGAAGACCTGCGCCTCATGCGCTCCCGGTCTCGGGGGCGGCGGAGGGGGAAGCGGAGGCGGGTGCTGATGCTGATGCTGATGCTGCGGACGCGCAAAACCGGGATGAGGATGAGGGTGAGGGTGAGAGAAATGGTGCGCAGCCGGTGGCATGGGATGACCAGCAGGGGACCCGGCGACAGCGAGACGATTGAAGTCTCCGGGTAGTTGGGCCTGGTATCGGTATTGGGGGTGGGAGTTAGGGTGAGGAGGGGTCGGGGTTGCGTAGGGCATTGGTCTTGGAGGCGGAGGGCCGGGGAGAGAGACGAGGGAGGCACCGAGGGTGCGGGCGATGTCGTCGAGGGTGACTTCCATTGGGGAGATGTAGGTTGTGTTTGTTTTGGCGGACCAGGCGAGGACGTGGCCGCAGACTCGGCCAGTTGATCTGTCGAAGACCCATGCGCCGGAATCGCCGGGGGCTGTTTTAAGAAGATGTTAGCTGATGGTTCTCTTTACTTGATTCCGTACGGGGGTGGTCTGGTTGGATGGGGCATGTTGATGGGGTATGTTGATAGATGGGGAGGCCTTCATCCGGCGTGGCGTGGTTATGGTTTACCAGCTTAACGGGAAGTGGGACAATAGAGCCAAGGCCATGAACAAAAACAGGACAAAGGGTATCTAATTAAGGATCGTATAGACATAGTCATGAATCTGCGGTGCCGCTCTTACCTCCAAAGTTCCCGTTGACGCAAAAGCTCGTCGAGAACGAGTGTCGTCCGTGCAGTTTTACCAGCGTCATTGCTTTAGATATCTGCCCGTTCTGAAGACCGCTTGTCCGGCCGCAGCAATGCACGGGCATGCCCCCGAGCTCCTCCATCCGAGTTACTTGACTGAGAAAGATTGGGGGAGGCTGAGGCATGCCCGGTCTCACCGGAAGCGCCGACGAGGTCTCGACAATGATGTTGCGAGGGTCCATCCTGGCCTCGTCTACTTTGATTAGAGCCCAGTCAATCTCGTGTTTGATGCCCTTTCGCGTCCAACGACGCACGCCCGAAGATGCATGCACATATCCCAAGGAGTGAGAAGCAAGATGCTCGTCATCGCGATCTTCGGGCGAAGGAAAAAAATCATCATGGACATCGTCGATAGCGGGCTGGGTCACGAGAAGACGGGGCTCTTCGCCGGGTTCAATACCGGCTGTATCACCAATTGACGCGGTATCGTCATCGTCATCGAAGCCGCCGTCAATTGATTCATCATCAGACGAATCGTCATCCGAAGACCAGAATTCTTCATCGGCACCTAAAGACAAGGAAGCGTCGTCGTCCTCTGCATCCGATATCTCGAATTCAAAAGAAGGAGAATCATCGGCATAGCTATACGAAGGATCCTGATGAGTGACAGGGATCGATGATGTTTGAGGCCAATTTCCAGCAGAGCGGGAGGGAGCATCAGGCTCATCATCTCCAAGACCTTCGTCGTCACTAGGCGCCTCAAGCATATGGTGAACTGTTAATCCATAGGGCTGCCCGTCGACGAGGACAGCACCACCATATGAGACAGGAGGCAAGTGTTCCTCGTTTTGGAAAGCACCAATCGAAGCACCACAGAGAGGTCTTTGTTGGTAGCAAGGGTTCAACTCTCGCTGGCGAAAGGGAATCTGGTTCGAACCGTTAGGCCGAGTTTTAGCAGGCTTGCGCTTCTTGTTGCGAGGGACCTTTGATCGCTCAATGTCTCCACGGAGGACAATCAGATCCCAGTCATCACGACCAAGAGGGAAATGCTTCTTCAAGGCCTGTCGAACTTTCTTGACGCTGCCACAGGTGACGCATATAGTCGTGCGGGCAGTCTCAGTCGACTCTCCAGTCATCATTAGAGTAACACCACAGGACTCGTTTGATTCCTTGAGGATCTTCTGTAGCAGTCGACTGAGCCGCGGCATCATCTGGAAGTTCCACTCTTGAAGATGTTCATCCGGTATCTCAAGATGGGGAAGTCTCTTCACCGTGCGCTTCTTAGCCGACTTCTCCATACTCTTCTCCTCTGCCATCCCGCCCCACTCACCTGCGGGGATGGTGGGTAGGGTTTTGTTTTTGCCAAAGCTAGCAGGAACGAAAGCGTTGGGCTGCATAGGAGCGGGGGCTGGCTCAGGGGTGGGGACAAGGGCCAGAGGTAGACAGTCATTTAATTCTTCTGCTGTGGGGGCTCCGAATATGTCGATCTGACAGCATGACCATAGAATCTTGGAGATCGTGTATTGGAAGTTCATCGAGAAAGAGAAAGTACCATCAGGGTCGGACAAATCAAGAACAGGATAATGGTATATCTGAGGGACGCGTAACCCGAGATCAGTCATTGGCTGCGTCGAAAGGTGGAAATTAGGCGCATCCAAACATAACTGGACAACCTGCAGATAAGCATTTCCACACTTCGGACCCAGCTTTTTGACGTATAGTTCCTCGACACGATGCTTGAACCATGAGCGATCGTACTTCAGCTTCCAGAGCTGCTTGACAGGTGCCCACAGGCCAATCTCCAGTAAGACCAGACCAAGAGAGTAGAGATCATAAGCCCATGCGGCATCATCCTCAAGAGATCTCTTGTCGTCTGGGTGACGGTACATCGCATTGGAGAGCGACTCCGGAGTCGGGCCATCATTGGAAAAGCGGGCCGGAGATGTCAGATAAGGACGTTGCATGTCGGGGGCGAGGCCACCTTCATCGTTGTTTGCCTCGGTCCGGCCGGGGAAGAAGATGACATTACTACTGTTGATGTTGCCATGGACGAAGTTCTGGCTTCTGAGGTGAAGTGTGGACATTAAGAGGTCGTAGGCCAGACGAAATCGAGTCTCCAGGTTGGGCATACGTTTATCGCGGTAGTTTTCCGCCGAGGGAAGCATGGCGATGAGAGGTACAGGCTTCAACTCTTTTAAAAGGTCACTGGGGTTTCGTAAAAAAGGGAAATAATCGACGGGCATCTGGTATAAAAAGGCGTAACGGGCATTAGGTTCATCAAGAGTGTAACCAATGAAGCGCAGAAGACCCAGGTGGGCAATTCGTGCATTCTGCAGCAACTGGTCGAGCGAATACTGTAGCTTTTCCAGACGAGAGTTGGTCGAGTCCATCTGTGAGTTGGCCATCACAGGCATGAACTCGACCAGCACTGAGACATGCGAGTCTTTAATAGAACCGAGAAGGTATGGGGATGCGGAGGTGTTAAGTCGACCAACGGCCCGGGAGTTCGACAATGCCGCAATTGGTTCATAGGGAGGCGGGCTATTATCGTGGGCAGTGCCGTATAATTGTAGGTCTGATCGGTCGATGACGAGAGGATTGGGAGGGACAAAGGGATTGTTATAGTCGTGACGTTGCGGAGTTGAAGGGGAATAGTTTACGTGGTCGTACATGGATTTCGGGCTCTGGACTTTTTCCTTGGATTCGGAGAATGAGCCGTGGGAGGCATCGTAGGGAGAGGTGGGGTTGGGTCGTGGTCGTCGTGCGCTGGCGCTGGTACTATGCTTGATCGAGGACATGCTGGAAGCCATTGTCCGCCGCGAGCTGGATAGGTCATAGAGGGTGTCGATACAGGAAGTGAGGTCACTGAGAATAGTTTTTGATCGAGTGATATCATCTTCCGTCCATTGTGCCTTGAGTGGTCGAGTACTGAGGGGAGCCTTTGACGGAAGGTCCATCTTATGTTCCTTTGAATGAAGGATTGGCGGGTCAATATGTTGTACTCGTTCGGCCTCGGCCAGGAGATCCTGAATAGAGGACATGACACTCTCGACAACATCGCTGAAGCCGGCGGCCGTGAGGGACTCGTCGATATCATTTGGCTGGGCGGCACTGGCGTCACTCCAATCCAAGCCCCACGAGAGCAAGCGATCCCGCTGTTTCTGGAAACTCTTGTGTAAGGCGACCAATTCGGGGTCGTCCAAGGCCTTGGAGGCAGTCGTTATGCTTTCGCAGGATGTTTTTGTATCGGTATACAGCTTTGTGAGGCGCCGCTGGAGGAAACCGCCCCCGCCTCCGCCGTGGCGCAAGACGGACATGTTGGAGCGATAGCGATTCGATAAGGGATCAGAGGCGACTTGAGTGGATTGGGATGGATGGGGATCGGATCGTATCGGGTATCTCAGTGAGGGAATTCAGAGGTCCATTGTTGGGAGTGTAGGAGGGAAGAAGCCATGAAGCAAAAGGAAAGAAGTCAAGAGAGTGAGAGGCAAAGGCAAAGGCAAAGCTGGAAGTGAGGGTGCCTGTTCCTTCCCAAGACAGTCACAGTCGTGCCTGCTCATTCGGGAATCCTGTTGCCTAACCAATCAGGAAGGAGCATCGCCGAAATAAGTGGGTCACGTGGACGAGTCAGGCAGCCGCGTTCTTACTAAATTTAGTGCCATAGTGTATACGCTCATACTCTGTATACAGAGTGCTAACAATGCTATACATGGATATGATGATATGATGATATCTATTGATCGTTCTAAATGTACAGATGCCCGGGGACTCTCACAAAGTCCCATATGCTAACAAACTACCGTGTCATAGTCATATGTTGCGCTTCTTTTCTTCTTTCTTTTCTTCTTGACTTCTTTGCATCATGACTTCATCTCACCCAGTGATCACTCGTCGCGATACTCCCACATCGCGCGCTCGCTTCTCACTGAAATTGTGTAATCGCTCGCCAATCAAGTAGACGTCGTCGCGGATGTTGATCCGCCAGAGCGCTACCCGACGACGAACGAGGTGGATAGTCCACGCGGCAAGCACCACTAACAGAGTCGCGGGGTAAGCATATCGATAAACGTGTGACTGCGCCTCGACTCGTGCGTAGAAAAGGGTCCATCGAAGAATTCCACCTAGCGTCAACGGAACGATAACCGCCGCCACAGTAAATAGCGATAACGGCAGGATGAGAGCGCGGGTCGCCAGCTGCACATTAGGTCGTAGCCAGCCGTCGCGGAAAATTCCGTTCATCACCGCTGCCGCCCAGGATCGTGGGTGCCACACTGTCAGTTTGATTGCCATCTGAACGTAAAGAACTCCCAGAGTCCAGTCCTGAATGACATGCACGACGTGTGACTGTCCGTCTCCGAGCAAGGTGTGGGCGGGAATCAAAATGTATAGCTCAGTAAGGAGCGCAAAGAGGGTCGGAAGTACCACCACCAAGGCGGTGGCGATATATGCAAGACGGGCAGCGTGCACAGACAGATTGCTGCAGGCCTCGATCAATTGTCCGGGAGACTGGAGGTAGGTGCCAGCGTTCTCTCGCAAGAATTGGATACCCTTGTGGCAGTAGTGAACAGTATATGCCAGACCGCCAACCACACACAGCCCACTCGAGAAAGCGTAAATATCGTTCACCGGGACAGGGCTTCCAAGGCAAATCGAGATAATCCGACGACCAATGACCAGCGGAATAATGGTGATGCCTACGCCGGTGGTCGCAGCAAACAGCCAGATGAGAAGAATAAAGGCTGCAATGCGAGTCCGGAACGATGGCGGGATGTAGGTCAAGGTGTATGATTCCCTGAAACGAGGGCGTTCACCATCCTCGGATTCCCACTCCCCCTCAGGACCCCATCTACCATCGGACATCTCCCAAAAAACGAGGTTGCCTTTCGGGATGCGAACCTGATCCGAAGCAGGAGCTCCCACAAATCGCCCGTCTCGCAGGAAGTAGGCATCGCGGTTTTCCTTCTCCGCAATAGCCTGTTGCTCCTCGCCGACGACGGGGTGTTCCCAGTCACCCTTGCTTCCGAGCAGGAGACCCCACCAGCTACGCAGGACATGCCGGCCCTCCTCCTCTCGGTGGCGATCAGTGAAAAGGAAGTTACTGAGACGCAGGAAGTGTGCGCACTTGTGGAACCACCAGTCATATAGCTCGTGCAACCCATCTGAAGGCTTGACAAACTGGATTGCCAGCGGCATGACGAAATTGTAGAAGAGTAGATCGACGGGAAACTCGAGCATGGGGGCACTGGCCGACCAATGGATTGGGAGGATTCCATCGAATGCGAAATGAAGGCCCCAAACGACCCCTCCGAGGCAGACGATAACCAAGGCGCCGTAGACAAGGGCACTGAACCCAATTTTGCGAAGCTGTGTAGTGATGGTGCGTTCTAGAACATCACGAATGGGGTGGAAGGTTGGGTCATCCGGATCACGAATGAAATCTAGAGACAGGTTAGAAGCTGTTGGCCACGAATATCTATCAAAGCATGAGCACACTTACAAAGAACGCCACTTCTCAGGATCTTTCGGCACATGGACACAAAGAGTGCGAAGTGAAACATATAGCACGTGCCAACGAACCAGTGAACGAAGAGGGAAGTAAGCGGGGAGGCGATGGTGAATGCAATGCGGGAGGAAATTGTCGCATTAGAAAATAGAGGGAGCAGCGCGATGTCAAGGAGGGTGCCGCAGTATAAAGGAAAGACGATCATCTCAATGCCAATGATAAGGATGACCTTCATCACGCCTCCGGCTTGTAGCAAGACCTCAGCAACCATGCCCTCGATTCGCTGACCTCGATTTGTCCCTGCTAGCAGGCCCGTGACCCGAAGATAAAGGAATCCCATCATACTAGCCAGTAGGTAGCCCATTGATATGGCAATGATGCGGTCTTTGGTGTCCCACACTGCAAGGTCATAATCAACAGGTAGCTTCGCGGACGCCGCATTGACTGCGTCGGCATTGAGTAACTTCGCGCCAGGGGCGGAAAACATGATTGACTTCGTGAAGTTGCCGACTTGGCCCTGTAGCTGAACTACGGCCTGCTGTATTTGCGTGAAGTCAAAGTCAAATGATAAAGCACCTGGAACGCCTAGGGTGACCAGACGTAATGGGAAATCGTGCAAGACAAATTTCACCACGTCATACACGGAATGAACCAATGTAGAGAGTCGAGCCTGGTGTAGCTTCAACGCCTGGTGGGAAATCACAGAAAACATGGGAATATCGGAGTCGTGGAAGACAAGGAATGCTTTCATCACCTTGTTGAGGCGATTGGTACTGGCATCAATCAGGGTCAGAGAAGCGCTAGTGACGGATTTACCTCGCGGGATCCATTCCCCAAGCGGAACTAGCGCCCCGAGGGGGCTCAACAGCACCTTGAAAATGAAGCTGAACCAATACATCAGGTAGCCAAGTACCCCAATCAGGGTGTCCAAAGCGATATCCGCGACAACGGAGATGGCAGTCATAGGAACACCGACAATAAGCTCTAGAGGGTTAGCCAGCAATACCAAGGCGATTTTACCCCAAAGGTAAGGAAGCCAGATCCCAATGGCCACAGTGAAAGCGATGAGAAGTGCGCAAAAGACTCCGTTTTGCAAAAGTCCAAAGATAGGTCCTTGCATGCCAATGAGATCCATGATCCCCTCAAAGTCATCGCCTTCGATGGCATCCATATCATTAGGATCGAGGCCAGGATCACCCGCCGGAGCGCCTCCGCCGGGAGGTCCATCATCCACTGGATCCTGCACTCTGTTGTTCATAACGGGTACGAATGGATCTTCCAAGGCAGGGTCCTGAATAATTTGCTCATCATCTTCTGGTACCGCCTCGTCAAGGTCTGTGTCATCAAGCGTAACGTCACCCCAGAACCAGTTTACGAGTCTCTCAGAAATTCCAGTTGGTGGTTGATGGTTTTCCAGTTGGCCAATAGTCGGCGCGGTTTGTCCATTTGCTGGGGTTTCGCTTGCTGGGTTCGGATCGTTGGGGAAGTCTTCAGGTTGGGCCGGCAATTCGGCAATGGGGCCAGTTGGCGCAGGGAGAGGGTTGTGTGCTCGCATAGCATCTTCTGCATTGGGAGCATTTGCATGATCTTGATCGCGTAATTCATTCATGCCCAATCCCTGAAGAAGCTCTGGAATGCTCATCGGTCGGTCTGCATGTTCTTGCTCCTGGAAGGCTCGGAACATTGCATCTCGGTCACCCGGCCAGTTGGCTACGACATTTTCGTACAATGCCCGCCGCTGATGCGGGGCGTCGGGATCGTCGGCAAGCTCATCTTCAAAAGCAAATCGATTGTTAGGTCCAGCATGTCGTTCGAGGATGGGTTGTCCATCATCAGAATCTGTTAAAGATGGAGCAGGTGAATGATTGCCAAATCGAAGGGGAATATCGTCATCAGCTTCTTGGGCTTGGTGATCGTTTTGGAGACCACCAAAGTCAACGTTCGGATGAGCGGGAGCAAAATCTAGTGGTTGTATCTGTTGTCGCTGTTGTTCCTCGGGCCGGTCGTTCGCAATAAGCCGTAGAGCTGCCTCACGTTCCCCCTCTGCAATGTTTGCCATTGGCTGTTGCTGTACTACCCACTCTCGGATCAGGAAAAGTAGTATGAATGCAATTACGACCAATAGAGTGATGAGCTGCCCTTCGAGGGTATCGATGATCATGTTATTGATTGTCGGATAGGGTGTCAATGTGTTCAGGAACTTCACGTCGGAAAGCCAGGACGGATATCGAGCCTTTGGCGAAACGAGTGTACTGTTCGAATTCGAGCCGTTCTGGCCGGTGCCACCAGTTAATGCGGGTATGAAGAGACTGGGGATGATTTTTTTGATGAGCGTAAGCATCAGTGGATCCCCGGTGGAGGGTACTACTGTTGCGGCGGACGGCATAGCACTAGAAGCTCCTGAAGTGGCCGAGTTGAGCGCAGTCGCAGCAGCGGCAGTACCATTGGATAATAACTGCGTACCAGCTGTTTGGGCAGCATGTGCTGCCCGCTGCTGGGCGGCGGCTCCCGTGGCGGACCAGTGACCATCTGCTAGCCAGAACAATGCTCGCCAGATTGCCCGCATGGACCACGGTAGCCATCCTAGCCAAACGAAGGCCACGAGGACGAATCGCATCCAAGTGACGAGGGTGTGGAAACACTGTATAACGGCCTGCTTGATGAAGAGCGGTGTCGGGAGGCTCTGAGGCATGTTCGGGTCGTATAGTTTGGTAAAGCGAAATGGCGTTTTGCAAAGCTCACAGTGCTTCTTTTGTGAATGTGCAAGCCATTCTACCAGACAGCTTTGATGGACGAACTTGATACTTCCACTGCACTTGCAAGGATAGAATAGCGGCTCCTCCGGAGTACCTTCTCCATGGCAGATCCGACAAGTGTCCACGTCTTCCAGTCCCCTCTCCCTCTCATCTAAAGCCGGATCATTCATCAAATCGGGAAAGGGTGTTGCACCTGAAGTGAGGCGATCTGAATCGGGGAAATCCATATCGTGTGGTAGTCGCGTCGAATCGAGTTGAGTGGAATTGGAAGTGGTCAACACGACCTGGTTCAAATAGGCATCATATCCTTCTCGGCCATGCACAGTGGTGGGGGTCTGTCGAGGGGGGGGAAGTTGGGGTCTGGTGGGAGTTTCCCCAGTTGCAGCCAGGCAGCTTGTGCTCGGTAGATCGTAGATCGTAGTTCGTAGTTTGTGTAGTTGTTCTTGTTCACTTTTGTTCTTGTGGTTGCCCGAGTCGGGCCTGCCGCGGATCCACGGATGAGTCAGCGTTATGTATTGGTATTACAATAATACACCCACTAAGTTGCTCCTTGATCGTGCCAGGTATTGTAATACGTTAACACCGTGCAACAACGATGAGATGACCTCACTGTTCAGCTAGCTCTCTTACTAACTCAGCCTCTTTTCAGTCCTACAGGGTACCTTAAGATATCAAGACTATGACTCCACTTGTTACTATCTAACCAACCATCTCGTCTCAGGCTGTTTTACAGTATCACAGACTCTCAGAACCACATCAGTTACAATCGGTATTTCGACCGCTTCACTGCTATTGCTGAATCTGATATCATACCACTGCTTTCTGCCAGTGACCGCCTTGTCTGCTGCTGCTGCTCTCTTTACAATACTTGAGCCCAGCTTCCTTTCCCCTTGCTGCGTAGGAGGCGCGACTTTTTTTTACTGACCTGGCTCTTTTCCCTTGATTCGATTCGCCTTTTAAATTGATGTTCGGGTATAAACCTGCTTTTTGACTTGGTAACCCACCTGCTTTGCGATCTGACCGCGGCCCGTGAATCTCGCCAAGACAACGCGAACATTCCCAGAGCTCTCCCTCTTCTAGCTCTTCCAGCTTCTAGCTTCCACCAGCCACTTGCCTCCCAGGCTAACTCTAAGACTCGATGAATCAATAAACTCTTCCATCTATACCTCTTTCAGTCTCTCAACCCTTTTCGACTGGCGTGACTCGCAAGCTGGCAAGTCCGCGGTCCATCCTCGCAACTTTTCTCTTACCAGTTGTCTCGACCTGACTCAACTCGACTATAACAGCCAGGATGGTGGTCCAAGAGAATGGCTACGCGCCAGACACGATCATCAAGCAGGAGGAGAGAACAACACCCCGTCCCTCCTCCGTGAAGTCGAGAAGTCCGATTCGGTGGACAGTCGGAGTAATTGTACGGTAGGTTACATATCTGCTTTCCATTTGCCAGTGTTCCCATGCTCAAGATCCCCACTGACTCGTTGGCTGTCTCTAGCTTATTCATTTGGTATACGCTGCTCACCCCCTTTTTCCGATGCCCGTCGCGTCTCGCCGACTTAACCGACACCTCGCCGCAAGTCTGCAAGCCTTATCTGATTGCTCGGTCGCACGTGGATCCTTATGTCACACCATATTACGACACATACGCCGCACCATATGTTGACCAGGCCCGCCCCTATGTGGAGATTTTCAACGAGCAGGTTTATGCGCCTGCATCCAAGGTTGCGAAGTCCGGTTACGAAAAGTATGGAGCCCCCGCATGGCAGCAGGTTCAAGTCTATGGAGCCGCGCAATGGGACGCCCAGGTCACGCCCCGCTTGGAAGCCGCCCAGCAGAAAGCGTATCAACTATATGCGGCGGAGATAGATCCATATGTTCAACAAGGTGTCGCCGCGGTTTCGCCTTACTACCAAAAAGCCAGCAGTGTTGCGACCACCGTCTACTGGAATCACTTCGTGCCTTTCTATACTCGTTCCCAGCCCTTCATCGGCAAGACCTACACTGTTGGCCAGGATCTACTGATCACCCACGTCGTCCCTGGCGCTCAGTATACATGGTCCTCTGCAGTCTATTTCGCGAATAGCTCTTTATGGCCACATCTCACAGGTCTATACTCTGAGCAAGTTGAGCCCCAGCTTGTCAAGATTGGCCAGCGTCTGGCCAGCTACCGCGAAGGTAAACGCCTCCGGGCAGTCGTTGAAGATGTGGATAGCGCTTCCATGGAGAAGCCTGTCTCTTCGATCATTCCCAGCTCCCACGTACCGCTTCGCCCCTCAAACAGCGTGTCTACAACTACCACCGCAACTGTCACCACTACCAAGGAAACCCCGACTGTCCAGCCCACTCTTTCGCCAGAGGAAGTTGCCCAGGAAGCCCGCAAGCGGATTGACTCTGACCTCGAAAGATGGCAGGAAAAGTTTGCGCTCGCTGCCGACAGAGGAGTGGAGGATATGGAGCAGCGCATCGAGGAAATCGTCCAAGCTCTAATTGCTAGCAGTGCTAATAGCCACGGCCAAAGTCTCTCAACAGCTCTCCAGACTGTGGCGTCGGAGAAGGTTTCCTCCATAAAGCAACGGATCAATGACCTTGCGGCCTCACTACCTGAGGTAGATGCCCCTGAAGAGGAACAGGTCGCCCGTGACCAGCTTGTTACTGATATCCGTACCTCTGCCATCTCTGTTAGAGACCGCGCCCACACCCTCCGCGAGTGGTCGGTGTCCTTTGAGGAGGAGCTCCTGCGCAGGGTTTCCGCTGCAGTGGATTCGACTCTTGATGTCCTTGACAACATTCGCGACCTCGGCCTTCAAGAGATTGGTATGCGATGGGCCTGGATGGACAATGTTACCTATAAGGACTGGGCCAGATACCACGCTCTCAAGGCCCAGATCGACGACTGGCGCAATGAGATCCGAAAGATCGGCATGAATCACCAATCGGTCGCCAACGCGAAGGCTGTGGCCTCTGAAATCGTAGAGAGCGGCATGTATGTTGCCGAGGAGACTGCCAAAGAACTGATCAGATTGAAGGATGTCGGTCATTGGAAAATTGCCGCTCGGGAGGTTGGCGACAACTTTGAGAGTAGAACCGAGTCTCCTCCAGCCCTGCCTCAGCCACAAGTGGAGGAGCCCGAAGAGTCTGAGGACTCTGAGGAGGCCAAGAGTGGCGAGGCTGTCGAGGACATTCCCGAAACAGATGAATCGGCTCCTGGCACCGAGTCGGATGCCTCCATCGAAGATGACCAGGAGGATGTGACTGCTGATTCCAAGCCCGTTTCGACATTTGACGACGAGGTGACTGATGCAGAGGCGACTGAAGCGGAAGATGACGAGTCAACCTTGAATGATGATTATGAGAACCTACGAGCGTCCGGAAAACCAGCTTTTGGCGTTGCTGCCGCGAATGCCAATACCCGACGAGAGCCTATCATTGACCAGGATGATCAGGATGTTTTCCGTAACTTCGCCAGCAAAGCCGGTGATGTTTATGAAGATGCGAGCTCTGCTCTTGCAGACTCGACCTCCCAGGCAAGGGTGCTTTACGAAATCGCCAAGTCCCAGGTGATCGGACAAATGTCTCAATCCAGCGCTCCTGCGCATGAGCAGGTTCTTTCTTCCATCGAGTCCGCCTACTCTGGTGCGGTGGAATATGCTACCAAGGAGTTTGAGTCAAGGCTAGGTGGTGTTGCAGCTACTCCCACACCATCCGGACCCATCGCCCACATCTCATCCGTTGCCTCGTCGCGCCTCAGTGAGGGTCTCAGCCTCGCTTCCCAACAGCTCGCCCAGGTCCGTCAGGTTGAGCCCACCTCCACTTCCAACGGTGTTCAGCCATTTGTTCTGGATGCCCAGCGCCGCTACTATGAAGCTGTCGGTCTGGCTCACGATCACTACACTGCTTTCGTTTCAACAGCATCCGAGGCTGTCTATGGCACCCCGACCCCCACCCCTGCTCCTTTGGTATTCCAAGACATCATCGATGGGGCTGGATCCCAGTATTCACAGGCTTCTTCCCTTGCCTCTGCCAGTCTTGCTGCGGTAGTGGCTTCTGCAAGCTCCATCATCTCATCTGCTGATGACGGCAAGGCCCAGGGCATCATCGACGATGCTTCTTCCCGATATCACGCAGCTCTTTCCGCCGCTTCTTCCTCGCTATCTATTGCGTCTGCTTCTGCCAGCTCCGCCCTGTACGGTACCACTCCTGGAGCTCTCGAGTCCCTTTCCAGCCAGGCATCTGAGAATTGGGAAGGACTCGTGTCCAAGGCCAGTGAACAGATCTATGGTACACCAGAACCGTATTTCCAGCAGGTTGTTCCCCAGTTTGACGCCGTCAAGGACGTCATCTCCGAGCTTCTTGTTGGCAAGCAGCCTTCCTTCACCGAGAGCGTCTTGAGCAAACTCCGCGTTGCCTACGAGACCCCCTACCCAGCAGCTGCAGTGTCCTCTGTCTCCAGCTACGTGGGCGAAGTTTACGAATCCGCCTCCTCTGTCGCGGAGGCCTATGCCACCAATGTCCCCAGCGTGGAGGATGTAGTGGAACAGGCCAATGAACAATTAAGTGATGCCGTTGAGGCTGCAGCTAATGCCTACTCCACGGCTTCCAGCCACGTCAGCGAAGCCGTCTACGGAAAGGAGTCTGGCTATGTTGACGTTGCCAAGGATGCCATCGAGGACATCCAGTCCAAGGCCAGCGCCGCAATCTACGGCGAAGAGCCCGGCGTTGTGGAGAGCGCGACTAGCCGCATTGCCGAAGCTGTGCAGCATGCTCAGTCCCAGGTCGCGGGCATTGCTTCCAGCGCCAGCAGCGCTGCTTCAGACGCGGCCGAGACCGTCGTATCCCACATCGAGGATACCACTAGTAGCATCAAGGCTGCGGCTTCTTCTAGCAAAGATGAGCTGTGATCCAATCTTCTTAAGCTTTGATTTACTTCGTTTTCGCCACGCATGATCCGGTTGGACAGGCTTCATGAGTGGCGGGTTTTTTGATGTTTCTTCGTTTCGTTTCTCACCCTTCCTCGCCCTGTCTTATCAATCCTCCGATCCCTTTTACTTCCCTCTTCTTTTACCATTCCAATCCCCGTTCCTGTTTCTGTTCCACCATGTCTCTGCAGCGTTGGAGGCTCTGCCAAAACTGGGGCTATTGACGATTTTATTCCCCATATAGTTTGTCACGACGGCAATATGTTCATGACCTATAAGATGCACATTGATGTTCAGTATTTTCTCAACCCTGTCTCCTTTGCTTTCCTTCCTTGCCTCTTAAGCTCGGCTTTCTCTATTTTGTTTTAACTAGTAGTTGGGTCGGCGGTTTCAAGTTTCCTTGTCGCGGTAGGCTGGGTACATAATACAATACTCTCACCATCTGATGCTGCTCTACTAGTAATTGAACCAATATCCAATACAACAGCCAGCCGCAGAAACCCTGTACATGGTACATTGTACATCCACTAATCATACAGCCATGAAACCAACCCAGCCCAATTCCAACAGCAAAGCAAAGCAAAGCAAAGCAACCTAAGCCCTCCCCCTCTTCATCCTATCCCCCCTCTTCTCCCTCTTAGCCTGAGTCTTACTCAACGGCACCTCACCCTCCCCCCTCCGCACCGGCCCCTCCACCCCCCATCCCCGCAAACCCCCTCTTAACCCCCATAACAGTCGAATAAGCCAAATAAACCGAATAAACAGGCACGACAACCCACAACCACCAAGCACGATCGTTAAACACGCAAACAGCCACAATACACCCTTGCGTCCAGTATAGCACGTCCCACATATACTCCGTCAAACCCGTAGCGTTCAGATCCTCGCCGGCGGACTTGAGGCTGCCATCGTCGGCGTGGCGGGGACGGCCGATGCGGTCGAGATAGTATTCAATTATTAGGGTTGGTAATCCGAGGAGGATGTAGGGTTTTAGGGAGCGGGGGCGTCCGATAAGGAAGTGGAGGACTAGGTAGAGGGTGTGTAGGGTGATGGAGATTAGGTGGGTGCGGGTTAGGAGGGCGGTGTTGCGGGCTGCCAGGCTTTTGGCGGCTTTCTGGGTGGGTGTTAGACATGGAGGTAATCGGGAGTGTGGGTTTCTGGAACTTACTTGGGCCATTGGAGCGGTTTGTGGAGGTTGAGGTTGAGTTGATATGAGTTGATATAGGTTGGAGTAGATCGTGGAGTGGGGTGGAGATCAAGATTATGTAAGATCTGATGCTGTGGTGTGTGTGTGCCCGATTCAAACCTGCATATGTATAGGAGAGTGCATAGAATGGGACACCTGTGGTATCGGCAGGGTGCAGTGTGGTGCGTGGTGCAATGCAGTGTGGAGAGAGCAATTGCAGTAGCTCTTTACCTTCAGGCTTGGGTAACCTTTAAGCTTAGGTAACGTTCGCTTACATAAGTCCGATTGTTGCCCACCACTACCCTGACCGCCTGGCAGAAAGACCGCCCAACCCAAATAGTCACCATTCACTGCAACAACGACGGGAACTGCATTGGATGATACTTCTCGAGATTCACCAAACTCCTCCTCATCCCACTCCTCCTTCCCTCTACACTATGATAATGACCTTCCAGTAACTCCTCTCGGGCATTTCTTCTCGCCCATCCTCCCGCCTTACCCATCGCCGTCTCTACCGCTCCTGCTCTTACCTTTTCCGGCTGGCGTTTACATTCCTGTCCGTTGGCGTCCGATCCGTTCGAGATCGCTGCACCTTTCGAGCTACCCTTCTCCCAGCAAAAGGTTTCGGAATCGCCAACTCCTGTCGAGAATCTCAGAGTTCAAGTCGAGAGGGTCTTGATGGACTATTTTTCTACGTCTTTGTCTTCGTCGATCTCGCGTTGTGTCCCCGCGTCTCGGACCCCATCGCCGCCGCCGTCGCCGTCTCTTAGACCCTTCGGTTTCTGATTCGACCAGATCCACCACTCAAAGAAACAATAACCTTTCAAATCCCCTCACCTCCTTTTTCGATCTCACCTCTCAATCCAAAATTGCGCAGCTCCTCACCCCATCTCTCCGCGTGGCGAGAATCGCGCGTTAAGATCCCCGTGCGCAAACCCCTTCAGCATGGCCCTCTCCACGGGCCATGTCGCCAGTCAGCTGCGACACATTATTTATTATCACATCGACAACAACCTAATCCGGAACGCCCTCTTTCTCGCCGAACGCCTGCACGCCTATGAACCCCGATCCTTCGAAGCGCAATACCTACTTTCCCTCTGTCACCTGCATAATGGAGAAATCAAGGCCGCCCTAGAATTCAGTCAGGCCTCAGGCTCGCGAGGCATGCATGCGGGATGTGCATATGTCTATGCGCAAGCTTGTTTGGATGTAGGGAAGTACTTGGACGGCGCGACGGCCCTGGAGCGCAGCAAAGCTCTCTGGGCGTCGAAGAATCACTGGAGTAGGTTCCTCGCCAGGGACTTCCTTATGGAGAAGCTCTTTGGCAGTCTGACTTCCCTTCGAGAATGGTGCTGACCACAACTTTAGACAAACACAGCGAAACCCAACGGCAACATCTTCCAGATGCCGCCGCGGTATACTGCCTGCTCGGAAAGCTATACCAAGCGCACAAGGACTTGAACAAGGCGGTTGATTGCTATGTGGACTCTTTAAAACTCAATCCCTTTATGTGGGATGCTTTTCTGGGGTTGTGTTCTACAGGTGCGCCTTGCGATTCTAGCATTTGGCACTGTCGTATATACTGACTTCTGACAGGCGTCAATATCCGAGTCCCAAATATCTTCCAGCTCAGTCCCGAACTTCTCGCCATCATTAATTCCGCCCCGGGCTCCGAGGAAATCCCTACAGATCTATTATCTCCAACGGGAGGCAGTCTCCCCGCACAGACAACTGGAAACGCGACTTCAGACCCTTTCATGGTCCCTAATTCCCGCGCCGAATCTGAAACCACTTATGGAAGTTCTGCTCTCTGGGAAAAGCTCAACGGGAGTTCAGTTACTGTCGCATCGGTACCGGCGCATGTTATTCATGAAGGCATGGAAACTCCAGGGAATCAAAGCAGTGGATCGGGCTCCGAGGAGTTTCGCATTGCGAACGGTGTTACTGATCCGGACTCCGCATGGGAGCCTCCGTTGGCTCCGGCAAGGAAAAACCGCACAATTCAAACGATGAGCTCAGATCACCCTGGTCACCCGCCTCCGAAGATGCGTCCTACCGGAATTCGACCAAGACCCCGGCCACGTACTGAGCCAGAGGAGCCAGCACTTGGTCCGGGAGATCGGGAACCACCACCTGCACCACGTTTCGGAGATCGTAAACGCACGGTATCTGGTCAAGTAGCTCACCCCGTATCTCAACAGCCTGTCGAACCTGGTGCTCCGCAGCGGCGGAGTGTTAGGCTCTTTAATCAAATCAAACCTACGACCAGCAAATTTTCAAGTGCCACCTTGGCCGGGCGAGATGGCCGTGAAGTGAAAAAGATCCGAGGCACAACGACGAAAGGACGCACGGGGACAGTTGGCCGTGTTGTTAGTGGCAACCGAAAGCCGATGGAGTCGTCCGACTATGATGGAAAGGAGCCGCGCGCGGCATCTGTGCCTGTGAGCTCTGGACCCCCACCCCTACCAAAGACAGCCGAAAGAACGAAGGAACTCGAGGCCCTGTACTGGCTTCTCGGCCTCTTCACAAAACTTGCATCAGGATACTTCTCGTTGAGTCGTTACAAATGCCCTGAAGCTGTCTCATACTTTAATACCCTTTCACAGGGCCAACGCGAGACCCCCTGGGTACTTGCTCAGCTTGGCCGTGCATACTTCGAGCAAGCAATGTATACAGAAGCTGCCAAGTATTTCTCCCGCGTTCAGGCACTGGCACCGACTCGACTCCAAGATATGGAGATTTACTCGACAGTGCTGTGGCACTTGAAGAGTGATGTCGAATTGGCATACCTATCCCATCAACTCCTGGAAGCGGACCGCCTGTCCCCTCAAGCATGGTGTGCCATTGGCAACTCCTTCTCCCACCAACGAGACCATGACCAAGCACTGAAATGCTTTAAACGAGCTACCATGCTGGATCCCGAATTCGCCTATGCTTTCACCCTGCAGGGCCACGAGTACGTTTCTAACGAAGAGTACGACAAGGCACTGGATGCTTACCGACATGGAATCAATGCCGACAACCGGCACTATAATGCCTGGTACGGACTGGGAACCGTCTACGACAAAATGGGCAAACTGGAGTATGCCGAGCAACACTTCCGCAACGCCGCAACCATCAACCCGACCAATGCCGTCCTCATCTGCTGCATTGGTTTAGTCCTCGAAAAAATGAACGACCCGAAGAAAGCCCTAGTCCACTACGAGCGCGCTTGCTCTCTCGCCCCACACTCCGTCCTAGCACGCTTCCGCAAGGCGCGAGTACTGATGAAACTGCAAGAATACAAGTTTGCCCTGGCAGACCTGAAGATCCTCAAGGACATGGCTCCCGACGAGGCCAATGTGCACTACCTTCTCGGTAAGCTGTACAAGATGCTCCACGACAAGGCCAATGCTATCAAGCACTTTACGACGGCCTTGAACCTGGACCCAAAAGTATGTTCCCCCTTTCTTGAAACCACGCATTCCCCGTATCTGTATCAATCTAACATTCCCTTTCCCCAGGCTGCACAGTTCATCAAGGATGCGATGGAGGCGCTGGATGACGATGACATGGAAGACGAAGACATGGCATAGACCCGTGACGTACCGGGTCTGCTTTTTCTTTGCTTTACTTTGCTTTGCTTTGCATTTGCCTGGGATCCCGTCTTACGAGCTCGGCGTTCTCGGGGCTGGTTATTCATGCGTCTACGTCTCAGTCTACGTCTATCCTTTCTTGCCTCTTCTTTTTTATTCTTTTTCTTTGCCGCGCTTTTTCTGCACAGCATCACCGGGAGTTCTTTTTTTGGGGTTTTCCAGGTCTAGACATCTGGCTTCTGGCATGGTGTTTTCTTTTTGTACATTATGAGAGTAAGACGAGGTCTCGTCGATGAACAGCAAAGCAGAGAATTATCTGATAATCAGCACAGCGGTACTCGTAGATATCAAGTGTATCTATACTGAAGTGTATTTATACTCAGGTGATGCCGTCATCTGCCGCGATCAGGCGGTGAGTCGGCGTGGGCAAAAAAAGCCCATCACCTCCGCAGTTCCCCCCACGATTGTCCTTCATGTCCCTCATGTCCATCTTCTTCGACATTCCCTCTGCTGGCCATTAGATCTAATTACCTGTGAGAATTGCCTCCTCTACTTCTACCTTCTACAACCAGAGCACCATCAAAGCCTCTCTCCCCACAACACCTCCAGCCCACTAAACATATCAACTAACCCCCCCGTTTCCAACAGTTTCCTACGCCAGCCATGTCGATCAGCGCCTATATTCTTCGGGGCATAAGCTCCTTCGTGGTCGTAACCCTCTCCCTCTTCGCGCTAGGCCAAAAGGTGCCCCGCGCAGCCTTCGCCGCACGCTGCCTAGCAGCCTACGGCTCCCTCCTCCTCTGCGCAACATACGGCGTCCTAGCCTCAATATTCCTTCGTCTAATCGGCTACGGCCGCATCTCGCAATATGCTACAGCCCGCTCTTTCAAATGGGTCATGCGCCTTACAACAGGTGTAACATTCGACATCATCTCTGGCCAAGAACACCTCACCACCCGACCCGCGGTCTTCATCGGAAACCACCAAACAGAACTAGACGTCCTCATGCTAGGCGCCATCTTCCCTCCCTACTGCAGCGTGACGGCCAAGAAGTCACTGCGCAACATCCCCGTTTTAGGCTGGTTCATGGCATTGTCCCGCACGGTCTTCATCGACCGCGGTAATCGCGAGACAGCCATGAAAGCCTTCGACGGCGCAGTCGACGAGATGCGCGTTCACCGACAGAGCGTTTTTATTTTCCCTGAGGGCACACGCTCGTATTCGGATGAGCCGACTCTGTTGCCTTTCAAGAAGGGCGCGTTCCATTTGGCTGTCAAGGCGGGCGTGCCTATTGTTCCCGTCGTCGCGGAGAATTATTCGCATGTGATGTCCCCGCGGAATCTGCGGTTTAATGCGGGGAGTATTAAGGTTCGGGTTCTGCCTCCCATCGAGACTAAGAATCTTACCCCCGCCGACGTGGATCGTCTGACTACTTCCACCCGCGAGGACATGCTGAAGACTATCCTTGAATTCGCCGAGACTTCCAAGGTTGAGACTTCTCGTGCGAACGGTGTCTCTACTGCCATTGAGATTTGAGGAGTATGCACCTCTCCTCTCCTCGTCTCATTTTCTTCTCCGTGTCTGTGTCCGGGCGTGGAATATCAACAACCTCCCACTCAAATCGTCCTGATCCTCATCCTCATCCTCATCCTGGAAACATCCTGCATTTACCCTAATTGTACATTTCCTTCCACTCCACTCCACTCCTCTCCTCTCCTCTCCTATTTCTATTGGTACACACATCGAATCATCCCTTCTTCCTTCCCTACGGGTTCATGATGTGATAGAACTACCCCCGCCCCTCCAGCGTGCCCAATACACCGCACTACACAGTCAAACAATAAACAACAGTTCCCCCCTATCCGACCATTTGGCCACGGGAAAGAGTGACAACTTGGACAACGTTCCCCCTCTACCCTTTTTTGGGCTTTTCCATCCGCTGGGCTCAGTCCGGCGAAACCTGAACTGGATAAGAGTCGGTCTAGTAGCCAGGGACCCCTCGACTTGTTCCCAGATATATATATACCTATCCTTAGCGTGAAAAGATGACATGAACTGCTTTCTTCGCTTTTGCTCCACTTCGTTCTGTTTCGGCTCTGTTTGGGTTTTGGTTTGTAGGTTCGTGGATTGCTAGATTCTATAGAAAGGAGAAGATGCAACTTCAATTTCAACTTGAACTTTTTTAGCCTTGGCATTTCTTGCGTAAATCATCAACTACTAGTAGTGGGCGCTGGGTGAAATGCAAGAAGAAACAAACTACTACTGCCTAGATAGTAGAGATCAATCTAGGTAGGTGCACAGGTGTATACTTGAATTTCAAAGTTCCAAGGTTGTGTTGTAGCTCAGGTATTAAATGCAATCCAACCAAATGGAATATCACTCGCAATGCTTCCAATGCCCAATCCGAAAGGCAAACTTCAACCCCCCTAGATAATCACTTCCTCGCTGAAAGGAAACACCAAGTAAGGAAAAAATCCCATAAAAGATATCCATGAACCAATCCAAAAATCCTCACCCGATCCTAGGATCTCAGACACTAAATGGAATCATTGCCCGCTAACAGAACCAGAACCATGCACACAACGTCCCTCCGCACAAGCTCTCATATCCACCTCAACATCAACCTCCTGCGCAGGAAGCCAAGGGTCCGTAATAACTCTCAACCCACCCGACCAAGGATCCAAATCACCAACAACCCTCTTACTAGAAAGAGCGATATCTTCAAGTCCGCCCTGAGCTCCACTTCCATCAGTACCATTGAAACCCCGTAAATGGCGCAAGGCCCCGTTCTGCGAAGAGGCCGGGATAGGACCAACCGGCGGACCAAGTGCCGCAGTCGCGATGATGAAATCCGTTTCAAAGGCTTGAAGTTGTAGACGGACATTTCCAAGTTCAGCGCCGTCTCGTGTCACCACGACGTGTGGGTATATCGGACCCCACTGGTTCAAATCCAGGTTTGCGTTCGCATTTACATTTGCGACGGAAGAGATAGGTTCAGGCGGGAAGACATTTTTGAATTCCAGCGTTTTGACCCACGGGGCGAGGAGGGCTTCGCCGGTCATTTTGAGGTATGCTTCTTTCAATGCCCAGTATGAGTAGAAGAGTCTGAGACCGAAGGAGATTATCGACTCGGTGCTGTGGAATTCCGAGCCGTCGGGATTAATTCGATCAGGGACGACCCTGTTTGCGTAGCCTAGGCTTCTGGCTTGGCGGAGAACTTGTTTGGGACTCGTCATTGTTGATAGTTCAGTTGGTGAGAAGACTTCGCTGAATATTGAGACGAATTCGGTGAATTCGTGGAGTGTGGTTGGGTTTTTGCTGCGGCGCTCGTTGATGCATGTTATGTCGATGCCCAGTTGGGGAAAATCCTCGCCCTTGTGTGGAATGGGAGTAGTACTAGTACTACTAATAGTAGTAGTTTTGGTGGACTGTTTTTGGAGGAGTTCTTTTGACGGCGCGATCGTTCCGGCTAGTATTATCAGCGACGCTTGGTGGCTGACGTTGAACTCGACTTTGGTGGATGTTTTGGATGCGTAGTATGGTCGGTTTTGCGGCATCTCTGTTCGGCTGATGGTTATGTCTTTCCATGGTACGCCGCATGCGTGATGTACGTAGAAGTATTTTAGCAGATTAGATGCTAATGACATGCGCCGGTCTGCGGCGAAGTGATATCGCTTCACGGCTTGCTGCTCGGCTGGTCGTAATGACTCTAACAGAGGGAGATCTAGGCCATTGGCCTCCCATTCTCGAACGTCGATATACCAGCGTGCCAGCGTTGGAAAGCCCTCTAATGCGGGGTCGACGTTATGTGTGTTCGGGCCGTCTTGAAACATATCTCCCTGCTTATGTTGCTTTGCTTCCATGATGGCGGGGATATATAAAGAGGTCGTGGGCCAGTCAGAACTGACAGGGCTGGACTTCCCCACAATTAGTCTATAAAAATGGAGCGGTCGGTGCAATTGAAAGACGCCAGATCACATAAAGCTCGAAAATAGAACCGACAAAGATGTAAGATGCAACGATCGTGGGACAAGAGAAGGTGGTGGTGTTTGCTGCAGATGACCCAATTGGGAAAAGCGTAGGAACCACGTGGAGATAAGCAATTCCCCGCGGAAAGATAAGGATCACGTGCCTCCAAAAGAGTCATGGCGAATGGAGAACCCACGCCACTTTGAGTTCTTTCTTTTTCATAACATCTACAATCATGCCGGTTACAGTGGGAGTTCTCGCCCTACAAGGCGCATTCTTTGAACACGTCCAGCTGTTGAAAAAGGCTGCTGAGCAGGAGTCCCTGGCTGGATGGGAGTTTATTGAAGTCCGCACCCCACAGGAACTCGCGCAGTGTGACGGATTGGTCCTGCCTGGTGGAGAGAGCACCACTATGTCTCTTGTAGCAGCCAGATCGAACCTGCTAGAGCCATTGAGAGAATTTGTCAAGTGAGTCCTGGCTCCATTCCTTGAAAAGAACAAAGGAAAAGGCGGCTTGACAGATGCTAATGTGGCAACTATAGGGGTGCATCGCAAGCCAGTCTGGGGTACTTGCGCTGGGTTGATCTTGCTGGCTGAATCGGCGAACAAGACGAAGAAGGGTGGCCAAGAACTCATCGGTGGTCTCGATGTCCGCGTCAATCGCAACCACTTCGGTCGACAGACAGAAAGCTTTCAGGCTCCATTGGAGCTACCATTCCTAGGCCAAGGCGCAGCACCCTTCCCAACGGTCTTCATTCGCGCGCCTATCGTTGAGCGGATATTGCCCCACCACAAGGGCATCCAAACCGAGGAAGTCAACTTGGAAGAGACAGTCGTTGCGCCATCGCGTCAAGCCAAGGGGCCCGCCGCTGAGGCTGCCACGGCCGATCACGTCGAGGTGCTGGCCACCTTATCCAGGCCGGCTTCGGTGATCGCTACCCAGGGTCGAGATCTCAGCCCTGAAAAGGAACTCGGTGACATCGTGGCGGTGCAGCAAGGCAATGTGTTCGGAACCAGCTTCCACCCCGAACTGACCGGAGATGCGAGAATCCATGCGTGGTGGCTGCGCCAGGTGCAGGCGGCCGTTCTCCGAAGAAACAAGCTGGGACAATAGAGTATCGTCATAAGAGGATATGGGGAAAGAATTGTAAATAAGACATAGAAGGGACCGGGTGAAATAGAAAGAATCCTGTTTGTTCTCTAATTGATATCATGCCGAAGGAATAACGCCATTTTCCGGGACCATTAAGTCGCAACCTGTTCAAGACCTGTTGAAGATCAGACCTACCTGCCCGCGCCGTATTCATCCTCTTCTCGTTGACGTTGTTCATCGTATGCGCGGCCATATCCACCACGACCGGGGTCATATTCTTCACGGTATTCGTCGCGGACCTGGCCACCTGATTTACCACGTCTGTGAAGAATGTCAGTTGGTGCTTCTACACCTGTTTCCAGGATCCATTCCACATACCCATACTGTCGCCCTTCTTCGAAGCCAGGATCCAGATCTGCTCGAATGATGCGCTCATCCAGCTTCGTGCCACCAATATATTTCATGCAATCGAGAGCATCCTGGTGAGTATAGTATTCGACGAAGCAGAATCCACATGGAGTTTTGTTAAATCGATCGAGGCCCATCACCAATCGCTTGATCTCGCCGCATCTGTACAGAGAGATTAAGTTAGGTTGGGAAGGGTGGACCGGGGTCCAATTTGATCAGAAAGAGCAATGTACTTACTTGGCGAAAAGCTCATGGATCTGTTCTTCGGTGGTATAGAAGGACCTAGGAAGGGCCGCGATTAGCAACCATCTCAAGAGAGTCGATCATAGGCGCATACAGGTTTCCGACATAGAGAGTAGTTGCGCCTTTCAATTTGTCCGTAGGCTCTGGCTCTCGATCCTCCCGATCATCTCTGCGTCTCTTATTCTGTTTCCAACATTCCAGTTAGCGCGCGATCGCATCAAGCCATGGGGGGGGATCAGAGATGGGATACGCACCTTTCCAGCATAATACGCGCTGGGTCGATCCAGTCGGTCTACAGTGTTGACTTCTAGAAGACTCATCGTGAGGGCCGAAGTTGTATAATGAGGTGTTGAAGTAGAAGTAGAAGTGAAGTTGAGTTGAGTTGGAGGAAGGAAAAGGCGGAGGAGAAGCTCGGAGCTCCCTTTGATTTTCTTGGCGAAGAATTCCCCAACAACAACCAACCTCCGCCTTGTTTGGTCATGGTTTGATCTCTTCCCAACAACAAGATCACAACACTCGATACTCCTCCCGTCGTCGATATCACATCTCTCTATGCCAAAGGTCAACAGCTACGCGCCGGCTTGGCTGTGCCGGCCTTCACCCGGTGCTAGCCTCTTCACCAGCAGTTCTCTCGCAACCCCGGCGCAAAACACTCAGCCTAATCCCAAGTCTGCTACACCCACTGGAGCGACTAGAACGATCGCGAAGAGAGGAAATGAGGTTTTTGCCGTGATCGACAATGAGATTCGCTGGTCGAATTTGGCCCGGGTGAAGGATCAATGGCAGCAGCAGGCGAGACAGAAGAAAGCCTCCACTGGTCAGACGAAGGAGCTTGCAAAGGACGGCGAGATCCCATCTTATAGGGTAAGCGCTGTGCGAGAGAAGAAGAAGCTGTTTAAAATACGCAGATATAGCTGACGAGGTGCAGGTTCTGGCGGTTCCCGTCTATGGTCTTATCCATCAAATCCTCCCATCGCCGAATGGCGCCTTCCTCGCGATCGTGACCGAGCATACAGTCCACATTGCGGTACTGCCCGACTCCTCTCATCTCTCGTCTAAAGATACTTCACCCATCCGCTTAAAGACCTACCAACTTGGTCCCACCACCCATGTTATTCCTGAAGCACCCGTGGTCTCTGCGCTCTGGCACCCACTGGGTTTGCACACCAACCTCGGTGGGTGTATTGTGACGGTTACCGCTGATGCTGCCGTTCGAGTGTGGGAGTTGGATAGAAACAACCACTGGTCTTTCGACCAGCCAACACTCGCGATTGATCTGCAAAAATTGGTAGATGGGAGCTCTTCGGACCAAGACTTTGCACCTACTGGCTTCGGCAAGAATAAGGGGTTTTCTGCCGACATCTATGATATGGAAGTCGCATCGTCTTGTTTTGCCGGCAATGGAAGCGAGAGGGAGGATGCTTGGGCGCCGATGACTCTCTGGGTAGCGATGAAGCCCGGTGATCTTTATGCGCTATGCCCTCTACTCCCTTCGAAGTGGCAGGCCCCATCCGCAACGATCCCAGCGCTCTCCTCGGCTATCATTCCCAAATTGGCAGCTCTCGAGGAGGCACCAGAGGATATGGAGGAGGAGCTTACCGCTTGCCGACAGCAATATGAATGGCTACGAGAGATTGATGATCAAGAGCCTTTAGATTCTCCTTCCGAATCGGATACAATTCAAGGAGCGGATGTTTTCACTCGGCCCGGGAACCCAAGTGCTATCCCACGTTTACAAGGTCCTTTCCGTTTCGAGACGGGAGATGAGTTAGACGACTTGGATCTCTGCGATATTCTGGTTATTGCTGCTAGACTCAACGTCGAAGACCTGATGATGGGCGAAGACGAGGAATTGGCAGTGGAAGCGAGCGAGCGCGATCAGCTTTCAGCCACTGTCATCTGTCTGACCAGCGGAAATGGTCGTGTCCATATTTGTCTAGAATTGGATGGCGTGGAGGGCCAGTGGCTGCCCAAGGCCCGCAAGAATGCCTTCCGCACTCCTCTCTCAGAGCCTGCCGATCTGGTGCTGCTCGAATCGCTCGATACTATTAAGGATAGTGACGCTGCAGTGGCTACCTGGCCTACTTTTACCCGGGATGTCCACTCCCGTTACTCCTTCTTCGTCACAAATACGACCACAGTGACCTTCTTCTCAATGTCTTCATTTGTCCAAAGACTCGAGGCCGAATTACAGTCAGAGGACATTTCTGGCTCAGCCTTCCGAATGCAGGTTCTCTTTGACTCAGATGTGGCTAAGAGAGAGCAAATTCTCCAAGTCTCGGAGGCCGACCTGACCGTCAAGAACGAACACCTCGCTACCCCTGTGGTCTTCTACGATTACGACCTTGGCTATCTTCTTCTCACCTTCAACCCTTCCAACCCGTACGCGGCTGCGATGGATGTCCCCGCGGACGCCCTCTCTGCGTCTATAGATTTTGGTCTCCAGCAAAATTCCCCTATACCCGGATCACCCGCTCTACTTCCCCGACGTGCGCCGTACCAAGTTCCCGCGATTCTCTATGCTCAGTCTCCATTGGACTCTTTCGTCGAAAAGCATGTCCCGCACCGCCAGCGAAACACGCTCAAGGATCAGGTGCGCCTATCCCCGGCAACCCTGGACCTTGTGACTTCTGCCCATCGCGTCCTCTCAGCCCATACCAATGCGCTCGAGCGAGCAGCCTCAGACCTCTTCCGCCGCTGCGAGCGTCTGCAGGGCGAGATGAAGGACCAACTGAAGCAGCTGTCCGAAGTTGCGGAGCGTATCAAGGGCGCGACGAGTGAGATTGGCGAGGATGGGAATCGCAAGGAGGGCGCTCGGAACGGAGAAGCCCTCGATAAGAGATTGGTCGCAGCGAGGGATCGGCAAGCGCAACTTGCGCAGCGATATGATGCGCTGCGCGGGAAGCTTCTCAATTCGGGTGGTCGCCCTCTGAGCGAGAGGGAGAAGGCCTGGGTTAACGAGGTCAACGTTTTGTCCGAGTCTTTCAGCGAGCAGGAGCCGAAGAGTGATGAAGCAGATCAGCAACTGGCGCAACGCTTGGAGATGGTAAGAGATGGTCCCTATTTTTTTCTGCATCTAGGCTTATTTACTGACACACCTTCCAGGTCAAACAATTGGCTACTAGTCTCATTGCGGACACCAAGTCCATCGTGGCTAAGGTTCCCTCACCTACCGAACCGGGCAGTCCGTCTTCCCCCGGCGGGTCTCAGCCCAGAGTGCCGCAGCGCTTGCAGCGGGCTAAGATTGCCGATGCGATGAGGATGGTTGAGCGAGAGTAAGTTTCCCAGATGTCATTGATAAATACTTTTGCTAATCCAGATAACAGGTCGGCCGTTATTGATGCTATTACGGCCCGTTTGGAACGTCTCAACACGAGCATGTAAAAGGACATGTTCGACATGACTTTTATTGTTATCAATTACTTTCCCTGAAACGGCACAGCTGCATTTATGAATTACTAGTCCGATAGCATGATGGCATACATGAGATATATTATCGACACGTTCCTACTTCCTGGATCCAAAACGTACGACGTAGTGAAACTTATCAACTCAGAGGCTTCCTCGCCCAGCCTAGTCACCATCTTCATTCGCAGACCCTTCGCCCGGACTTATATCAATATCATGATCCTTCACAAACCCAAACAAATCATATTCCCCCGTGGAAACTAAACGACAACAGAATCAGTAACTCCCCTTATTCAGCACAACCAATCTAAACACCGAAGAAACTCACCCTTAACTAACCCCCATTCCGTAGGACCCATCCGCGCACGATAATGCGGATAAACCCTCTCCACAGACCGACACACTCTCCCCGCATCGACACCATCCACAATACCCAACCACTCAGGATGATCCAAATCAAGAAACGGCGTCTCTGGCCTCGACTCCAGGCCCGGAGAACAGTATTCGTCAACGTATTCAAACGCATCTATAAATACATCCTCAGACTCAGACTCATCTGTTGACGCTGGCGTTATGTTAGTACTACTAGTACTACTTTCCACCGCGTCGTGCCATATTTCAAGTTCATCTTCGCTATCCTCTGCAGGGGTCTCGGGATCATCGGGGAAAACTTGGACCTCGTGCTCGTCATCTGCGTCCGAGCCTGAGGTGAGTGTGCGCTTGTCTCCGCTTCGCCAGCATTCTCTGCATGTTACTGAGTTGGTTTGTAAGAATGCGATTTTTGAGCCTGCGCATTGGGGAGTTTCGGGGCAGGGGGTTGTTGTCAGTTCGTGGGTGCAGCCGCAGAGGGTGTATGTTCGGGTCCAGGTTAGGCACATTTTGGATTGGGCTTGTTGTTTTAATACCGGTGTTAGTACTGTTAGATTTTCGTGATCAGATATTGATACTAGTAACCAAGCCCTGGAGTTTGAAATTGAATGGTGATGGATATTGTCTGTAGCTGCTGGTTCATCTATATAGTGGCTCGACCGAGACATTCTTTGACTACAGGCTGACCTCAGGACATTGTTCGGCGATAATGCAATTGACAAAGACAATGGCACAAAGAGTTGGGTGTTTTCAGGCTCGTAACTACCCGAGACTTATTATTCTGTTTTTATAATGACGAAATAAATTTCCAGTGAGATATTTCCAAATACTTCTAGTAGGTTGAATCATCCAACCTGAACATAGGGTTCATGTCTCACGTGACATCGATCGTAGAAACCAACGAGCACTGGAATATGCGAGATTGAAGACATGAAATGAAACAAAAGTCTCCGGTTCCCAGAAGATATTTAGGGCTATAGCGGAAAGAGAAGTTTTCTGGCTTTGAAGCTAATTCCTCGTAAGAGTTGCGAACACAGTCCATTCAATCCGATGAAAACCACTAGTTTCTAGTATAGATCGGATTGTTTAGAATGAAGCGTTCATTAGATTGAATGCACAGTATCGAAAACTTCTACTAGGGGTTAACCTCTTAACTTTCAAGTTTCTTTCATAGATCCGAGTCCTTTCCTAAGTGCCACACAACCAGCAAACCCCCCCCCCCTCCCCAATTAATTCAACCCACGAGCAAAGTCAATAGATTCCACATCCAAACAAACCTGAATCTCCTCCCCCTCCTCCCCCCTCGTAAGACCAGCATTATCCGCACCCAGATTAACATTGATCTCAACCACATCATCGCAAACCACATCCCCCCTCAAAGCCACCGACGCAGACCCCCCTCCTTCTCCCCCTCCCCCTCTTCGACTCAACCCATCCCAACCCCCACCCCCAATCCAAGTCCGACAAAGCTCCGCTGCAATCTCCCCCGACTCCTCAACCCGATCAACAACCATAAGATAAACCTCATCAACAACATCCTCCCACATAGGCAACGGCAAAACAGCACAACAATCCTCCCACCTACGCATATTATTCCTGAACTCCCCATCCCACCAATACCTCCACTCGCGATAAACAAACTCACTCAAGCACCGCGCCGCAAGACCCTGCACCGCGCATTTAGCCTTCATATAGACCATCCAAACGCCGTGAAAGAACTCGTCCAGAAACCGCACATACGACGACACAAAGTGCGCGTAGTACTTTGCATCGAGGCAGATGCGGATTGCGTCGCTGGGTAATTTTGGCCGCGGGGCGAGCGTGGGGTCCTTTGTTGGAAATGGGTTGGCTGCACTGGGTGGTGGGAAAGTATCTTGTTTCCAGTCGCGGAGGCGTTGCATTGATTTGCAGTGCGTGGTCCAGGTTGTGGGTGGTGTTTGCGGGCAGAGGAAGCTGAAGCGGTGGTCGTGGAAATGCATGATTTCTTTCATGCCGCGGATGGCGGCGTAGGCTGATTCGTGGAGGTGGGTGTGCGCGATGCTTAGGTCTAGTGGGACTTGGAGGTAGGTTGGGAGGGTGAAGTCGGTTGGGTTGTAGGTGTAGTTTGTTATGGAGGGTTTGCCTGCTGTGGCTAGGAGTTTCATTGTGTGGCGGTTTCGGATTTCGTCTTCCATTTTGTGGGATGTGAGAATTGAGAAGATGAGGAGAGAAGAGAAGAGGAGAGGATTGAGGAGAGGATTGAAGGTATGGATAGATGGATAAGAAATAGGGATAATACCTTGAGAAAAGAAGAGAAGAGGTGAGATGAAGGATAGAAGGGAAGGAAGAGAGTGGTGAAGGTGAATGTGAAGGTGAAGGTGAGGGTGAAGTAGTGGCAGGCAACGATGGAAGGTTCCTCTTTCCACGTTTACACTTACACCTACAACATCTTGTCTGTTTTGTTTTTCTGTTTGCTGGAATCATCATGTTTCATTGACGGTGATCTTATATCAAGACCGCAGAACGAGGCTATTTCTCTTGTATTTTCTCACCTTCATTTGCTCTAGAACGACATCATGGGTTACCGCGGATAAAATCTCTCGAAATCCCGTCGAAAAATGTGCTGAGTTTTGTTTGCCTTTTTTTCCATATTCCCATCGAAAAGACCAATCGAGTGTTTAAAATCTGAGAGGTGCACTGGCGACAAAAGAACAACAATGGAAAGGCCAAGTTCCTTATACGTTTACCAAAGTCCCATCTAGTAGATCGCGGTGTAGATCACTGGACCCTGTTGTATCAAGTCAGCACATGATGATTAGACACCGGCCAAATATAGACAAGATTCTCCATTCATTGCATACCGTTGAATAAGGTGAACACCCGAGGCTGTCTCAACGACACTGCTAACCTGGCCGGGCTGTAAAGCAAACGCAGCATCCTCGAATTCCTTCTGCATCTCACCGTGGCCGAAGAAACCGCTAAATCTCTCGTTAGCGATAATGCACATCATCTAGGCAGCTTGCAAAACGTACAGATCGCCCTTCTTACGAGCGCTGCTGCAATCCGACTCTGAGACAGCAATGTCTCCCAGACTCTCGCCTTCTTGAATTCTCTGTTCGTAACCCTTCAGAATTTCAATTGCTTCCTCCTTGGACCGGGTAATTTCAGCTTCGCGCCAACTGCTGGGGCGACGGCTGCCACTGTGCTTGACCAGCAAGTGGCTGCAGCGGATCTTGCCTTCAGCCTGGCCGGCGGCATCGGGGCGAGCTGAGGGGGTGTGATTGGTTGCCATGTAATTCTTAAGCTTCTCGGTATCGGTTCCGGATGGAGGTTCCCAGCGGGATTCCTTGGTTTCAGGGTTGAAGTAGTAAGGCAAGTTCTTGGAGTTGGAATGGCGAACCTCCCAGCTGGAGGGGAGACCTGAATCAGACTGGGTGTGTTAGTGATTGGATGAAAGAGAGAGAGAGAAAGGGGATGAATGGGAATAAAAGATCAAAGAGAAAAATACCATTGCGAATTGAGGGAATATAGCTAAAATAATGTGAATGTGAATGTGAATGTGAATGTTCAAGGATGAGCAAGTCGAGTGCTTTCGAGGCGGGCCCGAATTGCGGGGGAATTTCAGTGCAAACAGTGCAAACCTTTAGATTTCCGCCGCTTCAATTCAACTTCCACTTCCACTTCAACTTCCACTTCCACTTCGCCTTCACTTTATTCTTGTTCTTTCACAGCCTCCTCCTCGCAACACACACCTTCCCATCATGTCTGCCAGTCCATCTCCCTCCGCTGGTGGCGACACCAAACCCTCCGACCAGATTCACTTCCGTTTCTGCCGCGAGTGGTAAGTTTATTTCCCTATATCCTGGCCGAGTCCGCATATTCCCAAGATCACTCACGCTAATATACCCCCCCAGCTCTAACCTTCTCTACCCCAAAGAGGACCGCGAAACCAACACTCTCAAATTCACCTGCCGCACCTGTCACGTCGGCGAAGACGCGACCTCCTACTGCGTCTACCAGAACAAGCTGAACAGCCAGGTTGGCGACACCGCCGGTGTCACTACGGACGTCGGTTCCGACCCCACGGTTTGTCTCCCTGCTGTCTTGTCTGGTCTTTGCCTATTATGCGGTGTACCTGTTGAATGCGCGCCTGCGGGGAAACACTGAGCGCGATGGGATCGTTGACAGAACTCCACCCTCGACACGAACTTGAACTCGAATTGAACCCTTGAACAGCGACGATACTGACTGTCTTTTCTTCCCCGTAGCTTCCACGCGCAAACAAGCTCTGCCCGAGCTGCGGTGAGAACGAAGCGGTCTTCTTCCAGTCTCAACAGCGTTCCGCTGAAACAGGAATGGTATGAGATGCTCCTATCCTTGATGATTCCCCCCCCCTCGTTCTCTCCTCCTATACTATGATACCGGGCTCTGGATACTAATTCCCTATCGCGCAGAAACTCTACTACGTATGCTGTGCATGCGGTAACGTCTACATGTGAATAATCCCTTTTACGACGACGCGAAATATTCCCGATACCCTTTTAACGCCTTATACTGTTCAAATCTTGCGTGTATCTTCTTTCTTTCTTTCTTTCTTTTTTTTTTCATGCATCTCTGCGGAGTTAGGCGAGAGCGCGGCTATACAAACAAACAACCCTGCGAAAAATTACCGATCTTCTTTTCATAGAGGTGTTACGACTCGGAGTAGGTTTTGGTTTTGGTTTCAATTAGACAGAGCAAAAAAAAGGTTAAATCTTGATTGGAACTTGGTTATTGATACATTGAGAAAAAAAATGCAAATGCTGCTCTAAACTACACACGCTCCCAAATAAAGAGGTATATCACAGTCGGGTTGTTGTGTTGGTGGGTGATGGTGACGGGGTATGGTTACACGTTAACCGGCGCAAGCGACAGAATCTTCGACCACTGCTTATCGCGCAGTTCCTGACCGACGACTCCTAAAGAAAAAGAAGAAATTAGCATGCACCCTTATTGCGCAGCGCAGAATCGCTCCGCTCCGAACAAGCTAACGTACCGGTCATTCTTGTCCCGATGGGATCACCAGACTTGTTCACTAAGACACAAGCATTATCGCCGAATCGGACGACGGTTCCATCAACGCGCTGCAGCTCCTTCTTAACGCGCACAATGACGGCGTGTCGAATATCTCCACGACGGACTTTGTTGGCGAGGGCTGTTCCTGAGCCTTCGGAGCCGGCGGCCCTTTGCTTTTGGACGACGACGACTATCCGGTCACCTGTGGAGGGTTAGAATTGGGATTGCGGTTTCAATGCGGTTTGTGACGGGGGTTTTTTTGGGAGGGATTGAGGGTGGAATGGGGTGGACTGACCGATTGTCGCGGCCCGCTTCTTTTTCAGGACGTTCACGCACTCGACGACTGAGGCGCCGGAGTTGTCGATGCAGTTGAGTAATGTCTGTGAGGGTGGGTGGTTAGTGGGATTGAAAGAGGTGAGTATTAGGAAGTGGAAGTGGAAGTGGTTAGTAGGGTGTACCTTTAGTTGAATCATGGTTGTGCTGGGGTTGTTTGATCTAAAGTCGACATGTCGGGGAAGTTCATCTTCAATTTCCACTCGGAATGGGTTTTTCCGGTCCGACGTATATGCGTACATCACCATCAACTAACTAATACATCTCCCACTTGATTGAGTTGTAAATGATTGCTGTTTTGAATTGATATGTATTTACTACTGAGTACTTTGTAAAAATTTTGAATTTCTGGATTTGTTTCCACGCGGATGGTGTAGTTCTACTATCATATGCTATGCACACTGAGGAGTTTCGGTATAGTATCAACGCTCAAGTTTACTCATATTGTAGATATTCGTAGACTATTACCTAGGTAAAGAGACATAAGGTATCAACGTCATCGCATTATTGCCCCCCCCAGCAGCATTGGCTGATCGATATCCAATTTCAACACATGTGCTACTGTACGGGATGCCGTTGCACAGGGACCCTCGGGACTGCGTCCATCGGCTTTCTTCCGTCAATACAGCCCTGGAGGGCAAAGGATATCATGATGCAGGATAGATTGTGTAGCCACTGATAAGGGACGTCTCGGACTACCTCAAGGTTGTTATGCTATCCCACGCACGCATGACCGAGTCCCTCAGTGCCTTGGGATCTTCTTGATAATAGCTGTAGGTAGATGTCATGTTGTCTGGCAGCTTGTTAGTTAGAGATATGTCAAAGTAGCACCCGAGCAATCTATAATCCAAATCAGTAGAGTAATCAACGTAGAAATACATCATGTCTGATTCAAGTTCCATTGTGCTGTTTTCGCCCCCATAAGCTGAGGCTGCGGCTGAGGGAGGCTGTGAGAGAGCACAGAGCTTAGGGGCCAAAGTGGCCTTGCAGAGGACAAAAGGTGTACTTAGGTAGATGATGTATATTTAGCCCGTGTATTGGAGAAAGAGGAAGTGGGAGTAGAGTGGGAGATGAGTGGATTGTAGAGGGGAGAAGAAGGAGAAGAAGAAGCAGAGTGGAGGGCGGCCTTCTCTAAGTCCAACCTCCCCTTCCGCTTCTTCCTTTCTTCCTCCTCCTCTCCCTCGTCTTCTTCTTCTTTGGGCAATTGGGGGTTTTGGTCTTCCCTTCACCATTTCATTTCAATATGTTAGCCTGACTGGCTTGTTTTTCATCTCTACTTTCATTCACCCTCCTTTTCCAGTGAATCACTCCCTTTCCCGATTTCCTCGACTTCGACTTCTCTCAACTCCGCATCCCGCGCAAACCCACCCTCCGTTTCATGTCCGCATTTCTCTCCCATTTTTGCTCGTCTCGCTTTCTGTAACTTCCACAATGCCGCCCAAGAGGGCGCGACCCAGTTCGTCTGTCCCGGAACCCCGTGAACGCCTGACACTCGCGAAACTCGCCAGTTACGACGACGTCGCGACGGATGCGCTGGTCGATCATGTACGCCCCTGGCCCGCGATTGAACCCCCTCCCAAAACACCGAGACTAACCCTCAATTCTGCCAGGCTTACTTCTGGACCACTATCCGCAAGAACCGCAACAAATATACCTCCGCTCGCGGTATCCACGACGACGAGGTGGGTGGCATTCTCCTCCACGATGTCGTCGTTGCCAAGGACATCCCCGGGGCAGAGCGCAAACTGTTGGAATTGACCGGACTGAGGAAATACTCGGCCAATCTACCGAGTCCTCGTGAGAAAGAGTGGTTTCGCCGCCATTTACGCAAATACATCCAAATGTACCACCCGGATTCCCCGTTCGAAGTAACCACCACCAACCGCTACCTCATCACCCAAGCCGAGGCCGCCCTGTGCGCCCGCAAGTTCATCAAGGCAGGCCAGGAGATCAAATACCTCAGTGGTACCCTTGTATCCATGACCAAGGAGGAAGAGACCGATTTGGGCCTCACCCGGAAGGATTTCAGCGTCGTCATGTCCAGCCGTCGCAAAACCGCCTCCTTCTTCCTGGGCCCGGCCCGCTTTGCCAACCATGACTGTGACGCCAATGGCCGTCTTGTGACTCGAGGCACCGAGGGCATGGCCATCATGACCACACGCGACATCCACGAGGGTGAAGAAATCACTGTCTCCTACGGCGAAGACTACTTCGGCATTGATAATTGTGAATGCCTATGTTCGACCTGTGAGCGCATGGTCCGCAACGGCTGGGCGCAGAATGCCGACTCCGACGCGACCAGCAAGGAGTCAACCCCCGTATCAGTCGATGAAGCGGGTCCCGAGGAAAATGATTCCCCGAGAAAGAAGCGCAGGCGAGACTCTGATGTCGATTCAGAGGACCTGCCTTCTGTCTGCTCGACCCCGCGCAAACGCGCCAAGTTCTCGCGTCAAACTTCCAAACTGCGAGAGGAGATCTCGCTCTCCGAATTACCCGTGGAGTCCACCGCGACCCCTGAAACTGATGCCCCTCTTACCCCGGGCCCGGAAATCGATATCAATCAGATCCCGGCTGCCATTGCGGTCGGTCGACCGGTTTCTGGACTTCGACAGGAAGTGATTGTCTCTGAAGTCGTGGAGTCGACTCCCGAAGCCCCGTCTACAGATGCTTTGCTCTCCTCCATGGGGGGGCCCCGTGTTGTCAGAATTGAAGAATCCTGACCTCGCGGGCGCTGTCAAGGAAGCTCTCGCTCCTATAGATTCCAGTGAAATTACCGACACACAACCTCCTGCACTAGGAGACCGTGAATCACCCAGCTCTGTCACCGGCGAATCCCATCGATCATCAACCTCCAGCCAGCCCACCTCAGTGGACGATCTCGCCAAGATCGGGAGAACAGACCTCATTGAGACTATCAAGACCGAAGCCGAACCCATCCCAGAGATCAACGAGCCCGACCATCTCACAGGTAAGCAAACCCCAAACATCGCCCCCCTTTCCCCCGACACAGCAATTTCGCCTCCAATTCTATCCCCCAACTAACCCCAAATAGACGATACATCCTCAACAGCCCCAAAGAGAAAGCGCTACCAACGCAAGAAATGGAAAGTAATCGCCTCCGTCGAAACCGAAACCCCCCCCTAGTCCGCGCACCAGGCGACTACACCCGCACACCCAAACTCCTCGGCCAAAAATACGACCGCTGGGTCGAATGCCAAACCTGCGACTCCTGGTTCGTCCAATGCAACTCGTACCAAACCCGGCGCGAATGTCCGCGCTGTGAGCGCCACTCCAAGCTTTACGGGTACCAGTGGCCACAGACGGATAAAGGGCCCGACGGCGAAGAACGCGTTATGGATCATCGCACTATCCACCGCTTTCTCTCGAATGAGGAGGCTAGTACGGCTAGGAAAGACCAGCGCGGTCTTAGTTTTGGCATTACGCCTACGCCGGAACTCTCCGGTGCGGAGGATGTTGAGCCTGGGTCTGGTTCCGGGTCGGCGTCTCGTCGTAGTACGAGGGCCAGTCGGCACCGGACGAGGGAGCTTCGCATGACGATGTGAATTTTGTACTTGTTTGTACTTACTTTACCTGTCCATGCTATGGCTGGGTATGGTGTTACGAGAATGGGGTGCAGTGTTATGTTACGTTACCACTGGACTAGGGAGTTTGGGGGTCGGGGCCTGAATTACTTCGATTTTGATTTCGTTCTGTACTATCTATTTGGGGGCACTATTGCACATGGGTGTTTTTGGGAGGTGCATTGGGGGGGATAACGCTTTGTGAGATCTTATGTTTCTCTATCTTCTTCTTGCATGGGTGTCTGGGTGAATGGTTTTTTTTTCTACTTTGTTCTTTTGCGATGCGCATTTTATGGTCACGAACATATCTGTAATGAATGCACACTTTTTATGTTAATGGAGTATTTGCAAGATTTACGTGGATGACGATCTAAGACAACTTGAAGCTTCCTAGGTTGTGTAGTTTATTCTCTAGGGAGGAGGGACTTGGAATTACCGCACGTCGACAGATCGTTTCCAGCCGCAACTATGTTAACAGTGTATCAGTGCAAGGCTCGATGACTCTTAGTCAATACTGAGTCTGGAAAGTACGTGTCACTGGATATCGGAGTTTGGATCTATGACAGAATAGCGGGGCTTCAATCTCTACAGGACGATGATAGCTGCCAGTGTGATGTGAGGTAGGGGTTGATGATGTGCCAAAACATGCAAATTCCGAATTTTGTACGCTTTGATCTTATGGGTCTATGAAATATGATGAGGATGGGGGGGGGGGGGCGATGGAAATATAGCGAGTTAATCATATTCGTGATATGTGTGGATGGGTGGAAGAGGATTTAGAAGAAGAAGAAGAAGAAGAAGAAGAAGAAGAAGAAGAAGAAGAAGAAGAAGAAGAAGAAGAAGAAGAAGAAGAAGAAGAAGAAGAAGAAGAAGAAAGCAAGGGTATCCTGAATAGCCTGAGCCATATCAACCTCAGTCAAATACTATCTTTTTATTAGGCATCGGGCTAAGAAGCGGTTTAACCGGCGTAGACGTTAAATAAGTAATTATTGGCCGAGTTGTTAATAGATCAACAGAACGCTTCATGTTGTTTTACTGAATTTTGAAGCGAGCAAGTCACAGTCCATATCTTACTTCGTTTGCCGGACATTAAAAGGGTCCAATCTACTATTACATCAAATCCTTCTTCTCTTTCAGTATCAGGCCTCCATGGTCCTCCGATTCCTGAAGCTGAACAACCAATCCTTCAGCCTTTTTCTCCATAACACTGGCGGTCATGGAATCATCCTTGTCAACCTCATGTAAGCCGTGATAGAAAAAAGCCAGTACAGACGACTTCCATAGACTAGTGCCATTCTTTTTGTTTTGAATAATGACAATCGCAATGAAAATAGTCCCTGAGAGCACCAGTATGGTCGGAAGGATCAGCCATAGCCACTGCACCTCCACGAACACTTCGGTGACGAATGTGTCGCCATGCACATCCGAGCCATTGAGGCGCAATGCTTCCTTGTTCATATGTTTAGCAACGTTGGACATGATGCTATCAAGACCTACAGAGCTAATACGAAGAGCGTTAGGATCACCATCTGGCGAGTAGTCAAGCCCAGTCGTATCATTGCCAGACTCTTGAGTATGCCCCCGAGTATGGTGCTGGAACATAGATCCCACAAATAAATTCGGAGATAGTTTTGTTTCATAGGAAATACCACAAAAGGCAAACTCAACTGGACTTAGCTGGACGTATGTGTAATCACTGAGAGGATTCTCGAATGTTATATCCGGTGGGCCAGATGTCGGCTTCCAACAGAGCGTATCGAAACTGGAATTTCTAGGATTGTTTCTCCACAATAATTGGCCGTAGTCGAGGACTGAGGTAACCACATCTGGGGTGCCATTTTTGACAGAGACATCATATTCGAGAAGACAAAGCTCAAGGCTACACACCGTCGCCTTGTCAACTTTGATCCCACTAATGAAATCCGAGTAAATATAGTCCTCATTATACCCTATCTCGGCATACGCGATGACCATCAGTGGATCACCTAACCCATTAAATGGCTGATTCTTGGTCTGATCAAGATCCAGCCCGTAAGAGTCATACGCCGAAAAGACATGCCAAGAGAGTCCTCCCGTTTCGTAAGTCCAGACTGGAGGCGACAATGCCACATAAGAAGAGTGTACGTGGAATTGGGTTGACTTTCCTTGTGGGGGGGTAAGGAGACACGTCACGTTGATATATCGTGAACCTTGGGTGAAGTTGCCAGCCGACGTTTCATTCGCAGTAAGATTGCATTCGAGGTCCATAGATTTCGTAACATCAGAGCACTGGCTACACATTCCACTGGATTGGAACTTCTGCCAGTTACAATTTCCTGATGAACAACTGGAGCTCAGTACTATGTCATTGTCGGACCAAAGCCCCGAGGAATAGACTAAGTCATAGTTTACTCCCATGGCGAAGTAGTCCAGCATCTTTGTTGTTGCAACATCTGTACCACCGTGTATAGCAGTCAACCGAGTGGGATAGCTAATGATCTGCTGAATAAACGGATCAAAAGCAAGCAGAAGTATAAGGACTGCTGCTCCAACAGAAGCGAGTGATCGTCTCGTTTTTTGAAACAAGCTCGCCATCGAACCAAGAGGTCCTCGACCAGCACTATCAAGTGTCTGCATGTCGAGAAGCATTTTGGGTTTTGCGTAGAACCAAACCCATTTGAGTTGACCCATAGCCTCTCCTATCACAAAAATCAAAGATGATTTGCAGCCTGTGGCTAACGCAGAAATGATAGCGTTCAAGGAGAGGCCATAAGAAAGCTCCGGTCGGCTCTCTTGATCATAGGCATAGAGAATGGCACATATTGAAATAAAGCACGCAATGCTGAATAGTGTCGCAGCTATTTCAGGAAACCATGTATCTAGGCAAAGGGATCTCCAGCTCCAATCTCTCTTTCTGATGCCTCTCCTGAGGCTAGTATACTGAGAAGTCATCGATGAAAAAGCTTATCTGGTTCAAGAGTTGCCCATGGGACTGGTTTGGGTTAAGATTAATAGAGGAAGTTTAAGGAGATTGGGTGAAAGAAAAGGAGAATTTATCCAGCATGGGGGTCGAGGAGGCTGAATATTCACTGGTGTTATTCAGGTGTTCGTTGTTCAGGTGTTGCCCTGCATAACAGTAATACGAACTGGTATAAGGATCAGCACCATGCACAGATGGGGGTGGGGGCGAGGCAAACACTCTTCAGAGGCAGCCAATCAGACTTACAACTAATGATCGATTATCATAGCCTTGCCGGGCGGCCTACCCTAATAAGGTGATCGCGCCGGCCTGCAGTTATATACCGCATTCTCAGCCGGTTCTCACCCACATGCCCACTGCCTCTACGGAGTATAGCGTATGTACACACCCTTGTCACCTCCAGTCACCCGACTGCTTAGTGAGTCTATTTATGAGCACTCTCATGCAAGCAGTGGCGCCTATAATAGGAATGCCCCACATGGAAGGGGAATTGATTTATTCCTCCAACCTCGATGTCTCTGCCGGCTCGAGGCACTCAGTCTTCGTAGAAGCGTGACGGATGGGAGAATGTCGATTCAGAAACTAGGGGCTCTGCGACAAGTCAGTGGTGATTTGGAGCGCTCTATAATGTTCCAAAACCGCGATAGACATGACCAGAAGAAGCCAGATTGAAGAATTTGGTGCAGGATGTGTACTCATTTCCACGGGACACTACCATCGAGACGCAATCGAGGCCCTCTCTAGGGATACGGCTCGGCGCTCGTGTTCAGCCCACGACGGAATATGTACATATGATCAAGCAGCCGTTCCAGGAGGAGTGGCTCAACAAGATAGTCATCGCCCCGGCGATAGGAGATGGCTAGGATGCGCACACCGGGGCCCTGCAGACATCGGAGGACCGTCACATTTTTAGAACTGGCTTGGCCAGCATACACAGACCAATCGTTCACAAGCCCCGCTGCCAAAATTCCAGCGCAGACATGGCGAGCCACAATACGGAGTACTTGGAGGCACCTTGACTCACCTGTGGCCTCAAATTGCTTTTTCGGTTAAGAATTTCAAACGTGGCCTCTGTCAAAGCCTCCAAGATGATACAGAGTACCATTTTGATAACCCGCAATCTATTGCGACCTCTCTAATGAACATTATCCGATAATTAGTTGGCCAGGTTTTTCGTGGTTGTGCCTGTAGTCCGGTTAAGCAGAGTTATGTTCCTGTGCGGCTGAGCTGCTGCTGGCTTCCACCAGGCTGAAAGTCAACTACACGTTTTAGCGATGAATCTTGTTTGGTGGGGGAATCCAGTCATTATAATAGATATCTCGGCATTTAGCGCCATATTAAGCTTTAGAGTATTCTGAATATGGCCCTTTCAGAAATCACAACCCCAGCAGAAACCTCTTAATCGCCATGCCCCTTCCACCAAAACGATCAGCTCAATGGTGATCTCGATGCATCACTTGATTATCTGTTGACGGCTGGTGCCTAGCGCACTGGAATCAGGCATCCGAGGCAACCCTTCCATCTTTAGATAGCTTCGTCTCTTCTCTCTCCATCTATCGATTACCATCTCTCTCGTGTCTCTGCTTCCTTCTAGTAGCACCCTCCGACATTATATTCCTGGAGATCTCCGTAGTTGCTCTATTTGATATCTCAGCTTATTTTTCCGATTTTCCTTCGGCTTTTTCCTTGCTGATCTGCTGATACATCTCAAAGCTTGCGTCGCCTAGCCGAGGACCCCCAGTTCTGGCTGCCATGTTTTATCGCGAGTTGGGTGTGATACGACAAAATACACAACTAGGCTAAAAATTGAAAAAGTGCACGCTAAGAAAACGCCTGTAATATGCTATTATCTGTTCTGACATATTTGGGGGCCATTTTAGTCATCTGATGGCGGGGTATACTAGTGAATTGCCAATGGGCGCTTAGACAAGCTTCACGATCCATAACCCATCCGAGTCTGGCAAACGGCCACCATGACATCTGCCGTTTCATTTGGAAACCAAAATACTGGGGTCCAATTGAGTGAGAACCACGGCAATCTCACTATACAGCTCCGTGAGTCTTAGATTCTGCGCCAGTGCATAGGAATGTATAGCTGACAGCTACTGAGCGGGGTAAACAGAGCAACCTGCAGATGAAGCATGCCTAAGAGACCTGCGGACGACAGATCCGCGAGATGACAGAAACCGTATTGAGCAGGCTAAGGGCGGGCTTTTGAAAGATTCTTTCCGCTGGATCCTCAGCAATGAAGGGTTTAAGCAATGGCAAAATACCCAAAACAACCGTCTCCTCTGGATTAGAGGTGATCCGGGAAAAGGAAAAACGATGCTGCTATGTGGTATTATCGAGGAGTTGACAAATTCCGTTGACGAGGGCTCAAATATCTCTTTCTTTTTCTGCCAGGCCTCCGATGCGCGAATTAACAGCGCCACTGCCGTTCTCCGTGGCCTGATCTATCTGCTTGTTGAGAAGCAACCCTCCCTGATTTCACATGTGCGGAGTCGATACGACAAGACTGGAAAGGCTCTTTTCGAGGACAAGAATGCATTCTATGCCGTCTCGGAAATTTTCACTCGAATTCTGAAAGACCCGACATTGAAAACCACCTACTTCATAGTCGATGCGCTGGACGAATGCATGACAGATCTCACTTTACTTCTTGCCTTGATCACCCGGGATTCCTCTTCTCCTTCACAAGTGAAATGGATTATCTCTAGTCGAAACTGGCTTGAAATTGAAGAGCAACTGGAGACGACGGACCAAACATCTCCGATATCGTTGGAGTTGAACGAGACATCTGTCTCCGAAGCGGTCGAAATTTTCATTCGGCATAAAGTTGAGAAACTGTCGAAGATGAAGAAATACACCCAAGAAATTCAGAGCACCGTCAGCGATTATCTCTCGCTGAATTCGCAAGGGACCTTTCTTTGGGTGGCGTTAGTCTGTTCGGAGCTCGCCAAGATATCGCGATTGATAACACTCAAGAGACTCGAAGCATTCCCTCCTGGGCTCAATGATCTGTATGATCGGATGATGGACCATATCCGGTACTCAGATTCGGTGGATGCAGAGATTTGTTTGCGAGTGTTGTCGATCGTTTCGACGCTGTACAGACCGCCAACACTGCATGAGCTCAAAGGCTTTCTTGAGGAAGAAGATAATGAGTATGATTCCGAAGATGTTTCGGAGATCATTGCGCGATGTGGATCATTCTTGACGACACGAGAAGATGTTGTTCGCTTCGTTCATCAGTCCGTGCAAGACTTTTTGAAGTTGTCAAGCGATGTGTTTCCCCGGGGTTTAGAAGTTGAACATCATGCAATATTTGTGCGATCCCTACATTTAATTTCCAAAAATCTGAAGCGCAACATATTCGGCGTCAATTCTCCTGGATTGTCCGTCGAAGAAGTGAGAGAGCTTGAACCTGATCCGAGCCCACTCATGACCGTGCGATACGCATGCGTTTATTGGGTTAACCATCTTCGGGATAGTAAGTGCAACAGCCTCGATGAGGTGATCGGTATAGTGGATCAATTTTTACATGAAAAATATCTCCATTGGCTTGAAGCTCTTGGAATATTGGGGAGTATATCTTCTGGCATAGCGAGTATGTTAAGACTAGAGAGCTTACTACTGGTAATGATCTTGAATACTACTCCTGTGAACACTTTATATACTGTGCGTTCTTTCTAACGCTCGAGTCTATATCTAGATGAGGAAAGCGCCTCGAAGTATATTGAATCAAGCCCACGACGCCTCGAGATTTGCTCAATATCATCGGGTAGCAATCGAAAATAGTCCTCTCCAAGTTTACAGCTCTTGTATTATCTTCAGTCCCGTTAAAAGCTTGACACGGATTTGCTACCAAGGAGAGGCGCCAGATTGGGTAATGCGCACTTCATTCGTGCACGAAGAATGGACCCCATGCATCCACACTCTCGAGGGGCACACCTCAGGTGTCATATCAGTTGCTTGGTCACTAGACGAAAGTGGGCGACTCGCATCCGCGTCACATGGCGGGATGATCAAAATTTGGGATTCTGATACAGGAGAGTGTCTCTCCACTTTGACTGGACATACTGATGAAATTTGTGAGGTTATTTGGTCGCCAGATAAAAGTGGACGACTCGCATCAGGCTCCGAAGATAGGACGATCAAGATCTGGGATTCGAATACAGGGCGATGTCTCTCCACAATTACTGGACACAGTCTAGGAATAAATTCAGTCAGATGGTCAAAAGATGGAAGAAAGCTTGCGTCAGCGTCGGACGATTTGACGATCAAGATCTGGGATATTGCTACAGGTAGCTGTATTTTTACGCTAGAAGGACACACCAAAGCAGTTAAATTGGTTGCTTGGTCACCAGCAAAAACTGAACGACTCGCATCAGCATCCAATGATTACACTGTTAGAATTTGGGACGCGATAAAGGGTCAGTGTATTTTCTGTCTTTGCGACGATGAAATTCCCATATCGATAACTGGTCCGCCCATAACTGCGATTGCCTGGTCACCAGATGGGAACACATTTGCAATAGCTCTCGGGCGTACGATTGAAGCTTGGAAATTTTCCACCGATCATTCGGAATTCCTTTTCGGTCTCGAAGGATATGCAAGCGATGTTTATTCCATTTCTTGGTCGAAAGATGGAAGAAGGCTTGCATCGGCGACTGCTCATGGGACCATTGTAATTTGGGATATGTGGCATCAAGATCCCTTTTTTTCAATCATAGGTGGTCATTCCCTAGCAGCTACCTCGGTGGCCTGGTCGCAAGATGGAACACGACTTGCATCCTCATCTGAAGATGTTACAATCAAAATCTGGGATCCAGACACTAGCCACGATCTCTCAATCATTCCCACGCCTACCGATTTGATTAGATCAATGGCTTGGTCCCCGGGTGGCAAAATGCTTGCTTTGGCATCCGAAAATAAGACAATCAAAATTTGGGATTCAACTACTGGGGAATGGATCTTCAATTTTGAAGAAAATGATATCGAGCCCTACTCAATCACATGGTCACCAGATGGAAGTCAACTTTCATTGGCATCATATGACAAGAGTCTTAGGGTCTGGGATATGGACACCGGGAAATGTAAATTGGCTATGGGAGGAAATGAGCCTCCTCGTGTTATATCACATGCCTGGTCACCAGATGGAAAGAAACTCGTGTTCGGATCAACCGATGGCACAGTTCATATCCGGGATTTGAACATAGGAACTTCTATTCATATGCTCCAGGATTGGCAGCGTGATGATGTTATTCTGGTGGACTGGTCACCGGATGGAAGCCAGCTCGCATCCAAATTAGACAACGAAACGATTAGGGTCTGGGATCTAGAGACTTCCCAGTGCAGAATTACTCTTCGCGACGCAGAACATGTTGAAGGATACGACGCGAGCGATAAAATTGCCTGGTCAACAGAGCAAAATCTGCTTGCGTGGTGTCATGTTGAAGGTTCGGATAGCACAACTAGAGTTTGGGATTTGACAACTGGAAAGATGATTTATATGTGTCATCAGCCCACCCCACGAACTCACTCTTTCCTCAGCTTTGATGATAAGACCCCCAATCATCTACACACATCATGGGGTTTATTGGATATCAGTTGTGCTGACTTAAATACGACGAGTCACCGTATCTCAGCCTACTCTTCTGGACCGTGCGGATATAATCTAAGTGAGGATGGTGTTTGGATCACATACAAAGGGACCAATATACTTTGGTTGCCCCCTGAATACCGATCTGATGCTCGATCCGTGGCCGCAATTTCCGGAACAAATATAGCAATCAATTGCCCATCGCATCGCATCATGATTATTCAATTCGCGGAGCAGAATCCCATTGTTCCCCCTTGAAAACTGGGTTTTCTGCATGTCTTGCAGATCCTGATGTATTTTCGAATCATCTAATAAATATCAAACTGTTTTGAAATCCCGGGTCTTTTTAATCCTTTCAATTCTTGATTGCGTAACTTGAGGTAAGTAGTCAGGGCTTAAATCTGATCTCCCAAAGTCTATAACAAGGGCAGTATTAAATGACTGTGTTTGGAAGCCTTTTAGAACTATAATTATGCGCTACCAGGCATACTGCACTCGGGCTGATGGACCCCGAAGTCCCTTGACTTCCCCGCATTTCCCCGGGTCTGTCGATAATAACTGCACCAATGAGGGAGCTCGAGGCCTATTTTACAGAAATCTTCCCACGGAACTATGCATCACAATGCCTGATGAATTACTCCAGGGTCTTGCCGAGGAGGGCCTTCGGCCTTTACTACCCAAGGAACAAGTTATTTGAACTTGAAATACCCTACCTCGTGAAAGATCCACCCCTGCAATTCACATCGAGTCAAACGATTCAACTAGATACATACTGAAAAAATAATACGCCTTACCTAGGATGAGGATTCTATCTCTATTCGGTGGAGCGCTGGCATTCACAACCAGTGCTGCTGCTGCATACGAAAACCCCCTCATCCACCTTGACTACGGAAGCTTCCAGGGTAAATATGATAACACCTACAACCTCAGCTATTTCCGGAAAATTCCCTACGCCTCACCACCAACAGGCGAAAACCGTTTCCGCTCACCACAACCCCCAGCAACCATCACAGATGGGATCTACAATACCGACCAGGACTTCGACATGTGTCCCCAACGGACGGTCAACGGCTCAGAAGACTGTTTGTACCTGGGTTTATTTTCCCGACCCTGGGATACGTCAAACGCAAAGACAAAACGGCCGGTTCTAGTTGTGTTCTACGGCGGCGCATTCATCCAAGGGAGCGCATCATTCACTATGCCCCCATCTTCATACCCGGTTTTGAACGCGAGTACTTTGAACGATTACGTGGTCATATATCCGAACTACCGCGTCAATGCGTTTGGGTTTCTACCCGGAAGAGCAATTAAGAAGTCAAAAACCTCGGATTTGAATGCTGGACTACTAGATCAACAATATGTCCTCAAATGGGTGCAAAAGCACATTCATCTTTTTGGCGGTGATGCAAAAAATGTTACCATCTGGGGCCAATCCGCGGGAGCGGGCTCGGTTGTTGCGCAGGTCCTTGCCAATGGGCGTGGTAAACAGCCGAAGTTATTCAGCAAGGCTTTGGCCAGTTCGCCGTTCTGGCCGAAGACGTATAAGTTTGATGATGTTGAGGCGGAGAGTGTGTTTGATGCTTTTGCTAACTTGACTGGCTGTGCTGAGGTGGGGAATGACGGTGTGGTAGATTGCTTGAAAAGCGTTGATGCACAGGTGATTCGGGATGCAAGTCTTGTTATCGATGCGCGGAGTACTTGGACAACGACTTCTTATACGTGGGCTCCCGTTATTGACGGGGAGTTTTTGAAGGATAGCCTGAGTGAGGCTGTTAGTGGGGGAAAAAAATTGGAGACAGAATTCGTCTGGGGGATGTACAACAGCCACGAAGGAGAAAACTTTGTTCCGACGGGACTGAAGTCGGTTGAAAGCGTCAATGGGTTTAACTCCTCCGCGGAGGGATTCCGGTATTGGTTGACGGGCTTCTTGCCTCGATTCTCCGAGAGCCAGATTCGGCTTGTTGAGGATGTTTATTATCCGGCAGTTGGCAGTACGGAGACAATAGATGACTACAATAGCACGTTTGTGCGGGCTGGATTGGTTTATCGTGATGTTGTGCTTGCTTGTCCCGCTTACTGGGTTGGTTCTGGCGCGGAGGAGAAAGGGTATCTCGGGGAATATACGATTTCGCCGGCTACTCACGGGAGTGATACAATTTATGTGAGTTGAGATTTCCGGAAAAATGGATATGTGGCTAATAATGATACAGTGGAATCGAATAAATGCTGTTCAGACGACCAATCCTGTTGTCTACAAGGGTTATGCGGGTGCCTTTGCCAGTTTCTTCCAAACTGGGGACCCGAATGCGCATAAGTTGACAAATTCTTCGGAACCGGGTGTACCAAGTTTGCAGAAAACTGGAGAGGAATTCGTTGTAGTCGATGATGGATTTGAGAATATTCACACAGACCAATTGAAGAAGAGATGTGACTTTTGGAGGAAGTTGGGAAAGAACATTCCAGTTTGATCGTGGAAATCAATGGAACACAGCTTAGAAAAACATGCACGATATACGAATGGAAAATGTTATGATGATGCAATAAATGCGATCTTGTTACCATTTTGTGCATTTCACACGGTCAACCTTGGGAACAAAGAGTCCTAGTACCAAGATCGAGACTTGCTCACTGCTTATTTTTCTTGAAGACTTGGATTCGCCCGAATTAAAAATGACTTCACCTTCTTCGACATATTCTAATTACACTCTATCGTACCCGAAACCAAATTTCACTTTCTACATAAGATTATTAAGCTTGCAAGGATGTGAGCAATTGAGGGTGATTCCGTGACAAAAATATCGAGATTGGATCTTCGGAAGTAGTTCTACAGACATAGATTTAGTCAGGGGAGAGATCTAGTTTATCAGTTGCCTTGAAAGGCTAGCTGGAACTTACTACCGTCGTGTTAATCTTTGTTACAATTTCATTTCTGTTCGTCCCACTTTCAGTGCTAGCTCCAGGGCTTAAGGAGCTCTTACGATTGGCTTCAGTTAACATTGAGAGTATGAGGTGTGATATATTTCAATTGCTATACTATGTAGATACACTGACGGGATAATGCAGTCTTTCAACCCCTTCCCGGGCGTGCGGTCTTCAAATTTGTGAGCATACACTAGTAATAGATAGTTAGTAACTAACCAGTTTTGCTGGCTCAAAGATGTCACTCAAGTCAATTTTCTCAACTTGAAGAAGGACTGGACCAATGACGTCGGTGAGATCCACGTCTTGATCCGCCAACTGATTCACTGAGTTCTCCATAACCCTTTTAATCTCTTGCATCTGGATACCAGAACCTCTATCGAACAATGCTGTGGTTTCGCTTCTAGTGCTTGGGCATAAACTCCATAGGCATTGGCCCACTGGATCATTCTTTCGGAAATTTCTGCACGCGAGGGAAGAGGATTTTGGCTAGTGAAATATAAGTCTGTCCATGCACTCAAAGTTACTGTGGCGTTAAGATGAGCCGCAGAAAATCCCATGGAAACTTTCACAGGCACCATGGTGGCAGTTAATCAGTACGGATAGACTTGGGTGTTTGTAAATAAGCAATGAAAAGGTGGTTGGTAATTATATTACAGGCTAATGGAACTTGAGCCTGAAGTGGCTCTTATAGAAAGACGTTCATGGGATGCCTCAGGTATCTACAGCTGGTCATTTCAACTCGAAATTGAGCGATTCCTTTGGTAACTGAAAGGAATCAACCTCTTTTTTGTTGTCTTTGAGAGATCTAAGACAATAGACTAAGACCATCGGAAAATAATCAGGTTGACGAGAAAGAAAAAGAAAGCGTTTTGAACAAAGAAGATGAAACATGCCGAATCGGGGTGCCACCGTAAATAGCTACCCTGCCAGTCTTGCAAGTTAGCTACTAGTAACTAACTGGAGCCAATTTCCGAGCGCAGGTTTATTTAAGTTAAAGTTTTCTTTTGAGAATAATGAGCTATCTATTTACATCTATAACTCTATGATAGTTGTTGTGACATATTTGCAAGTTGAGAAACGCTTAATATACCACCGGCTTATTCTCTCCCAGGGACAGACTTCCACTCCGCAAACTCAAAGTGTGCGGGCTCAAAGCATGGTTTCCCGTAAGCACCCTGAGCATAAATTGCGAAATGCGACCCGGTATTAGGGGATTCCTTCCCAGACCGACGGTGCGTCAATGCCTTGCTGGATATTTCACCCAATTTGACGGGCTCTGAAGGAGTGGATTCGCCCTGCTGCACTGAGAAGAAGAGCTCGTATCGGGTAGGAGAGGCACGGATGACAAGTTCAATATCCCCACATTCCAGTGGTAATTGATGTGTAAGTTCCTGTTCATCTAGTTAGGCCACTGGCATTGTAGCTCTGTGATTGATACGACATACCTTAAACTGATCTTCAATCTCATCGTAACAACGTGATACCATCTCCAGTCCGCACTTGTCCTCGTCAAATGGTTTTCGGAGTCCGATCGAAGCGTGGGCATATTGAGACCACCAGATAGCTGTTCCAGCTTCATGGCCAGCCTCTGTGGGTGCGAAATTAAACTTGACACTCCAGTCACCAGAGAATCCAGTCTGCTTCTGTAGTAGCATAGACGGACATTCAGGATCGTCGATACGATACGCATTCCCATACAAACTTAATGACCCCGGTCGTTCCGTCAAAGAATAATCCTTCTTCAAGGGCGTTCGGAGGTGATACCAGCCAAGCTGGAGTGTTGAATCTTGAAACTCGTCCCTCCAGACCTCTGGCTGCGCGAGAAGTTGCATACCCTCTGCCTGCATTTGGAGACTGATGGGTTGGCGACCGTTGACAATTGGCCAGCCATCAATCCATTCAACGGGACTCATGAAGGTTTCGCGACCAAGTTGTGAGATCAGTTCGGTCTGTTCACCTTGAGGCCGAACTCCCAAGAACACGGCAAACCACTTGCTGTCTGGAGTTTCGATGAAATCCAAATGTCCCGTGTTTCGGATTGAAGGATCATTACCGTTGAAAATCACGGGATTGACAGTCCCCTGGGGACCTTCCTCCCACGGTCCAAACGGTCCCGTGGTACTGCGGAAAATCCATTGCTGGTGACCTTCATCGGTGCCGCCCTCGGCCGTACTCAGGTAGTAGTAGCCATCCTTTTTGAAGATGTGAGGACCCTCGGCAATGCCAAGGCCGAAGTTGGACAATCTATTCCACTTGGCTGGCCCCAGGCACCGTCCAGTGGCGAGATCAATTTCCGCGGTGAATGTGGCTAATCCAAGACCGTGCTTTTTCACTCTCGGGTCGGTGATCATGTTGACCGCAGAAAAATACACCTTACCATCGTCATCGAAGAAAAGCTTTGCCACGAGTTAGAATTGTCAAGTTCCTTTATACTGTGGAGACTGGCTACTTACATCTTGGTCAATTCCAGGGACGTCGAAGAAGGTTGGATCGGACCAAGAAGACGAGTCCCAGATATTTGTGGTGGTCACATAGAAACCACGAGGGATGACAATATCCTGCCCAGCGTTAACTTGTCAATCCTTTTCTCTTGCACAAGACCAGAACCTCGAGAAGAACTAACCCATTCTTTTGGGCGGAAGCGATGAGTGCATCCTAGAGAAACATAGAATTTTCCTTCGTGATAACGAATTGACGGCGCCCAGAGTCCACCTGATGGTTCGGTCGTTCGCATATTAATTTGCGAATGCCTGGTGATGACATGACCGATAAGATCCCATTTCAGAAGATCTTTGCTGTGGTAGACCGGAATTCCAGGATAGTACTCAAACGTTGAAGTTACTAGGAAGTAATCGTCATTCACCCGACAGATTGAAGGATCCGGGTTGAATCCGGGAATGATGGGGTTGTTGAAGGCTCCGCTGGAAGACATCGTGAGACCGAAGTTTATGTATACCGTAATACCTGCGCGACGCTCCCTTTGTACCACGTTAGAAAGGGCAGGATCGTGTTTTCCTCCCGGCGCTGCGACTTTCTGATTTCCATCCGTGTTCTATTTGAATCCAGGATTGGTGGGGAAATGGGAAGAAGTGGAGTGAGTTTTCATGTGGAGTGGAGGTGGAGTGGAGGTGGACGGCCTCGGCTTGTCACGGCGTGGATTTACCATGTAGGAGTTTACCGAACCAAACATGGTTTCACTGATCCATTGGCTTATTGAGAAGTCGGTCGAGAATCTCCCCAAAGGACACTGCCAGTCGTACACACTTAACGGCACGTAGCCCGTCCCGGGCACCTGCAACTTGGTCAAAAAGCGAGTTCACAGCTTGTGGCGAGTCTTCGGCACTCGGTTGATTTCGATTGTCATCACTGCCAATTTCCGTTCGGGGGGCTTGTGAAATGTTTGACGTGTTCAAATCGACAGGCATCAGATCGCCACTTCCAAATTGAGATATGGCCCAGCTAGTGAGACCGCCAATGAACAAAGAGACCGCTAATTCGTACCCACTCCTCTGTGCATCACCAGCAAAAATTGCTTCGTGCGCTGCATCTAACATTTGACTGTTGCACGCAAATATCTTCTGGACTCTCTCTCCTTGCAGCCAATTGCGCAATGACTGCATAGCCAGTCCGATATCCGCATCTGAGCCAGATCTACCGGCAACAATATGGAGGTCTGAAAAATTCAGATGGAGTGCCAGACTCGCGAGGTGATAGAGGAGAATTCCCGATGAGCTCTTCGAATTTCGATTGGTAAAGTCTTCTTGGTTGCAATCTCCGTAGGCGGAGGCCCAATTTCTGAGGCAGCCTTCAAGCCATTTCCGTCGCTCTTGTAGCGAGATACCAATGTTCTCGGGTGCCAGGGAGATAGGAGACGTAATCAGTCCTGTTGGATTGAGCATGCAGATTGTTTGTCGCCACTCGAAGACGTGCGTATGCAGGACATAGGCGTAGAGAGTCTTGCAAAAATCATCCAATGCTGGGAATGGAAGGACCCCCGGGATTTCATTGTGTAAAAGGATGGTCGTCAATGTTGTAAGGAAATACGTGCTTGGTGGAATCTCGGCCGGTCCAAGTAGGGCTTTCCATGCCCATGCTGTTGGTGCATTCCAAAATATTTCTGAACAAGGCAGTGAGGCATTGACCGTCTCTGCCTTGCTGATGTATGGCTGACGCTGGAATACTGCTGCCATTTGACAGTCCAGCAACTAAAGATAAATCTCATGAGACAGTGGTTCCCATGTTGGTCTTTCGGTCAGGCACTAAGAAGACTTACATATATGCAGAGCCCTAGGCGTTTCTTTTGTTCAACAATGATCCACTTTGACCATGCTTCTTCGAATCGGTTCAAATTTGATCTCGACGGGATCTGAGGCGAGGCGTTGGGTTTCATTCGGCAATCCAATAGCTGACCCCGTCGGCAATAGACAGCCAGCTCACCACGGTCACATTCAGCACGCTCATATGCTGCCTTTTGACCTACCCACATCGCCGAAAAAGAGACTAGCAAGAACGCTAATAGGTTTTCGGGCGAACACAGCTGTAGAAGAAAGAATATCAGCTTCAATGACTCGCACACGTAGAAAGTATTTCATCGCACATAGCTCTGATCCCTCTCCTGCATCAACTTGATTGAAGTTCTTGTTCTTGCAAGATATGTCAGGGCGAATTTGTTTTGATTTGATTCCGAGTAACTGGATCCCACAATTGCCATAGCTAGCAAGAGGTTTGGCGAAGAGTTATTCGGGTTGAATGTAGGGATATGTAGTACCGGGAATCGAGGCTGGACATGCACAAAAAAGAGCTGGAGAAAGTATGAGATGATGGGTAATGGGGGAAACGATTGAGCGCACTTCCCCTTGTCACTGCAGAAGTTGTCGATGAGAGGTGCGGTAACGGTATCCATCATCGACATATGAGTTTCACTTGAAAGAGAAATATTCGGGTTCAAAGATGGTGGATTTGTGACGAACGCATTTTTTCGTTCATCAGCGTCAACGTACGCAGCTGATCCCGAAATTTCCCGAGGCTGTGTTCGAGCTTGCCATTCTCGAGCTTCTTTCTCTCGTGCACCAGCCAGCCCAATGACACGTGGATCCTCGCTTCCACCTTGGTTAAGAGTTGAGTCATCCAGCTGGATTGAAGCGTTCAATTCCTCATGTTCATGCATGAAGTCCAACGGGCTATGTGTAGATGCGTCGTTGGATAGGAAGTCCAATGTCCACCCTAAATTGACATCTGGCAGGCCTTCGCCATAGAATGGCCACTGCAAATCCCAGTCTAGTAATTGGACCTGGCCGGAAGACGCAAGTAGCAGACCGGATTGACTACGTGGCGAATCCACGGGAGTTGAGACTGTTTGATCGGAATTCCCTCTCAAATTTGATAAAGTATTCATCATGGTGGGTGTTTCCGTCCTTTGATCTCTGTGTCTGGTGATATCATCGTGTGAGGCTTGTGGACAGGAATAGGCCCCTGAGGCATTCTCGCTTTGATCTGAGTCAAAAATGACTCTTTCTGTACTAGAGTGAGATATATTTGCTTCGTTTTCGTGGACCTTTCTATGTCTGGACAAAAGATCGCTAGAGGTCCAAGATGTCAGATCCTTTTCAACCCAAAGATGTGCCGGGAGTCAACCCTCACCTTCTCATAAACCTGCTGGGACATTGTGGACAAGAATATGGTTTGGTATTCCTATCGTCTGTCATATCACACCAGTGAGGATGTCAGCACCAGAATGGGAGTACAACCACCTCCATTGGCCGAGAGTGGATCTTACGCGTCGATCGCTGATGTCTCACCAGATTCTCGCGACGGGAATAGGACTTTGGACACTGCGTGCATCTGTGCGTGTTTGGGGTCAGATTCTTCTCCATTGGATCAGAACATCCAAAAACCTCAAGTGGAGTATGAATTGTCGGGACTGAGCAGGGATAGCGATGGAGTAGTGGACGTTGTTGTGGACTTGGGGAAGATGTGGAGGAAGGTGGAGGAAAGTGGAAGGAAGTGGAGGTGAAAGTGGAGGTGGAGTGGACGGCACGTGTTCGGGTGGAAGTCCCGAGGGTCGAAGTAGATCTACTTTACAATAATTACAAACAAGGTTACGAGTCATTCTCAATTTTTGGCTATCTTTCTCTTCTTCGAGATATTGATTTGTCGATTCTACTAGCAGGGGCCTTTTGGATATGCCGGATATTCAAGCTTTCGCGTCTGCCAATGGCTCAAATCCGGGGTCTCATTATCGGGACCAGCTATCTCATCTTTCTCTAGAGGAAAAGGTTTCTCTGCTTTCTGGTGTTAGTTTCACAAGTACTGCTGGGATAGACCGACTATCCATACCCCCATTAAAGGTTAGCATTCGAGCACGACACCCAATTGTGACAATGCACGGTCAGCTAACATCATGTATATGTAGGTCAGTGACTCGATCAACGGTGTTCGCGGTTCCCAATCACACCTTGAAGACACCGGTACAGCTTGTTTTCCAAGCTCGACCTGCCTTGCCTCAACATGGAACACCAGTCTCATGAGAGAATTCGGCAAAGAAGTTGCCATACAAGCCAAATCGAAATCGGTCCAAGTGGTGCTTGGCCCCAACATCAATCTTCATCGGGATCCACGAGCCGGTCGCAATTTCGAAGCATTTAGCGAAGATCCTCTAGTCACCGGCGAATTGGCTGCTGCCATCGTCAATGGAATCCAGTCTCAGGGTGTGGGTGCATGCGTGAAGCATTTCGTCGCCAACGAAAGCGAGACGGTTCGCAGACGGTACAATGTTGATGAGTCGGGGGACAGTAGGACCATGCGGGAAATCTACCTGCGCACATTTCAGCACTTGCTGCGTCGGGCAAACCCAGTCGCAATAATGACAGCGTGAGTGCTGTTTGCCATTTCTGACCCTGGAATGCAATTGAGCTGACCGATCCTTCCTCCAGCTATAATGCTCTCGATGGCCATTTCTGTAGTCAGACTCCTCTGATAAAGTCATTACTTCGTGATGATTGGAATTACGATGGCTGTATGATGTCTGATTGGTATGGAACGAAGAGTACGGCTGAGGCACTCGACGCTGGCCTTGACCTGGAGATGCCCGGGCCATCTGTTTTCCGTGGCTCGAAGCTAATGGACGCCATAAAACGCAAAGATATCTCCGAAGAAGCCCTGGATTGCGCGGTGGCGAACGTTCTGACAATGATTGATCGGACCAATCCCAGTCATAGCGACAAGGAGGAACAAACTTTGATTTGCGATTCAACCAGCGCGATGGCATTGAGAGCTGCGTCAGAGGGAATCGTGCTACTCAAGAATGACAACAATATTCTCCCACTTGACATGAGTGGCAATCTGAAGGTAGCTCTTATTGGAGCTGCTGCTGCCAATCCATCTATTACCGGTGGAGGGAGCGCATGCGCCAAGCCTCAATACGTCTATACTCCGTTGAACTGTTTCCAAGACGCGTGTAACGATCCTAAGCAGGTTTCCTTTGCGCATGGTGTCAACGCTCATTATGTTGTGCCCCTGATGCCCGTCAACATGATGAAGTCTCGAGAGGGGCTCCCAGGTGTGACTGTGGACTATTTCTTGGATGGTTCTGACTCGCCCGTCTATTCTGAGAATTCTGAGCAGCCTGTCGTGGTGATGCTTGGAAGATTGAAGCCAGGTTTGACTCAAACCGGATTCCATTTTATCATGGAGACAACCATCACCGCAAACCAAAGTGGGAATCACACGTTGGCTGTGCAAGCCACTGGAGAGTTCACATTGTGTGTAGATGGAATCGAGGTAAGCTTGCCGAAATCACACTATTACACTCAAAAATGCACTTATCTAAATCATGTTTACAGATACTTTCACGGCCTGCTCCTGTCATGACAGTCGAAGATTTTCTGTTTGAACCGAAGAAATTGGAAAATGCCATCGAGTTCTACATGGAGGCCCACAAACCTTACAAAGTCAAATTAAGAACTCATTCTCGTGATATTCCTTCGCCCGACGGGGAGATCTCTCCACATTCGGCGAAATTGTGTTTCATGGAAGAACACAACGATCGCGTCGCCATCGCCGAGGCAGTCAACGTCGCTGCTCGCTCGGATGTCAGCATTATTTTCGGGGGTCGCACACACGAACACGAATCTGAAGGGTTCGACCTCCAGACCCTGAAACTGCCTGAGAGCCAAGTCCGCATGATCAAAGCAGTTGCTAGTGTATCCAAGAAAACAGTCCTTGTCATGCACTGCGGAAATCCCATCGATGTTTCTGACTTTATTGATGACGTTGATGGGGTTGTGGCAGCACATTTCCCTGGACAAGAAGGAGCACAAGCCATCGTCAACATTATCACCGGAAAGACAAATCCTAGCGGAAAATTGGCTACCACATGGCCCCTACGGCTGGATGAGACCTGTGTTCCGTCATTTGGAAACTTCCCGGCTCAAGACCATGGTAATGGGCCGGTCATTCGATACCGCGAGGGTTTGCAAATGGGCTACAGATCTCCCAACGCCTCGTCTTCTGTCCGTTGGCCCTTCGGATATGGCTTATCATATTCTAGCTTTGAGTATAAAAACCTAGAAGTCCTTTCGTATGACTCTATGAACGGTGACATGCCCCTCAAAAACTCCAGCAAGACGGTTAACATCGCCGTCGACGTTCAAAATACAAGCGAAAGGGCTGGGTATGAGGTGATTCGGGTTTACAGCCAACCTCCGCTCCATTCCATGGTCTGGAGACCTCAGTCTGAGTTGATTGCATTCACTAAGGCATGGCTTGAGCCAAACGAAACTAGACGGGTCGGCCTCTCGGTGTCTCAGCGGGACATTAGCGGCTATTGGGATACCGTGGCTCAATGCTGGCGGTCTCTCAATGGCAGTTACACTATTGCTACGGGGGGGCTGTGCAGCACATCTGCAAATAGAGGATGTGGGAACTTGGAATGGCCTTTGAAAGCAATGTATGAATACATCAACCTATAAATAGAATATCTCTTTGTATTTCGACGTTAGGGTTCGCATTGTAGTTGAAGCATTTGGCATTACAACCTTGGAGTTTACGAATCTACTACATTTATTTTCAAAATCATGTCTCAAGCTGTTTATATCAGCTTCCAAAACCCCTACAAACAAACTTTGAATCCATTGCTGAATCCCAAAACCCATGGTCAATGGATAAAATGAACTTGAGATTAGGCAAAACCTCTTGGACAAATTTGTCATTGATTGATTTTCTCTTTACTGAAAGTCCCGAGAAATCAGACCACATCACTCCACCTACACCCGGACCGTCCACCGTCCGCCGTCCACTCCGCCTCCTCCACCTTTCACCCTCCACTTCCGTGGTGTTCACCCGAAATCTGTCACAGGAGAACCCCATGCTTCGGCTTTTCCGCTTTTCCCCAGTTTTCCAACCCCGTCGCGTCCGATAATGTGGGGAGACATTTTGATTATATATGCATGAGCGTCGGATCGGCATTCCTCGCCTTTGGAGGTTCGAAATTGACTTCGCTTGTCTCAGGCCTGGTTTTCCGTATCGAAGTTTGCTTTGATCCTGCTGTGGTTATCTTGCAATGGCTTCTCTGCATCGCAGCCCATCCGTCCATTCGATTCCCCTCGAGGATGAGAAAAATGGGAATGGCAGAGCAGAGATGGTTGAGACAATCTCTCAAACGCACGAAAGGGTGGAAGAGGAAGGTGCTTGGGCTTCAGCAAAGAAGAACCCCAAAGTCATTTTCTACAGCATGGCTGCTTGCATAAGCTCGATGCTATGGGGCTTTGATATCGGTGAGATTTGACCGGTCTATTGATCCAGGGAGCTGAATACTGACTATACCTTTGCTGTGTTTAGGCGTCAACTCTATAAGTGTGGCATTGCCGGCATTCAAAATGGTATTTGGGTACGAATATGAGGGCGAACTCTTGATCTCAGCCACATGGAATGCGTTGTGGACTGCGATGACTTCGCTTGGAATGTTGATTGGTGAGATACTACCAAGTCTTGGAGAATTCATAATTGTTCCAAACTGACTTCATTCAAGGCAGTATCATCTGTGGCTGGGTGTCAGATCGACACGGGCGACGACTAGGATTCGGAATAGGCTCGGCCATTTCTTTGCTTGGTGTCGGCCTTGAGTATGCTGCCAAAGAGCCCGGTATGCTTCTTGCTGGCAAGATCGTGAGTGCTCGCCTCATTCTAGCCCCTTGTCACGGGCTTCTAACTCCCCATACATCTAGATCAACGGTCTTTCGCTAGGTTTTTTTCTGACCCTAGGTTCCACATATGCCTCCGAGATCGCACCAACTGCCCTGCGTCCTTCTTTAACCGCTGCTGTCAACCTCTTTATCAATACCGGTCAGCTCATGGCTATCGGTATTGGCAACACTCGATTTGCTATAATGCTACCTTCATCTTATAAGGTGATATTTGCCGCACAATGGGCGTTTCCTTGTTTTATTGGAGTGCTGGCAATGTTCATGCCCGAAAGCCCTTGGTATCTCCTCCGCAAAGGTCAGACTGAGCAGGCAAAGAAGAGTCTGCAGAGACTGCATCTGAAGACAGCTGACACAACCTCAATTCTGGAGGAAATCCAAGCTTCCATTGCTGCTGAAAATGCGATTGCAGATATTCAAAAGAATACTTCGTACTGGGACTGCTTCCGGGGCACTAATTGGCGTAGGACTCGCATTTCTTGTGGAATGTTTGCGGTCCAGCAGTTCACTGGTATCGCTTTTTATTCGCAGGCCTTGTACTTCCTGGGGATTTCCGGTCTACCGACCGCTCTTACTTTCCAACTCGCGCTGGGAGGCTTCGGTGTGGCTATGCTTGGAAACATCGTCTCATGGTTCATCATGAATTATATAGGTAGGTCAACGCTTTTCCTTTCCCCCCCCACTGCTTCAATGTGCTCCGGAGCTCACGTCTTATTTACAGGTCGTCGCCCGCTCCTTCTGACCGGAATTTTACTCAATGGTCTCTGTTTGATGTCTGTTGGTGTTGCCGGATGCTTCACTAGCATGGCCGCACTTTATTATATTGGTTATGTGATGAACTTTGCCCAATTATTTTATGCTCCTACAGTTGGAGCTGTAAGCTGGACCATTAGTGCAGAGGTGAGCTCGGTAAATGTTCGAGCCAAAACGCAAAGTCTGGCAATTGGAACCAATGCGTTGGTCAGCTGGGCGATGAACTTCGTTGCCCCTTACCTTATTAACACTGATCAGGGTAAGTTTTGATTCAATCAATTGTTTTTTGGTAACCCGCATGCTGATTCAATTCTACTAGCAAATCTCGGAGGCAAGGCTGCATTTGTATGGATGGCTTTGTCTTTTGTGAGTCTGGCTTGGGCTTGGTTTGAGGTTCCCGAGCTCAAGGACCGTACTTTTGCCGAACTGGATGAGATTTTCGCTAGAGTGACTTCAACAAGAAAGTTCAAGCAAGCGATGGTTGCCTCTAGCTTGAGCTCTAACTTGAAAGATGTTTCATCTTAGTGGCCTAGCTGTTCAATCGTCATCGTATCAATAACTAGCCGAAGCCCTACTTCTGTCCAATTGTTAATCACACTGTTATTGTAATTCATCACTACCACTTCGGCATAATTAATCCATTCTAATCGTGTGTTTGCTTACTTGCCAATGCGATACTGCCTCAATTCACAAAAACTCTTGTTGAGAGTGGGTAGCTAGGCACCCGCAGGCCTAAGGCATCCAGGGCGCCTGCATCTTCCAGATAGCTTCTCTCTCTCTCTTCATCCAATAACCATCTTCCTCCATATCTAGTCTCTCCCAGTAGCACACCTCCGACAACTCTTCGACTTGCGGGGCCAACGTAATCTGGGATCTCTGAAGAAAGTTCACGCCAGATGTCAACATTAGCGCGTCCCCTTTCGGCCTTCACAACAAGGGTCTTTTCTGTACATGTTGAGCGGACAGGTAAGGCTAGCAGGCCCTTGCGCGCACCCGCGTTATTCTCTCATTGTGTTGTCATTCATAAGAAGGCAAGACCTCCATATCTGCACCAACAAACCTCCCGTGCATTCTCTTCCACTTCACTCAAATCGATGGTTTCGACCATGGACACAACTCGTGTCTTGTACGAGTCCATTTAAGATGTGGAAAGAATGGAATATTACCGGACCGGGGGCTATCACCCGGTAACAATCGGGGATCATTTCCATAATCGCTACCGTGTAGTTCATAAGCTTGGCCATGGGACATACTCAACGATCTTGCTAGCCCGAGACGACAGATCGAACAAATACATCGCAGTCAAAGTCTGTACGGCAGATTGGAACCCCCTCGAGATTGACAGATTGTCGAAATTATCGAAATCTCTCAGTTATCAGACAGGGGAAGAACCATGTTTCCTTCAATCTGTGATATATTCAATATTCAAAGCCCCAGTGGCAGCCATGTCTGCTTGGTGACTAACCTTGCAAGAATGAGCCTCTCTGGTGCAAAGAATTGATCATGGATCATCCTTTTCCAGCTTGAGGTAGCCCGAGTGATAGCAACGCAGCTCATGATTGCGGTTCAAAACATTCATTCACAAGGATTTGTTCATGTAGACCTTCACCGTGGAAGAAACCACCTTCAACTGCCCCATGAATTCGATCAGTTGTCCGCTGAAAAGTTACATGAATTGTATGGAAAGCGGGTACTCGAGCCAGTCAATCCATTAGATAGCCAAAAGCTCCCGCCAGGGGTCCCACAACATGGTATCTTACCTATTTGGCTTGGGGAAGCAAGTGAAAATGTTACACTTCCAGAAGCCACGGTCCTCTTTTCAGACTTTGGTGAAACACTCTCTCCTCCCCAAGAAGATAAATTCGAGTTCCATACGCCTCTTCTCATCTGGCCCCCGGAAGCTCGATTTGAGCCAACCAAGCCTCTTATTTTTTTCATTCGATATCTGACACTTGCCTGCACTATCTGGGATATTATTGCCCATGAATCGCTATTCAAAGGGTCTCTTACGAAGGAAGACGATATGATTTACTAGGAGATTGATGCACTCGGCCTGTTGCCAGCTGAATGGTGAGAAAAATGAGAGGCACATCGAGACAAGTTCACCCAGTATGGAGAGCCGATTGGCCGATCCCAATCTCAAAATCAATCTTGGGAGGATCGCTTTGAAACAGGCGTGCAGCGACCGCGGATAGTAGAGGGTATGCCAGCTCTTGAATCAAGTGAGAGAGATGCTCTTTTCTCAATGTTGCGCTCGATGCTCTCCTTCAGGCCAGGAAATTGTCCTTCTGCTCAGCAGGTTCTCTAGTCTGAATGGATGGTGAAATGGGCTCTGCCTGAGTACGAGAAGATTCTTAATAGTCGACAATAGCAGGGGTTGCATGGTCTGGATACTTTGCTACGTCTAAGTGAATTTCCGTTGGTCCTGTCTGAGTTTACATAATTTCGAGTGTATGGAGGCATTTATCAGTTTACTGTATTTTTCAAAATAGACAGAATTGGCAAAGAGTAAATGATTACGCCCATTGGGCGTGTGAATGTCATCACTTTGCGTGAGCCGCCATCGCCCATCTTCTGAACCCACTATATTCTGCTGCTGCCTTGTCCACATCCTCTGTGATGGGCATATGCACATACAGTACAAGTGCACCTGGGAGGGAAAATATAAGAATGAGGCCACCACTATATGAAAAAAGGCTTATCAGGCAACCTGCCCATTCAATGATTCCAGCGATCAACAAACTTAATAATCTTTCTGGCAGTAACGCTCCGCTCAAACCCTTCGAGATCATCCACAAACACAATCCGCACGAGGTGTTCATTCTCAGGAAACACAATAAAAAAAGCCCTGACTCGATCTATGACATCTTCATCAGAGATAACGCCAGCCTGCGGACGCCTGAGCAAGCGAACTTCCAAAGTTGCTTGCGGCGTGGTCGCCAGTTTGTCCAGAATTATCTGCCACTGCAGGATGCCAAATTCATTTGCTTGCATGAAACTTTCGATCTTATCAAACTCAAAATAGCAGCCATACCACTTGAAACTGAAGCGATGATCGCGCCCATTCATGCGCAGCACACGGAGATGCTTCCGGTCAGCTTCGGGGACGATAGCAGAGGCAGTATCTGGAAGGGGATGAACAGAGCCAATATCACCGGTGTTATAACGAACCAATGGGTTACGTAGCCGTTGAAGAGATGTCTGCACAACTAGGCCCGGCTTAGTTTGTGGAGCCAGAGTCTGATCAGACTGAGCTGCATCATCCACGTTGGAGGGTGAAATGATCTCGATCAGCATGCTGCGCGTGTCAAAGACAAAATCAGTGCTGCTACCAGTAAGGCCGTGCTCTCCCGTGAGATCAGGGCTGTTGATTGCCCAGGGGCCCGCTTCTGAACTACCCAGGATGGAGAAGATCTTGACATCGCCCAGAATGGACTGGATGAACACTCGCTGGGGGCTAGTAAGGGGTTCCGAAGTATAAATGATCTTCTCCAGATTGATACGATTGCGATAATTCCCAGGGAGCATCGAGATATGGTAAATAATTTGAACAACTTGAGCACCTTCGCCAGTTAAGACATTGACATGGAATTCGGCAAGGTATTTAGCAACTTCTGTAGGCGGCATGTAGCTCCCGGCACTCAAAACAGTAGCTCCAGCATTTTCCATGATCTCCGTTGTAAGATCGAGGGACCTAGTGATTTCTTGATATTAGTTAAACTTTCACTGTATGTATACGGTCTATATTTAGATACCTGTAGAAACCTCCCGCCAAATGGATGGATAGCACCCAATCCCCGGGCCCAACCACGCCACAAATTTTGAGAAAATCTCCCATTTGAGCTCTTTGCCGTCGATTTTCATGTACATCCACGGCAAACATCATAGGAATTCCTCCCGAGCCACCGCCAGTGATGCTCATATAAGAACTTCGCCGATATGTGTTTAGTGGGTCCGTATCATGAACAAGTCGCTCAATAACCTTATACCTAGAGTAATTTAGCATCTTCAGCATCGACTACTTGGTATACTAGTATCATCTTACAGTATTTTCTTGTTAAGAAATGGCTGTTGCTGGAGAGTGGTATTGGTATTTTGGTCAGTCAGCTCTTGGAGGCCCTGGATCGCTTCTGCATCAGCAGGATAAACCGCATCTGGATTGTAGAACGGGTGGACTTTAGCCACCGCCAGCACATCTGTCAGTCGGTAACGTTCTGTAGCCATTTTTTAGAAAGAAAATGTTTCTTGGAAGTTCTGTGGAAAGAGATTCAGACCCAAGAGGGTACCGGAAGAGTTCAATTGAGTTTTATGGGGGTTCGGAAGAAGCAGGTTGGGCATGAAAAAGGGGACAGCACACAGATATAAGTAAAGTGGAAATGGGAGAAAAAGAAAGCATGGAAAATGAAGGAACGGATGTCTTGAATCCTGAACAATTCCTTCAATCATTCAAGTTCTGTAATGTATTTACCATCATACATATATCGATTCATTACAGTATCTAGAGAAGCCCCTCTGTCCAGTTGTACATACATGCGCTTACTAAAATTCACTCTAATTTATTGACTTTCACGACGGAAAATTATGCTACTACGTTGCGTCCCAACCACCAATAGCATTACTTTGACTTCAACGCTAAAACCAAAAACCTAACTGTGTGAGTATAGGCGTCTTTTATGAACGAATTCGAGGTATTACCACAATCCTACATTAATGCTGAAGATTTGCCATGAGAGAATCCGAAAAGTCATGATTTTCGTGATCATTCACCGGGAATTGCCAGTTTCTAACATCTATGTACTACTAGTACTAGTGGTACTGAGCTGTACCTGCAATATATACGCCCTGCATCTTCTACGGTTCTGTGTCCAAGCTCCAGGGTGGAAGGCTGCCCAGGTTTAACCTTGGAAAGGGAAATACATCCCCAGCTCTGCAGGGAATATGCCGACTCGGAGTCCCGTTGACTCCGAGCCCCAAGGTCCTTCGATCTTGATCATCGTTCAAATGCCATTTCCTCTTCAGTAATACTACTAGTATTCATGATTAATCTCGGTATATTTCGAATAGAACTTAGACCTCATAGTATTTTATCCTTTTGAGTGTGATAGTTTGCGTCTTCTATGGCCATTAGGGAGACACATCATGGAGCTGAAACACGAGGTACATTGCGTAAATTCTATCGCAAATTTAATTTTTCTGCTTGACTGAGCAGATCCATGTAGCGCCGTCAGACACAGCGCATAGTCTCCCTGGACTACATCGCCAAGTCCCTAGTCCCAGATACTCACCATTAACAGCATGGTAGGTCCCAACCATATGACATCGTTGTAATTTTCCCTCGGACAACAGCACGTCATATTTTGGCTGCTCAATTTTGCGCTGCACAACGAAAAGAGTCTTTCCCGTTTCCAATTTTGGACTACGTATCTGCTCCAATAATTCTAGCCAGGTGGAATAGGTGACTTCATCGCCAAAAACAATACCGGCTCCTTTTCCTCCTCTAATTGGCTTTAGGATGTAGTCATTCTTGAGAGACTCGGATGCTCCGCAAAGGGTGATGAACTGATCTAGAGCTTTTGATCCCGGGAGGATGGTAGGTGTTATGCCTCGCTGAAGTCTTTCAGCTTGTTTGGAAGTGATGATGTTTCTAGAAACCAATGTATCAAGTTCTTCCCGCACAAGACCGAGCATTCTCTTGTCATGAGCGAGCAGGATCGTTCGCATGTCATTAAAGCATCGAACGGTGATCTGGCGTTTTATCTCCGGATCAAGAGCGTTGAGCTCCCGTTGGTGAAGTTCGAGGCCAAGCTGATGGACCTCTTCCAGAGATTCGCCAGACTCGGTAGTAATAGTGGCAATTGTACCTTCTTGGGCGAGGCAGTACAGTCTGAATCCGGTATTGCTAGAAGAATCCGCGATAACTCGAAGTGTATCCGGAGTAATGAGTCGAGGTTTAATACCAAGTCGTTTCTCGGCCAATTCAATAAACATGGCGATATCAATTCCGTGTTCCTCACCTTTGACCAGGTGCAAGGGTAGCTTGTTGTCGAATAGATTGAATAATGCCCCAATAATCTTAGCATTGGCAGTCAGCGTCTTGCATCGACTAAATCATGGCCGCTCCACCTAGGTACTTACTGCTTCACCATCAGCGGCATGCATCAGACCCCGAGACTCAAGATCGAATTCCGAAAGTGAGCTTTGGCCAAAACCGCCATGCATAAAGCCATTCCAGCAAAATCTTGCATTGATTTCGCAGAGCCGAAAAGCCTCCATGCCAGTTTCATCAATCTCCACTAAGAAGTCCGGTCTCCAAGATCCCTGTCTCTCGTTCCATGGTCGGAACAGGTGTGTTTTCGAGTGAATCCACTTTCAAAGGGGTTAGCCATCAGTCCACTGCAATGGCCCAGTATTCAGTATAAAGGAGGGGGATGACTTACGCGCAACAAACTTTCCTCGCCAATCTCCAATGGCATCCGCTGAGGAAACTGGGCTTCCTCATCCGTCCACCATCGCTCAACTATATCTTCAATTGCCAGGTTCAAGGCGCGATGCAACTCGTACAGCTCTTCGTGGTGCCGTTGAGTGATCAACACGGGATGGGGACAGGATGCATCCACCGATCCAACAGGCCAAGAGGAAGAGCAGACTTTCAGCTTTGAAACATAAATTTCGCGGGCTTCATCTATGATATCAGCCCCTGGCCCTTCCGGTGCCACGGGTAAAAAGTCTACAGCAGCTGGAAGGCAGACTTGCTGGAGATATTTGAGCCACTTGTTTCTCATCTTGAGAGCGTTTTGGTACTAAGGATTCTGGAGGGAAATTGAGCATAAAACCAAGAGATGAATGGGACAAAATTGTCACTTAAATAAATTCATTTTATTAATGAAAACACGCAATCCTCAGCTATCGATGACTTTTGTACCCCAGCCTGCATGCGGGTAATATTCGGTCTTTTGCACATGGCCAAATTTGAGCAAGGGTAAAAGCAGAATGCAATGCAACCTCGGTGCGGTCTTTTTGATGGATCTCAGCCCCAGAAGCTGTACTCCGTACACGACTATTTGGGGCAACGCCAAGAGCCAGCAGTGGATAGTACAAGCGTAAACAAACAAGCGTGGCGCATCTGGTATTAATCACATACTCCAATGTAGAACACTACGTACAAAATCTACCAATTAATTCATGCGCTCCGTGATCCGAATGGTCTTGCATCCCATCTTACCCGCCGAAGATGTCGATTGGGGTCTTTCACTTCATTCCGAGCATGCAGCCATCGTCGATTGTCCATCAATATTATTGAGCCTTCAGGAAGGCTATTGGGCTCTAGATGAATGGTCCGTTCCTTGGCTGCTTCCCCATAAAGAACGCCCTTAAGTTCGTCCAGCGCCTTAGCAGCGTTAAGAGTCAATGGTATAGTGATATCTTCCCGGAACCGCAATTGGCTACCACCTTGTCCCTCGGGGGCCACTGCGAGCAGGTTGCCAGAGATAAACAGTTCTCCTGCCTTTTTGATAAATTCCGGGGGGACATTGATCTGGAAGACTTTGCTGGAGAGCCACTTTTGTGCGAAAGGAGATAGTAAGGAAAGTAGTTGATCACTGTTCAGTATCGACAAGGTACCACCCCCACAACGATCGGGATGAATCACTTGAAGAGCAAAGTATCGTGGCGGATTCTCTTCATAGCTGCAGTCAGTATGCCAATCGAATCGAGACATTGTTTCCGAGCGAGCCTGGTGCCCCTGGCTTTGGAATTTCGATGAGGAGGGCCGCACATCCCAAAACCAGCCACGTTCGACGCTATGGGCTATCGGAAGACCATGATCATGGCTTTTGTTGAGATTGGTGATAAGTCTCTGCAAATATCTGCTTTTCGTATCGTTAAATCTCAAGGCCAATTGGAGCACTCCTTTAGCTTCCAGAGTCTCGTGTACAACTCTCAGGTGAGTGGGTTCTGAGGCGAACTTGGGCTCGGCAACCTCAATCAGAGGAACGAGACTGGACGTTCGTAGATTTCCTTGATGCAATTTATCAATACCGATCAACAAATATGTCACTTGAATGGAGAGAAATGGTTACATACTGATAGGTCGGGTCGAATACCGAGCAGCTTTCAATCCAATCGCAGAACCAGGACATAAATAGCGATACATTTTGTGCAAAGTGATATGGCCACTTGAAAGAAGGTTATGGTTGAACCTTGAATGAAGTCGCGAGACCGTGAGAGAAGGGGATTTCTGCCACCAGGTTTTAACAAGGCAAGGCCTTGGGTAAATATTTCTCTGGATGCCTAATATGTTCAAGTTGTTTCTTGGACTCCAGGGCTTCCAGTCTTATATTCTTGGTAAGCCGTCCTGTATCCCCGGGTATGTATTATAGTACTACTACCTACTAACTCACTATTTATGCGCATGTAGCTAGCAGTCGTACTTCTGTCGCAGTAAGCCAGCGGCATGAAAATTATTTTCCCCTTTCCTTTTCCTCTGGCGGTATTTGAGGTCACTGCAACTGTCTGTGCCCACATGTTCATATGACACCCCCAGGTAGCAGCCTAGGTAATATTACTACATAGCAAGGCAAACATTCTAGGAGTTGCATTTCTAGTCCTGCATTAGCGTATATAAAGGGCGTGATCGGGATCAGATGTCTTGGCAGATAATGTGCATATGAAATCTCGTCTAGTTTACTTTACTGATCCCAGGCGTGATAGGGCGTGCATAAGCGAACTAGACGGGGATCTCCGATGATCTCTGATCTCTACGCTAGACTATTATCGTAAGGGCAAAAGGAATTGTGGAATTTTTTAGAAACCCAGTCCCGGCTCCCTACTGCGAAACTACTGCTACGTGTGAAAGATCAACATCCATGTAAGCTCAGGGCCCCTCAATTTGGCTCCTTGAGTGAATGAGCATTTATCACTGGAACTTTGGTCACCAGCTCGGGTTTTCTTGTGGCGTGGAAATTTCGACTGAGAGCTGGAACCTCAAGTATTACCTCGCCATGAGTACCGATCACGCGAGGCATGTTATGCCCATGGGCTACAATTGGCGTTCCTCCAAGGCTTTTGTACTCGGAACCATTTCAATCGCGTTGTTTGCTGGTCTGTCCCCCCTTCTTGGCTTTGTTTACCAGACCCTGATACCAAATCAGAAACATTTCTATATGGCTTCCTAGTACCTTTCCTCAGCGACATGCTTCAAGATCGCCTGAACGTCCCGCCTTCTCAAGCTCAGAAGGTGACGTCTTCCGTTCTTGCTATTCACGGTGCACTCTCCGCGATATTCGGCCCTATTATTGGACACTACAGCGATCAGAATCCTGGTCGGAAACTTCCATTACTGATATCTCTTGGTGTCTGCATCGTTGGCACCTGTATGGTTGCAGTTGCTCGTTCGGTCCTTGTACTATTGCTAGGCCGCGCAATGCAAAGTATCGCGGGATCTGCTGTTTGGATCGTCGGCTTCGCGACAGTCGCAGACAATATAAGCTCAAATAATATGGGTTCGGCGATGGGACTAGTGATGTCGTTTGCGAACTCGGGAACGATTAGTGGACCTGCAATCTCGGGCTTGTTGTACGAGCTTGTTGGTTACTGGGCGCTGTGGTCAATTCCGTTACTGGTTCTGGTCATAGACCTTGTTGCACGCATCCTTATGATTGATTGTCCGTCCGAAATCACATCTGATAACAGATATGCGTCAGGGTTAGATACGCCGCTGCTATTACGGGAGAATCCAGCCTCATCCAGTGCATGGGGCATCTGGCGCTCGCTGCTATGCGACGGCCGTATTCTCATATGTTTGCTCATCACATTCTCAAGCATCAGTGTGACTACGAGCTTTTATACGACTCTTCCTTCACACATTGAGGAGAGATTTAACTGGGGCCCAAGCTCTGCTGGACTTCTGTTTGCCAGTCTTGCTCTCCCGGGTATCCTGCTCGGCCCTCTCGCTGGTTGGGTCCGTGATAGGATTGGGGCACGATATCCAGCGGTAATCGGCTCAATTCTTCAAGCCTTATTCCTGGGCCTTTCAGGAGTCGCGGGGAGTACTGGATTCTTCAGGTCCAGCTCCCAGAGTGGCGATAAAGGAATTTACTCAGCTTCCATCATTTCCATTGGCATATTGCGGCCGTTTGTGTCTGGTATCGCACCCGCTGAATTGACTGGTAAATGGTCCTTGTCTCAAGGACTTTGATATGAGGAGACTGATATGTATTGACAGCTGCTGCCAAAAAATTTCAGAAAGAGAACATGGTTTCTCTGGGGCGTGAAGGTGGCATATCACGCGTAATCGCTATGATGGACGTGGCTGCATCCCTCGGAATGCTTCTTGGACCAATACTAGGCGGTTCGCTTATGGAATATTTTGGTTACGAGTATATGTGCTTCACGTGGAGTAGGTAACCCATTGAACACCTATGATATTCGCCGCTCATATTCATAGGTCTTCTTTATCTCATACTTGCTATGCTTGGAATAGGTCTTCTGGGTCATAAGGAAACAGATGACGGGCCCCACTCCGAAGAATCCGCCTGATGCCAATTCGATTCCATACCTAGTTCAAGACCTAGTGAAGGAGAATGACTTCAAGAAGTTCAGGGAGCTCGGAATTGATACCAGCGAAGCATATAACTAGGAATCCGATAGAGGGAATAATGAAACTGGAGTATCAAAGAAGGGAAGCATGGTGGTACTACTAGTAGTGTAAGTTTATTAGTCAACTTTCTCCACTTGAAGCTTTAACTCGGTACTGATAGTCACTAACGTGTTTCAATGGTGATCCGCCATTCTAAGCGAGCCGCCAGGACCTAAACACCATAGTTAAGTCAATGAATTACAGCTCAATATTTTAACAGCCCTTATCTCTCAGCGTGATTACTTAGAAAGTACTAGTAATATTATTTATAATATCTCTTGTATAATAGTACTTGAACTAGTTACTATTCTTGAGTCCTACTACTGGTAGTAGATGTACTAGTAAATTACGTGTTTCACCACCGAGTCGGCAGCCCCATAAAATGCAGTAAATATGATAGATTACAACTTTGAATATCTCAACAATTAAAGAAGATTTTTGATGATAATTGATAGTATAGGTTGTTCTTGCAGGAGGGAATAACTTAGTAGGAATCCTTTTAGACTTTTCTAAGTATTTTATACCTAGGTAAGATGACAAAAAGTATCTGTTAATTTATGTTTCTAAGAGATAAACATATATTTCTTCGATTAAATTTTCGAAAATATAGTTAGTAATATTTCTATACCTTGAAATAACCTTCTAAATAGAAATACTAGTAGTTCTTGAGTTATAAAGTTGTAATCTATCATATTTACTATATGTTCTGAAGCTGCTGACCCGCTAGGGCTGCCGACTCGGTGGTGAAACACGTTAACTAGTACTACTAGTAGTATTCCCGGAGACTTTATAACATTCCAACTTACCCTCTTACTACTACTTCAGGTTGGTAAAACACCCCTATTTGCTAGCCTTTCAAGCAGTGAAAAATATGCTTTGTCAAGGCCACATACCTAGGTAAGCGCAACGTCAAAAGCTTAGTACTGAACGGGCGTAGACACTTCGGCTCCTTTATTTAGATAGTGTATTGACTAACAGTATCAGAAGCTGTTTCATCTTTTTCCTGCCAGTTAGAAAACAACTCACTTAATTATTGGAAAGTGGCGGCTACGGACTGCCATACCCGTTGGTCGTTTTGATTGCGGATGAATGTCGGCCCGATCTAGCCCGAAAGTTCATGTTCATTCACCCATCATCACAGATCCTTTCCATCTTTCAATTGTGATTGTACTGTTCTTTAGGGTCCTGAAGCCATTACTACATAACGGTTCATGTGTTGTAGCGCGATTCTGTCTCTCTCTTTCCCTTATGGCCACCCGGCGACAGCACACTAAATCCCGCCTAGGCTGTCTCCGATGCAGAGACAAGCACCTCAAATGCGACGAAGTCCGCCCAACCTGCGGGGCCTGTGCCAAATACAACCAGCCATGTATTTTGAAGCCTTTAAAGGCTACAAGATCTAATAGTACGCGGCGTGCTGATTACATCAACGGACATGGCACTCCTTCCGCGGAAATTTCAATCGCCCGAAGCTGTCCTGGCACTTCCGAAGTGGAGGCTCCGAATGGGGATTCAACAATACCACCAGAAATACCTTCGGCTGGTTCAGATCATCAGCCGCTCAAATCAGTTCTCACTATGTGGGAATTTGAGTTAATTCATCACTGGATCATCAATGTCACCGATACTTTTGCTGTCAGTCATGGCTTTCGTCGTAACTGGCAGGACCAGGGGGTTCGAGAAGCCATGCGATATCCATTCATACTACATATGGTTCTCATCCTGTCAGCCCTCCATCTAGGAATTACTAAGTCCTCATCATTCAGTGAGACTCACTACGCCTTCATATTAAGCGGATGCTCGGATGCAATGGCATCGTTTCGAAAAGAAGCTGAGTACATCGGCGATGCGAATTGTCACGCAGTTGGAAAGTTTCCATTTCTTTTGTCTATTTACGCTCTTGGACTTCCGTTACTACAGGGAGGAGATAAAAATGAAGATGCGGTGCTAGACGAAATGATTCATATCATGGTTTTAATAAAGGGAAACGGCACTATCCATGAAACTACCAAGCCTTGGAGAAAAGCACGAAATCTCAAATCATGGCTTGAAGACAGTGATATTTTCGATGATTCAGAGCGCCTTTCAGAGGAACACGATCTGGACTTTGCCGTCGCAGAGCTGCAGCATTGTATCGACCTCTCCGATGATTCGCCGGTTGTTCGTGGTATCAACACTACTGCCCTTCGGTCCTTTCAAGAGAGCCTTGGTTTTCGTCTGAGGAGACATTTGAGACCATTGGCATGGCCAAATATTGTCCATACTGATTATATTGATCTGCTACGACAGAGAAATGCCGCGTCACTGGCCATTTTGGCCCATTATGCTGTAATACTAGGGCAATGCAACTCGCGATGGTGGTGTTTGGACTGGGGCGTGCAACTCACCTCTGCCATAGCGCGACTCATGCCTGAAAGACATGTCGCCGCAATTCTCTATCCCCTTCAGAAGTTACACATAAGATGAAGGAGTATATCAGAAGACTTTCAGCCACACATCGACTCCATTTCCTTGCATTATAAAATAATAAAGTAACAAGAAACGCGAATATTACTCTAATTCCACATAGCCGCGCAGATCGCTGAATTTACGCCTATGATGTTTCTAGGATGTCCATACGGGAAATTTTGATAAAAATGCGATCTTATTTAAATTCACGACATTTAGTACCGAGCATTAAAGACATACGACTTCAATTCGGTGCTTCCTTGTCATCCCTGCTAGAAAACTAGTGATTAGTAAACATCATGATCCGTGTATCGTTGTGATGTCCTGTCCAATTTTAGAGGCGTGGAACCATAAATGTGGGAAATAATATGTCTGCTAGAAGACTCGTATCGTTCATACTAATACCAGTTAAGTCGGTATATTCCCCAAATTTTGAAATAAAAATGAGCTAATAGTAACCAGTATCGTTGTCAATTTGTGCAAATTTTGCGGGAAAAAAATGTTTGCTATATCAATGAATTGTGTCTTGATCGTACTCTCAGTCTTGAGTCTCGAAGGTACTGGCAAACGCGGAACTTCTACGAATACGGGCATACGGGCATACGGGCATACGGGCATACGGGCATACGGAAACACGGGAACACGAGTTTTTTGCGCACGCCCCACCTGGCCGAAAGAGCGAGGTGGGGCGTGCACAGGGTAGTAAAAAGCATCAGTATCCTCGATGCAAAGACTGTATTTTTAGGCTCTATATTTGGCAATCATTCATATGTTCCTTGAATGCAGAGGCTGCCTAGCTATAATCTCATACCCCTGAGCCTTCGTTCTTTATTATTGGTAGAATATTGACCCATCTGTACCTGGCTCCACCTAAACTTTGCTATCAAGTTTCAAGGCTTGCTTTATTACAGTAAATATTTTATCAGGTTCTTGTTAGTGAAATGACATACACTTCAGACAAATCCTTTATTTTATGACTCTAAATCAGGAACGAATCATGATGTCTTATATAAAGTGTATCTGGATCTCTCAAAACAGAACGGGACTGCCTAGAGACGGTTTCGGTCCACTGATGCTTCATTATTGGTAGAATTCATCTGAACCAACAAGCGAGTGCTGATCGTGAAAGGGGCTTCTTGCTTCAATTTTCATGTCTATTCGCTTAGCTTTTTGCTTGGCTTAGCTTCTTGTATCACCTATAAAATCTCGGTCCATCTAATATAGATCTCATGTTTTATTTCTACACAGACACGCTGCAAAGGCTATTCCAACCTTTTAAAACTTAGCCCACAATTAGTTCGTCGGCAATTAGCTTTGGCCCGAAAACTTGCAATAATGGCGCCAACTGTGAAGTATATGGGAATGTACGATTTTGTTCCTTCAAAAGCAGCGGCAATTGCTTTTGGGATACTGTTCCTCATAACTACGCTACTTCATCTTTTCCAGCTCGTCCACAAAAGGACATGGTTCTACATCCCTTTCCTCATCGGTTGTCTATGTAAGATTTAATTATCACCCCAGACGACGAAGGTGATTCTTATGCTAATTGTTATCCTATAGTCGAAGCCATCGGATACATGACGGTACGTTATCATTTAGAGGTTTGCACAAAAGTCACTGACACGAAGATCATTAGAGAGCCAAGTCCGCAACACAGTATCCTGATTATGATCTCGGTCCTGAAGTCATTCAATACATCCTGATTCTTGTTGCCCCCGCTTTGCTCGCTGCCAGTATCTACATGGAGTTTGGTCGCTTGATCATCATGACCGACGGAGACAGGTTTTGCTTCATTCGCCGAACGTGGCTCACTAAGATCTTCGTCATTGGCGATATCATATCATTCTTGGCGCAGTTCAGCGGTGCGCAAAACTCCACCTTTCTATTATGGCATTTGAGCAAAATATTTACTGACAATAACAGGTGGTGCAATGCTCGCGAACGATACTACTGCCAGCAAAGGACAAAATATCATGAAGGTCGGCGTCGTTGTTCAACTTTTGTTTTTTGGTGTCTTCATCGCCACGATCATCGTTTTCAACATGCGGTTGTCCAAGCAAGGCTCGCGGACAAAGCACATTGTGCCCTGGAAGAAACACATTGTAGCGCTATATTGCACCGGGATATTGATATTGATACGATCAATCTTTCGACTTATTGAGTTTGTGGAGAGCACAGATGGCCCACTAAGCAGGTACGAGTGGCTTTCGTATGTATTTGATGCGGTTTTGATCCTCATAACGTGTGTGATATTGAATTATATCCATCCTGGAGAAATTAAAAGGTATATCAAGGCGGTCCAGTCTCCTATCGGAGGATTTGAGATGGACCGTAGACACGATCATGGAGCGTTATACACATCGATGGAGGACTGAATGCGGGGACTTGTGCTTCTTGTTGTGTGGAATTCTTTGAACCATGATTACTTTCGAGCCAAAAAACAGCCTAGAATAATACAAGATACGGGCTCAATAAGAGTTCATTGGCAGTTCCCTTATTTCCTTGCCCCTAGGTTATGAGGAGAGTTCTGTTACAACTAGTACTAGTGGCTTATGATATATCTGATACTATGTATCTCGAAGAAACCTTGGAAATATTTAGAGAACACCGTAACGTTGATAGACTTTTATTATCAGTCATTCTAAGTACATAGATTCCGGACAAAGAAAGAGATAACCAACTTGAAATCATCCACAGCTATACTAGTATTGTGTCATTGGTTTGTAGCAGTAACAACTAGATCGACTTATCAAAGCTAACCCAAGTAAAGAAAATGTAGACTCGGCCAACAGGAAATGACTTTGAGGTATTTCCTTAGGCCTGACATATGGTAAACTGTGCGAAAAGGCGTCGCTAGCATTGCTTGCTGAGAGCAGGCGATGCTTTGCAGTATCTGTAGTGTTGACCTCCCGGGCTCCGGTGGCGCCTGAAGAATGTCTTCGGTATCGATATCCAAATACTCCCAAACCTCGTGGGTATCTGCTAGATGTTGAAGCCACTGGATCCATGGCTGCCAGGCAACTGCCGGTCGGAGAGCAACACCAACGGCTGTGGAAAAGGTAGAAGATGCGGTGATATCCATCTCAACGTTCTGGAAGTTGACAGGCATGTTTCTGATGATTTTGTTTGAGCCCGGGTGGTTTTGATGACGCCCGCGGCGACGTGTGCGTTGTGTGTGACTGAAGGAGTTGGTTCGCTTTGAGTAAAAGTTTATGTGGAAAACCACTGACAACGGCTGATATGCTGAATGATGGGCTCTTTGCAAGGGACTCGGAATTTCTAGAGAAACTGCCTAGAACAGGGCAGCTGGGATTATAAATGTTTAATTTTGTCTCGGCCCAGCACACGCTAAAATTTGCGAGAGTAAATTTCCTAACTTGTCTAATGATAATAGCTTACATCCAGATGATATCCATGAAAGGCGCCCCTATTGATCGCCAAGACTAGGCAGCACAGTGGAGATGTTGATTTTGAATCAATCAAAATGCACACGGGGACGTGTGCAAGCCTAACTATAGACAGGCCCAACAAGGAAGGGGGGGTTTGTGTTGAAAAGTTTTGACAAGGGTGGGTCCATACCCTAGTCAAATTTGGTACATGGATCCTCGTTGGAGGGTCTTGCACCCAAACGAGGAGCGGCCTCATACCACGGAGACTATTAGGGATCACGACTGCAATGACCTGGGGCTCAATATCATTGGGCAAGCTGTATACCGCCTGCTTTTGCACCCGATTATTATGTACTGTTCAAGTTATATAAGCCCCATTTGCTGTCTGAAAGAGTTACAAGTACTGATTGTTGAGACATGGTTGTTATTGAAAACATTTAGTATGGAGTTTTGGGGTTTTTCACTCACTGAAGTGTTTCATTCAACAGTGAATCTTCTTATCCTCTCCTGGAACTTGACAAGCCTGTTACACGCCATGTTGGCGAACTAAATTAGGTTAGCACGAAGAGTATTTCAGGCATTCAATAAAGTTTTTCTTGGTATTTCGCTCGCACGTGGATTAAATTACTGAATTTCCAATTCAGTACACTGCTATATTGTAGATAAGAACCTATGACCGGAAAGATGACAACCCGTTAGCTGATTTTAAGTTTGAAACACCATCATTCTTTCTTTTTGGGCTCGCATTGATATCTTCTATTTTTAAAATGTTGTGCCTTCCAATTGAGTTCGGATTAATCGTTGGCTGATTGGGAGACCTGCTTGCGTCGTGCGTGCTCCCGACCCCTGAGTTACCACATCATCTGTACAGGATATTCAGGTGAAAGACCGAAAAAATGAGGTATTATTTAGTAGGCCAAAAAATCAAAAGAAAAGAAGCCAAACAAGTGCAAAAACATACAACAGCAGGGATTCGCATGTGGTCACCCACCATACTACTAACCTGCCGGCGTGTGGCTTAAGTACGGCTGAGCGGACGGGAAGCCCTGTTCTCCACACCCTATGGTCGTATGTACTGATAGTTGTATAAATGAGGTTCATATACACTCCATGTCAGTGTTTCAAGAGAAACTAGCGAGGCGGACGATCACAGTGGAATAGTTACGTGTGAAGTATGTTACTCTGGCATCTCCAGTGTGAACTACGTGGTACTGGTTAAATACTAATATGAGCCTCCCTCCTTTGTCTTCATACCTAATCTACACCTTTCATCATCTCATTCCTACATCAGTAGCCCTCAACAAAATGTGTAGGACTAAATGACTATATGGATAAAACCTCAATAATTATGGAGATGTGGACTCCAGGGCTGACATAAGCCTGTGTGACATCAGGCCTTTGTCCCCAGAGATAATTGATTCCCCGCCCGCACCCGCAAACCTCCGCAAACACCGAGCCCCTAGCAACATCGTTGGCTTGGACTTCCTAGCTTATGAGCTCTCGCGCCCCTGCTTCCTGTTTCTCCTGTCGCCGCAGTAAGCGACGCTGTGACAAGAACTTACCAACATGCCAGCTATGTAGTCAAAAAGGCGCGAAGTGCAGCTATCCCCGCAGACGCGGCCAAAGCTCCCCCTCCCCTACCCGCAGTGTACAGGGATCGGATTATGACACTGGTTCTAATTCACCATACACCCGGGAGCTTGTTGCAGTACCCAGAAGCACCGGATCTCTGTATAATTCTGCATCTTCTATTTCGTCTCCATTTGCTGTTACCACCGCCATTAGGTTCCTCGCACCCGATGTTTTCCGCGAGGCTCGATTGGAAATCCCTCGCCTCGATGTAGGAATTCCGGACGAAGTTGCCTATCATCTCGGTGATAATCATCAAGTTCGGGAGACGGCTAGCAAGTTTTTCCAGGAATCATGGCTACCTATCATCAGCCGGAAGCGCTATTTAGCTGCTATACTCAATCCATTATCCCCATCCCGGCGTCCGACAGCTTTACTAGCCCTGTGCATGAAGCTATGTTGCTCGTCAGCATACGATGAGGAAAGCCCTAGGAAAAACTCGCTATACAAATTAGTCAAGAAATTCTACTCAGAAGTGGAGAGCACACAAGATTTGTGTGTGGAAGTCTTACAGGCAGCTATACTCATTGCGATCTTTGAGATTGGTGATGCGGTCTACCCTGCTGCATATTTGACTGTCGGAGTTTGTGCCCGATATGGAATTGCTATGGGCCTGGACAAGATCAATAAAGATCGCATGGGCGAACGGTATGATCGTATGGGGTCCTGGATGGAGATTGAGGAGAGGCGCAGAGCTTGGTGGGCTATCTTAATCTTGGATCGGTTCGTCACCTCATATTCAAGTCTCGTTTTATCGTCATCCCCAGAAAGGAAAATCCGGGTCATCAGCAGCATTTTCCCTTGTTGACGCATTTCGAATACAGATTCCTGAACTTTGCGAATCCTTCTCGAGTCTTAGCAACCGAAGACCCCGCGTTTGAAGATTTTCTCCCTGTCGATGATGATAAGTTCTATGATGCGGTCAGACATATGATTCTTTATCTAAATCTTCCCAGGGTATGTGAACATTTTCTGACTTTGACATAAACATAGACCTCGCAGCCGGCTGAGGCAGTCCCTATATGCCAAGGTTTCGTATTCAAAATGGGTCATTTCGGCAGACTAGCTCAGGCAACATACTTGATCAGCCAGGCCCTTGTCATGATCAGATCTCTTTCTGTAGTCTCTTTCGCCCGCGATGAGAGCATTCTATCACAAGAAACAATCCAACTATGTCGTACACTCGAAGCCTTGGTTCGTGCCAATGAAATGGAAATCACGGTCCGCAGGCTGGCTTTTTGCTGCCAAAGCCTGGTTTCTTACGGGTAAGCACTGGAGGCTACCTGAACAAAAAGCAAACAGAGGCAAAAAGCAAACAGAGGCGCTTACCCATTTTTGGCAGCGGTGTCTTGCTTCTTCAAGAGAGTTACTGGGCGCAGCTACAGGTACGAACTCAAGAAGAGCTGCAACAGCATACATTTATCGAGACTCGTAATGCCATCGATACGCTTTGTCAAGTTTCATCCGTACTCCAGCAGAGGTCAAATATGGTCGACTTATTGAAAGGCCAATGTACATTCTTTCTGGCGGGTGTTACGTATCAAGCGGTTTCGGCACTTATGACTATGGGCAAAGGAAACCCTTCGGCAGAAATGAAGGAAAGCATAATTTTGTTGAGATGGCTATTGCGACATATACGAAGCCGTTGGCCACTATCTGGTGAGTTCTCCTTAAAAATTCCCTGGATGAAGATATATCTAATCTGAAGGTAGGTGTTTATGATAGTATTTTGGATGCAAAAGAGGCCCTATTAGCAGCGGATGCGATATAAATACTACTGTTTTTAAGTCGCGGAAACTTCAAATTGAAGAGGAAACAGAGGAAAATGGGGTCATGCTCGCTTGATGTATTCCCGAATGTGTGGTTGCTTCAATTGCTGTCAGATTACTACGAAATACCAACTCCAGTAGTATCTATCCTACCTCAGTCACATCCGTATCAGCTCCATGCCATATTTTGATAATCTAATATGCGGCTTAAAAGGCTTAAATTTTGTGGAGAATATTCTGTATGTTCGATAATTTCCTTTGGTTTTTATCCTCGAAAGACGTGGCCCCTTGAAGTGCCGCAGCTGCCATATGAAAAAAGGGCTAGCTGATCATTTGATCATAGAATGAATTCAGCGAACCTGTGTACACATAGAGCACGAGGCCCCTTGTTCTGCTAACACGGGTATGCTATTATTTATTACAAACATTGATGAATAATATCAGTCTCGGATTGGAAAAATGCAGTGGCTTTTGGTAAACAGACGGGAAATGCGGGTGTCATTGCGGGCCTGCGGAATTGCGGGCTTTCTGCGGGCTTTCCGCGATCGTTGCCGGTCGGTATCCCTTCCAAATCCCTGGTTGAATAATCCTTCTCCCTCAAGGACATCTAATCACTTTTAAGTTATAAAAGGTTCCGACTGTGCTCGATTCATCTCTCTTGCTTATTACCTAAAAGCCCCGAATCTCCATCTATGTCTCTACCAACTAAAAGCCGATCTGTCCTGATCACTGGGTATGTCAAAGGTATTTTCTCCACATTTTAGAGACCCCAGACTTATTTTATGAAGATGCTCTCAAGGCGGGGCAGGAAATGCCCTGGCATTGGAGTTTGCGGCCCAGGGAGTAAGAGTATTTGCAACTGCTCGTTCCCTCGAATCGATGAGCAATCTTTCAGAAAGTGGAATTGAGACTCTCGTTTTGGACGTTACCATTCCAGAAAGTATTTCGGCGTTGAAAGACGAAATCACCAAACGCACTGGCGGGACTCTTGACATCCTATACAACAATGCTGGCTCTAGTAAGTCCTTTTATTATAAACCTTCGTCCTACCTGCGTCCCCTTTTCCCGGTTTGCTGAATAGTTCCATAGTGTACGAGGCTCCCGCCATAGAATCCGATACCACGAAAGTGAGGAGTATGTTCGACACAAATGTATTCGGTCTTTTCGATGTAGTAACAGCTTTAACCCCTCTCCTGATTTCTGCTACGGCTCGCAATACAACTTACAAACCAACAATCGTCAACGTAGCGTCGATACTCGCACGACTTCCCTTTCCCTTCGCATCCGCATATAATGCGACAAAAGCTGCAGTGTCCGTTTACTCCGATACATTGCGGCTTGAACTGGACCCTCTTGGTATCCGAGTCGTGACAGTTTTCATGGGCGAAGTCTCTACCAAGCTTCGGTCGACAGAAAGTATCAACTTCGGACCAGACAGTTTGTATGTCGACGTCGAGCTTAAAGTCAAGGAGAGGACTGAGCAAAGCTCGAAAGTTTCTATCTCACCAGCAGTTTTGGCCAAGCAGATTGTTCCTAGCGTTCTCGGAACAAAGGAAGTGAGCTATCTGTGGAAAGGGACAAATGCCTTCATTGTTTGGCTGCTCAATACCATAGGGCCAAGAAAGGTTTTTGATTCGACTATGATGGGACCCGTGGGTTTTGATGATAAGAATCAGGTGAAACGGATATTTGAACGTGGGCAGCGGATGTTCGGGTAGCTGTGATAGTGAAGAAGATTGGATGAAGCTTACATAGAATAATTGTCTTGAGTTTTTAATGCACTGTTTTTCATTTTCGCTTTTGCTTCATATATGGACCTGGGAAGATTATGCTCTTGGCCACTTTCATTCTTCGGGTAAGTGCAAATAATTAACAAGATTTCCTCTCGATTAATATAATTATTTCGCACTTTGTTGATGGAGATGTGCTTGCGAGAAGTGTGTACAGGCGAAAGGCTTCGTTCTCACTTAACAAGATGTTAAAGCAGATTCCGAGGCACTACTTCAACACTAGACTAGGCGTAGCTTTCTGGGTTATATTCTTAGTCTTTACTGTCTTCTCCCCTTGGAAAAGGGTACCATGACGTGCACCAGTTCGTCTCAAATGCGGTATCCACCAAATTATTCTGGATGAATATCGTTATCTCCTTTTCACTACATTCAAGTCATATCTGTTCGGATATAATATTATGCCACCGATACTACTTTGGCCTTCGATACGGTATTCCAAAAACTACTAGGATCTTCTATTTACAAAGGAACAACGCACACCGCGAAGTAAGACTCAGTAAAGCAAAACAACGCGTGCTGTAAAAGCTATAGATCCCAGTGAGCAAGAAGGATCAAAGGTATACCTATCAAGTACTATATATAGGACAAGAGAGCCTGTTTAAGTATTACATACTAGTCGTACTAGTAGTAGAAAGGTTAATTAGTATCAAATTACTTTGTCTTTACAAAATTATTCAAGCGATACTGTATCTTGATCAAAATATGATCAGGAAAAGGGTATTAATCGATATCATGCTCGCGGGTACGGTAGTTGTTTGATGATATTCTACAAGTAGAAATGGGTTTCGCCGCGCTGTAGTCATTAAATGAAGTCTGAGTATAGTTTCGAGCAAGTTGATCCTTTTGAAACAACAAATGCAATGTCTTATATTGATGACTGAGGTACTTGAATGACTCTATGTAAAGACCGCAGAGTTACTCGCTGTTCGCTCCACCCTTTCTCAGATCATAAAGACTTTTCAAGACAGACTTAGGTCGTCCATCATAATTGTTCACCCTCATCCATGCCTCCAAGCTAGGAATGCGAGAGCCGTGAATACGATCAAGTAACTCCATATTTCGGGTAGCTCCCTTCCCCTCGCCCCAATAGCGCCACCAACCCGCGAAATTCTCGCGCCAGGTCGTGAATGATTCGTCGCGAGACACATCAGGGCTGACGGTAAAGTTCGAATAGGCTCCTGGATAGGGTTCTGCCTTCACTAGATACTCCTCCAGAGGCACGACTTTGTGTATACCATGCTTTCCAGTCACTTTGGTAAATGTGGCAACAATATCAGCGAAGCTGACTTGATCTGTCGCGACCTCGAGGTCGAGCCCAGCGGACTCGGTGGGGTTATCGAGTATCCATAAGCTGTAGGCTCCAACATCATCGAGGGCAATCAATGAAATTTTGCCATCCGCTTCCCCAGGTCGGTTCATTAGTCAATTCTTCAATTTTAGATAAGTCGAGTGAAAGTCTCACCGGAAGGATTTTCCCAAATAAATGATCCATCAGTTTGCTCTTCAGGAACAAACATCCCATCAAGGAGCATCTCAATGTACGGTCCCGTGGTCAAAAGTGAAGTCTTCATGGTGGATTGCCCATGACTCAAAATAAGATCACCAACTCGACCCTTGGCATCGTTATGTGATCGGTACTGCTCGTTCCATCCAGCCTTTCGTAAGGTGTAGTCAGAGTTTGCAAAGATGTAATGCTTGACACCCTGCTGTCGAGCAATTTCGTATGCCCGGATACCGTAGAATATTTCGTTCTTTTCTCCGATCGTAAATCCATCTAGGTTGACCCATGCTCCGTAGACACCAGTGAACGCTGCGTGGAGGTCCTTTTGGATATCCTGTGAACCTTTGAAAAGTGTCACGTTTGGTAGAGCACCTAGTTTGGTAGCTTGGGTTGAGGATGGGTTTCGAGTCAAAATTCGAACACTGTAGCGACCACTCGCGGAAAGTGCTACGAGGCTGTTAGAAGATGAAGGGGACTAGACTATCCAGGTGGAGAATGTACCCTTGACAACAGGACTACCCTGTGCACCTGTTCCTCCAATGACGAGAACCAATTTCAAGTTGTGATTTTCCATGTCGGCAATCAAGGATTTTGTGAGATCAAAGTCAATAAGAAAGTATCTGAGTAGTATGCAATTTGTCTTCATGAACGGGGTTCCTGGCTATATTTTATATTATTCTCGCTTGCAGGTCTCATTGTCGAAGATTTTCTTTACCTCGGGAAGTAGGTAGCAGCGGGGATGATTCATAATCTCCAATGGGCTTTTGCCCGGGCATAGGTGGCTGCATTCGCTGCAATGCAATGGTCTTTGATTATAAGCACTGTGGCTACGGGGGACGGGTTGTTAAGCATCTAAGATAGCTGTGACTCAAATACGGTCTCCATTTCCCGCTAGCATGGTGCCTCTGGCCAAGGGATCTTTGAAATATGCATAATTTGACTGATCCGGGCTTGCGGACATTGCGGCGGACATTGCGGTCAATTGCGGTGCGGGAATTCGGTATGCGGAACTATGTCAGCCCGCGTCGCGCCATGCGCACCAATCAGATTAGCCATTCGACATTCGAAGTTGAGAAAAAAGTCATCAATGGTTCGGATTATGTTTTTCAAAATACTATATTCTCATAGGTAGTATGGCTTTGTGTGCTCTGGAGAAGCTTATAAGAATGTCCATCTGTACCCCGGAAGGCAAACTTCAATCTACTAAATTGAGTACTCCTTAGCTTGAAGTCTCCCTTCCTCCAAAACCACCCAAGTCATCAAAAACATGTCCAATCTCATAGTCGTCACTGGTGCGACCGGGATGCAAGGTTCAGGCGTCATCGATGCCCTCGCCACAAATCCTGACTGGAAAATCCGAGGTCTTACCCGAAATACCGACAGCGAAAAGGCCAAAGCACTCATGGATCGTGGCATTGAGATGGTAGCCGCCAACTTGGATGACGAAGATAGTCTCCATAATGCCTTCATTGGTGCCAATGCTATCTTTGCAGTCACGGATTTCTACGAACCATTTGCGACAGGGATCGGGCCCGAGAAGGCCATGCAAATCGAGTACGAACGAGGCTTGAAGTTGGCCCGTGCAGCTGCTAAAATAACAACTCTGGAATTCTACTTCTGGAGCACTCTCCCCGCCGCGAGCGACTTGACGAACGGCAGGGTGAAAGTTCCGCATTTTGATGCCAAAGGGGCCATCGATGCATACATCAAGAATGACTCTGTCTTGAACGCGAAGACGATCTTTCTTTTGACGGGATTCTATGCGTCCAATTTTGGCTACCCGCCTTTCACCCCCATTTACTCGGTATGGATCATTCTTCTCTTGTAATCTGCGAAACTTGCATGCTAAATAAAAGGATAAAATAACAGAAGCCAGCTGGACAATACATTCTTGCCCTTCCAGCATCATCTTCGTCTTACCTTCCCTCGCTGGGCTCAGTGAAGAACATTGGCATCACCGTTAGTGGCCTTCTCCAACACCCATATCCCAAAGCCACAGCTACCCCAAAGGGAGGTAGATACGTTCATGTCACGGCGGGAAAATACCAAATGCAAGATTATTTCTCGAAGTGGGCAATGATAGCAGGAAAAGGGAAGCTTCAAGTTTTATCAGTTCCCTTTGAGCAGTTCGAAGCGCTCCACGGTATATGGGGCACGGAGTTGGGTCTCATGGTGAAATTTTGGGAAGAAGCTGCGCCCCCAAAGATGTGGGGAACAGTCGGAGAAGGTGATGTTATGGTTGATTCTCGTGAGCTTGAGTGCGTCAAAGGCCGGTTGGTCAGTGCCGAGGATTTCTGGAGTCAGAGTGATTGGAGTCAATTTTGAAGCACCTGTTTAACTTCACATAGTAGAAAATTTGCTTTTTTTTGATAAGGCTGATTGGTTCAATAAGCGCGTAGGTAGTAGCGAAGCACGGGAGATAGGTGCCGATTTCCAAGGTTGATTTTCTAAAGATGAATCAAAACCTGGGGAGTTGTAGAAAATAGTAACTAGTAACTAGTAGTATTATAGTTTACCTAGGTAGGTATTAGACCTTGGAAGCATATTTAAAATATGTTCAAACAAAGAGAGTCAACCCTAGTCGCCCCGTAATCCTCGAAACCAAAAAGGAAAATATTCCGGCCAATTATTCCCATCACTGCCATCCACCCTCAAACCCAATACCAGCGCCCTGACTTCGTCGCCGAGCGCTCGAGTATTTTCTTGCTGCTGCGAAATTAAGCCGATCCTTCTCATCCTGACTCAGTTGACGCTTTTTCTGTGCCTCTGGATCCTGCTGGCGACCAAATCCCCAGAGCTGTTGACTTTTGCGCCGAAGTTTATTACCTGGAAGGATAGTTGGTTTAATACTAGTCAAAGGGTTCAAATCTTTGCAGGAGGGAGGAAATCCTACCTGGCACTGCATCGCTCTGAGAGCTTCGATTACTCGATACAGGCTGTGGGTCGGGCGCCTCTTGTGTGGGAGACTTTCCTGAGTTGGCGGAATCGATAGAGTCGTTGCGCGGGTGATGCTTGAAGACATCAGAGGCCCTGCGGAAGAAGTTTGACATTATGAACTGATTTGTTTGGCGTTTTTATGGAAATTAGTGATAATATTGCCACTTTAATTAACCAGCATTCATTCTTTTATATGATTATTAGTGTATTGTGACATCATGTCACCTTATCAGGTTGGTGCTCTCGTGATTTGTCTTCTCAAGTTCGGTTCACAAGCAGAGGGACCATGGTCGATCATATTGTTGGTCAACTTTGCACGCATCCTGGGGCAGAAGAAGATCATAGCATCATATGTGGAGACTGTCGATCCGTGGTGCAAAAGTCGGGTCCGACACCCGAAAGCTTGTATCTATTCTGGGATCATGCAGTGCGGATCGCAAGAACAGTTCACCGCCGCCGTTTAATAGTTTTGCAATTCTCTTCCCAGGTCTTCTATACTGATTAATGTTTGATTTTCTTGTTCAAATATTAATAAGGCATACTCTTGTCGTCGGGTACTCAAATACAGCTTGAATGTGCCCCCAATTCCCGGTGCCCGGGTGGGACGGGTGATACCGGTGTGCAAATAGGTCTAGAACACACGCGCGAGACGAAATCATTCATTTGGCATGACTTGTATATAAAACAGCGATATTAGGGGCTGAGAAAGACTCGGAGCTCGGATCATGAGTAATAATCTACATCTATCTTCGTATCTAAAATTGCTTCGCTAATGGATCGAGTATCTTATTTCGAGATTTTTTCGAAATCCAGCCTGTGACCTCACAAATTCTTTAAATTTTATTTGCCTGCGCCATTTGATTTAGTTTTTGTCTTTGTTCAGAGATTGGCCATCCATCACGAAATAATGGATAAATAATATAGACGTTATCAAGCGAAACCCCATAAACCCCCAGTTTCACTCGCAGACTCCGGCTAGTATTCTTAGACAAAATCGAAAAGCTTAAACTTGACACACAATAAAGTCGTATTCAAGGAATGAGGTGAGTATTTTCATGCCAGTTCACACTTAATGGCTGTGCCTGTCCGAGTTACAGCACGATCCATCCATCGCCGCTCTAGCGAGCTTGGCCCGGCTCAAAGGACGAGGATCGGGCAAAAAGCTTCTCCCAGAAAGGTCTGGCTGTGAAGTTGTGGCTCGGCCAACCTTCGCAAAGGCTTCAAGATCCCGCTTAGCAATTTTCGAACTGTAGATCTTGTTGAGCCAGTTTCCCAGTCGATAGCCGCCTTTAGCAATTTGCAACTCGATCGTGTCAATGACTGAATCATAGTAGGTCGGGTAAAGATCACCGGTCTGCAAAGCAGCAGCACCATTCGGCATGACAACAGTGCAAACAAGCGCGTTGGCATCTGAAGCCCAGCTGGTTGCTGCGGCGATGGGATCGCTAATATCATCTCCTTCAATCCAGCTCGCAGCTTGAGAGGTATAGTTTCCCGACTCGATCTCTTTGACCAGAGTGTTGGCCCATGACTGTGCGTCGGAGAGGGAGTCGCCGCCAACCAACTCCTCGGGCATGTAAGTATCCCAGTCGGAATGGAGGTTGTCGCTGTATCCATTAAAAGTGACCTTAATGTTGTTTCCTCCGACTTCATATGCCTCATCGTGGAGTGGCTGGGTCATATCACCGATGAAATGAACAAGGAAACGGAGAGCCTCTGCGACGTCATCGTCGGAAAGACTGCTATCGCTCACGCGCTGAGTGTAGTTTGCGACCGCAGAGATCGAGCAGCCCGAGCTACCACAGTCGCGACTGTAATCCACGTTGCAACTAGAAGGGGGATCGTCCTCTGCATCTATGAAGTGCAAAGGAGCTGACCATTTTCCAGCGGTAGTTAGGCGATACTGGTCAGCCCATGAAGCGATACCAGCTAAATACGAGCTGGATGAGTTGCCGAGAACGCCTTGTGCCCTTCCAAGTCGTTAGCAAGTATGCAAAGAATGGTTTCAAATATTGAGGGTGATTCCAATCATCATTGCTGACCTGATACTCACCAGGATGCCGTTTCCGACGAAACATAGTGTTGAGCAACATAAGCAACTGTTGCGTGACCCAACGCGCCCCAGGCGTGCGCCCCATTTGCTGCCCCTAGGGTGAGGAGGACAGTGTTGGAGAAGGAAGGCATGATTTGGCGGTTCAGTGTATGTACTTTCTTTCAATGTGTTGTTTTGAAAGCAGATGCCCTATCTTTCACAACCTTTCGTGGGGTCAAGGGGTGTTTTTATCGTGTTGATAAAGCCCCGCCCCTGGAGCTATTGGCGTCTGTCGATCGAGTCTGTAATTATGAATCTGCAGAGACGGTGAGTGTAACATAAACCTAGAAGAGTGAAGTCTTATTGGACCGGGTGATGCCACTGGCAATCAAATTGTTTCAAGGAGCTCGCCGATGTGAAGATAAGAGCAAATGACCTCTCAGGAATGGGAGGGGTTTGCAATCATCTGAAAGTTTCATTGGTGGAGGCAGGCGGGATCGGCGCCGCAGCGCATCGGAATCCACCGGCGTGAAGAAGAGGAAAAGCAAGAGATGGAAAGAGTTTGGCCTCTCATATAAATTGCAAGCGCGACCGGTGTTTGACAAAAAAACAAACAAGGACGAGTATTAAATCCGACTTCCTACACGTGGGGTCAAATATTTTATATTCGCTGGTATTAACTTAGCCATTCAACGATAGAAATGGTGAAACGTGATAAGATAACAGCACAACTAGGACGGAATAATATTATGCCAGCTTAAGTTTTCTTCACCCTGCAGCTTTTATCAAACGTCCAAAGAGATGATAGAATCTCAGCACCGTCGGAGCTCCGTCGGTTCTCTGCAGATATTCTCCAAGCGAATATTGTTAGTGCCGACCAAGTTCATATTAATGTGGATGGGACATTTGCTCTGAAGTATACCCCTCTGAAATTAAAAACTCATATGATTTGATCGTCGATTTTCTTTTTCCTCAATTGCACAAATCTGACATAAGTAATGGTGCAACTTTCATTTCACAAAATCTGGACTGCTATCACTTATCTGTATGAATGCCGACACTAGTCTACGTGAACCTTTTAAGCACGTCTGTTCTTTTCAGGACATTCACGACAGGCAAAGCCTCATAACTGTACGTTTGCATTGTCTACTGAGCCGATTCCTCTGAATTCCAGGTTTCAGACCATTCCCAACTGACAAGATATTTAACGTTGGTAAGGCTGGATGCCAAGAGCAGGCTGAAGCGTGAATTCTCCCAAGGTTCCCATTTCGTCGCCTTGTCGATCATTTTGCCGTTGGGGTGGTCTAGGACATCTTTTCTGATGGAATAGCAATAAATCAATTGAGGGTCATTTAAGCCATATATGCTCATCCTGTCAACACAGAAACTTGAAAGCTCGTGCTTGTAAACCTTGAGACAGATTTCCGACTTAACATTTTTGCAGGACACTTCCTATGCCCATGCTACCCAAAAATAGCCCAATGAAAACACCTTTGCCATGATTTGTCGTCATTTAACTCTCACGACATAACTAACGGCCTCAACTGACATTTAGGTGGGTCGGGCCGCATCGGCTCAGCCCAGAGCAAAATGAGGAACTAAACGCCTACGCTCGCTACGCAGTCCAGCTTTTGCGTGTCGCGGAAAATGGAAAGAATTCTTCAACTCCGTCCAAATAGCTAGCTAGCGCCTCAGCCAGCCACCAGCTATCGGCAATTCTGACGTTCGGGGCTCCGCCAAATTTTGAAGTTGTCTACGAATAGCACCCGGCAGACTGGGCGATGGCCTAAAATATCCCCACTCTTTTTCCTTCTACCGGCAAATTTGGCCGACGAACACCTTTCTAGATGCGGGACTATCGATCGGCTCCCCACGCCTCCTCATCGTGGACACCTTCTCGACCAATCTGTTGCTTTCTCTGCACCCAAACACACAATTGTGTGCCCCCTAATGCCTGGAGTGGGGGTTCGGCGAACCCGGCTCGGCTTTATCCGGGCTAAGTATGTGCTGTCAGTTGAAAATCATCTGGGCTGTGTTTTGTTTATCTCGCGATAGAGATATGAGCTGAATTTTCTCTCTAACTCAGGAATATAACATGACGAGCCGGCCCACTACAGCTCCCAAGAGAGCAACTAACCTCTTCCCCGCTCAAAATGACTGACAATTCTACATTTCCATTTACCGTGACGGAACATGTTGTCGATGCGCAGCATATCCGTGAATATCCGAATGCCACACGCAGGCGTGATGCTTCGCTAAAGCTTATCCTAAAGCAATACACTCCCATCGATAACCCAAGCCCTCAAGCTGGCGACCTAACAATAATCGGAGCGCACGGGTGCGGGTTTCCGAAGGTATTTTCATTTCTTCATCCTTATCACCGCTTTCGAAACGAAACTAACCTGCCTTGATTTAGGAATTATATGAGCCGCTCTGGGAGGACTTACATACTCGGGGTCAAGTCGATGGCTATCGAATCCGATCAATCTGGATCGCAGATGTTGTTAGTCTCGGCGCAAGCGGTATCCGCAATGAAGATTCTCTAGGAAATGATCGTGAGTACTCAATTCCGCAATTCCCGCCAGTCTCCCCGGTGGCTGATATTTTGGAAAGCATCTTGGATGGATCACAGCCGCGACCTCCTACACATGATCAATACCTTTCGTGACCAAATGCCACAGCCGATTGTGGGCGTGGGACATAGTATGGGAGCCGGGCAACTGTGAGTCCTTGCATTTTTCGAACTATTCCCCCCAGACACTAATTCTTCCTGTCAGTCTCCTTCTTTCCATGCTCCATCCCCGCCTCTTCACATCGTTAAGTCTCATCGAGCCGGTCATCTCGCCCGATGTCTTCACAGGCCAAGGCCCCATCTTGGGCATCGTGTCGCTCAAGCGAAAGGACACTTGGACCTCCAAATCAGAAGCCATAAAAGCCGCACGCAAATCATACAAACGATGGGATAAAAGAGTCCTCGACCGTTGGATCGATAACGCATATCGCGAGTTGTCGGTTCCAGCAAGCTGTGATTCAGATAACCCCCAGGCCGACCGACCCGTTAAACTGGCGAGCTCGAAATACCACGAAGTCATGCAATACCTGCGCCCAAATCCTCTGGACTACAAACCCGTGGGACAATACGAGGTCGACGAGATATCTCCGCCTCACCACGACCACCTTCTTTATCCCGATATCATCGGTCCTCCGCACGCAACCTCGCCATTCTATCGGTACGAGCCTATTATGGCCTGGCAGATGCTCAAGCACATCCGCCCCGCTGTCCTCTATCTCCATGGCGACAGCAGCCCAATTGCCAGCCCTGAAGTGTTGGCCAAGATGTTGAATCGGACTGGGACTGGGGTCGGTGGAAATGGCGGTGTCCGAGAGTCGCGCGTGCAGCAGAGGATTCTGAAAGGGTCGCACCAATTGCCCCTCGAGAAGGTCGCGGAGACAGCAGCGGCCGTTGGTCCTTGGATTGGTCAGTCCGCGCAAAGTTGGAAAGATGACGAAGCGCGTCTGGATGAGGGGTGGGCGCAACAATCTATGAGTGAGCGGTTGAAGGCCATGGATAATTGGGTGCCTGTGCTGCAAGGACTTCATAAGGCTGATACACAGAAGCGAGACTCGAGGCTCTGATTATACTTTCAGTGTGGCTGAGGCGAGTAAAAAGCTTAAAAATGGTACCTAGTAGCTGATAGATTAATGGAATAAACTTTCATAACTATCTCGGTGTGGGAAGAGGAGCATTCGGAGGAGCAAAAAGCAAAAAGCAATTTGAAACCAATGCATCCTGCTTTGCTACCGATTTCATAAAGCCAGACACATATTTGACAATGAAACTGAAATGCCCAGGTGGGCGAGTGAAGTTTATTGCCCCGGTGTTACATAGCTCGCGCGGGGGAAGACGAGGGGAACGGGCTGAAAGTCCGAGTCTGTCTGATTTTTTTTTGGTTTGAATTAGCGTGTACAGAGAGTGTTTCATGGTCCAGGGCAGTGCAGAATTCCCTGATTCGCGTCACATCGCTTGCCAGTGGAGGGACCCGTATTCTCGTATATGTGGGGTATCGGGGTCTAGATGGGGCAGTGCCTGACGATCACATCGCGGCTCTTCAACACAATTCTTGAAGCAGTCATTCGTGACTCACATCAAGCATCGTATAGCTCGGCTGCGCCTTACTCACACCATGTATAAAACAAGGCCTTGGGTCTATATTTAATCGCCCTTAAACTCTACGTTTTTTCCCCTTTTCTCAAAGAGCCACTCACTCGCAGTAAGCAAATTTCGGCCCGATATCAAATATCGACACCCCAGACAACTTGTAATCATCAACCAACAACATCAGTCATGGCGGCTACTTTACCAGACACCAGTAGTCCAGTTTATTTCTGGAAACCAGAAGGAGAAACAGGATTCCTGGGCCAGTGGTGGCCATCCTCATTCCAATGGGAAAACGGCGAAGAAACATACACCTACGCCAACGCAGAACAGTAACCCCCCTCTTCCCAGCTTCTCCGACGCCAAATACTCACCACCATAACAGATACATGATGCACCGAAAAGCACTACTCTTCGCCGGACCCTCGGACGAAATAACCCAAGAAATCGGCGCGGGATGGGAAATGCACCCGCGCGAACTCCGCAATCTGGGCCGTAAAATCCCAAACTTCTCAGACGAGGTCTGGAAAGAGAATCGCTTCGCGATTGTCGTGGAAGGAAGTTATCTGAAATTTTCGCAGAATGAGGAGCTGAGGCAGAAATTGCTTGAAACGGGGGACAGGGAGTTGGTCGAGGCTAGTCCGAGGGATCGAATTTGGGGGGTTGGGTTTGGCGCGAAGAATGCTGGGGCCAGTCGACACAAATGGGGGTTGAATCTTTTGGGGAAGGCTCTTATGGAAGCTAGAGAGCGGTTGGTCAACGAGGAGAGGAATTAAGATTGAGATTACGATGAGATTAAACTTATGAAATAAAGTCCACTAGCAGTCATTCGAGTCCTGAAGCCCCATGCGATCGATCATTTATACCTAGGTACCCAAGGCTCTCATGTATGCCCCAGGCCAACTAGCCCCACGTGTCCAGGTGGTAACTCCACCTGGGCGCTTAATTTGTATAGCTGACTGGCTAACAACATGCATAGTAATGTACCAGGTTCGCTGTTGCGGGGCAGTGCAGACTCCTCCAGCTGGAATTCACTAGGAGTCTTCTTACATTTGTACCAACCTGGTCTCTGGCCTATTTTGTTCTGTTCTTTGTTCCATATCCCTTTTCTTTCTGAGAGAACCTCGGAATGTCACTGGAAGTATGCAACGTGAAGCGGCCTGTGCAAACAGGCGATCTGATACTGTCTCTGAGGGGCGATGTTACGGGAAAACGAGAGCGCGCAGCATTAGAGGATCTTAAGACGCGCATGTTGCAAGAGTTCAGCGACAACTCAACGTCGCTTTTCTACTGGGACGAGGCCTGCATGCTCTCCTTGGTCGCCACAGAAGCCGAATACGAAAGGCTTGTCTATGCTTTCTCCATTGCCATCACAGAGGGCGTTTCGGACAATCGGCCGGTAAATCTGGACTTACTGGGATGTTTTGCCAGATGTCTTCGTCAGAGCAAGCACGAGATCCCGTGTGAGCGGGCAAGATACGGATCTCTACTTGGTGCACTCAACACGCATCTCACCAATGACATCCACTCTAACAATCCCCATGCCATCTATCATTTACTCCTTGCTGTCAGCACCGTACTTGATGCTATGGTGGAGATTAAGTTCTCCGAAATCGATCGAAAATCACTGCATTCACCGCTCAAGAAGACGCTGGATAGTTTGACTGGGAGTCCAGAACCACGGATATCTCAGGCTGCAAAGTATGCATCTCAAGCCTTGGCTCGTGTTCCGGATAATGAAGGTCCATGGGAGGAGTTTTTCCGTGTCAGTGGCGATTCAATCCAAGCCATTGCGGAGATAAGTGGCGGAATAGCCAAGTTTGATCCTTCGCGGATTCTCGATGCCGGCCCAAGACTGGTCAAGCTTCTTTCTTTCTTTGCTGATGCTGTGAAAGCTGGTAAAGAAATTTGGGATACCTGTGAAGATCTGAAGCTGGTATCCAAGGCAATTCAAGATGTATCGGAGCGGAAGGGTTGGTACGATGCCCTGCGACACACTGAAGCACTCATCCTTTCGGGGGCATTGTCTGGTCTCAGGAAGATCTTGCCTACCTTGAGCCCGAGATGCCTTAGCAAAGGCTCATTTTGGTGCGGGATGTTTTCCCAACTCGAACGGCAGTGGATATCGCAGACAGAGCAGCGCGGGAATATTGAAGAGTTAATTGAATGGACTTTGAACGAAAAATCTCTACGAGACTATTGGGAGAAAAGCCACTCATTCCGATGTTGGATCACACTTGTTGGAGACTCACTTCATCATCCCGAGTGGAAAGACATCGCGCGAAAAAGAAAGCATCGCTTCTCTTCCATTCTCCGCGAAAAGACTGTCGATCCCAAGCTTAGATCAGCTTCCCTTCAAGGTCAGCTAGAAGCCGGTTTGGCTGATTCGCGACTGCTTCGGAAAGCAATGGAATTTAGTGAACGTGCACGCTTGTTTTATGCGGATGCTGTTCTTGCTCGGTATTATACCGCTGGCAGCCCATCGTTACTTCACATCAAGCGTCTTTCGGGCGATGATATACCGATCGAGACATGCTATGTGAATTTATCTCTTGTGGAGCAGCAGAGTGAAAGAAGCAAGGACGGAGAAATTGCATCATCTCTCCAGGCCCGATTGAAAGCCGAAGCGCCAAATGCTGCAAAAGAGATATCTTTGCGGGGGCTATTCAAATCTAGAGAGCTTCGAAATAAGCAATTTAGAAAGCCGACCCGTATATTGATTCGTGGACGTGCCGGTGTGGGCAAAACAACACTGTGCAAAAAGATTGTGCATGACTTTCTTCACAGTCAGTTGTGGGAGTCCGACTATGATAGAATTGTTTGGCTCCCATTACGCAAGATGAGGGAATGTGGAACGTTGGAGCACTTCTTGGACACTGCAATCTTCACAAAAGTCCCAGATGGTAGGGGTTTGTTTAATACACTCAAGGACACCTTGAACAGCACCCCTAGTACCCGAACATTGTTTCTTCTTGATGGGCTTGATGAGATTGTTGGCGACCAACGCCCGGGCGGGAGTCTCATTGAGAGTATTTCAGATCTCTTAAATCGCAAGCATGTTATTATCACATCTCGACCACATGCGGGATTTCCTCCAGGTCTTGATCTGTACGACTTGGAGATCGAGACGGTGGGATTTCACGATCAAGAGATCAAATCCTACGTGGAGAATGCTGTTCCAGACCTGTCTCAACAACAACAGATTATGGATTTCATCAATGGACATTGGGCTGTGAAAGGTCTGATGCGAATTCCAATTCAGATTGATGCGCTTTGCTTTACTTGGAGCAGAGATGGATTTGATGAGAGGCAGCCGACAACAATGACGTCTTTGTATTCCAAAATCGAGACCAAGCTCTGGGGCAAAGATATGGTTCGAATGGGAGTGAGGCAAAAGGATGGTCAGACCATGAGCGAATACACGGCTGCAGAATACAGAACCCAACGACAAATCTACGATCTGATGGAGAAACCAGTTCAGCTTGTCAGACAAATGGCCTTCTTTGGCATGTACCACGGGGTTACAGAGTTCACATCGACAATGCGTGCTCATATCCATGATGCAGTTACAGGAACGACGGACAGGGACTTGGCCAACATTTCCTTTCTGCGCAGTTCAGACTCTTCACTTGGATACAGAGAACAAGACTATTATTTCCTACATTTGACGTTCCAAGAATACTTTGCGGCACAACACTTTGCAGAACATTGGAAAAGTGGTGGCAGAGTACCAGTCTTGAATCTGAAATCATCAAAGAGCTTATACATATCAGCCGCTGACTTCTTGGCTCAAGAGAAATACAACGGCCGGTACAATATCATGTGGCGATTTGTCACGGGCATCCTAGACGCTGAAGATCTCGATGAAGGAAACTCATTAGTTTCATTTCTTAACCAGATGACAGCAAGTTCGGTCGATCTGTTTGGCCCTCCTCATTTCCGTATTCTGGCACACTGCTTCAGCGAGATCAGAGATATCAAAAGCAAAAGTAGGTTAACGTCTGTTTGGGATTCAACACAAAGTCAGCTTTTGCAAATTTTCTTCTACGGCCGAGTTTTTGATTCGGCCCCTGTTTCCGTTGTCGTATTTGATTTCGCATTTGATTTAGAATTCCCCGAGGCAATATTTTCATCAATTCTTGAGAAGGGAAACAGAGACGACAAAGAACTCGCAATTCGGGCAATTTCTCGTCGTGAACTGCTGACAACTGATCTTCTCGATCTCATCTTGCACCTCTTCAGATCTGAGAAAGACGAAGATCTTAGAAGAAAACTTGGCCAAGCTATTTTGGCACGCCATAATTCCTCGCCAGCAAGCATCGTCGAGCTTCTTTGTTCCCCCGTGCCGGATGGTCTTGGCTCAGGGGAATACTTTCTTGAAGGTGCACCGATATATTTTGACTATTGGAGTTATCTACCTATTCAAACTCTGGAACTCGTGTTTTCAGATAATTCTTCCTGGAGTGCCATGAATGCATACGTGCTTCAGCTGCAAGCTAAGCTCCCTACTAGCATTCTTCAGGAGCTAGAGTCAAGACTTGATAGTGAATCTGCTGAAACCCGGACCCGCGCTATTAATTCATTGCCAGGCTGGCTATTGTCGGAAAAATCTATTTGGAGCCATGTTATAACGGGCATAGGTGATTCAAACAAGGATGTGAGACTAGCAAGCCTTCAAGCTCTTTGCCGAAAGCCTGAATTGTCACTTGATGTCAAGATCCTTCGCATGATCGCCAAAAGGCTGAGAAGCATGTCGCAAGATGAAATTCAATCTGCGATCATGATCTTCAAGTTGGAGACTCAAAAGCCCCTGCCAGTGGATGTTGTTGAAAGACTTTGGATAGTCCTAGGATCGGGTCTCCCAGTCGTTTATGGAATGTATGGACGTGCATTTGAGATTCTACTATCTCACGACGCTTTCTCTGAGGATGAATGTCTAATGAACTTCAATAAATGCGTTTCTAAAGACATATTTTCAATTGCTGTGACAGCCTGCTGCCTTGAACTTGATATTCCTCTCCCGGAATTTATTTGCGATCACTGCATTCAGATTATTGAGAATTTCGATTCCGATACAGGAAGCAAAATACAACATCGTGCGAAGGAAGTCTTCTCTCGTCGTTTATTGCCGGCCGAAATTCAGATGAAGTTATGGAAAATCTACGACACATGCTCACCTGAAGGCAAGGTCTTTATAGCCGAGAATATCATCGGCTTGCAAGAAAATATCCCGGAGAGTATTGTGGCAGATCTCCTCTCACGTTTTCATATGGCCGACGAGAAGGATAGGGAGATTTACCTTCGGGCAGTGCGCAAATTTCGTCCCTTACCAGTGGAAATTTTCGAGTATGCGACTCAATTTGCGTTGAATCATGTGGGAAATATTCCAGATGCTTGTTTGGAACTACTACTGGGTTACAAAAATCTGCCAATCGAGATATTAGGATCCGTGATTGTCGACCTGCTCACTAATTCTACTTCAAGACAGTTCAGATCTCTCATTTGGGATATTATCACGCTTATGAAGCACAATGCTGGCTTTGAATCCGTTTTGTCTCGTTTTACACCGGACCAGTGGGTGGCATTTCTCATGGTTCTTCTTAGATTAAGTTTGTCAAGTTTCATGGGGGGTGCAATTTGCTTTGTGCGTGACGGACTTCTTCACATCAGCATAGAAGGGCATCGGTGCCAGGTTAGCCTTGAAGCATCGGAAACACTTCAGAACCTGAAGACTGCCCTCGATACTGTGCAGCAAAAGATTTATGCCAAGTGTGGTCAAACGTACGCAGAGCTAGGATTTCCGGTCGATGAGAACGACTTATGGAGTGCGAGGATATGATTCGAATTTTGATTTTGCTTCACCTTGATGCTCCAAATCCTGCACACTCTGTACACATGAATTCCGCAAATATTGAGTCAAACTTTCTTCGTATTCGACACTACCCTTGACTCTACGATACACTTGAGAGGTACCCTGCGGTTCGGACGTAAGCAATAGATAGATACTAGGATGCAGTATCTCCGAAGACCTTAACTAACCCGGATCAACGTCTGTCTTCCCATCATCTTGATCAAGCTCACCGACTTGCCGACGAACGTCATCCAGGATCTCCTGCGATCGCTCCGGCTCCGCTTCCATTTGCCGAATAACGTAGTCGACATACTCGTGCGATCGCTCCAGCAAAACCTCCGCATCCAGCAGCTTCAAAAATTCGATCCCGATAATATCCTTTCTAACCACCTGTTCCGCGATAATACGCAACTGCATCGGCATCGACGGGTCCTCATAGTACGATCTCACATAGTCGGCGGTGATTTTGATCGCAGTGTTGCTCCAGGTGAGAAGCTTTGCGCTCTCGACACAAGCAGTGGTTTCGCTTTCATCCCACCACGTCGGAAGCAGAGATAACAGCTCGGCCATTCGGAGGAAAATTTCGAGACTGGCAGTTCCGTCGCAATTGGCGTCCGCATAGGGCGTGTTTGGCTGTTTGAGGCCGAGAAATTTATAGTCATCGTCCATGCGCAAGCGGTAAGCGTCAATTAGCAATTTGTAGATATCTTCCTTGGGACGATCGTGCAGCCATTTCTTGTCCTTGATTCTCTGGAAGGGGTTAGGGATTTGCACACCAAGTGCGGGTCCGATCTTGGGAAATGGCTGCCCTGTCTCGAGTCGGTTCAACAGCGATTGAATACGCTCAGTGGCCGAGGGGGAGGGTGGTCGAGGTCCACTTGTTTGCTCTGTGGGTTCGGCGGCGAGGCTTGTGGCAAGATCGGCGGCGGCTGATGCCAGTTCTGATGCTGATGCCATTTTGGCTTCGATGCTTGCGATTCGGTCTGCTCGGTCTTGGGCGTTCTGGGAGCATGACTTTTTGTGGGACTTCCAGTCTGATTTCCGGCAGTTGCGCGAGCAGTAGGGGGTTATTTTGCACTTGGTGCATGGTTTGAGTGCACGCTCTTTGGTCCCAGGATTGCTGCAATTAGTGCAGATGTCAGGCTGCTTCTGAAAGTTGAAATCAGCCATTATGTGAGCGGCACGACGGTGGGGAATTGAAGAGAGAGTAAGACGAGAAAGATGTCTTGGTTGCGATGATCAATTAGCAGAGTATTAGTTCAGACGGAAATCTGTTACCGACAAGTGGAAAGTGAAAATTGGAAGGGGCAGAGGAGATAGATTGAAAGTTTGGAAGGTGGAAGAGTTGAATGGTGAATGGTGAATGGTGAATGGAGATGCAGGCGCGAGTGAGCCAATCCTCAGAAATAGACCTTCCCAGCTGGATTCGCTTTCCAATGCTTTCTCGCCATGCCATACAATCCAGGGTCGTGTAATCAATCTATGGGTTCAGTGAATAAGAGATAGTTAGTGACTTTTGATCTGGAGCAGGTTCGGTTGAGATTCCCGAGGATCGAAGTTGCTCTCGTGAGACATGAATTTAGGCTTCTATATTGCATCGGTTGTGAATTCTTAAAATTTAATCAGTTTAAGCAGGACCAGTCTCAAGTTCAAAGTTGCTAGTAGCTGAAGAAGCTGGCTCAACCAGAGCAGACATGCCATTGCCATGTCAAACGCGTTGGATACCGCACGGTCCAACGGCCATTTTAAACAATCGACATCATGTCAAAAATCAATTTGAATATAATCTTCTCATTCAGGCACGCCCATCTGCTGGGCAGCCCTAAATTAGAGGTCGTGTTATCCCGAGATTCAAGTTCAAGTTCAAGTTCTGATATCGTGGGGGGGTTTGTTTACTTCAGCTCACCGCCCGATTCAGAGTTTCTTGGCATGTCAACCTTCTTATTTCTATTATTAGATCCGGCTTTGTATACCACCCGGGCATCAAACTTTCTTTCACCTATTCCTGGGGCTCCCAGTATGCCAGTAGTCTAGGAAGAACTTGTTAAATACTACAACTTCAAGTTGAACTTGACCCAGGTGTAGCGCCCTCCTGGCCCGGAAGTATTAATACTAGAATACCTCAGGTGGGCAATATATATTTGGGGTCTTACTTCTACACACCTCAAACTCTGTAACCTCAAACTATTAAGACTATTTTTTATTACTACCTAGGAACCTAGGTATTTAGTATTAACTTGAATTTCTAGATTTTACTCTGAGACTAGTATATGTGTTCTGAATACCTACCCTCAATTCTTTTTTTTTCTCTTACTTAGTTCAATTTAGACCTCTACTACTACTACCTAGGTAAGTTTTACTCTATATGGTCGGTGTGCAAGCGCTTACCTACCTAGGTACCTAGTAGGTACACGGCACATTCTTCTGTCCACTATTTACGTGTTATCATCATCACCTCATACCTAGATACCCTTGCTTTTTTTTTCTCCACCCGCGTCTTCTCTCTCTTAGCTTTCGCTATCCGACTCCTTCCCCCCACAATTAGCTTAAGATTCAAGTTTATTGCGTCAATAGCTTTTGTGTCGGAGAGACTCAAGCGCGGTGTCGCCCATTTCAAACCGTGATTCCCCCTGAGATTCTATTCCGGGCGTGACCTGAAACTTGAACTTGACTCGGAAGTTGAAGATACTATTGAATAAAATAAAAATAACCTTGATTCTCTATGGCTGATCCTACACCTTTAAATTCACATAGAAGGTAAAATGAAGATGTTCTATAATAATATTCATATCGTACAACTCCCAGATTTATTATTTTGTGCAGGTGGGGTATTCTTCCAAGGGTTTGCCAGCCAGGCGCGCAACAATGTCCAGCGAAAACAAAAACAGAAAAAAAGCCCACGATCAACTCGAACGCCACATATGGTACAGATTTTATACAGATGCATGATATACTTATCTAAATCAAGGCCTGTCCACGGAACATGCCCTCGCGAACCTCGCGAACAACGTCCTTGCGGTCCTTCTTGCCAACCAGGACAACACCACGACCACGCTTACCCATACGACCCAGACGACCAAGGCGATGGATAAAGTCCACAGTCGTATGCGGAACATGGAAGAGAATAACCGTCTTCACAGCCAGAGTGTCGATACCACGGGACGCAATGTCAGTAGTGACAAGGACCTTGGTATTGGGGAGACGGCGCTCAATCTCGGTTTTCTTCTCGGGAAGCGCGAAGGGGATCGATGCCTCGGCGCGGGCCTGCTTCTTTGCCAATGAGACCTCGTCGGCGGTGGGGGGGTTGCTCGACCTCGGTGAACTCGGCGAGGATCTCGGCTTGTTTGCGGGAGCTGGAGTCGCGGGACAAGGAGACGGCGTCGATTCCCTTCGAGGAGAGGAACTCGGCGACCTGGTCCGCTTCTTCGCGTTCGTTGACAAAGACGAGAATCTTCTTGATGTGCGGGCCCATAAATTGGGCCAAGGGACCGTGGTCCTCGCCATCGGCGTTTTCGCCGGCCTTGCCGATTGACCAGATTACGTCGGCGCAGGCGAGTTGTCGGTTTCCACGGTAGGGTTCCTTCTCGATGTCTACTACGCCGAGCTGGACGCGACGGGGGATGGCGTGCAGATTCGGGGTTGTCAGTCTCTTGACGTCGGGGTAGCGTTTGCGAAGTTGGTTATCCAGGCTGCGGGGGATGGTGGCGGAGCAGAAGATGAGTTTCTTCAGCGACGGTGCTACCTTGTCGATCACCTCGGTGGTGGTTGGGATGAAGGATCGGTCCATGAGTGAATCAGCCTCGTCAAGAACGAGATGGCTCACACGGCTGAGGATGTAAGGGTTGGTTTTGGCGATGGAGGCGAGGAGATGGGGAGTTGAGACGAGAACATCGATACCATCGGGATGGAAGAGGGTGCTCTTGATACGACGCGGCGTGAAGGTGGAAGAGATCATTCCCGCGCGGAACTTGACCGTGTGCGCAAAATCCTTGAGCTTGGTTCCCACCTGGGTTACCAACTCGGACGTGGGGACGAGGATGATGGCTCGAGGGCGGCCACAATCAGTCATGGGGGGCTCCTCGGGCTCAAGCTCGTATGTTCGGTTCTTCAGCCTCTCCTCGCGTTCCTTGGCCTTTTCCTCTGCTAGTATTTTTTCTTCCTCCAAGTCTCGAGCTTCCGCGCGCTTGATGGCATCCAGGACCGGGAGGAGGTAGGCCAATGTCTTGCCTGAACCGGTTTCGGCAGCGAGAAGGAATTGCTCGTACTGGGGGTCATCGGGGCCGGGCTTCTTCTGCTGATGTTTCGGAATCGCGGCGAGGAGTTGGGGGATAGCCACTCGTTGAATGGGAGTTGGGCTAACGTCGGCGAGACCAGGCAGACCCTGAGAGAAAATGGAGTGTCGAACGACGGGGAGGAGAGGGAAATGATCGAAGCTGGTGAGATTGGAGATTTTGGATTTGATGGCCGTACGACGACCGTAGGTGACGGGGGTCAAGGTGGTCTGCATTTTCAAAGCGTGATAGAGTGGCGCTTCCTTCCGTTTCTCATCCTTGCCCTCTTGCTTGGAACGTTTGAGGGCGGCTTGGGAGCGGGGACGAGGGTCATCGCGCAGACGGGCCTCTGTTTGGTTCATTGCATTAAAGGGACCGGCGACACGTCTCGAGCGAGGTTTATCGATGGAAGTTCTGGAGACATTTGGCGAAAGACTCATGCGACTAGGTTTGCGATCCCGCGCAGAGGCCATGGTTCGTGTGGCCTGCCATGATGGAAAGAGGGCAGATGTAGGAGGGAGGATGGCCTTTGTTTGACATAATAGGCATATCGAAGACCGAATAGGTAGCGGCATAGTGGCGGAGTGAATTGGGTCGATATGATATCCAGGATATCAATGATCGAGGCAATGATATCGGCAGAGTTCCCATGGCGGAAAGAAGAAAACCAGATTTCCCAGACAGGGACCACGCTAGTCCCAGTTGGGTTAGTGGATGATCCCGATAGAGGAGACAGAATGGGAAGGCGGTAGGCAGGCGGTGTGACAGATCAGCTGATGTGGGTTTCCTGCCGCTGAGATAAGCCAGCTGAGATAAGCAAAGTACTGTAAGTTGCCGTGGTGACACCCGCGATGGACGTCAACAGGATGAAGCAAAGCAACAACTTGGTTTGGGGTAACCATAACCAAGAGGGAAACACTAACAATTCATGACAAGCCCACTCTTGCCCCCATCTTCCATCTCGATCTCTTGTTAAGATCTGATATTGTTCTTGTTTCCCCTCTCTTCTCACCTCCCCTCCCCTCCTCCCCTCTTATCATCTCCCATCATCATCCCTTCGTTCATCCCTTCCTACTTCTTTTCTTCCCTTATTCTCTCTTCTCCCCTCCTCCAACTTCTGGTGGCCCTTGTTTGCTTGTTGCTTGTTGGTCGAGCACGGCACATTCCTCTTAACGATCGACACGACTTATTACTTTCTTGTGCCAGGCCTCGCTGTTTTCCCACGCGACTCTTGGTATTCTATCGCAAAAAGGTATGTTTGGCTGCTTCTCTTTCGCGCGCGCACAACTCAGCATCCACCGCTCTCGTGATCCACTGTCGACGTCTATCAGAATTAGAATTGGACTTGGGCTTGGAGGAAGAACCTGTGACTGATATATCTCACAGATATTGGATCTTTCTGCCCTTTGTTGTTGATCATACCATCGAAACCTCCTGCGCGACGTCCACTTTCATCGTCCAAGATGAGTGGTGGATTAGGCCAACGGCCACTCTCAGAAGTGAGCCCCATGGCACAACGGCGCAACTCGCCCATTTGGAACCAATCGAACAAGGTAAATGCGCCTTCAAGCCAGCCGCAGGGGCATGTAACAGCAAGCTGATAATATTGGATAGATCACGACTGGCGACTCGACATATGATGTCTCACCTCTCAACAACAATGCTTCCCCGCGTCTCTTCTGGAAAGGTCGCGAATCCCCTTCTCCAACCAAGGGTGTTGAGAACCATGCCCCATACGACCCAGAGAGCTGTGTCCTCCCAGCTCGACGAGCATCCTGAGAAAATTTGAAGCGCGCATCTCGCGTCAAAAACCACGCCATGTTGCGAGAAGGCCAGGAATATGATCCTGCCCACGTATCCGTCCCTCATCGACCCCTTGCCGCCGACCGCTCGCCAGACCGAGAGAGCCAGATGAACCTCGCCAAATCTCAGTTCGTGGATGACGACCTTGGTGATCTTGGCGACCAAGTACCCAGACCTCACTCCCCCAGCAAAGAACAACCGTCCCCGGCAAAGTCTTCCCTCTCCAAGGGCAGCCGATATGGCAAGGGCTTTGACCCTCAACACGACATTTGGTCAGAATACGATAGCGCTGGTCACCGACATGCTAAGAGCGTAACATTCGACGTTGCGCCGCCCCAAGTTAATGAATACGAAATGCGCACTCCCGACCCATCGTCAGTTGCGTCCGAGTCGCGTGAGGCCAGCTATGACTCTGAGGAGGACGATGATGTGAGCAGCTTTGAGCATGACTCCTTCATGGACCGTGACGACAGCTTTGATGCATCCTTGGAAGATATTGAGAAGACTCCTGTTGTCCTGCCGGAGGACTGGCGTTTCATGAGCCCTGGTAGCAATAATGGAGAAGAAGACTCATTCGTGGAGCACCCAGAAGAACACACCGACGACAGCCGTCCTACCTCCCGGGATGAGGTGGGCAGTCAACACTCACGCGTCGAGTCACTCGACTCGAATGGTGAACGCCGGCCCTTACCACCACTGCCATCTCTCAATCGCCTATCTGGCTCTCGTCCTTCATCCCCCGAAAAACTTGCTGCCGCCTTCGAATTGGGTAGTGGTGGCCAGCGAGTATTGCCTTCAGCGCCGGCTGCAGCTTCGTATACAAAGTCTGATATCAACGGCGGAATGTCTTTGGAAGAGCGGCTGCGTCTCATGATGTTGAATGATAAAAAGAAGAGTAAGGATGAGAAGGTTGAAGAGGTCGCGGATCCATCGTCTCAGTCCACACAAGATCAAGACTTTTCGGACAAGGTCACTAGCGAACCCTCCAAAGACGATGTTTTCTCTCCACCCCGCATCTCTCGGGATTCGATCCTGCGGGATATCCGCAAGGGCGATAGCTTTGAAGATGACGTCTATGATGAGGAGGATTCTCACATTTCTGAAAATGCTGATCAATTCGACCATTATGACCCCGATGTCCCCATTCCTTCCCTCGAAACTGAATATGACGACGATGACTCTTCGAGTGTGATTGTCAAGGAAGAAGCTACCGAAGATGATCTATACGCCATTCCCGACTATTATCAAAACTCATCCGACCATAGTCTATCATCGCGCGACCAACGAGCCACCTATGATCAAGATAGCAGCTACTCTCTGCGCTCTGCCGCCGAGGCCGCTCAAGCTGCTGCGTTTGATGATGAGGATCGGGCCTCCGGACAAACAACTCCCACGGGAGAAAAAGACGCCCAGGCACCTGCTAACTTCCTCCCGGAAATCAATCATTCTGCTGCCCCCAGAGAGTCACAGGCCTTGGACATGGCCTCCATCCGCCAATCCTTGAACCGGCCAGTCACTCCGGAGATCAAGGAGGAAGAACTCTCTGAACCGTCTACACCCGACTCTGTGATCCGTCACCCTATTCAAGACGAGGAGGATGAGGATGCGGAATTCTCACAGGATGAAGAAGATCATGGATTCAGCTCGTCTGATGAATCGGTCCCAGAGCCCATTGCCACGATCAAGGCCCCAGGCCAAGGACTCAAGACTCGTCCGTCGCTCACCCCCGCCGATGTCGATGCTATGGCCGCAACACGTCGCAAGATCAGTGGTCAACACCCTCCTCCCATGCCAGAGCTGCCGAAGCAGACACCCCAGGAACCTGAAATGTCCGACACAGAAGAGCTGGATAAAGCAACTGCGCTTCCTCCTCAGCTCACCCTTCCCACTTTGAGCCAGCGCCAGTCTAGCTTGATGCAACTAGACATTCCCTTCAGCATTCAGGAGGAGAGTCTCGGCTCCGGTCTCAACAAGGAATTTGACCGTGTCATTGAGTCCCAAAAGGTTGCGTTTGCCCTCGCCATTTCCCAGCTTGATTCCAGCCCAACGCCAGCCCCCAAGAAAGCACCCTCACTGGCTCCCCTATCCCCAGGACTTTCAAATTTCATCAACTTTACAGCTCATGCTAACAATCACCGTCCACAGAGAGGCTACCTCATGCGACAAAACACCAAGGTTGTCATTGCCAACAACCGCAACGATGACGAGCCCTCCACTCCTGTCGATCAAACCAGCAATGACCCCCGAGGCACCCGATCGGCCGGATCCTCCCCTCGTAAGGCTAGCCAGCAGACTTGGACCACAGTTCCTTGGAATGGCTCCACCCGCCGCCCGAGTATCAAGATGGCTGGCGCGATCCCTAAAAAGAAGCCTGTTCCCGGAGTAGGATCTGTACCTCCCCTTCCTGGTCAATCAAGTAATGTGCAGCAACCTTCTGCCACTATTGAGGAGAATGAACCAGTCCTGAACGAGGCCTTCGAGGATGGCGAGGAGCGTGGTCGCCTGTTTGTCAAGGTCGTAGGTCTCAAATATTTAGATTTGCCTATGCCTCGTGGTATGTCAACAACTTCAGCTCTCCAAACTCAACAATCAAACTAACATCTCACAGGCGAACGATCATACTTTGCCCTTACTTTGGACAACGGTCTCCACTGCGTTACCACATCTTGGCTTGAGCTTGGAAAAACTGCCCCGATTGGCCAGGAATTCGAGCTTATCGTACAGAACGATCTTGAGTTCCAGCTCACACTCCAAATGAAGGTCGACGAAGCCAAGCTCTACCCTCAGGAGTCTGCTAGTTCCCCCAATCGTCAGAAGGCTTCGGCTCTCAGCCGAGTCTTTGCCTCTCCCCGCCGTCGCAAGGAGCTTGACCTCAAGCAGCAAATGCAATCTCAACAACAAAAAGCGAATGATGTCAACGCTCCGGTCTATGACCGCCTGCGCAATCTTGTCGCCCGCGATGGAAGCTTTGGCCGTGCTTACGTGGCTTTAAGTGACCATGAGAAGATGGCGTTCGGTCGCCCCTATACAGTAGACATTGCCTGCTTCAACGAATGGGCTGTTGACGAACACCCAAGCAGCGTCAAGAGCAAGAAGAGCGCAACTAGCGTGACTGCCCAACGCCGACCGCCGTATAAGATTGGAAAACTGGAACTTCAGCTTCTGTTCGTACCGAAGCCCAAGGGCGGCAATGATGATGACATGCCGAAAAGTATGAACGCCTGCATTCGGGAGATGCGGGATGCCGAGAGTGTTACTGCGCGAAGCTTCGAGGGATTCCTTTCCCAGCAGGGTGGTGATTGTCCTGTAAGTCTTTGAAAAATGGTCTGTTTGATGAAGTCGTTTCTAACAAATTTCTAGTTCTGGCGCCGTCGTTTTTTCAAACTCCAAGGCTCGAAGCTGACTGCCTACCACGAAACTACTCGCCAACCTCGCGCGACAATTAATCTGGCAAAGGCGGCCAAGTTGATCGATGATCGATCTTCTTTGGTTCAGAAAGAGACTAGCACAAGAGGAGGTGGCCGTCGAAAGTCTGCATTTGCAGAGGAAGAAGATGGGTACATGTTCGTGGAAGAAGGCTTCCGAATTCGCTTTGGAAATGGCGAGGTGATCGACTTCTATGCGGATAGTGCGGCTGATAAGGACGGCTGGCTTCGAGTCATGTCAGAGGCTGTCGGCAAGGGAGCTACTTCTGGCAACGGCGCCATCAAGCCATGGGCCGATCTTGTGCTCCGACGTGAGCGCAGCATGAAGTCCCGACGTCTGACCACCGATCGTCTCCCCCCACCAAGCAGTATCCCGGTCGCTCCATCATCTCCTGTTGGCAAGCGACAAAGTGTTGCGATGGGACCGCCGTCTTCGGCAGGAACGGGGGCGCAGGCGCCCCAGTCCCCGCGCCCACGGCCATCGGGACACAAGCACACTTATTCCCAACCTGATATTGGGACTGACGCCCGCCGGCAGAAGACCCGATCCCTCATGTTCTGAGTATATTCATGACACGACCGCACTGAACAAAAGCTTTAGCCTCATCCTTCGATTCTTCTGTCTATGATGCCAAGTTGTCACAATAGCTTCTTTTCTCTACTTTTATCCTCTTGTGGATTGTCGCTCGATACACCCTTTTTATTTCCGTCTCTTTTGGAGACAGAACTTTTGTCCCGTTTCCTTTTGTTTCTTTCTTTCTTTTTTCTTGCCTTCGCTTTGCTTTACTGGAGTCGGTGTACGATTTGAAATCTCTTTCCTTTGTCATTCTTGCGATTTGCTCTTTTCTTTTTCTCGGGCGTGCAATGCAAAGCGGGCAATATGACAATGTTATGACCCTTGACGGCAGGACACCTCCAGATGATTTCCTTTGAGATCCTGTTGTACGTTAATGAGACATACACCCCTTGGTTTTTCCCTTCATGAGTTGATAGTTTACAATTCGAGTTTATTTTGTTTTACTGCCGCGGAGATATCTACTAGAACCAGTTAGTTCTGCGTTCTGCTCTTCATTAGATCCAGCGATCATTCTTTATTTTTATCACTGAAGTCTCCTTCGTCCGTATACTTCGTCCGGCTGCAAGTACTTTTGCTCCGACTCAAGCCTCATAACACTATTCAAACATTTATTAATTATTAATCTGCCCGCTTCTCCTCTTTGGCGTCACATGCGGCACTCGTCATTTGGGATTCCTTCAACGACTGGCGGTGCATTTATCAGCATTTCTCCATGTGAGACCAAGATTGCGTGCTGTTCTGACAAATGAATGTCGCCCACCCCGCAAACAAGCTCAGTATAAAGAATCATGATATCCCCGTCTTCATTCTCATCAGCTCTATTATCACAGTCAATACACTAAGAAAACAATAACTAGTCAACCATCTTCCCAGCATGGCCTCGGCAGCAGTTCAAGTCTCAGCAGGCCACGGCCCCAGTCTATCAGAGAAGCCAGCAATTCCAGTCTCAGACAAACCACACCATGTCCAGACTACTTTGAACTTCTTCAAGGCAAATGAAGACGGATCGCCCCCGGCTCCGGCCTACGTGGGTAAGCCTGAGACATATGATAGGCCGTCCGAACCGCTCGCGACTACCGTCCACGACATTAGTGGTCATGAGCTCGACTACACTCTTGATGGACAAGGATTCCAGCTTTACTACCATGAGAGTGCCGAGAAGGACTTTGTCGACGACGAGAAGATCAAGAGAGAATATTATCCCGAAACGGAGCAATTGCTAAAAGATGCGTACGTGTAATGTCCATTTCTTCCAGTCAAACCCCCATCCTACCACGACACGAATAAAAGGGAAAGCAAGAGAATCACCATACTGATCTAAGATCACCACACAGCACTGGCGGCTCCCGAGTCTTCATCTTCGACCACACAATCCGACGCGCAGGCGGAGATCAACTCCGCGGCCCAGTCCAACGCGTCCACATCGACCAATCCTACTCCGCATCCAAGAACCGCGTCGCACACCATCTCCCCAACGAAGCAGAAGAACTCCTCAAAGGACGGTATCAAATCATAAACGTCTGGCGGCCCATCAAAACGATTCTGAAGGATCCGCTCGCCGTAGCAGACGCGCATACCGTGCCCGATGACGACCTCGTCCCAATCGGATTGATCTATCCCGATCGTCAAGGTGAGACGTATTCCGTTAAACCGGATCCTGGCATTAAGTGGTATTATCGGTATGGACAGACGCCGGATCTCGTGACGCTTATTAAATGCTTTGATTCGAAGGTTGATGGGCGGGCGAGACGGGTTCCGCATACTGCTTTTGTTAATCCTGAGACAGAGAATGAGGCGGGTAGGGAGAGTATTGAGGTTAGGGCTTTGGTTTTCCATCCGGATGATCGGGATTAATAACATTCATGGATAAATGATGGCCTTGCTGGTGCGTGTGGGAACGAACTAGTTCGGTACGGTTCAGGTTCATCGGAGGCTGACAAGGGCAATGGGGATTTTACTGCATATTTAATGACTTTAAATTGACAAATTGACATGATAATGAATGAGATACTTGGCTTTTTCTAAGTAACTGTGTTTATTTCCCAGCGGCAACAGCCTTGATCTCCTCGATGATGTTCTCAGGGGACAGGCCCTGGTAATTGATCTGCTCGAATAATCCACCACAGCCATCCTTTACAGCACCGATTGCCTTGAACTTGGGTGTGTAACCATGTTGCAAGAGGGTCGTTCCAAGGCGAGAGCCAAGCCCGGTCTTTTGAGAAATAGACTCAACGACAACGACGAATGGAGACTCGCCGTATCTCACCAGGGTCTCCTTATCAACGACATTGAGCGTGGGCTTGTTGATCAAACCAACATTCAGACCCTCCTTACGAAGGGTCTCGACAGCATCGAGTGATCGGTACAACATATCACCATAAGAGACGACATAACCAGCCGTACCGGTGCGAATAACCTCTTCCTTTCCTGGAACAAACTCGTATCCATCTCCATACAGCTTCTCGTCGACGCCATCCTTAAGAATGTAAGGGACCTTGGAGCGGGTGGAGAAGATGAAACGCAAACCTCTATCCCAGAAGACCTTGTTCACGACAGCCTTCATCTGCTCACCATCCGCAGGGAAATAAAGCGAGCAAGCATCAGACTCAATCAATCCATTATCAGCGAAGAAATGGTTAAGACCAAAGTGACAAGTGTTATCAGCCATCTCGTCAACACCACTGTGCGAGAAATGCGACAACACAGTGCAGTGGTTCAGACGTGCCATGGTGATTTCAGAAATACACATCTCCAAGAAAGCCGAGAATGTAGAGAAAACACCCTGGCGCTCGCCATTACTGCCAAAGCCGAATCCAGCAGCCGCGGAGAAGTTTCCTCGCTCCATCACGCCCGATGGAATAAATGATTCGGGATGCTTGGCGCCGATAGCCTTCAGGCCAGTAGAGCCGGCCAAATCGGAGTCGATGACCATCACGCGACGGGCAGCTTCCTCCTTGCTCAAACCATCCAGGATGCCGTTGACAGCGTCACCGAAGATATTCCTGTTCGAACCCTTGTCCTTGCTTGAGCCGGCGTAAGTGTGGGGGTTCGATCGGCCCTTGATCTCATCGTAGAAGGCGAGCTGGTCCTTGCTGTATCCGCGCTTGGTGAGATACTTGCGCGCGACGTCGACGGTAATGACGTCGTGTGCGTGGGTCTCGCCTTCAATTCCCTCGATACCAGCGGCCATCGTTCTATCGACGACCACAGCGGCGGGGCCATTGTAGTTGATTACTTCGCACATCGCCTTGTATAGGGAGTCGACATCTTCGCCCTTGGCACGCACGACGTGGAGACCGTGGCCTTTCAGGGTATTGGCGATATCGTAGCCTTTCAGATACTGGGAAGGGTGGCCGGCAATCGTAACATCGTTGTTGTCGACAAATAGCTTGACCTTCAGGTTCCGAGCCACGGCAATTCGCGCCGCTTCGGCGTCATTACCTTCCTGCTGGGAACCGTCAGAGCCGAGCAGGATGACGTTCTTATCTTTGTTGGCCATTGCCACGCCGTTCACCATACCCCACATGTGTCCGAGTCGGCCGGAGCTGAACTTGACTCCGGGCGTGAGCCCGAGCTCAGGGTGACCGGGCAGTTTTGAATTGGCATCGCGGTAGTTGAGGAGGTGTTCGGGCTTGAGGTGGCCATCGAGTGTTGCTAGGAGGTACTGAGTTGCGACTCGGTGACCAGCCTCATCGAAGAATGTGTCGAGGAAGCTGTTCTTGTCATTTTGGATCAGAGCGAGTAGGATGCACACTTCTGGCGCTGTGTCGAAGGGTCCTCCCGTGTGGCCTGATACGCCTCGGGCAGCACCGGTCGCGGTGAAGGCGATAATTGCATCTCTGAAGATATTGATGTTGTTCAGAAGGTCTTTCTTCTGTTCGGCGGTGAGGGTTGCATTGCTGGGGTCCAGTGCAAGATTCTTTTTGAATTGGCTGAGATCAACGGGAAACTTGAAGTTGCTCATCTTGTATAATGGTTCGGATTCTTGGGAAAATATTGGAGCGGCGAACTTTCAGAGCAGGTATTTTCTTTTTAAAAAAAGTCAGTTCCTGTAAGGATTCGACAACCGAAAAAGTAAAACCGGATGGATAATGCAAACGGAGGGGTATTGACGTCATGTTCAGTCAGTGCGGTTGACCGATCTGCTTTTCAATCGGAAAAGTTGTTAAGAGATGATGAAAATGACATAAGAATGAAAAGGATTTAATTGAAGTACTACCTGTTTCCCATCTAACTCAGACCTAGATGAGCAATGTCGTATTTCTATATCCGGAGCCGCCATTTTCCAGAGAACTCTATCTAATTGAGCTCTAGGTAAATGGGGCATTTTAAGCTATCAAGTGGGACGCGATCGTCCCCGCTGTGATATAATTAGGTGCCTACGCCCGTGAACCTCAATGCACTTTCCTCAGGTCGCAAAAGAATGGGAATTTAAATGAAGCCTACCATATTAGATCTAAGTCCAACTGTCCCCTTTGACACCGGGGTCGATGATAAATTCCTCGAGATTTTACGAGGTTGGAGAGGCATATAACTAACTAGACTCGGATGTACAAGTTGCCCAAGGTCCGCTTTGGAATTCACACAATACCTACTAGTAGGTATCAAGAATTTCTATAACTCCATAGGTGGCGCTAGTACCTAGGCAAATTTATATACACTTGAATGCACGCGCAATCCAACATAAAACCCCCATAAGAGAAGTGAGTCCTGTACATACAATAATCAGTCCGAATCCGCTACCATATGCTCCCCGCGCATACCCTTGCCAATTATCTACATTCAGTAGCATTTCACTAAATGGACCACTGACAACATTCCCGATTCCTCGACCAAATGCGATCGCCGAGAATATTATAGTTGCGTCGGCAGATTTGTCCACTTTTTGAACCTCGCGAATAATCGCCGACCATATTGCCGAGAAACTCCCCGCGAAAATCCCGTATGCGACACAAAATACCAGCAGAAGCGGGATCTGGGTAGAAAACCCCCAAAGAAGAAACACGGAAAGCGTAGTCCCGATAGTGGATATAGAAACACAGGTCAGTGCACTGCAGCGATCCGATAGAAATCCCATCGAGATGCTGCCAAATATCGATGCCAGGTTCAAAGTCGTGACTGTGATAGAAGAAAGGAACTCCGAGACTCCGATATATCGTGCGAACGAGGGAAGATAGATACCGGGCAGGAAAAATCCAAGCGCCTCGAAGATGTTGACCACCTGGTAAATGACAAACACCCGGTTTGATAAAAATCGTGTAGTCAGCCGACGATGGGCTACTCCTTTTTGAATTGGAAGCCGGGGCTTGTGAAAGTATAGGAATGGAAGTGGTAGGACGAAGAGTACTCCTGATAAAATTCTCAACGTTGTGCGAAATCCGAATTGTCCCAGCAGACGATCTAGAACAATGGGGAAGAGGATTCCAGACAGCCCCGACCCAGCCCACACGATTCCGAAAGCGAGGCCTCGCTTCTTGTCGAACCATTCGGTCATAAACAAAATGGATGGACTATAGGCAATACAGCCACCGATGCCGAATCCAATACCTTGGGAAAGAACAAGATGCGTAACATTCGATGAAAAAGATCCCATGGCCAAAGAGAAGCACATTATCACCAATCCTATTGTCGAGAACCATCGAGCCAGACGAGGAAGAAGTATCATGCAAACAATTGCACACGGGCAACATAGATAGGCTGCTCCCTATAGAGATGTTAGTGTCGGGGTCCTGATATGTTAAATTGAAACCTCCAAGGATCTTACAGTTGCACACGTGCCGATGGCGGCCACCATGCCTGAATCTTCAAATAGTTCATTATCACGATAATAGCTCTGAAATACTCCAAAAGCAAATGCGAACCCTAGTTATATTAGCACGTGAAATCCATTCCAGTCGTTAAATGATAGACGAACCCCATGTCAGGGCTTCTATCATGGTTGAAGCCGCTAAAAACATCCATGCATGAAATCCGCCATCCATTGGGGGCAGCCCATTCTCCTCCCCAATATCTTTTATTTCACTTTCGTGACATAGAGCAATTTCTTGTTCTTCGTGCGCATCGGAAGTCGCTGATAAGGATTTTGAGTGGTCCATGAGGTCGAATTTGTCGTAGGCTTTCAGAAAGTTCTCAAAGCCTGAGCCCGCCGGAAAAAGTTTCAGCTTTCTTTATGAAATAAAAGGTAATCGACATATTGCTTAGGTCACATTGTGTAATGCCCCAGGGTACTTCTGTTCTAGGAAGGGATGAAAGCCTAAGTATCTATCAAGTGACGGAAGGAATTCAAGAAGTGACGCGGGCAGCCAATTGGTTCTTTTGAATTTCGGAAGAAACGAACCGATGGCCGAGGATCCGGGGTCTGTATTTAGATCTGCTAAGCAGGGGACGTGCGTATCATGCAATTGGACCGGGAATTTGATCATCGTGATACAATGTGTAGTGGGTTGGGGGTGCTACGTAGAGTTTGTACGAAGTGGGTATTCGGATTGGGTCATTGGTTTTCTAGCAAGGAGAATAATTTAAAGACCAGATTTGACGTGCTAATCGTGGGGCATAGGATCATCCAAAGGGGGGGATCGTCGACCCAGCGCGCAAGGCCGGCTAGCGACGGTGGTTGCAAGGGTTGGAATGTAGGGCGTAGTCATGGCAAACTTCCTCTCTTGAACCTAAAGACGTTTGTTCTTCTTATGAATACACCGTGACATCATATGCTCTAGCTCCTGTTGATAGAAACCAGGAACGCGTCCAGCATCCCTGCCTAAAACTCTATCTTTCAAGTTAATCACAGGGTTGACCATGTGAAGCCACGAGATCCAGAAGGCCCTGGAGAAGATCAGAGTGGCCCCGCCATTTCACCATGTGATATATTGCTTTTTTTCACATATTTGGTAATTTCAAGAACACGTAAACGGTTTTCCAACGGAGCCCGACTGGAACTTGGTGATCTAAATCATAAATTAGCCACGAACACGAATTGTATGGAAAATATGAACTTACAAGCTCGGCGATACTGGCATACGTGCCACACCCAAAAATAATGATCCCCACACTGAAAACCACGGCATTGAATATCGCAGGTTTCAGATTCTTCTTTTCGTACCATGCACCCTCTCTCAAGAGCAAATACCACATGACAGGTGGAAGGTAGAAAGACAACCCGGAGACAAACAGCGCCGATATGATGGAAAGAAGCTCCGAGAAAATTGGAATCGCCTCAGCAATCACCCAGGCTAGAAGGGTGACGATAAACACTAGACCCAGCCATGATGCCCAACCTTTCGTAGTATTGATATACCGAATTATTGAGTCCTTGTAGAACTTCCCATGGATGTACCGACAGACCACTGTGGTATTAATAGACCCAGAGATAAATATGACGGGTAGTGCAATTCCAAAGACCACTCTGGACATGAGTGGTCCCGCTGAGAGCAGAGCCGGTGATTGTACTCCCTGGCCCACAAAAGCGTAGATGATCGATCCAGTGAGACTATAGACAACAATCTGAATGCCTCCCATCCACCACAGGGTCTTAATGTAGTCTTCCGGTGTGTGCATCTCATCCATAAATGATGGTAGACAACCAGCAAAGGAATACGCAAACACAATATTGTTTGTCGCAACGATGGCCCCTGAAAAGGTGAGACCAGCCTTGGGCCATGCTGACCACGGAATTATGTCTGGGTCGACAATAGCAGAGTCACCCGAGTATCGAATCCCCGTCGCGATCATTGTAGCCCCGATGGCTATAATGATTGAGGCAAAATCGATGTACCCCAGTATCGCAATCTCTGCAAAAAAGGGAGGGACCGCAAGAAGCAGCAAGATAGCTGCTGATGAGATACTGAATACCAGGGCACAGACACTGCTCTCAGTAATAGTTCGGAACGCAATAGCACCAGTCAAACAGTGAGACCCAATGACAAAAACAAGTAACGTCACGAAGCATCCAATGAAGATCTTGGAACCCCACTTGCCAAATAACAAATGCCCGACGTCTGCATAGTGACCAATTTGTGGGTATTTCAACTTAGTCTGACCGATATTGTATCCTGCATAAATTGCCACGAAGCCGAGTGCCACAGTCAAGATTAATCCTGCGACCATCCCAAGGGCCGCGAAAGCAGAGGGGAGACCCAAGCTTCCAAGAGCTATTGCCTCTACGATAGAAAGCACCGTTAGGCGTTTCCATCCGAGCCGATTGAATCGAGCATCTCCTTCTAATATCCGCTGTCTTTCTGGGTCGATGAATTCTGGGTCCTTGAGGACGGCGTCGGTCGCCATGGTGCGAAATAGGAAAGGTCTCGTCAAGGATTGAGTCGTGAGCTGATTGTTCTTGCAAGCTTGTAGGTGGGAAGGGGGGGGTCTTGACCGGCTAAGGAATGTGCGAACCAGTATTTCATCAAAATAAAAAGCACAGTTCAGGATCCAAACTTTTAAAAGATCAGATATGATTGATAAAAGGGACCAGCAGCCGAAAGTCGGAAGCAACCGCTGAGTGGGGTTTCGCGACCCCAAAAGTGGAAATCAGGTCCGGGGTACTTTCGGAGCTTGCTTGGTCAATGTGTTACATTCACTTTTCTGTAAGCGATGCAAGCGGGGCTGTCATATCTCGCTCCGTAGCTGAACATTGTCCCTGGGTTCTCAAAAACTTCGAGGGTCTTGAGTTTGGCTCTATTAAGTCTATTAGATCATTTCCCTCAATTACACGGTTCAAACATCATCCGTTCACATACATGGCTACACCTGGGGCATGAGATCTCGAAGCAATGAAAAATTAATGGCCACAATGTAACCTGTTGCTCATCTCTCAGGTTGATCAAAGCAAAGCCTAGGTTAAGCCCCGCCCGCATGGCACCCTGTTGTAGGGCCATCGGAAAGCCAATGGCGAAAGCCAACGCTCCACAAAGGGGAAATCTTCAGGTGATTTCATTTGGCTGGATCCAATAAGCCTCTGTTGCCAAGCACTTGGCACACATCTCCGAGACAAACACGAGTCCATTTCCCGTAAAATTAACGAGCATAGGAAGTCTCGGCGGCGAAAAGAACATAATGGCCTGACCCAACCATTACTAAATTTCTTATTTTGTGTACAAAATCTTATCTTCAATTTCGGCAAAAGTTTATGACTTATCGTCCATGGGCCTGACGATATGCTCGTCTGGTCTCCACGGACAAACGCTGAAAGGTGCAAGACTTTGGTTTGTAGCCAGATTTTTGCCAATCTGACGTCTGTGCTAAGTAGCAAAGTTCTGGTTGAAATATCATTCTCTAATCAAGTCTTTCGGCATATTTCGATAATCTGGGAAATTCGAGTCTCCTCTGAATTTGCGCATATAGCGGTCAAAGAGCCAAGAATCATGGATCACGACTGTTCCCTTAGCGGCTCATTCCTGCGTGGCCTCTGTAGATTTACGAGGACGGCCATTACGTGGAGCATCTGCGACAAAACGATCCTCGATTTGAATAGGACATTGCTGTAGATTATAACCACGTTCAATTGCACGCTGAATAATAAACCATACAGTTCTGACATGTATGCCTGGCATATCGGCAATTTCGCAGGTGCTAACACCATTTGTTGACAGTGCAAGGGCAAAAATGCGTTGCGATTGAGATGTACTAGGCATTTTGATAGCGATATTCATCAAAAAGCAGACGGCGGGGCCGGTTGCTTAATAGCAGCAATATTGGGCATCTTGAGGCCTTTGGACACCATATTCTAGATTGCATTGCATATAAACGAGCAAAGACACTGGGGGCTAGAGCTGATAATCTTACAATTGCACTACTACACTAGTAATGGTAGGAGCGTGTCGACGAAAAAGCTTGGACTTCAAGTTGGAAACTTGAAGTATTACTAGTAGACCCCCAAGTCCGTACTACACCACGAAGAAATAATTGGTTATGACAGAAAAGACATTATCTTCACGGAACTTCCTTTCATTGAAAGTTTGCTGTAGCATCCCAAAGCTAATCTGGCAGGCGATCGATTTTCTCTGTTCCCGATTTCATAGTTCCGCCCTTGCCGCGCCCACGGCACAGATAAAACTAAACAATCGCGGCTTTTCGGTAGCAAATTATCCCCCGCCCTGGCGCAAGACAGTCGCACGCATAATAATGCAGTTCCACCTCAGCTGAAAAATTCTTGCAGCATTGTCAAGTGCATTTCCTTAGATACCGCCGTCTACTAATAAGCATTGAGGGATTGTCACTATAATCGACCCTACATTTCTTATCTTTGATGATAAAGCTAAATAGAGAACGAGGGTGACTTGGAAAGTTGTAAATTGTTAGCGTCATACTACTTTCGGGGATCAATTCAGTGGATTCTTTTGCGGAGGAAGTGCGTATTTCCAAGAAATTTCTGTCTATATAGTCCAACGGACATCTTGAAAGATGCTCTAACAGCTAGTAATTAATAATTCATAGCCGCATAAAAGTTAAGCTCTATGTACACATAGCTTGGCATAGTAAGCTGGCATAAGCTGTGATCGTGAAATGCAGCACTAGCAAGGAAGTTTGTCTCAAATATATCCTGGCCATTGATGACACTAAATAGTAGTATTCAAATCGGGTACACCTTTGAGGAATTCTGCATGACTTTTTTTCCATGGATAAGTCTGCTCAAGAGACTTAACTAGCTCACGATGCTTTTCACTTCGTGGCTGAATAGTAACATCATACGGAGCAGGATGGCTCAGTACACCCGGCAAAAACTCTGGTGCAATATCTTGCTCTTTGCCATCTACCAGAGGCTTTGAGATATTGAAAACAGATAGAACTTGTGCAATGATTAGGAAAACATTCGTGTCAGCAACGTTGCGACCGGGGCAAATTCGACGACCAAACCCAAACACAATGAAGCGAGGATCGCGCTCAGGAACATGGGACTCGCTTGCCAGGAAGCGCTCAGGCTTGAAATTCATAGGATCTGGGTACACATCTTCGTCGTGTGCGAATGCCCTTGATGTTCAATTTAGTAACAGAGTTTCCCCAGGCCAACTATACGAATCGATAGAAGCGTTCTTACCAAAGATTTGTGAGAATTGAAGATCCTTTGGGGATGAAATAACCCTCACATATGTCATCCTCTGTCGAAACGTGCGGTATACCCATTGGAGCCACCGGGTGCCATCGAAATACTTCTTTCACCAGCGCATCGATGTAAGGAAGATTCTCTCGGTCTTTGCATTGCGGCAGTCGATTTTCACCAAGGACGGCATCCAACTCCTGCTGTGCCTTGCGCTGCACATCTGGGAATAGAGCCATTGCCAGAAAAAAGCTCGAAACCGTTCCAACTGTCTAATTATTGTTTAATAGAACTTCCGGGTATGAAGAGTCCCTATTTGCTTACCGTATCAGCTCCTCCTGCATACACAGATGCGGCCGTCCATTTTATTATGGTTTCGTCCATAGATCCGGGAGCTGGAGGTTCTTTCTTGAGGATGTTTGACAACAAGGATGGAACATATCCATCCTTCTTCATCTGCTCTTTGACGAACTCGTAGGGGACATCACTAAGTGCAGTTGACTTGGTTTTATATTGTTTAGCCTTTTCTTTGAAGCCGACTCCGGGAAACCACGAGGGTAAATGCCTTACTGCTCAGATGTTAGAAGGAATACAGGGATTCGGGTTCCGAGGTGTCTCCAACGACTTACACATGGGGATGAAATCCACCAACCATGTTAGTGGAAGCATTACAACAATAAACTCTTCCATTGCTTTATCGACCAGATCAACAAGCGGATCACGATCATGGGACTCAATGGTGTATCCATAGCTGAGCTTGAGAACAAGTGCGCCTGTTTCCCTATTATGGTACGTTAGAGGTGTAGGTTCTACCTGCTCCACAGATCGAACTCACTTCCGGATGTGTTGCTGTAGATTTTCGGGCTTGTTCAAAAGCCGCAGTAACAAATGTGCGACTTCAGCTGACTGAAGTTCGTTGAATGAGGCGACAGAGTTATTGGATCCTATCTCTTGGTAAAGATATTTTCGAGTCCGGCGAACATGTTCTGAGTTGGCCATGGCACCAGTAATATACTGCCAGCCACACCTAAATATTCAGGTGTCAGTCTTGATTCCGGATACTAGTACTAGTAGTTACCACTAGTATTAAAGGTAGCCCGAGAACCCACATCTCACCAAAGGTTGGTTTAGTTCGGGAAGAATGGATAACGGATCGTTTTTCGAGTAATTCCACAGCAAGTCGAACATCGTGAAGAAAAATGATGTTTTCACCCAGCAAATTGATTGAACTAATGGGTCCTTTTTTTACATCAATATCATCAATAGGAATCTATAAGCCTCGGGGATTATTCTTACCATATTTTTCTTTGTGTTTAAGCCAATGCAACCAAGAATGCTGGTCCACGGCGGGTAAGTCTTTCAAGTTTCCAATAATCGGAGTTCGTGGAGGACCGGGCGGGAGCGGGGGCCGATTTCTCCGTTTAAACAAGGCTCTGGTTACTTGAATCCCCGTGACAGAAATAAACAAACCAATCCAAAAGATGAGGAGCATATTGATAGGATTGCCTTTGAAGAAAAATAAAAGTACCGCGGGAAACACAACTTTTGACACGCAAATTTTCATTATATTTGTAACTGCCCCTCCCCGTTCGAAGGAATGCAATTATCCCGTTCTTACATATTCACTTTAGTACTGATTGGCTGACTTTGCTTTATTGGCCCTGCAGGAATGCATCATACTAGGTAGCTATGGTTTTGCAATAGGCTGAGGGGCAGAGATAGGCCCCCACTCTACAAAGCCATTGTGCACGTTCCCTTTTCTCACCCCACATCTGTTTAATAAAAGACCTACGAGTGGTCAATTATTTCCAGCTCAAGCTGCCAGAGAACTTTGCTGGTCGCTTCCATCGTGGCAGATGCCTATTTGGCATACCTAACTTTACCAGTGATGACTAGTTAACTAGTGCTGCCCACCGTCACAACCGTCCATCCTTTGAGATATTAGCAGATGGCCGTTGCCCGGGGGTCATATGTCATCTCGCCCAATTCGGTTCCAAGCAGTGGGGTATCCCTGTAAGCATTCAAATCGATCATGCCGAATGCCTTTAAGCACCTGAGCTTAAAAAGTTGACAATACGCCTGCCAAGACTCAAGTTGCCGCCTCGGGTTTCAGGCGACGTGGCCATCGTACAACGGGGCATTTAGTAACAGTCATTAACTACCCTGCACCTAGGCGAGCTACTGTCTAATATTTCAGCTTCTACAACAGATCTCGCTCTTCAGAACGATACTTAGAAATCATCACCGTCCAGAAAGTGTTCATAATGTTTGCATTCCGTTCAATTAATGTCCGACTTTTGTGACTAGTAAATTTTCAAACATGTTTATATTTTAACGCACATCCCCGCCTCTTAGTTTCCGCCAGCAGCCTGGGGCATGTGGGGAGCCAAAAAGTTCATAAGATAATCCCTCTTTCCAATGGGGACACCCTCCTTTCGCAGAATCGCATAGGCAGTGGTCAAGTGGAAGTACAGATTCGGCAAAGTGAAAGCAGTCGCGTACGCGGTGTTCGAGAGGTCAATGTTCATTGGGCCAAGGGGTGTGGCCTGGACATGGTCGGCACGTTGGTTGACAATTTCCTTATCGGCAGCGTCGAGGGTCTTCTGGACAATTTCAATTCGCTCATACATCTCGGCGAATGAAGACAAGTTGTCTTCAAAGATGGTAGGTTCACGGCCAGTAAACCGGGCGACCATTTTTTCGGCCAATTGTGCGGCGATGTGGACCTGGTAGGTCAGGGGGTTCATGTCTTCGACCAGACGGGCTGTAGGGAATGATGCAGCGTTGGCGTGCTTCTCGCCTTCGCGGAGGATGTTGGCCAGGGACTTGAAGGCATTCTGGGCCGTCGGGATGGTTGCGTCGTAGAGAGAGAAAGAAGACATGTTTATGGTTTGATATTGAGTGCGAGGAAGATTGATGAGTTGAGGTTATGAGTTCAATGGAATCTTGTTAAGGTGTTTTTTTTAATCTGTACAACTTTGTGGTGGGCATTCTCTTTAAATATTACACTACACTACACGTGGTCACAATGGACGTCTTCATCCTTGGTTGATCCGAGCCCCAACGGTGAAGTGGGCCAAGCCAAAGCTGGAATTTCTGACAAACAGACCCGCAATTCCAACCAAATCCTTGACTTTTCTGGGAATACCCCGCCAAAGGAACCGCTTCGAAACGAAGGGATCTTTGTATGTTTATTAATCCAAAGTAATAACCCAGGTGAACCAATCCCCGGGTACGAGGAGCCCGGGCTTTGATTTAAGAATTGACCCGAAGCCCGGTAAGCCCCCAGATTTGTGTGCTGTAGCTCGTATTCCGGGGACCATGTAAGGCGACCGTGATAAAGTCGGTGAACTGCTTGCTTACCAATTTAAATGGGTTGTTTGTTGCCCAGTTATTGATAGAGTTTGAGGGGATGATAAAACCAACGAAAATGAAAACCATTATTAAGGTCCTCAACAGTTTCATGCGTCTCCTGACGGATCCTTTACAGCCTAGCAGGGGCAGTTTGACACGTAAGAGGTGAGTTCAGGAGCTCAACATCAAACCGTAAATTCGAGTGATCGAATATACGCGGCAGTGCTCGAAATCGCATCTCACCCCGAAGCCCACGTCAGTTTAATGTTCAATTTATTTAAGAGCCTCATCTCTAGGCGCATTCTAACACGCTAGCCATATCCATGCAAGCCCCTTCTGTAGGCTCCCTTGTGGCCGTGCCCAGAAAGCACCACACCTAAGGTATTAATTACTTTGCGATATGAATTTGTAGCTCTTTCTTCGCAAGATATGGAGAATGAAGTAAAATATTTCTATTGAAGTACTAAAGAATCTAACTGATAAGGCTCAGTCCTAAACAAGAGAACCTTGGAATGCGTGGAAGCCAACGAAATCTTCAGACTCAATCGACCTGTTTTCACAACTCCTAAGTATGATGGTCATCTGTATATCAACAAGGAACTTTTCGTGAAGCAGCTTTCCATACTTATATAGGAAAACGCGTACCGGAATGAACACCACACAGAAGAGCGACGACATATTGTTCCCCCGGCCGAGACCGAGCGATGCATACATCGCGGGCCCCGCGTGCAGAAGAAATGCGCCCATAACTTAAAGTGACTGTAAAACAGTTAATGCTGCGATCGCAGACGGGGTACATTGTTCGTAGCTGTTGATAGGATGATTTGTTAAATGGATAGAAACAACCTATCATGCCAAATTCCAGAGGCGCGAGCCCAACAATGGGAGTGACCAAAGAAAAATACACTATTATGTGACCCGAAACTCTCTCTGAGAACCCGTATTGAGATACAAAGATCTCGGAAACTGTAGTAGGTAGGAGGTAAAGAACACCACAAATCGTAGAAAGATAGAGGCACAGGATGAGGACAATGGGTGACTTCATGAGTAGTTTGAAAGGACGTATAAAGGCTCTCCGAATAAAACCCCCTTCGAGTCATTGATTTTCGAGTCCAATAGTATCAGCTTCTCAATTCCAGTTGGTTGGTTTCTTTCGAAGACGTTTTGTCTTCCATCGAATCAAAGTCTCATCGTTTGTTTCGCAATTGACGATGTCGATGACAGCAGAGACCACACTGGAGATGATAATGAGAAGAATCCAGAAGATCCATTTTCACTGTAATATCAGGTGAATTATATTGACTCGGACCGTACACAGATCCTAGAAAATGAGTTGAATAATGAGTAATAACCTCTTACGTTGGCTTCTATTGATTCAGGCTTACCGGTATGATGTCATTATTTACGCTCTTGTCGGTATTGTTGATGTTGAGGCCGTGATGCCTCAGGCGTTCGTCCCCTTCTAGATAGCTTCGTTCCCTTCTTCTCTCACCACCCACCAACCTTCGAACATCACCACTTTCATCCCCTCCCATTCATCACCCCCTATCAGTTGATTAACTTACATTCACAAGTTGCCAGATCTTCAACATCGATTACATATGCATCAATGCACAATTGCAGCGTAACCCGTGTCTACTTAAAGTCAAATCATTTGGCAGCGTGCCGTGAGGCCACCCTGTACGCCTGTGCGAAACTCTATCGCTCGTCAAACCTGCAATTCCTTGACGATGATTGGCCATATGACAAGCCCACAGGCGATGCGAGCCGAGCATGATCTTGAAGATACATCCACAAGTGGAGGGGCTGAATGTCCTAGCGTCAAGGCATCCACATTACACGCCGCTGATTGGTTAGTCTCATCAGACTAGCTTCCTCTGCGCTCCACAAGTTCGCGATGAAGAGGTGCCAAGTGGAGAGCTTGCGGCGATAGTTGCTCAGGTGGCCCCCTGTATGCGTTACCAAGACGGCGCCCCCCTGCCGGGAAGTGGTGCTCATTCAGCTGGGAAATTCTGCAGCCCTGAAAATGGAGTATTTTGCTCCCCGCCCCCGGCCGAGGAGTCTTCGCTTCATATTCTTTTCCTCGTTCGCTGCTCTTACTATTAATTGCACTGCCTGTCCTTGAGTATTTGTTTTTCCTAATGGCACCTGCAGATACCGAGAGCTTCCCGGTTGAGGACTGTGTCCTTCGCCACAGAAAGGATGCGCAGCGCGCCCCCACTCGCAAGCGCATTATTATCTGCTGTGACGGCACCTGGCAATCTGCCGTGTCTGGCAAGAGGAACGTCCCGTCGAATGTCACCCGTTTGTGTCGGTCGTTAAACCATACCGGCACAGATGAACACGGTAATCAGTGGCAGCAGGTTGTCTTCTACGACTCCGGAGTCGGAACCAGCCCTAGTGTGGTGGAAGATGTTATTGAAGGTGCATTCGGCGAGGGCGTTGAGCAAAACGTCATCGAGGCCTACAACTTCTGCGTTTTGAACTACCACCCCGGTGATGAGATTATGTGCTTTGGTTTCTCGCGCGGTGCGTACACGGCTCGCACGATCGCAGGACTGATCTCGGATATTGGCGTCTGTCATAAATCCGAGCTGAATAGCTTTCCGGATCTATGGCGCCAGTACAAAAAGGTTAAGAAGGGGAAGCGCTTCGATCGAAGTGATTTATGGTTTGATTGGATGTTCGGAAAGGCGGATGAACATCAAGGTGCTGGCACGGAGGGAAACCGAAAGTTTCGCTATGAACATGCCCCACAGGGTGATTGGGCACAGGAAGGATCGAGAGAGGTTAAAGTCGTTGGAGTCTTTGACACAGTCGGCTCCCTAGGCATGCCGCAGGTGCTTGGTTTCAAGCTACCATCTACGGGCAAGGATGGCTGGCATAATGTTGGACTGTCGCCAAGTAAGTACAAAAATCTATTGATGCCTTGCTTTGACAGTATCACGCCGAATTGAATTAGAAACCTGACACATTTCAAGATATCAGACACGCATTCCAAGCCTTGGCCCTAGACGAACACCGTCAGTCCTTTTCTCCCTCGGTTTGGTACTTACCGAACAAAACCTGTACACGAGAGGATGTGGATGCCAGAAAGAAAGAAGAGGCTGAAGCCGAAAAGCGATACTCAGAGGCCCTACAAGAGGCGATCAATCTCAAGGAAAGTGGCCAGGCCACCGACGCTGAGGTGAACGCTGCCGCGAGAAATGTCAATCAAGTCGCGAAGGCCTGGAACAAAGTAACTCGACGACGAATGAAATCCGAGGAGCGATTGAAGGTTCAGTCCGAGCTGAAGCAAGTGTGGTTCCCTGGCTACCACGTTAACATCGGTGGAGGAGACGACAGTACCTTGAATAATATCGGTGATATGGAGGAAATGTCTAACATTACCTACTCGTGGATGTTGGATCAGATCAAGAATCACCTCTCCATCGACGAGCGCTTCGTTATGCAGGCTATGAAAGCACGCGAGGAATACCTCCAAACGCTAAACAAGAAGTACGAGCACTGGGAAGCCTCTGTGAGCACTTTGAAGAGAGATTCATTCAAACAATGGGTGTCCCGCGCTGTTGAATGCATCATGCACCCCTCAAAGATGCTGGAACCTCCAGAGTACAAGGGAATCCGTCGCTATGGCTGGGGAGAAGGTATTTTGATCAACAGCTATAGTCTTTTCTATCATCTGAATGGGAAGAAATGGCGGACCCCGGGAGAATACGGCACCAAAAATGACACTGGCAAATACGCCGGAGAAACATTTGAGCATATTCATCCTGTCGTGAACTACAGGGTGGAGCGAATGAAGATGCTCCACAAGGAGGATAGCAAGCAGCACTCCCTGTACAAGCCCCTTGCCCCCGGCGGGGACTACAAGCGCTGGAAAGAACTGGATGAGAACGGTAACGTCATTCACAAGTACAAATTTGGGAATTCGTCGAAGGCCGTGCCGGAGTGGAAGCTTGGTGCACAGGACTCTTATGAGCGACTTGCAATTGCAGGAATGCCTGCTTATTCCTACGTGGATGCTTTGGACGACGAGCTGAACAGCGGGTTTCGAACTGAGCGTTTTGACTTTGATTCTTACAGCAAAACGGAATATGGTCTCAAGCCTTCCATTGTGCAAAAGCTTCGTGGCGCGGATGCTCGTGCTTCACACGACGAAAGTGAGGGCTGGGGTGAGCAATCCCAATCAACCGTCTTTGACCCTACTGTTCAACCAGAGGATTTAAGAGCAGTTGATGCGTCAAAGCTTCCTGCAGAAAAAACTATTTCCTTGGAAGCTTCGAAGCAAGAGGCCCCACAGCGATTGTGTTTGAGCACTGTCCATTGATTTTGGGAATAGCTTATTTTAAGTACTGTAATAATATCCTATTTAGTGAGCTCAACTCCGCAATAATAATCCGGAGACCTCTCAATTGATCATAAGCCATTTTGTGGGCATCGAAGGTTGCTTCAAGGCGATATCAGGGGGTGTTGGCCTCAGGCAGGAGTACAGTAGGAGTAGTGTGGGCCAAGTCAGAGCTGGAATTCTGACGAGCCCCTAGCTTCCCCTCAAATCTGGCTTATTTGATATCAATATATCCGGAAATTATCAGTTAGTTGGTACAGAATAAGGCAGTAACGAAATTAAAGTATTCGTGACCTTGTGATGGACCGCGTTGCTCTATCAGGTCACATGAGTCGCGACGCGAATACGCGCTTATGAAAAATACACCATTCACCCAAAAGTCATAGCTAAACATGCCACAATTTCTAGACCTTCCTGCCGAACTCATCCACGTCATATCGGAATTTCTGGATGACGAGCACGCGATAAATTCTCTTCTCCGAACAAATAAACGACTCTTCGCACTCCTCAACCACTCCCTCTACCTCCACAATGCTCAGTCTCCACACCCGACAGCCCTCGAATGGGCCGCCAGACATGGCTTTGAGAGAACGGTGCGCCATGCGTTGAAGGCCGGCATTTCACCAACCGAGGCCTATGAAGAAAATTGGGTACCCTTGGCCTTGGCTTGTATTCATGGACATGAAGACGTGGCACGCCTTTTGCTTGAACTTGGCGTCGATCCGGACCTCGGTGAGGGTGAGGAATGGTACCGATTCAACAACGATGATGACCCAATTGATGATGATCATCATCATAAAGGCCTGGTCGCATTGGCTATTTGTGGAGGCCATGAGTCTATTGTGAAGCTCTTGATTAAGTTCAAGGCCCCAATCGATCCTCAGACAGCGTGGGACGAAGAGGCGTCTCTTGGGCTAGCGGTTATCGCTGGACACTTGCCTATTATAAAGCTGCTGGTAGAAAATGGCTGTAAGCTTGAGGATACATTAAGCCCGCTTATTTCTTATGCTGTCATATCGGGAAATTTTGAGATCGCCGAGTACCTGCTCGATCAAGGTGCCGGTCCGGATCTTGAAGAAACAGAGTCTTATATTTGTCAAGCTGCTTCAGCCGGGCACTGCAAGATACTCATTTTGCTTGTGGAATACATGCTGTCGGAATACGCAAGTAATCCGGACGGTCCTATTCGTGATGTCGCGTCGATGCTCAAGACGCCTTTATACCTCGCCGTGGATCACGGTCATTTTTCTACTGCCGTAATGCTCCGGGACATTACTAAATTATCAGAACAGGTCGATAGTCTGTCTCTCAACTGCATTGATCAAGAATTACTCCTCTTGGCCGGTGCTGCCTGCGGGTGGGAATCTATTGTGCGGAAGCTACTTGAACAGGGTGTTTCGCCTGATACTACCTCTCCGAGTGATTCGGTCTTTCAATACATTAAGCCTAGGGGTCTACCAAATGATCTTTGTCTCCGGGAAAAGCACGGTACCTCAGCATTGGCATTTTCTGCTTTTCACGGCCATCTGGGGACCACTCAGCTTTTGCTTGAATACAATGCCAGCTTGGGGGAAAAGCGGGAAGAAATCTACGCAGCAAACCCGCTCATGGTGGCAGTCTCTCAAGCTCATTTGCCCATCGTGCGTGCCCTTTTAGATCATGGGGCGGATCCGAACTATCGACAGCATGACGAAACATATGTCCTCCACCAGGCCGTACCGTCGCCCGAGATATTTGAGCTTTTGCTTGATCGAGGAGCTAGCGCTGATCGGGATGATTTACCATACAACATATCGCTGCTGGTCAAGGCTCTCCAGGAAGGAGCCATTGATACCATGAGAATCCTCCAGCGAAGGGGGATTCTTGATTCACTGTTACAAGATGAACGGGGCGAAGCTCTTATACTCGCCGTCACTGGGGGTGTCCGTGCGATTGAATATCTTCTGTCCCAGGGTTACAAGGTCACGCCGAACAGCGAAGAAGCCCAACTTGCACTTGTGAGTGCCATCGAGGGGTCCAATACCGAGGTCATCAACCTGCTCTATGCAAGGGGTTTGGTATTCGACTTATCTGTGGTAGACAGAAGGAACCTCTTGGAGTATATACACTATTCAGAATTCCCGGATATCATGGAAAAAAGCATTTCTACCGTGGAAACATTACTCGCGCATGGGGTCGATATCACTGCTGGTCACAATATTCTTTCCAACCTTCTCAGGGGGATGGATCACCTCTCCGTCACTGAGATGAACCCATATTTCGCGTTATTGTTGGACCGCGGTGCAGATCCACTTCAATCGCGACAAGGCCAGAGGAGCCCATTAGAGGTATCTGTGCGTGACATAGACAACGCGTCACTAACCCATATAATGTTGAATGCATTAAATAGTCGGAGTCTCAGTCCAAAGGAACTCAAGAAACTTGCCTATGTCGAAGCAAAAGCCCGTGAACTGGGCAGTTGGAGTGTGGTACGGCATATTTGTCGAATTCATTGTCGGATGAAGTATGAAGGTCTGCCGAAACATCCTGCCTATCCGGGTTGATATTTGACAGACCACCTTGTTACCAGTCAAAATGTTACCAACCACGGAGACGGCAAATCCCTCCTATGTATGTGGACGATGGATGGAAGAAAGAACCCTATCTAGAACAGACAAAGAGCATGGCAAGGCATATCCCTATAAGACACCGACAGCTATCCATAGCTTCTCACTTCCTTCCACTCATTCCCATAGCACTCTAAATAAATTGCTTCCGCCGATACTACACGTACACTTCGTATAACTCCAACAATTGTGCAGTTGCGGGTTTCACCTCATTTGTTTCATGGGAGAGCCGGCCACCCCAAAACACATAGTAAATGATAACTTCATATCCTAACAACCACGCGTTACATTCATTTGTAATTTATAGTACGGTTTTGGTTTCCATAGGAAATCAAATACTATTCAAAATACAATACTTCAGCCTAGCCCCTCAACTCGAAGTGGGTGTTAAGATATAAAGTCATCATTTACTATGCGTTTGACTGGTGACCGGCTTACCCATGACACGTTCCAAGGTTACTGCTATTCTATCAAAATAAGTCTTTAATTGAGTTCTGCTCTCTCCATCTGCGTACTCCAACTTGAACAATGAAAAGTTTCATGTTTCACCTATGTTGACGGCTGGTGCCTAGCACCCAAGCCTCAGACATCCCAGACCGCCCATTCCCTACTAGATAGCTTCACCTTAGTTCGCTCTCTTCTATCTAATTACCAACCAAAGTTTTCGTATCTTTCTTCCACAGTAGGCCTCCGACAAAACAATTCTGCAATTGAGTTCCGCTCTCCACCTCAGGCAACCACATATGGAAACCTACACAATTAACTACACACCTCAAACTAGCAGGACAAGAACCGGGCCCATCCTCCCAATACCCCAAATCACGGATCCCATAATTAAGAAAGCTACTGAAACCAATCTGCATGTCTGAGATGATGTGGCTGACCTCTTTCCCGGGCCGGCCAGCGGGGCAAGACAAAAGCGGGCTGTGCATCGGGAACTCACCGGCCGCCGAAACAAGCCGAAGCGGAACGAACAGACAGAGCCGGATGGGCTTGGGTGGCTGAAACGTGAGGCTGTTTCTACTGTAAACTCTACGCGAAATAGTATGAAAAAAATGGAAACTTTGGGAAGAAAAAGATGTCTATGTTCGTAAAGCTATTCGTGAAATTCTTCCAGCTGGCCTTTCCAAAAGTTAGGCTAGGCTGAACCTATCAGGTCGGTTGCGCAGTAATCCATAGCTGCGATATACCAACATTACTAGTAACTTGGTCATGATGCAAGAAAAGAATATGGAGACCAATCACCCACAAAAAAGATATGACAAAAAGAGGATGGAGGATAGAAAAGGAAAAAAGGGGGTAAAGGGAAAAGGAAATGGGAAATTCATTCTGGATGAACCAAGGGGGGAATCATTTTTTTTGGGTTTCACTTGAGTCCGGCCTCACCACTCACCACAACACATACTTACTCCAGGATAGCGGAGGAAGCAGTGGCAGTAGGGTTGGGAGGGTTCCACTCAAACTTGAAGTCATCACCAAGCTCCTTCTTAATAGCAGTCTTAACCGCATCAAGAACGTGGTCAAAGACACCGAAGTTGGCCGGGTTGTTGATGTCGTTCTTGCCGCCCTGGAAGACACCAGTGCGCACGAGACAGGTGTTCCATCCGTACAGGTTACCGCCAATGATATCGGACTGCGGGTTGTCGCCGATCATGTAGATGTTCTCGGGCAGTGTCTTCTGGCCGTGGATCTGCTCCATCCAGTTCTTGATGACCTCGTCAGCGACGATGTAGGTCGCGCGCTCGGGCTTACCGTAGACGATACGCTCGAGATCACGGCCGGTCAGAGCCTTGTACTGGGCCTCCAGCGCGACGCGGAAGGCTCCCAGGTGCAGACGGGGCGGGCCCTTGTGCTCAGTGGGGCAGAGCAGATCGCCCTGCGAGAAGTAGATGGGGATGTGGCCAGCGACGGCGTCGCGGGCGGCGGGGTCCTTGGCGCGAGTGAGAAGGCGGCCGTTGGCGGAGAGAAGCAGGTCCAGGATGATCTGGTACTCGGTGCTCTGGTCGTGGGACTCGGCGAAACACATGATGGCGTCGAACTTGAAGTTGGCGAAATCGCGGACCTTGGCCTCCTTCCTCTCCTCCTCGGTGAACTTGCGGCAGGGCGAGATCGTTTCGTCCCAGGCGAGAATATCCTTAGGGATGACGACGTTCTTGAAGCCGTAGTTCTCTGCAACGCCGCGGATGTTGTTGCTCTCGCCACCGCAGACGAGGACGTTGTCGTAGTACTCGGCTAGAGCCTGCATGGGGGTGTGGGACTGGATGAACTGGTCGGTGGAGATGGGGAAGCCCAGAACCTCGGACAGCTGCGCGCAGCGAGCTTCCTCGGTCTTGCCACCGCCGTTGGTGAGGAGGATGTAGGGGAATTGGATGCCGAGCTCGTTGTCGCCGTTCAGGATCTTCAGGACGGTCTTGGCTTCGGCGATCGCGTTGTTACCGTGTGCCAGCACACCGTCAATGTCGAAAGCGAAGCACATGTTCTTGACCTTCTCGACCTTCTCCTTGTGAGTGTCTTGGACCTGGGAGGCGATGATATCACGGGCCGCAGAGCCAGGCGCGTGAGCAATGGACAGACGCGACCTGCGGGGGAACGGGGGATGGGCAGCGAGACGCCAAAGGAGTTACGAGAACCCCGGCGGTCCCGCATGGAGGGAGACAGGCTCAGGCGCTGCATGTGAGTATCACTGATGGAGCTGCGAGTGGCAGGAATCTCAATGGTGTGGTTGTGGTGGTCGCTGGGGATGGCGACACCAGGCTGACCCTCGCGGGCAGCACCGTCACTGGGGGCAGGAGGAGGGCCGCTGGGGCTGGTATTCTCGCCGCCGAGATCAGCATCGGAGAAACGAGGCATGTTGATGGTGGTAGTGGTTGAAGGTGAGGGAATTATATTGCGATAAAAGGATTGATAGATGGTATGGATGCGATTGTCCGGATTGGCACGGACAAAGGATCACAAGACAATCAACCAAGAAGGATAGGAATGAAAGAAACAAGAGGCAATGGAGGGGCAAGGAAGATGGTTTTATTTAAAAAAAGAGAAAAACCTTAGAGGAGGTGGCACTGATGGGTTCAACCTCAAGCAAGCAGTCCCGGTTATGGAGCCCGGTGGATGCAGGACCCATAATGGTGCCCATTTTGTGGGATATATACCCAACCAGAACGGCGGCATTCGGGATTGCTCGCCCAGAAAGGAGCAGAAGCAGATGGAGACGGTTCAGACCTACGTGCCAGGTGCGTCATTGACTAGCAGAAGGGGAGAAGTGGTCCGCAAAGTGGAGTGGGAGAGAAGGTGAGTGGCCGGGATGATTGGTAGTCCTAGACGTTTGCATACAGATATCACAGTACAGATATCAGTATACTGTGTACACCATCCACTAACAGTATACAGTAGATATCTTCTACACTATTATAGATATGCTATTTTACACCCTCGGACTACTTGCCCGCAAGTTGGCACCCGCATTAGCCTTGCAAATACACTGGCGAATAGACCTGGTGAAATGAACCAGCCCTGATCTCACGTAATTAGTATTAGCTAGTCCTAACTAGGTTAGATCGCCCCGGCTGGTTTAGCGGGAAACAATGATGTCATCACCCCCCGATTGAGCCGCTTTTGACCGCTTTTACGGCCCTCCTTTCTGCCCCTCCTTTGCCCCTCCTACTTTACCCTCCAGTAGGTACGTACCCTCTGCCTTGAACTTCCAACTGCATATCTCCCGGCATGATTGATTTACCATCCTCTAAACACTTATCTGCGTCCACATTCTCTCACTCATCGCATTACTCCATCGGGATACCCGAAACCTGAAGGTGGATCATGGTCCACTGGTCTATGCAACCCACGACAGTCGACGGTAACGCACAGGATGGAACGGAAGCATGTGGGTGGATCTCGGGTTGGGAAGCGTGGGATGACGTCGGGTGGATGCTAAATTGTGAATAATTTCAGTAGTATACAGTAGACCACATACTCCAACTGCCAATGCCAATATATCGCGCATCTAAGAGAACACGGTCCTCGAAGAGTGTCTGAATTCTGCAGACTTGTGTATTCCGTGCCCGTTCGCCGTTCGCCGTTCGGCCCGCGGCCGAGCACGGCGCTGAGTGTTCCTTGCCCGGTGATTGGTCGGATCTGCCCGTATTTCATTACCCCTGTATCTTCTTTGTTCTCCTGAGTACGGAGTAGAGTTAGAATTATTATTTATTATTATTTATTGTTATTGTTATAATCATTATTATAACTATATGGTATAGCCACCTCCTATTCTCTCTTTTGAATCAAACTCTATCCTACTAGTATTCAAACTACTGCATCTCCTCCATTACTGGCGGGATTGAAAACGTTTACTCGGGAAATATCGGGTCCCGCTCGCGTCGAGATCTTCCTCCCGTGGCTGGTGCGGCCCACACGGTGATCTCATTTTGTCCCTCATCTCATCGTTTGGCTTGGTTCTTGCTCACTACCCCGTACCCATGTATACAACAATCTGGTCTGATGACCTATCCGGAGTATTCAAACTATACACCATGGACTGAGAGGACCATTTGATCTTTTAACTCAGATCTAGATGTGGCTTCGCCTATCTTCCGCCCGAATACTGTACTAGTAATCCCTGCAAAGATCGACCGAGTAAACTTTAACCACTCACGCCCGGTGAAACTTTTAGTCGGCAGCCTGTCCTGTCCTGCCTACCTCGGTGGACCAGACTCTCCAAAGATAGTACGGAGTATGGAGTACATACAACGGAGATGCTCCCATCCCATCACATCCCATCCCACCACCCCGGAGTACTGCAATCCGTGCACCCGGCCTGGTGTGGATATCGCGCATATCGACACATTTTCGCATTCTGCTCGGCGGTTCTAGTCCAATGACATTACCCGATTCCCCGTCGGTGTTCGTGCTTCGCTGGCGCGCTGAAGATCGGAAACCACTCTGCACGGAGTGCCGACAAATTCGCCTTACCGTACTTTGCCTAACAACTTTGCCCCTGACAAGGGTCAAAGCCAAAGCCAAGGCCGAGAGCTTAGTCCAGCCAGGCACGGATACTCCGTACATGAGGGACATCTCATCCATCCCAGCTCCTCGCACGTAGGTGGCATGCAAGGCGACCAATCATAGCCCGCCAGGCCCTGGGAATTGACATGGGCTGAAAATGCTTACCCGTACGAACTTTGGGTTGGCATCGGTTGGCAACTGCTGTACCCCCTCCAGGGCTCCGACCGGAGAACCGATTCGGAGTTACGGTAGGAGATCGTTGCGATCGCGACCGCCCGAGTCCAGGGTTGGTCTCGGCTTGGGTGGAGGAACGCTTTCCGACGAGTTTGTGCTGTGCTTGTTTGCAGTGATGGATGGTTTCTTGAATCATGTCACATTTGTGTGTTGACGTCGTTGGGTGTGGCTGATCCCCCCCGCACTCTTGCTGGTGGACCACGTGCACAGGCCAGTGTGGATGTCACGATGTTGACAAGTTGAACTTGAGGGGAAATTTGTGGGATTGTTTATCAGGGATGAGTATTGTTTACCTAGGTATTGAGATACATATTAAGTACCTAGTGCGAGTATTCTAGGTATTTTGAACGTGTTCAACTTGAAGTTCAAGTTGAGACTCGGAGGTTAGCAGTGTTACTACTAATGCCGTGACCTAGATAGTAATACTGTTGCTGGTACTGGGCATATATATTGCGCAATGACCGCCCCGAATCTTGAAGTTGAACCACACTGGCACAATTTCGCATGCAGACCTCAGAGGCCCCACTAGTGATATGCAGTTCAATTCCAAGTTCGAGTTACTTCAAGGTTACATACTACTACATAGGTAATAGGTAAAAGCAAACCAAGTTGACACTGGCAGCCTATACCTCCGTCTATCATCGCATCACGTGGTCAGATCATCCCCGAGATCAAGCCAGTGATGATCCCATTCGGACATGTGGAGATCATGGAATAAATAGCTCCATATATTATATGTATACTTTGTACTCCCATACCTCCTAATCTAATCGGATCTAATCAGACAATTCTACAATTCATGTTTCCAATGGCCGTCTTTGTTTGTCCTATGACTCCGCACACGTGACCTCCGCGGGGTGCGGGCAACTTTCTTTGGCCCACCTTCGTGTCACCGTCAGAGTCACGATCTCCGTCACTCTGTCGTGCTTGTGTTTCCTGTCTGGTCATCACTGCTGTGACATATTTCAAAATGGCTCCGCTCATTACCTTGGCCACATGTGCGCTGAACCAATGGGCCCTCGATTTTGAAGGCAACCTTCAGCGCATCAAGAAAAGTATCATCAAGGCCAAAGAGGCTGGTGCAACTTTGCGTGTCGGCCCCGAGCTGGAAATTCCTGGTTACGGTATGTCTCTCAAGTATACTGCTTGGATGTATGGCTCTAATCGATTTCTCGCTAGGCTGTCTGGATCACTTCCTCGAGAATGAGATCTACGATAACTCATGGGAGTCGCTGTACTCTATCTTGACGGATCCCGAGCTGCATGATATCGTTATCGATGTTGGGTACGTCTATACCCCCGACTCCAGCCTATACTCCACAATTCAACAACCATCTAATTCCTCCTCACAGTCTTCCCATCCTTCACCGAAACTGCAGATACAATGCCCGCGCCATCGTCTTGAACGGCAAAATCCTGTGCCTGCGTCCTAAGCTTTATCTCGCCAACGATGGAAACTTCCGTGAAATGCGCTTCTTCACTCCGTGGAACCGCCCCAGACACGTGGAGGACTATTACCTTCCCCCGTATATCCAGAAGCACCAGGGTGCCCGCCATGTTCCCATCGGAGATGTTGTCCTGTCCACCTACGACACAACCCTGGCCGCGGAGACTTGCGAAGAGCTCTTCACGCCCAACAGTCCTCATATCACAATGTGCGCCACTACCTCTCTCAATACCTTTACCTTGCTAACCCACTTGCAGGGGCCTCAACGGCGTGGAAATCTTCACCAACAGTAGCGGAAGTCATCACTCCCTCCGAAAGTTGGATGAGCGTGTTGCTCTGATCTCAGAAGCAACTCGGAAGAATGGTGGTGTCTACTTGTACTCCAATCAGATTGGATGTGACGGTGACCGACTGTATGATCACCCCCGGCGACCTCGAAAGCGTCTACTAATAGCAGCACAGGTACTACGACGGCAGCGCCATGATCTTCGTCAACGGAGACATTGTCGGACAGTCCAGCCAATTCGGCCTGAACGAGGTCGAAGTCGTCGTTGCGACCGTCGATCTGGAAGCCGTGCGATCTTATCGATTCGCTCCCTCGCGTGGCATGCAGGCCGTCGCAGCACCGGAATACAAGCGCATCGAAGTGGACTTCTCTTTGTCTCACGAGAATCTCGACCTGGACGAGATGCACTCTGCTACAGCCCGCAGACCACCGCACTATCATATCCCCGAAGAAGAAATTGCTTACGGACCTGCTTGCTGGCTTTGGGATTACCTCCGTCGATCCAAGGCCGCTGGTTTCTTCATTCCCCTCTCGGGTGGTATTGACAGCTGTGCCACCGCCACGCTTGTCTACTCCATGTGCCGCCAAGTCATCAAGGCCATGAAAGAAGGTAACGAAGTCGTGATTGCGGATGTTAAGCGTATCGCTGCTTACTCCGACAAGCTGCCCGAGACTGCAGAGGAGCTTTGTAACCAGGTGCTGTGCACTTCTTTCCTGGGTATGAAGAATCAGAGTAGCAAGGAAACGAGGGAGCGTGCTCAAGCGCTCGCTGACCGTATTGGTGCTTACCACACGGACACTAATATTGACGACGTGTTCCAATCGACGAAAAACATTCTCACCAAAGCTACCGGGTTTGAGCCGAAATTCAAGGGTCCGTCTCCATCTCTCCCGCACCGAGAAACCTGCTCATCTCTAATCTACTCATAGTTCACGGCGGCTCGACCACGCAAAATCTCGCCCTGCAGAATATCCAGGCTCGGTCTCGGATGGTGATCTCTTACTACCTTGCTCAGGAATTGTGCGAGGTTCGCGGCCGACCGGGCGGCGGTTCTCTTCTCGTCCTCGGAAGCTCCAACGTCGACGAATGTCTGCGCGGATGTGAGTAGAGTATACCGTCTCAAATCCATGCGAACCAGACTAACCCGACCGCAGACCTGACAAAATACGATTGCTCCTCCGCGGACATCAACCCAATCGGCTCCATCAGCAAAGTCGACCTGAAGCGCTTCATCGCATGGGCATCTGAAGACTTCAACATGCCCATCCTGAAAGACTTCATCGAGGCGACCCCAACCGCCGAGCTGGAACCCATCACCGCCGAACACGTAAGATTAAACCCCTCCGCCCCCCTCACAACTCGCAGCAAAAGACTAACCCAAACAGACCCAATCCGACGAGGTCGACATGCAAATGACCTACAAAGAACTATCCCGCTTCGGCACCCTGCGAAAAGTAAACCATCTCGGCCCATTCGGCATGTTCCTCGTCCTTCTAGAAGAATGGAGCGGCGAAGGCGAAGATAAACTCAGCCCGCGCGAAGTCGCCGATAAAGTGAAGAAATTCTTCCACTTCTACCAGATCAATCGGCACAAGCAGACCGTCGCCACGCCGTCATATCACGCGGAAAGCTACAGTCCTGACGATCACAGATTCGACCTCCGCCCTTTCTTGTATCCGTCTGCTTTCCAGAGTTGGTCGTTTGGAAAGATTGATCGTCGGGTTGAGGCGTTGGAGCTGAGGATTCAGAAAAAGAAGGATGAGGTTGCGGCTAAGGCTGCGAAGTAGAAAGAGTGTGGCTAGAATATTTTGTGATAGTATCTTATCTTTTGCAACCGTTAGCCATGTTACGTGGATAGAATACTAGATCCTTTATGAATGATATAATACCTGAGCTATGGTTTTTTCGTTCTTCGCCGAAAGTTCCTACCGGCAACTAAGTTGAGATGACTACAATTGAGTCCAATACCAAGTACTAGTAGTAGTGCTGTATTATTTCTAATTATAAACGACAACACGGCATTCTATGATACGCCGCAGAGAAAAAAAAATAATCCTCCGTCAAATCCCATCCCTACCAATCCAATTATACCCGTAAAATATTATCCGAAGAAAAGTTTATTGCTCAAGTTCGTAAGTCGTATTCGTGTCACACACTGGCACCCGGGCAAGCCGGCGACCAAATTCCCAAATGTATCGAGATGCACTGGCAGGTGGATGGTTTGTCCAGCTAAACTTGAAGAATATTGAATTAGAACAACTTGAATGTCTCGTCATAGTTGGAACCTTCCTCGAACCATGTACTCACCAGTGAGCCTGCAAGTTTAAATACCCTGTCCAGCGTAACGGCCCGGAGGGAACGTATATTCATCATCCAAGTGCTCCTTGGCTGCCATCAAGGGACCCCATTTCTTGCGAATGTCTTGCCAGCGACGCTTGAAGCCAGACGGGCTGGTGTTTGCAACTTCTTGTTTATCGACAGCGGAACTGATATCGGAGTCCTTGACAAGGCCGGCGGGCAAGTGTATAGAGCTTTGGCGACTGGATGTGTTGCTCGACATATTGGACATGGAAAGCGAATAGGTGAAACTTGAAATGGGGGTTATTTGAGAATTTCAAGTACTTCGTGACTCGGATTTGGAAAGGGTGATTTTAAATTCAATTCAAATTTGATGGAGTGGAGTGGTTTCTGGTTCAACTCTGGGAGGAAATCCAGTTCCTTTATAAGACTCCGTGCAAAGATTTTCATCACCTGCCAGTGCTTAGGTACTTACCCATCTAGCCTGCTTATTCGTTCAGCCCTACGGCATATTTGGCGTGTCGAAAATACCTCACCGAGTCAGGCCGAGATATTTCCGCCCTTGTTTTTCTCAACCTGCGGCACTTGTTTGCTGACACTTGAGTGGAGCAGCGATAAGGAGTGCAGGTGAACTAGTCGTAAAGAAGTAGAAGGATTCTAGAGCGATTGGTTGTCTTTAAGCCCACTTTGGGCATTAGACTTGTTCTGGGCATTGCTTTTCTGTCCTGTGTTGTTTTTGCCGAGTTGAGGGTTCGGAGATGAGTCGGGTGAAAGTCGGAGGGGAGTTGGTTTGGTATGGATCGTCCGGAAAGTCGCCGGTAGCTATGCTTGTTCAAGTTTTGAAAAGATTTGAAAGAAGAACATAAGCGCCCGGGGAAAAAGTTAACTTCATACTATTTTAAATAGATTCGCCTTCTTGATCTACTAGCGAAAATGTATGTAATGTAATGGGATGGTGGTTGGTTATTGATTGAGGGGTTGTTTCTTCTCATCCTACCAACTAGTACGGAGTAGTCAAGCCTTTCTTTCAAGCAAAGCTAAATTTGAATTGCCGAAGAATGTGGATCATATCGTTCCGTTCAAGACCCATCAAGTTAGTATGACCAGTCGCTAACTTCCAAGGCTCGGCTGGTTTGTGACTGACCTACTAGGTATGTACCTGAAAAGGGGGCCTTTCGCCACAGCTAGTTACGTATCTCAGGTTCATGAAACTACCTGTCTACCATAGCACCGCCAAACGTGAAACTCTATCAAAACCCAAAGTGGATATAAAATTCCAATATTCACATGTGGATTTAATTTTTCAAGGTGGGTCATGTCACTTCAGATAATTCTGCCTAACCGTTTAACGGCACCGTCAATTCATATCCACTCGCTTCCGCTGGAAACTTCAGCAAGCGCAAGACCAAAGGGTCGGTACTGTGTTCCAGGAACATGCAAATAGCGATACATTCCGGCCTTATCCTCCCTTCTATCCACGGCTGCCATTCCGCCGCAGCACACATGCGTCCCATCCACTGCACCAACATTACCAGCGCCGGAACATCTCTCTTCCTGCAGAGCGCTAGAAAGTCACACTCGAGCCGACCCATAAAGGAAGAAATGTGAGCAGAGTTGGGCCTGTTGTTCTCAAGTTTCAAAAGGGCGGAGAGGATTCTAAGAGGGTCGTAATATATGCTATTATTTTCCGTGGTATATTCATCAATTTGACACAGATCGGCAAGATCTGGATCAAGCCCCTCGCGTCCGGCTTGTGGTTTTTTGTCGAAGATCGTACGTTCTTCTTTCACGATCGCGTCGAAGGAAAGCGCCCAGATACTGTCGGGGATGTAAGGCGCAGCTATGGATATGATTGTTCGAAGGCCGCTTTGTAGACAAAGCCAGTTCATCGCCTCCGGCCTGTTCGTGAGAACCCACGAGTCTGTGGGTTTGAAATTCTCGGGGCAAATCGTCATGACTCCCATCATCATGCAAGAAGATAGGAGAGCGTCGACGTTATCTCGTCGTACCGGTGAAGAAAGTGCCTTTTGGTACTGTTGGATCGCATGTTGCCAGAAATAAGCCTCGGCAAATGATCTCTCTTTGTTGGGTGAGACACGGTTGAGATGGAGGATGCCAACCGCGAGAACGGTATACATCAAATGTGGGTTCTGTAGAGGTGTTAGTTCAACTGATTAGTTCAAATTTGGAAGGAACCGTCAGGAAGAGCTTACAGCAAATGATACCCGTATCATATCGGTTCCCATTACCTTGCGTATTACAGGACTGGCAACGGTATCAACGGTGCTGTTCATAAAATACTGAAAGGCCACGGTAGGTAAAGCATGGCCCGAGTTCTGATTTATAAAGGCGTTCGGCATCTGGCGCGAATCAAAACCCAACACTGTCTCAATTTTATTCGTGAGGTCGTTAAGTGAAAGTGTGAATATTATGGTTGATGGGTCCTCGTGTCCAAATGTAAGCTTGGTCCTCTTCTGACGAACAACCTCATTTTCGGGAGTATAGGAACACTCTATCCCCTTGTATTTGCATTTTTGACAATGTGGCTTTTGTTCATCGCACTATACTATGCATCAGCTTGACTGGCTGGCACGGAGAGCTCTCTATCTCGCTTACTTACCTTCACTCTTCTTCTTTTACACGTCAAACACCCCCCTCTAGACTTTTTATGAGATCGTCGGGCATGAAATGTTGTATCTTTTTTCTCTCGTGGGTGTACGCGAAACACGGTCTGGAGTTGTTTCGCGTCAGAGTTGCTTTCTTCGGATGTTTCATCCGATCCCCTCTCGTTATCGGAAGTGACGACTTTGAACATATTTGCCTGTTAAAATGATCAACTTCATGACCCGTGAGGGGATGATCGAAAAAGGCGGCAAGCAAGGCAGACAAGGTTGAAGCATCGCCACACTGGCTTCGATCACGTGTGATAATAAATACGAGGAAGGTCAGGTGATGCGGCTCGATGGAGATGCGAGTCTTTAGAAAACCTCCGAATGATATGAGAGGGAGAGTACTTTGCAAATGCTGCTAGTCATGATTCTCTGCCTTGATATTTTGAGGTTTGTGAAAAGCGCCCGGGCCTTCATGAGATTTGCAGCGATAAAAGAAATTACCTCCATCGTTATTGACCAAGTCGCGAGTCGTACCATTAATTTTATTTGAACTTTCGGGACCAAAGAATATATAAATGCTCAAAATCATATGATCTTGATTCATGCGTGTGATTTGTGCGATGTCTATATGTAGAAAGAAGGGGCAATTTGCATGCCTGAGGCCTCAATGCATCAACAGGTGCTCTCCAGACTGGGGTAAACGGGGCTACATTTTGTACCTTCGACAGCCGTCCACCTTGGTATCAGACATTGTTTCCGAGATAGCTGTTTGAAGAAGGCAGTGGTGGTTGGCAATCTTTGCCCTCACTTTGCTCTCACCTCTCGAAGCAATCATGGGCGTTCGGACATCCAGGACCAAGGTTATTATACTTCACGGGCCGATGTTACTCTTATCAGAGAACCGCGCCCTCTATGATAACCTGTTGCTGTGCGGACGATCCCTCGGGCTTCCAAAACCCAGCGAGTTTCAACCCGGCCTTGTTGAGCAGTGTCTCCCACTCGTTCTTGGTTCGTTCTGCCGATGAAAAAGCAGTCATCATAGTCATATCACCAATCGCAGCCATCCACGGAATATTCGTCTCCGGCATGGCCTTTTCATGAATCAGGAGTAAAGAACTGGGCCCCATTGCTTCACGAAGTCTCGACAGGATCTCCACGGCCTGCTTGTCTGGCCAGTCGTGGAGGACAGTGCGGAGGTAATACGCCTTTGCGCCTTTGACAGGCTGTTCATCAAAGAAATTATGAACCTGGCTCTCGATCTCACTTGGAAGATCCGCTGTCTCAGTCACATAAGATAAGTCCTGGAGAACAAGTCTTCCTGGCAGATTGGGGAATCTTTCGCGGAAAGCCTGGAGATCTTTACCGCGGCCACCTCCGACATCCACAAGAACAACATCGGAAGAGCTCTGCACCTGCAGCTTATCTTCAACTGGGAAGAAGTCCAGCCAGCTTTTCTCATCGCGGCGGTAGGGCGACGCCATGACGGTGTCAAAAGCGTTTTGGTAATACGGCTTTGATGACATGTAATCGAAGTATCCACGCTTGGACTTGAGGACAAAGTTGAATGGGGAGTCTTGGATATCATCTGGATTTTTCCACCCTTTTTGTTCAAAGTATGCGGGAAGTTGAGCAACGAAAAGAAACATATGAGTGCTGTAAATGTCAGTCCAAGTTGCATGCTGAGTCTCAGTGTACAGACTGGGGGTACTTACAAAAATATGACCGCGCCCGACATCCAAGACGTCGAAACATAGGCCGCGGTGTATTGCGTAGGCGAGAAGGTGTCAGCGGCATCTTGCTTGAGGATGTTCAAGGGCACAAGTGCCTTCATGATTCTTCCTATTTCACAACACCATTAGAGCGGAATTTAATTAGAGGGTAGGAGTGGATATTTACCAACTAGCTTTGGATCAGCTTTCACATCTTCAGCAAGCTGAGCCACACGCACGTTGCCATCTTCGCTTTCAGAGCTGCGCTTGATGATTGCATCGAAGAGTTTGAGATCTACAGCTAGACGAACTGTGATGGCTTGGTGGCACTAGAAGCTCATTAGCGTAGCTCACTTATGCGAAAATCCCCGGGAGATCCAAAATTTACAGTGTAAAGAAGACGAAGTGTTTTGTCCAAAGGAGTTTCACATCGGCTCCTCAATCGTTCGCATGCTTCATAAAGCTGAGCTCGCTGCTCCGGATCCACGTCTGCGAGCTTGCCGGATGAATTTACCGAGTCAATAGACTCGATAAGCCGAGAAATATCCATGGCCAGAATTTTGAGGTGGAGTGCGCGGAGCTATCGTCGGATTGAAGAGCAGCCCTTGTGTGATTTCCAAAAAAGGCTATTGAAGTGGGGTAAACGATACAAATGGTGGCAAGGAGATGCCAGAGAGAATATTAAGTTGAATGAAGTGAGGGGTCAAGCAAGTGGTGCAGATTGACGTATATTGAAAGCTCCGGAAGCACAGCGAAAGTATGAAGTTAAATAGAATAGGCTTTGTAATGTTGGAAATGTTCAACCTTGGGAGAATAGCCCAGAGGAAGTGGATACAATATTGTAAGGGGGCAAGGGGATCATCCTCTAGGTCTATCTACACAGACTCAGAGCAATGACAGGCCGCTGTAAATGGCATACACATCTACTCCGAGGTCGGTATAATTTATCAAAACCTGTGCGGGGTAAAACGTATACATACATAGATAGGTCATTGCGCCACAAAATTGAATATTGCTTTTCCTCGTGCATCCAAATTCACCCGGACGTACAGCACTAGTAGTATCCATAATTAACGCTATTGTGGAGTATGCTTCTGCATAATTTTCGAGATATCTTTCATGTGTCGAAGAACCAAGCGCTAAGAGTGACGACCAGTCCAATTTGATTACATAGCTATTGAACTTCTTGCATGAGTGGAAGCACGTCAAATCTTGGCAAGGTCTCAAATCTCAGCGTTCAGGCAAGACGTTCAAACGTGCATGTCCCCGGGATGGGCTGAGCTTGCGATGCAGCAGGGTTCACCGATCTGTCGATTGATCACTTTCCTCAAGCATCACGTATGATTGAGATGTATTGAATTTTCGGTTTACAGGATATAACATTCGGTCGGGAGCGTTTCCAGGCAAACAGTAGGCATAGATCGCCAGGCAGCAATAAAGCTAATGTCTCTAATATGTAGCCTTCAATGTTCGCCAATCAATTCCAAGATACTATATAACCTATCCTAGAAACTGAGCTTTCAAAGGGCATTTTAGTCAAGATGAGCTGACGCTGAAATGTGTTTTTTGGGTACGATCTGCACGTTTTTTGGTTGGTTAATATTTGTACATATGGGTGTCGGACCATCAGTAACGAGGGGCAAATCAATAATGACACCTGGGCAAGTTTGATGTGGGGCCGGTTACTAGTTAGTAGCTGCTGGTCCGATGAATAATACTGCATAATACTGACAACTGCAATACTGACTACATACATATGCGAGGCTGCAGATGTACGTATGCTGCATACACCGTATCATGTACCTACTTCAAGTTGTGTAACTTCGGAATTTAGGGACATGCACCCCCTGGCTAGTATTACATGAAAGCCTGGTATTAGGATGGCCAGTAAATTTGATTGCGTCTGTGGTAATGGTAAATTTGGATACACAATTTCCCCACCTATAGTTTTGTGTATGAAGAAAAACTTTCCAAAAAAACCTTGGTTATAAAATTAATTTGAATACTTTCCTTCGCACTTTGCATGTATTTGATAATTTTAAAATACACACCGACTTGAAAGCATTGACTTTTTCAGGTTCGAGTGCGACCAAGACATCATGATGGGAAATACTGGGTCGATAGTTGTTTATAAGCAGTTATTCAGGCAAATATCAAAGGTTCATCCCTGATCATATATCAACTTTATCACTGGCACTCATGGTAACCAGCCAACCCATACCTGATTGCCAGTAATTGCTTCAAAATGACTTTCAACTTGGAAGACATAATTTCAAAATATCAAAGATCTGAAATCGGGTCGCCTTATCCCATTTTCGTCATTTTCGTCATTGCTTTATGCTACTGGTGGAAATCTACAGAGCTAGAGAATCCGTCCGGGCTTCCAATTGTTGGGAGAAAGTGGTATGAACTAGGAAATGGCAAAGCGAGACAGCGGGTTCGGGATGACTGCCTCGGCATTGTCAGGTCCTCTCTGCAGAAGGTGAGTAATATTTCAATTCCGACTCGATCTCTCGCCACCTGGGCAACACTAATTACGCCAATCTGTGAACAGTACGGTGATGCTTTCTACCTCTATACTGATTCTAGATATCGTCTCATCCTTTCTGGTAAATATGTCGATATGCTGCGCAATGAAAAGCGTCTTGACTTTATTACAGCGCTTGCAGATGTAAGAAATATAGGAAGACGGAGAGAATAAAAGCTGATGTAAAGACAGAAACTTGTTAATGGTGTGCATGGTTTCGAGCCAATGGAATGGATGACAAGTGATAAGAAGATTTTACACGCTGTGACAAAACACTCACTGAATCGGCATTTGGGTAGGCCTTCTCTAAATCATTTACTCTACCCGAGATGTACAAAATGTACCGCAGCAGAAGCTTAGATCTAACTTTCCATAAGGAACTTTTATCGAGCCACTTAATGAGGAATCCGACTATACACTTCGTCAAGTCTGGTCTGATGAGTCTGGTACGAATATCTCTTCCAATCATTAATAATTTGTGCTTGAAGCTGACGGCTCCATCAGAATATCACGAAGTTATGTTGAAAGACTCAGTTTGGAAATTTTTCGGACAGATAATGTCTAGGACATTTATCAACGAAAAGGACTTTTACCGCAATCCAGAATGGGTAAATGCGAGCTCAGAGTATGTCGAGCTGTCGGCTCTAGCGGGATACGAGCTTCGGGCTTTTCCAAGATGGGCAAAACGATGGGTTGCACCATTCCTTCCTAATTGTCGAAAGCTTCAGTCACTTTTCAAACATATCAACGTTCTCCTGGAGCCATTAAAGGACAGGTTAGACGGGCAGAAATTAGAAATCGATTCTAAAAACCCACTAAGCTTTTTACATCAAAAGATGGAAGGTCAGCCAGATGAGCTTGCATCTATGCTAATTGCACTTTGTTTGGTTTCATATGATGGCGGAGGGGAGTTGTTTACTCATGTTCTTCACTCGGTTTTCACAAATGATCAACTAATACGTGATCTCCGCGCTGAGATTGTGAGTGTGGTTGGTGATAAGGGTTTCAACAAGAATACTTTGCAAGGTCTGGTACTCATGGACAGTGTTCTGAAGGAGGCTATGCGTATGCACCCTGAGTCCGTCCGTAAGTCTCACCCATCTATACTTCAGAAGCTCGTCACTGACTGTTTTGGTAAATTAGTCTTGATGCAACGAATTGCTTTAGAAAAAGTCGTATTACCCGACGGTCTCATTATACCCAAAGGAACCCCCCTTTTGGTGTCCGGATGTCATATCATAGACGCGTCCATTTGGCCAGATGGTGACAAATTCGATGGCTACCGGTTCTTTAAAATACGCCAGAATGCAGATTCTTCTACGAACCAAGCAGCTTACAACTTTACATCAACATCTCCAGACCATTTTGGCTTTGGTCATGGATCTCAAGCATGTCCTGGGAGGTTTTTTGCATCGTACATGCAGAAAATTTTGCTGTGCCATGTGATAATGAAGTATGACATTCTGGTCACTATTCCGGAAGAAGGCGCATGGTTTCAACGTGGATACACTCATGTGGCTCATCCAGGCCTGAAGGCCCATGTCAGGAGACGAAAAGAAGAAATCAGACTGTGAGAAAAATTTCCCAACTTCAAGAACGCAGGAGGGTCAGATTCCGACCTTGAGAGGGTCTGACAAGATCGCTTTTTTGGTTCAAGTTCTCATGTTGTACTTTTGAATATATTTTGGTCGTGTCACTCATGATGCTTCTGAGACCTCGAAATCTCTCTGCCATTTCCTGATATCTACTATGATACCGAAAATGACGTAAATACTATCTTTTTTTTGTTGTACAATTGGCCAACTTGCCTTATAGTGTTACTTACTAGTAGTAAACATCTGCGGGAAGTGCTGGATCTCTACTAATATCAAGCACAGTGAGCCTTATATGGATCAATATGATTCCAATATCGGCTTATTTGTTTGCGTTTGGGGAGATGCATCGCTACCATTCTTCACAGATAGTTACGGTTTAAAATGTGTTCGGGTAGACCCATCACCACCCTTATATTTAAAGCTAGACATGGTGATTGGAACTCAATGGCAATTCTTCTGTAGAGAAATTGTCAGACATGCGGCTACCTAGGTAGAATTCACCAGATACTGAAAGTGAGAGTAGCATCGGATACAATGAGATAAAATTGAAGCTCAAACGAGATGTATTGGAAAGATCCAGCTTTGAACTTTGTACATGAGCCCAGTAGTATAAGAGTCTGAGCTCTCTGACATCCAAATTTTGAGAGCTTAGACCTCTACGGACTCTATCTGCAGCTCGGCCTCAATAATGCCTTTGTGAGACCCGCGAGGCAGCCAGAAGTTACTAATCTTCAATCCGACCGACTCCAGAAGTTCTGTCCATCCTCGACGTGTCCGTTCAATCCCTGGACACCATACCATAACAATCATATCGGTCATGGTCTCCTTTTGCCCGGCATTTTGGCTAGGAATGATGTAATCCTCGATCAAGATCTTTGAATACCCTCTCGTCATCACAGCGGTAATGTGCTTCAAAATTGTTCTGCAGTTTTCATCCGACCAGTCATGCATGATGTGCTTGAAGTAGTAGGCGCGAGCTCCTATAGTACCCGTTAGACCAGAGCTGATCAGAATGAGAATATTACGAACCTTCGACTGGCTGAGGATCAAAAAAACTATGTTTGATTCTCTGAATGTCGCTGTCGAGAGTTTTGATATCCTCGATAACCGATGGCAAATCCTCGAGTACAAGCCTCCCGGCCGCTGATGGGAATCTTTGCCTGAAACCGGCGATTTCATGACCGCGACCCCCACCGACATCAACCAGCAAAGGGCAATCGGCCGACGCTCCGTTAAGTATCTGCTCCTGAACGGGAAACCAATCCGCCCAGTGAGAAGAATCATCCCGAGATCCTTCCATAAAGGTGTTAAAGCGGCGTAGTGCCTCTGGATTCTCGGCTAACCAGTCCCAGCAGTCACCGGTCGTATTGTAGGCATGTTGGAATGGCCCGTCCTTGGGGTCTCCAGGATTTCTGTAGTTGGACTTTTGAAAATATTCTGGTGTCTTTTGGATAATCGGTAGAAAGTCGACGAAGCTGAATCGACCATATTAGATTACAGTGGGCCAGTGCGTGAAAGGTTGAAGAATGGAGCAAAGTACTCACAGAGAGTCCATCGTTCCAATCACTTTTCTCTCTGTCATCTTGCTTGACCATTCATTAGGTCCATACTGACCGGGACCTGGCTCAGTAGCAAAACCATTGGCAACAATAACACGCATGATACGTTCTACCGAAGCGGTCAATATCCAAGGTCCCATTGAAGGATATTATCTTTCTAGGTAGAACTTACCAACAAGTTGAATATCTGCATTTTTCTGTGCAGCTAACTCTTCGCATGTGACAACAGAAGTTGCTTGAGATAAAAGAGTGAAGATATTCAGATCATTGGCGGTCTTAACGGCCATAAGAACGGCAGGCTTCCGGTTCCAAACATCAGTACCAGTTGCATAGATTGCCAGTGCCGAAGCCAATTCATACCGAAGCAAATAATTTGTAAATAGCATCTGCGGGACTTTCCAAGGCTCTCAGGAGTCGCGTAACACTTTCAAGTGCATCACGTCGGGCCTCCTCAGTCTGGTCTACTTGGAATTCATCGATTGATCTCACAGCCCTCGTAGTGAGGCCGGAAATATCGGGAAGTTCCTGTTTCGTCATAGTTACTTGATGCGAGTATGGCAGTCTGGTATGCTTGAAATGGCTCGTTCGCGATCTCTCTGGGAGAGTATGCAGGGCCAATGGAAAAGTTGGCAGAGTTTGGATACTATTTATCAACCTCTATGCAAAAGCTCGTGTTTTCGCTTTAATCAAAAGAAAGACAGAAAAAAAAACAAAGAAGAAATATAGAGCGCGCACCCATGTCGCAGTATTACTGCCTTGATACCTGTAATAGAATACGATTACTGATTTCTTACTCGGATATCGCCTGCGTATAATAGCGCCCACCGATGTGATAGTAAAAAGACCGAGCTGCCTATGCATTGACACCTGTCACTTGCAAGAATTGTGTGCTGTCGTAAATTCACCGGTGCATCAGCTTTGCATGGAGGGGTGCATGGCTGTGGCTGGCTGGTTGTGGAAATCTGCAGCACTCACCTGCAATTTGAATAGGTCCGGACGTAAAGCGAAACCTACGGCAGCCACATATGGGATATTAGAGTGGGGAGTAATTTTTGTATCGTCACACAAGAGACTGGGCCTGGACGGGCGATGGTCGGGATGCAGATACATCACAAAACTTTCACATAAGGCTGATGTCACACAGCTACTGGTTCATTCCAGATCCACCCTGGGCCCACCGCAGGATGGTTCGTTATGCCACAGCCACTAAATAACTAATTGCCGATCGATCAAACCTACGTACATACGCCCGATTTAACTTACTCGGTTTTGTAATGTAATAACTCTGCAGGCCCTTTTTCCATTCAACGCGAGAGCCCGGTCCCAGCGCTAATGAATTGCGAGTGGGCACTCTTCTGGATTTCGTTTCGGATCCAAGACACCGCTTCATTATCAGGCTCAGAGGCTTTTGCCCTCGTTTCTCGGCGTCTCCTATGCCGGTTGAGGACCCGACATCCGCTTTCTCCTTCGGCTCCATTCGCAATTAGCAGCTCTTTGCCCTGATTCTCGCTGTCCCTTTTTTCGTTTCTTTTCCAATTCTACTCAAGTGCCCGGTCGCTAGAGTAGTTCCGACCGGGCTGCTGGAGACTGAATCGAACCAAATCGTGGACAATTCTGAGAAAATTGAGAAAATAAACTGTTTCTCTTGGTGGTGCTATGGAAAGCCTTTGTACTTCAGCCATCGGGCATAACAAACCGCCCTACGTATTCACTATCAATCTAATTTTCTAGCTATCTTCTCTTTAATGCACCTGATTACAGTTCGTCACACTAGTGGGCAGAGTCCATGTACCTAGGTATCTCGTTCTGACTATAGATCTCTCAGCCCGAGGGTCAAGCACTTTGCAATATTTATCCCGCGTATTCGAGATCTGTTGAAGTGAGGACTGACAGTGCGGCCCGTCAACACTTCCAGGTATTTTATCGCGCTGAAATGAGGAGGTAGAAAAGTTTGCTTGAATTAGCTAAAGTTTATATGCAATTGAAATACAAAGATTCGGAAACAAATATGAGAATTAATGGGCCTGTCAAACACTCGAGAAATGATAGTATTGATCTTTCCCGATATTGAATTTGAGAATCTGCGAACAGTGCAAGATTTGAATTATCGTCAGTATCGCTTCTATTTTAGGTAAATGAAACGAGGATACCAGTGATAATTGTAAGGGTCGTTGATAATGCTAGGATAATTAGCTTTTGCCTCTTAGAATGAAAAAGGACTCAGTAGAGGGTTCACATACCAGGAACTAATCTGAAGGCTTCGATATAACTGAGCTGTACAACCTCTTGCAAGACTTCAGGCAGTTTTGCGATAGATCCATAGTTTTTGAGAATTTCATGGATGATCTATGACATTGTGAGTATGTCATGATCTTGGTCAAGTGCGACGATGATGAGATAGAGTATCGTACCTTTGTCTTTTCAGATGGGATAGTGCCATCCAAGTTGGCACCTAGCCGAAAGCGAAATAGTTGCCGGAGAGCCGCAGTACTACCACTGGTACCAACGATCTGGCCAATTTGCTGTACCAGGCAATATATTGCTGTAGCACTGGCGATGTTTTCCGAAGACCTCACGGTCAAGGCAAGGAATTGGGCTGAGAGGAAGATCCCGCATCCCACCGACATGGGGAATCCATAATAAACCTCCACTCCTTGGATGCCATCGTTCCATCTTATCACCATTAAAATTAGTGATGCGACAGCTATTCCCATTCCAATGAGAGATAATTTGCGATATTTTATTGTTCTGGAATTGTTAGTCAACTTCGTTGGACTGGCCGCCGTATCACTCACGTCCTCAGGAATTTTCCTGCTATCATGGTGCCAATTACTAATCCGACACACGATGGCCAAATACGAAGAGCAATTTGTGAGCTGTTGAGGCTGTCGACTTGGGACAGGTAGGTGGGAAGGTTGTTCAGAAACTGCCAGTGTGTTGTGTTAATAATGAATCCCGAGGTCCCCGTTCCAAGTCAAGTTCAAGTTCCTTGTCATAAATATCCACCTGGGAACTTACTGTGCTAACAAATATGAAGAAAGTGAACTGTCCCAAGAAAATATGTCGTAACCCCGGCGCCGCGACAACTGAAGGGGGAATCATAGGTCTGGGCGACACTTTTTCGATGACTATCAGGATTCCGAAGAAGATGGCCGAAATTGTAAAAAGAGCGGACTTGTTGCTATCTAAAGTCGGGCTCCCATCGGTTGTACCCAGAACAAACGAGGTAGCTGAGATCAAGAAAGCCCCAAGACCCAAAAAATCGAAGCTCCATAAGCCCAATCCAGGTTCCGCAACACGCCTCTTCGAATCTTGTGGAAGTTGCCAATAGGCTAGGATTAGACAGAGGAAACCGATGGGCGTTTGTCCGAGTAAGGCCCTGGAAAGATCCATGTCAGTAAAAAGAGACCCCAGAAATCAAGTTCAATGAACGAAAAACTTACCACCTCCAGCCAATACTGTCAGCAATGAGCCCCCCAAGTGGTCCCCCACACCCCTGAGCAAATATTTCAGCAGCAATGATGTAGCTTCGGACTGTCGCAACTTCTGAGATGTCGTAAACCTCTTGAGAGAAAATCAGTTCAAGTTCTCGCTTCTTGAGAATGATCAAAAATGGCCCACCATTGATAAGTACAGAGAGCAGATCGGTCATTCCGGATCCTCCTACACCCGCCAAGAAGCGACCAAAAACAAATGGCCATAATGAGTCGACAGCACCGCTAGGATTAGATGGTGAGAAAGAGAAGGTCTCAGAGACACAAGAACGACCGAATTCGGTCTAAGGCTTGGTTTGAACTCACGATACAGCGCATCCAACGGAGAACAGAGCATATGCGGCCAGTAGAAATTTGCGACTGCCGTATCGTTCACTCAGGAAACCATACTAGATTTTCACGTTTAGCGGGCACCAAAGGGTTGAAATTGATCAACCTTTGACATAATACTCACTACCGGCAGCGCGACACAGAAACCGAGATTGTATGACACCAATAATAATGACGCGCTCGATGGAGACTGCAGCGAAATCGCAATTCGGTTTTGAGTCGTTAGCAGGACATATTTGTCTGCACTGGCCAGGAAGACGCCTGGATGAAAGTAGAAAAATCAGCCAAGCAAGTCAATAAAGAAAGAGAAAGATCCCATACCAACTAGCCCGGCTAGAATTTTCGTAATTCCTTGAGACTTGGGCTTCTGGCATTCTGAGTCTTTGAGCAGAGGAGAGTGCTCATTCGACATTTTGACCTGCATCATGAAGGTGCTTCGGACAGCCTGACAGAAGCAAGATGGGAATACAGCTGCACTCAATGGGACTATCGCCCTGAAATAGCTTCAAGGCAATAGTCAGCAGCAAAAATCACGTTGCCAGGAAGGATTAGACGTGCGGCTGAGACCACCAATATTAAGTCGTGCAAATTATTTCAACTACGGTACAAAGTACGGAGTACGGAGCACTCCCTTGCCTATTGAACAAAGGTTTCCAGCTGAATGACCCACTGGCACTCGATCACTCGAGTATTCGTTCAGTTCTTATCCAGGTTGGGGACTGGTACAAAGTTTAAAAAAAGCAAAAACCAATAATTCGCAGTAGGGATGAGGCGACTAAGTGAGGGATCGCCTCTTAGAGGTGTATCTTTGTCAAGATCCCAATGAAACCTGAAAATGTCGCGACGCCACCGCAGCCATCGCATCGCGTATTACGCTATTTTATGATCAGCGTGGGATGTCCAAAGCAAATATCATTTGTCGCCACCTGTCTTTCGGATAGGGATCAGGGTTGTTCGGGCATCCCGGCCTCTGAGTCTCAGAGTCGCTGAACTGATGTCGCTCAATGAGACTTGGTGTGACAAAATGATGTACATCATGAGACAGATGTGTCTCGGCATTTCGGAATCTTGACACTGGGGATTGTTTATACCACGTGACATAGTCAGGCCCCCTGTCTCAACCTTTTCTAAAATGTTAAGATGGTGCACTGGTGATCGTTTGCTTGCCTTATCTTATCTCATTGGCAACCGAGGCACCCTGTATATTCGCTTCTCTCCTTCCCCTAAGTTCTTTCCACCACAGCTATGTTCAACAGGTCATAAGATGAAAGTCTGTCAAAGTTCAGGGAGATCGGGGAGATCAAAATTCATTCTTTAGTTTTTGCCTGCTAAAGTGACTCAAATTTGCCAACTCTAATAGTACGGAACTGGAACTGCGGTCTTTATTTTCCCTTGCATCAACAGACTTTGGCCAAGGCATATACATGAACATTTCAAGTTGGGATCGAGTCATCTCCAATATCTTACCGACACGCCTCGGCTGCTCAATCCGAACCGTTAGGCATGGACTCCATTTCTCGCACCCACTTATCAATTGTCTCCTCCATCAAGCCCTTCGTCAAAACCACCTAGAAATGCTTGATTAGCCAGCTGGTGAAGTTGGGGAATACAGTCAAGTAAGGGACAAGTGCTGTGAGACTTACCAGTTCTTCCGACTCTATAAGTGTGTCATGATCTGCGTCCTCAACAATACCCCACCTCACATTCTCTGGTCCAACCATTTCATCCCAGCCACCAGCATCAAAAGATTCGCGAGGAGTCTGAAGCCAGTCATGGCTGATTTGCATCTTTGTCCCTGGTCCTTCTTTCTTCAAGAGATCCATTGCTTCGAGTACCATATCTGACATTCTGTCATGATCGCCATGCCCAGCCCAAATAACAAATATCTGCGGTCGGGTTGCATCCTGTGTATCGAAAGGGCGAGGCACATATTTCATTTTCGCGTAATAAGCCGCGACTCGATGCTTTTTACGAAAAGCAGGAATCTCAACGTCAGGTTTGCCTTTCCGACGAATTGGAGGGAAGACGCCCATCATTTCAAAAAGATCCACGGTTGCGTCCGGGATCTTGGCGGGTGACCGCGGCAATGCCAAGTCGAGCATAATTATTCCCAGAACTTTCTTTCCCCGTGCGTGAAGATGGTATGCGGTTTCATAGGCAGTAGATGTCCCCATTGACCAGCCACATAGTATATATGGACCTTCGGGATCAATGCTGAGAATGGTGTTCGTGTATATGATGGCAGTTTCTTCTATCGTCCAAGAAGACTCTGATTTTGTCATCAGGAATGGCGAGCCGAAGCTATAGACTGCATAATCGTTGGTAAACTTAGGCAGCGTTCTGTACACGAAAGCATTTCCCGAGCCTGGAGGGGTGAGGAAGAGGGATGGAACGCCAGGTCGAGGAGTCCCTTGGAGCAGGACTGAATGACATATATCGCTTGGCGTATCTTCCATGATGGGTGAGAAATTCAGGAAGTCTGCGGTGTCTGAAACCGAACTGATCTGTTGGCAGATTGAGCCAGCTGTTGCCTGAGTGAAGAATAGAGATGATGGTAACGATACTCCTGTTTCTAACTGGACTCGCTTGAGAATTGCGATTGACGAGATTGAGTCCACTCCTAGCTCAACCATTCGGGCAGAAAGGTCAATCTGATGTCTTTTTTCTCTTTCGATGGCCATGCACAATGACTGCATCACTTGCGGACCTGAAATGGGCCCATCGATGCTAGACTCGTTTGGTGTATTTTGGTGCTCCCAGTACACCCGAACTAGTTCTTCCAGTTTGGCCTTTTGCACCTTTCCGGCCATGGTTCTCGGGTATTCATCTTGCTCTAGTGCCTGTATTGATATGACATCTGCCGGAACATAAAGATCTCCCATCCGGTCCATGACGGAGTCTTTAAGCCTTTTTACCAGGAAGTCATCGACTTCCTGGTTCACGACGACAACTGGAACGTCTCCGGCAACACTATCTGGTGCGCGAACGACCTGAGGTTGTAAGAGGCTGATGTCGGGGATTTGGCCTAGAACCGCTTCGATGGCTGATGGTTCAATATTTTCGCCCCCGCGGATAATTGTATCTTTGTACCGGCCGATTAGGTACAGACGATTGTCATTACCAATAAAAGCTTTATCACCAGTGCGGAACCAGACACTGCCATCCTCCGTGTTGTAGAAGTTACTATCAGCCCCTCCAACATATCCATCAATCAGACTTGGGCCTGAGAAGTGCATCTCGCCAGCCTCTCCAGGTTGAGTTGGAATTTTGCTGTCATTGCGGAATACACGGACAGACATCCCAGGAAGTGGCGTGCCGATCGAAACATTTCCGTCCTTGATTATTTCATCGATATGGCTCACGATGCCAGAAGAAACAAGAATTCCCTCAGTCATGCCATAAAGATTCTCCACTCCCGACGCACCCAAGGTGTCCAGACAAATGCGGAAGACCTCTTCGGTTGGGATAGAACCTCCCATTACGATTCGCTTCAGGGAAATGAGTTTTCCAGAGGCAAGTGATACATTGCTCATAGCATGCAACATGGTTGGCACCAATCCAGCATGGCTCACCTGCTCCTCCCGGATGGCTTTTGTCACTGCCTCCGGAATGAACCTCGGTCCTGGGAGCACGACTGTGGCTGCGTTAAGAAATGGTCCTATAATACAAAGCCAGCCAAAGCCATGGTTATTTGGCAATGTAAATAATGCTCGGTCCCCCGGGCAGCATAGGCGCACTGCTTTCCCGCCAGCGTAAGGCCGCCGCGAAGCCGTATGCTGATGGCATGATGCAACCTTTCGGAAGAGATGTCGTTCCGCTCGTGAAGAAAATTGTTCGATCGGAATGTTCTGCGTGGGTGTCTCGGCATAGAGTTTGCTGGAAACCTGGCGCTGGATTCTCCATGAGGTCCTTAAATTGTGTCCACCCATTCATATGTCCTTCAAGCAATATCTGAACGCAGTTCGACCCAGACGTCAACTCTTCAATACGCGCACACATATCAGATGATCCAGCAATAATGCCCATCAGTCCGGACTGACACCCTTTTGTGACAGTTTCAAGCATGTGTCGCAGCTCTCTCGGGTTGGATAGAGCCTTAGGGTTGATTGGAACATAGGAACAGCCGATTTGGTAGGCTGCCCAGGTGGCAATGACATATTCAGCGACATTTGGCATAAACATGACCAATGGGTCACCTCTCTTCAAGCCAAGACTTTGTAGACTGATCGCAAGTCGCTGAATAGCACGATCGAGGTCCCGGTAAGTCCATCGTAGATATTCCGGCTCAGAGTTGGCGCTGTCAATGGGCACACTCGAAATTCCATAGAGAGTAGGCGGTTGGTGAGTACTGACTAATGCCACTATTTCCGGGTATTTCACGATGTTCTCATAAAACACCCCGTAGAGAGTTCTATCAGGGTTTGGTAGAGGACGTCCATGTAGTTCGTTGGAGACCGTCATAGTGATTGATTTGCTGTGATGGAGAATTTACAGGATAGCCTGATAGCATAGGCAAAAGGAAGGACATCATAGATTAATCCCCTATGGAAATAACACAACCAGCATTAATTAAATTAAATACGACAAAAGCTGCAGATGTAGAATGCAAGTTACAGTACATGACCAGGTACGTGGCTCGGGCCTTTTCGGCAACCCTACGAAGGTATGAATAGATCACAATACATGTAGATTGACATAGAAATATTATGAATTGAGTTTTTTGGAAGCTGAAAAAAAATGTGTTATTCCCGCCACGACCTGAACTGTGGGGTATCTGCAGAAGGGCCCATCTATGTACAGATCTTGAGGTGAAACAAACTTTGGCATACAGATTCAATACATCACACCATTTCTACTAGTGCAATACTCGTATGGTGCCTGTATTTCAGCCGTATCGACAGATCCATTGCTTGCAGATGTACAACTCGTCACATTTTGACAATTGCGGACCTTGTATTGATACTGGAGCCCCGGGTCTAGATTTTCGTGAATGCGACTGACAAACCCACAGTCTACGTATATTCTACATGGTGAAAGTCGACGGCAAGAAACAATCATGCGTGTCGGGTTTGTTGCGGTAATGACATAGTTACTGCAGATCAATACCGATAATTGCCATTCATGTGCCACGTACGATTGGCATGGCAGGTAGCCACTTCTTTTGAGTACGGAGTTGGTACCCCGAGGAAGACTCACAATTACTTATTCCCTTTGAAGTACACATCACTCACCAGATTAAGTATCCTAATTGAATCTTGACTATATCCAAGTCTTCGGCTCACCATGTCTCAAACTATGACTTCCGCCCCGGTGAAGACGACTATTATTGTGGGAAACCAATCCCTGGACGTTGCTGAGCTCGATGAAATCAAGCTAGAACGTCTTATCGCAAAAGATGAAGTCGAAACGGCCAAGCTTATGAAGGCTGCAGAGTCTCAGGGGTTCTTCTACGTCACTTTCAACGATAGCCTCTCAGAGAAAGTTTCAAGTTATCTTCGGACCTGTTACATGAGATCTCATGAGTTTTTCTCTCAGGCCTCAGAGGAAAAAATGAAGGAATTCAGAGAGGACATGACTCACGGGTAGGTTGGCCGCCAATTCTGACACCAATGCAATCAACGGATATTAACATATCAATAGCTACAAACGCGCTGGAATTGAATCATTCGAAGTGGGTAAGGCCAGATATTTTTGACAACTTGCGGCTAATAAGCATCAGATTACTCGAGACGAGCAGAACCGCATCCCTTTACCAAGTCCCTTTGCAGAACACTCCGAACCGATACTGGATCTTGCCAATATCTGCGACATGACAGTACGCACGATCCTCCGCAGCGTTTCCGACACACTTGATCCCAACGGATCCTTGGGTCTGGAAAATTCTCATCGGCCTGATGGAAAAAGTGACTCGGGAATAAAATTTGTCTCTGGTCCAACTAAAGCATCCGTTTCTGATGTGCCGGATACTACCCACACCGATGGCGGTTCAATCACTTTGCTCTGGTGTGAAGAATGGGCTAGTCAGATGCAAACTAAGGATACGAAAGAGTGGTTATGGATAGATCCTAAGCCTGGTTGTGTCTTGGTCAACTTCGCGAATTATCTACAAAGTCAGACAGGCGGTCGACTATATTCTCCAGTTCATCGAGTGAGCCAGCCTTTAGATGGTGCGGAGGACCGATATTTTGTTTCTTATTTCTTGCGCCCAAATCACTAAGCACGGATAACTTTTTAATAGAGAACTATCTACATGCAGGATGTGGACTCGCAAGCCTGAAAACTCGGGTTGTAGCAGTACCTAAACTGTGTCATTTTGATCTCAGATTACTACCATCGTCTGCAGTAGTTTAAAATGTATCAAAAGACCTGATCTGAGTCAGAATCGCTTTGGAAGCAATGCCACCCCCGCCCCCCCCCCCATTCTTTCCATTGGTAGTAGATCGACCCTATGCTATTCCTCGCTATACCTAAGCTATAAACAGAAAATAACCCGAAGTTGCGGTTGACCCGATTTTTTTAGATGGCAAACCTCGTATGACTCCCACAGAGAATACTATTATGTGACAGCTTTCTTGGGGGTCACATATTTCATGATGGCCACTAAAAAGCGCCCCTCCCACCAGTTAGAGCCAATTCAAAACTTACAACACTTAGAACATGTTTAGAATAGAAAGTAAAACTGGAGGTGACCAATATTAGTGCTCTAGAGTTGTCGTTGAATCACACAGTTGTTCCCGTAGGTGGAGTGGTTTGCTAATGATGATTATCTGTGAGGTAGAAAATCTGGCTCTCTAAGCTCAAAAACAGGCCACCAGGCCGGTTAAGCTTAGATAATGTTATTCTTCTTTTTTCTGTGAATACTTTCAAGGGTAATGGAAAATTCCGGGTCTTAGTACAGCAGAGCGCTGCGCTATATTCCAATCTACCCCAATTTCACCTGGCGGCTATGTGGTGGTTGGCCACTAGCTCGATGTCCCACGGATGGCTCCTAAGATAGTTATACGGTCAATACGTAAGCGAAATCATCCAAGTTCTTCAACTTCCAAGGTTGGAGTCTTTGGTAGTCAAATATTACACGGGCGGTAATACTACCTAGGTACTCGGTATATTACGCTGGCTTTTCAAAATTTCACCAGTAGTAGTACTAGTAGTAGTACGTAGTAATACATAGGTACTTTTTCCGAGAGGCTGTTGGCCAGATATCGTCGCGAGCATCGTGGTCCATTCCGTGGGCGTCCCACCCGAGGTCCCGCCCGGACAAACCCGCCACCTGGGTACCCCAGACCGCCAATTGCGAAACCAATATACTTGCCAAACTTCAGCCAGCCACCCGGTACACATCAATATTTTTCGTTAGTGCCTTGACCCTGCACATTCGATTAAGTCGTGTAACCATGCAGATGCAATCCGGAAAAATCAATTGTGCGTTGTGGCTAACTGAAATATTGGATACTTGCAAGCCAAGATGCAGGACAGAGTGGAGGCTCATGCTTGCTTTTCAATGTTTTTCTATTCCATGGGTTGCTTTTCCAGACCGCACATACAATCTCAGAGACAGATTCATACGTGGATACTACTATGTACTCAATACTACACCTAAAGACCGGTGGATCTAAATGTCAGAGCGGAGGAATGGCCCCTTGGAGGGAGATGAAATCTGCGGCCATTATGCAATATGTCTGGCACTTGAGCAACCCGTGCCTGCAAGCTGGCGTATAATACCTGTATGCGTGTAGCCCTTCAGATAGTTCTGAGCGAGTTCAGTGCAAAGGGAAAGCTCTAATAGTCATATCCTCCCCGTGCACCAAGCAAAATTGCACAATGGCTTTTGGAATTGATTTGATCTCCGAGAATAGCCAATTCATATTCTACAGCATCTTGTTCAGTATATGCACTTTCAGCATTCTTCATTCATCTCTACGCCAGTTCCGAACTCCTTCGAAGCTTGACCGATGCAATGGGCCGATTAAGATCGAACGCCAGCGGCCTCACAGGCCAAAAGCCCCTTCTACGGAAAATTGCGAGTGGATATCAACGAGAGAGCTAGAATTCTACAAAAATCTCTATTTCAAACTTCAGAATTTGGAAGAGCACCCCGAAGCACTGCAGATAGCACGGCAAGTCTTCCTAGCTCTGCTCTCACAGGCATTGGAAGATGGTAAAAAGTCGCCGGACACAAACATACTGTCGATGAAGCACTTCAACAAAGGCGATCTTGCCGTATTTATTCAAGGTCAGCAAGACAATGTCACAGCTCAATATCATGATTATATCAGTCGTCGACAATCGGGGGGGGCCCCGTGCGTTATTCCAAGATCATCAAGAGGCCGAGGACTGGCTGAGGAAAATTGCACCGCTGAAGCTGGTTGACGGTGCCTGGCTAGGTCATTTAAACAAGATCACTATGCCTTTTTCGTTGAGACCCATCATAAAGGAAACATGGCAGGTGTTTACAGAGGAGCTTGGGAATGGAAACCGCGACCAACACCATGTCAAAATCTTCGAGGACCTACTTAGGGAATTTGAGCCGGATCTACCTTCGCCAACAACAAAGTCTATTTTGCATCCTCGATACAAACTGGGCAATCTCAAATATTGGAGAGCGGCTGTGGCTCAATTGATCGTCTCTCTCTTCCCGCATGAATTTCTGCCTGAGATGCTTGGGTTCAATATGCATTTCGAGTCCCTGCAATTGGATACTATGCAGGCAGCGAAAGAGTTGCCAGAAGTTCGTCTTGACGCATACTATTTCTTGCTTCATGTCTCAATTGATAATGGCCACTCGGGTCATGCTGCAATGGCCATGGAAAGCGTTGCGAACTACATCCGGCACGTTTCTGAGACAGAGGGAAAGGTGGCTGCTGAGGTTGCCTGGAGGAAAGTCCAGGCTGGATACATTTTCAGTGAGTGGCAGTTTCAGAATGACAGCCAATCAACCAACATCTTTGCACGACTCAGTGATAGCGCTCATGATGAATTGGAGAAAAGAGTTCTCGCGATATTCAGCTCAAAGATCCAGGCTGCCCATAGACTACATTGCGGCAGCCGGGTCAAAATTGGAAAGCGCTCGCTGGCTGAGTGGCTTGAGCCTGAACATTTTCTGGCCCAGGATTGGCAACAAGAGTTTCTTCAATCATTGAGCACATGTAGACCTTGGGTCTATCCGGGAAATAGCCAGAAGAGCAAACTCGCTCAAGAGCTTCGATGGGGTGGAAAAATGTACGGGGCATTCACGAAGAACGAGCTTGAAACATTTGAGCTCTGGATCAACTCTCTAGGCTCTGAAGAAAGCCACATTTACCATTCCTTCATTGATTCTGAGCCACATGCGAAGTATCAAATATCTAATACAGTGAATCTCGACACGAGCGGGGGGAATTTTCTCGCGGTTGGAAATGAGGATCTTAAAACTGCACCGGCAGTACCTAAAGATGTGGTAGGGAATCATTTGAGAGGCCTTCGAGCAGATATCAACTTTCCCTCATTACTACCACTTTGGTTTACACAGTGCTGCCTCTTGGAATCCTTTGTCTACTCCCCAGGAAGAACAACTGATAGTATCGGCTGCGCTGTGGTACGATTTCTACGGGCCCAGTCCGGCTTCGAGGAGGAGGATTCCAATGTGACAGGAATAGATGAGCCTCGAACGGCAGAAAACGGAGGAATTGTTGAGTTTGGTCTGGAAATCATGCGACAATCATCCCTTCCAGATCCTCAGAGTCTATACAACCTTTTGTCTGTCTGGCCGTCCGAGTTTGCCACGAACATGCTCAGTCTAGCTTCCAGACCCATTCAAAACTTTGGTGTTCTATTGGGAATGTCCATGGCGCTTCTCGAGTTGCAAGAGATGGTGTCAGAATATTCCGATTCTGTTTTACTCTGCCCAAAGAGCAGTGAGCGGCTTGCATCACTCGCTCGTCGACAGTACCAGTGTTTGCAGATATGCCTTCAGGAGATTCCCACCGGAGATAATCGTCATGTTGACTTTGAGCGTGGGTATGTTATGGCGAAGGCAGAAATTCAAAAGTGCTTCACGCGGAAGGTGTGAAACTTGGAAAACTGCCACCTTATTCTCGGACTTTTGCCATGAACGTACGAGAGGAGTTGGATGGGCACGAATGTGTAGCCTGGCAGAAGCTATGGCTGAAGCTATCAACACGCGAAACATGGTGGGCACAGGCTAACTAAGCACTGGGAGCTTGACCTCTCAGGCCTCAGCAGCATGTCCCCTTTGAAATTCTTGTGATTTGTGTTTGGAGTTCATGATAGCGACTTGAATTATAATTTCATCACTGGCGATATTATTACATCTCTTCTCATTCTAGTCAACGAGAGGAAATTATAATGCACTTGGAACATCCACTATCTCCAGGACATCCACAGTAGCAGCATAGAACTTTTTCGACAACTAAAATATTCTAGCGCTAGAACTTCGGCGTATCAACTTCCAAAAATTGATTTAAACAGCACTACCAATGTCCCCATCGAGATGGCTCATTGTATATGGAGAAGCGCGATTTGCTTCATAGTTCCCACTCTTGGATTATGCCTTGTTTCTTCCATGACTATCACTAATTATCAGAGCTAGGAGAAAGCCAAGGTGCACACCTGACATCCGGTATGTCTTGGATGAAATGAGCTTTCTTGTATTCTATGAACTTCCCCGAGCCATCATCCGCCACTTGAAAGACTTTCGTATCAATATCCAGCAACAGTTCGTCCAGGCCGGTCAGTCTTAGCCCAACGCTACCCTTTACCATACTTAGATCCAGATCGATCTTGAAGGGCCGGTTTGCGTATCCGTGCAAAGAACCCAAGTTCATTCCATACACTTCCAAAACAACATCCATCTCCAGGGTTGCCGTGTTTATAGATCCAGATACCTATCACGGAAGGAACAATTCAGCCTTAGTTTTAGGAGTGTAAGTGAAAATATTCACTTACAGCGAATATACCCGCACTCGAGCTAAAAGGCATCCGTGTTTTTCCCCTGTAACCACATACTGTGGGATTCTCAATCTGTCCTATTTTGTAGACACCATCGTCGGTTTCCGTCCTCTGCACTAGGAGAGCTTTCCCTTCTTATTAAAATTGAACATCACAAGAATGAAGGAGTTTTCCTACCATTATGGAACATGATGAGAGCTAGGAAGTTTACTGGTATTCAACCTCGTTGGGGAAGGCAGCTCGGCGGGTTTTCTCGGTGCCATCGATTTTGCTTCATATATCAGTTCGCGCTCAAGCTCGGCAAGTTTAAATCACTGTGCGTTGTGATGCAGATCAATCATTTGTTGAATATTGAACCCTCTGAGCGCCACTATGTACCATGACTTCAGGATGATAGGTCGTGATCGGAGAAGCTCGGTGTAACTTATAATTTGTTTCTTTACGACAGCTGCGTATGACGGATGAAGTGTGACGTGGTCTGCAGTTTTGTGGGCCGAGGCTGTTTCTCATCGACGGATTGGAGCAATTGGGCGGGGTTCTACCGCTAGTTTTCCATGCTCATTCGGAAACCCTAATTTTTGTTGTCTCGCATTACGGGGTTTTTGTCTTTTATCTTCTGTCCTATGTCTTCCCTTTCTTGCAAGATTCTTGTAGACCGAGGGAGAAGGTGTAGTCGAAATGCACTTTCTAGTGAATAATACACAATGCCTTGGTATTGCAATACTCGTCCGAGTCTAGATCTATTGATATTTGATATTCGTTACTGCAATGAATATTAAATCTATATACCTGTTCGAGTTGGAAACTTCAAGTTTCAAGGCTGGAGCAACTCGATCAGCTCGGTTCAAGCCCTCACTTCACTCCGGAACTGAAGACCCAGGAATCTCCTCGATATGTGGCAAGGTTTGAGTGGATGTTTCACTGACAATTCTTCAACATTTACTCACGTATAGATGGAAGGTATTGTCAAATTTCAATACATACTGTAACAGCGGATTTTTGAATTATGTATTTTATAGTACAGTACGAAAAGACGAAAGACGTGATTTTCTGCAGGTAATAGACTCGGAGCTAGTCTGATTCGTTAGTAGGCCGCATGAGTGCATGTAGAAGCAGAGCTCAGCTGAACTTAACCTGTGGGATTTCTGTAGATTTACTCGTAATAACGGTACCCACATGCAGATGGCAGCATGAAATCCCACATTACGGTGGAGCCCAGTACATTCTGCTGGCTGTGGATGCGGAATATTCACGGATCCGCAATCTCAAATCCAGCCTTGGCGATGACTCTACGATGCAATACCACTAGTTATTATGACTTAGATCCGCTAGCAAATCCCGAGATTGTATTTTTAACTTAAGACGACCAATGCTGAGATATTTTGAGTCGTATGCGGGGAGTTGGTAGCACACGGGCCGCTCAAATCGACCCCCACCTGTTGTGTAACCATCGGACAAGATCGCCACCACATACGGAGTACATGTGTCTCGAGTGTATCATCAATACGGACCGAATCCACGATGCACAGATAACAGACGTTTCAAACTCAATTGCAGTCTGCCAGAGTTTTGTGAAAACATTGACAGATCATATGCAGAGCATGAAAAGGAGCAAAAAAGATGGGTTTTGCTAGCACAGCCGGATATGACAGTCAATAATTACTCAGTGCCCAGGTGGGTTTGAAGCAAAGAAGCGACCACGGCCTCCCAGTGAATAATTGGTAGTATTAACCATCTATGTTTAATTAAGACTGCTACTGCCAATTTGTGACACAGGTCACAAAACGTGCAGCGTGCTTTGTCGAAGACCATCCGCCCTCTTTGCTTAGCGCCGAAACCTAACATCTCGTTGGAGAGACCTCAAGCCAGCATCACAGCTGTGGGGCTTATATAACAATCATTCCTCAATAACAATTCAGAGCGGCACCTGGCTTCAAGATCCCCTGATTTTGTGGAAAATTTACAAATCAACATGTCTTCGAATTCATCAGGCATACCATTGAAGATAACGGTCATCGGCGCTGGGATGGCCGGCCTCTCGTCGGCAATAGCGCTTTTAGACAAAAACCCCGACCACCATATTACAGTTCTGGAATCAAACACATCCCTCAGCGAGCTCGGTGCCGGGCTGCAACTCTTTGCAAACAGCACACGCATTCTACACAAATGGGGCCTAACACCATCTATGGAGAAAGTCGCCTTTCAATCCTCGCATCTGTCCGTCAGGCGCTGGAAAGATAACTCTGAATTATCTTTCAACATGAACAACCCTACCAGCACATGGCTGTATGGGTGGCCCCAGTGGCAGGTTTATCGGCCAGACCTGCAGCAAGCCCTATATGAGCGTGTTCAAAAGCTGCCCAATGTCTCCGTTTTATTCGGCAAGTCCGTTGCATCCGTGGATCATGAGACTGGTGCCGTCCATACAGCAGATGGGGAGGTCTTCACGGCAGATTTCACAGTTGCAGCAGATGGGATCTGGTCCCGAGCCAGACGATGCTTGCCGGCATCGAAGGATATGCTCCCCACCGCATATCGCGAACATAACTACCGCGCAGTCATTCCGCGGTCGCGAATGCTCTCTAACCCTATTACTGCACAATTCATGGCTTCTCCAGAGGCAGAAATGTGGGTAGGCCCAGATGTGTTTGTTTTGGGGTATACAGTCGCCTCGAAGGAGTTGTATAATCTTGTCATCGGTGTCCCACGACCAAGCGAAGGAACGCCCGTCGGGTCTTGGAATCACCCTGCTAACGTGGAGACGATGCGCGAACTTGTATCGGGGTGGTGCGAGGAGGTTCGAGCATTAGCTTCTCATGTTCAAGATGGGGAATGTGTTTCTTGGACACTGGGTGAAGTCGCTCCTATTCCTAGCTATGTCAGTACATCCGGAAGAGTAGCTTTGGTTGGGGATGCGGCGCATGCTCTTCTTCCTCATGCTGCACAAGGGGCAGGAATGGCGATAGAGGATGCAGCGAGTCTAGCGGAATTTGTGGGATATCTGAGGTCGAAGGAAGATTTGATGAAAGTGATGGGTGCTTGGAGCGAGTTTAGACAAGCTCGTGTGGATCATTTACGCAATATCAGCCGTGGTAACGCTATTGACATGACTCTTCCGGATGGCGAACACCAGATTGCACGGGATGCGAAATGGAAATCTATCCGCGAGACGCAGCGGGCGCAGCTGGCTGAGCTTGGACTTGAGCAAATTAAAGAGAAGATAATCCGGGAGAGACCGAGGCCTGATCCAGCTTGTAAAAGCACATTTGAGCCTGGTGGTCGAATGTGGATCCATGGATTTGATGCAAGCGAGGAAAGCAGAAAATTCTGTTGCGAACATCTGGGACTTGGGGTGGCAGCTTAAGCAATGAGGGTCTTTTTCCATGTCATGACACTTTCGGGCCATGCAACGTCCATACCCACATAGGAACTTGAAGCTCTGTACATATTCTCTTTCATGATCGATGTCGGTCTGGAAGGTAAATAAATAGGTCAGTCATGAAGATGCAAAACACCAGCACCTATTCAGGACACGTACCTAGGTAGCGCATAGGCGTAGAGATGATCATCAGACCAGGAGGGATGAATGATAGAATGATAAATGACGATGGGAGGAATGGCCTGAGACTATCACCATGCGGTGTTCACAGCATGACTCAGCAGCCATTGAAGCCTGATTCCTCAGGCCTCTAGCAAGAGATACTTGGCAATGGCACAACTTCATAGCAAAGACCGGCTTTTCATACAAGGGGGAACATTTTTTGGCGTCAGAATCGCTATCTGAAATTCTCCATCAAAATTGCGGGGGCTATTTGTTTCAATTCCAAGGTTCACAGGTCCCAATAGCGATATGATTTCCGTACTAGTACCTGGGTACCCTCAAAGTTCGGGAAATATGCCATGATTCTAGAAACCGTTGTCATGTTTAAAGCTCAACATAGAATAATATGAATTAAAACTCTGAGTTTAGCATAGTAAAATAATCCTACTATAGTAATTCTTTGATTTTGATAACCCTAGAGGCTACCGAATAGAGGTAATAAAGCGATATTGTTCATGATTGTGCAAGTATTGAGGATTAGAGGGTGCCATCTTCACCAATTTCACAGTAAAATTGTTTGAATGCAGTAACGACCATTTCAGAAGCGTAAATCTGACACGGCTGCTTCTCGCGGCCCCATAAAAATTCAAGTAGCTCGCGATAACGCGAATAGAACTCGTCCATTCCCAATAACCGAGGTGCTCATTGTCAAGAATGAACAAGACGTTTCAGAAAACAGACTCAACCACTCCTCCATTGTTCTAAATGGACGTCCGAAGGCTGCGATATGGTGTAGATTGAGAGTATTTGCTTTCAAAGGCAACTTGCCTTCTTTTCCTGGGTCAAGAAAGTCATCGACCAGTAAAATTGATTTGTTTGGCGTCATTGCATTGAATAGATGCTTGAGTATCTCAGACGCCTCGCTATTCTTATCAATTTCCATTCTACCAGTATTATGGGATCGCCTGCACTGACCTATCGGGATTATCCATCAGAATGTGGCTGAGTAGGTAAAGATTGGCTCCTCGGGTTGGCTGCACGTGGAAAAAATTATGATTTTGCCACGTCACATTCTGCAGCTTCTCTTCGTTAAAAGCTTCTGTCAACGTCGAGGTCATTTTTTCAAGATCTTGATTGATGAAGGAAATATGCGGATATTGAGTCGCAAGCCTTATAGAGTGATGTCCCCTACCACCTCCCACGTCAACTACAATAGCATTGTGTGGTAGCGTGCCGAAGTCGAAGAAATCTTCGACTGGGGTCTGCGTTGAGCGATGGAAGTATCTTTCCATTGCGCTGTCAAAGCGTCGACCTCTCTGTTTGTCAACTGTATGGTAGTACTCATAAAATGATTTAGTTGCTATGAGGGTCAGTACGAGTCATTTCATGAAGCGGTATTAGGGGCTACAAACTATTGAAAGCCATATTGAATGCAGTTTGATGCTTGTGATCGAGCAGCTGGTAATTGTTCGCAGAAATATAGGGTTGAATGCAGGATGCCATTCGAAATCCATCATCGACACTAGAATGTCAGCGCTATTTCATTGATTAACGCACCAGTATATACCTAAACGCTTACAGATAGTTTACCCATGATGCAAAATTATCTTGCAGCAGGCAGATGGAATATTGATTGAGTCTGTAGGTTTCCGGTGAGGGCTCATCAAATATTTGATTTTCCACACATTGTGTCATCACACCTCCTAATTTAAAGTCAGAACTTTCTCTTCTTCATCAGCGATAGTTCATACTCAAAAGTGATCTAGAGGCCCCCGATAGACTTATCAACTCTTCTATTGAGGTGGTTTCTCTCATTGAGAGATGATTCGGAATCTCAAGCTCGAGAACCAAGCCAAGAGCGACACTATTGTTGTAGGACCCTGCGAATTTACCAATCCAATCTTCAGGCGAAGTCAAAAGCGCTTCGAGCTGTCTGCAGGATGATATAATGCTTGTTGTTTCATTTTCGACGTTCTGCCTTCGAATTAACTTGTCAAGTAGCATTTGGGAAAGGTTTGATATACATTCCGAGAGTTGCTCCACACGGTTGTTGCATTTGCTTTCCATTTTGGCACACTTCAGTCAGTGATCTATTTGATGAAAGTTGTATTTTCTAAATTCTGAGTTGAGAGTAGAAAAAGTGCTCAATTTAAGTTCTTTTGCGTACTAGTATCGTCATAGAGTATTAATTATCATAGCTGATCTACTAGTATCTTTCCCGATTTGTCTTCAATAGCAGGTGGATCAACCGATCTCCTCTTTCCCTTTTCGTAAAACGGAGAATGAAAGTATTACTTTTACTTTTTCCTTCATATTAACCTAAAGAAAGTGTGGTTCATTTGGCTATGTGACCGGAGAGGGGGTTGAAGTTTTACAATCACTTGAAACGCAAAGATCTACAGTAACAAAGCCTGGAATTCATGTTATTGTGGGATCAAGAGTATGTGTACATGGCCACCAAAAGCAAGCAGATACAGAAGTCTCCGATCAAAGTTTCCGCGAGGAGAGTCAGAAGGAAGATAACTTTGAAGATATCACCGATTCAGGCAAGAGATAAACAAAAATAGTTTCGTTTTCAATCTACTGAAGTTAATCCCACTCACACCCACTTGCAGAAAATCGAGAAGTAGCAGCCTTTGCTTGCTTAGCGTTGTGTATTAACGACACGTCAGGCTGGTAATATTCAAGGAACTTGCTTAGCGAGTAGGACGGTAACCTGCACCGTACCTTTCAGACATATCTATGACCTCATTATGAATCTTGATCAAAGCTATAGGGCAAATTAGAAAATCAAGGCTGGAAAGAAGTAAATATATGGAGCGGAAAATATCAGACCAATAGAGCAATGATAGTTGATGTAAAGCCAAGAGGAACGTAAGGCATCATGTGAAGTTCACGGAAGTTTGGAAATTGTAGCCGACATGGTGGTACAAGTAGACTTTCTATCTCGTGCTATTTTTGTAGATCCTCCTTAACTGTATCCATGAATAGGAAGCGTTCAACAACTCATATGAAAATTCAGTAGATCTTCTCAGCCACAGTGGCCATATGTGACACAGCATTCAATAAACCTTCATTTGTTGCTCCAATTCGAGACCGGATACTACCCTCGAAGGTTTGGCGAGAACTCGTGGATTATGTCGCTAGTGCGAGAGGCTCCATTTACCAAGATCAAAAAAACGATCTGCGCTCATATTAGCCTCCGAAAATGTCCAAGCGGATGGGAAATACAAATTTGTGTAACCAGACTCCTGATCATCGGCCTCGGAGTTGATGTACCGCAAAATTTCTGATCTCAATATGCCCTTAGCTGCAAGTTCTTGCTTTCGTCATCTAATTTCTATAGCGAAACCCGGATTTCTTTTGAGGTTTCCAAGTTTGACTCGGGATTTGGTAGTCCCTACCTAGGTACTCGAAGTCCGCCTAGGTCAACATAAATAGCTTGATGGCTCTGCGAATGTTGTCTTTCCATCTCCGTTCTCTCAATTTCTTCATAACATTTCAATAAAATTGCTACCAACCGGAAGAATCTCCGCCTCTCTCACAAAGCCACAACTTGAAGGTTTAAAGAAGTCTTCACAATGGAATATATCGATCGACTTCAGGTCAATCTGCTTCTCGAAGATGTCAAAGCTTCTATCGAGAAGTTTGAAACGGAAAATTCCGATATAGCTCGCGTCGAAGCACTCGAGAAGTCATTGAAATTAACAAAGGCTCTTGAACATCCAAAGGATGCTATTCTGAAGTTGTTTCTTTCTGTGGGTCTTATACTCTCTGAGTTCGTACTCAAAGCTGACAGATGATAGTCTACCCAATCCATGGCATTGAAGATTGCCCATGACCTCGGCATATTTCAAATTTTGACCAAGTCAAACAAGGTCTTTTCGTCTAAAGAGCTGGCCGAGAAGACTGGCGCAACTCCGCTACTAATTGGTTCGTATTTCTTGTCGTTTTCCTCTCTCGATTCCATTGCTTCGAGCTCCGTCGTCGAATTCTGAAACACATTTTGATAAATTTCCGCAGAACGAGTCATGCGTCTTCTTGTTGCTATGGATTTCGCAAAGGAATATGGTACTGGCAAGTTCCATCGGACCTTACTCTCCGAGGAGATGACAGATGATAGATCAGGTGGTATCGTTGATACTATGTAGGTGAAGACCGTATCGCAAGTTCTTGTCATAGGAAAACTAGCCTAATCACTAATAATCCATCTACTAGGTTCGTGGATATTTTTCCAGCTGTGCTGAAGACCCCCGAGTTCCTCAGCAAAACGAACTATCAGATTCCCGAGGATCGATTTGCTGGGCCAATGCAGTATACTTATGGTACAAAGCTAACAACTTTCGATTGGTTAGCTGATGATGTTGCTGTTCATGAACGCTTCCATGCGTTTGTTCAGCATATTCGAGACAACCGGCCTTTCTGGGTTGATTGGTATCCCGTCCAGGAAAGAATCCTTGATGGCTACTCCGGCGAGGAAAATGATGCACTCATTGTGGACATTGGTGCTGGCAGTGGTCGCGACATGCTTGCGTTCAAAAAGAAGTTTGCTGATGCCACCGGAAGAATTGTCATCCAGGACCTTCCATCTGTCTTTGATGATGTTCACTATCACGACCTGGGACTTGAGAAGATTGGATACGATGTCTTCTCACCTCAGCCGACCAAAGGTAAGCGAAATTCCGCGGTTCACTTCTCAACATGCATTTCATATGCCAGTCAACTCTATCTAAGAACAATAACTCTAATTCATACTCAGGCGCCCGTGCTTATTTCCTGAAATTCTTGTTGCACGAATTCTCAGATGAAAACTGCATAGCCATACTGAAGAACGTCACCCAGGCCATGGAAAGAGGCCACTCTAAGATTCTTATTGAGGAATACATTCTCCGCGACGACGACGCCGGTTTGTTCCACTCGATGGTAGACATGATCCTCATGGTTTTTGCCCCAGGTGGTCTCAGGACGAAGTCCAGGTGGATTAATATTCTGGAATCGGTTGGCTTAACCATCAACATTGTTTTCCACCCGGACGGCGACGGTCCTTCGATTATTGAGGCTGAACTAGCATAAGCGTTCCACTGAATATTCATGGATCTCCATCAAGTATTTTGATCCTTGATACCCTTGGTACACTATTTCGGCGTCCAGCTTCAGCTGGGTATTCAGATTCTCGGAATAACATTATTTTACTCTTCGCCGTAATATTTCCCCAGAACTTGGTGTCCAATTCTAGACTCACGACTTATTCTTCTCCTCAACCTGATTAATTTCGTCGAAATGGGGCGAGTGCCTGAGCGCCCTCGCAGACAGGAGGGTGATGTTTGCAGTAGTAAGAAACACGGCAGGCCCTGCCGAAGTGTCACATCACTTCTTTGGGTTCAGGTCGAGGAATGAAGGGGTAGGTGGAAGTGGTGTGAGAGTTGACTCCAAGGAGTAAAAAAGAAAAGAAGTGGGAAAAAAAAGACAAAAACATACAACAGCAGGGATTCGCATGTGGTCACCCACCATACTACTAACCTGCCGGCGTGTGGCTTAAGTACGGCTGAGCGGACGGGAAGCCCTGTTCTCCACACCCTATGGTCGTATGTACTAGATATTCGCCAAACTAAGTATGTATAGCACAAAGAAAAGGCAAGGCAATGCTGAGCTACTAGTAACTGTTCATGTTCTTAGGCTGCGCGTCTTGAAATAGCGCTCAAAGGCAGCAAAAATTATGAGACAGGCATGAATCGAAGTTGACGTCCAATTCACAAGGCCTATTCTCCAAAATTTGAATTTTTCTCATGCCTTTTGTTCAAGGGCGGGACGCCAACCATTGGCCTACACTTGTACACATGTTTCCGACACTGCCGGTAAAACAACCGGTTGGTGGGAGTCGCCATCGCGACTTGCCCAAACTAAAGGAATCAGTGAGATTGAAAAGGGAATCCCAACCGGTCCAAGGAGCCGGCCAATCGCACATAGCAGTGATTGTCAAATTTCAAAAAATAAAAATAAAAATAAAAATAAAAACAAAAAAAGAGCTAAGTGAGAAGCTGTACGCCACTGAATCATGATGATTTTGCTCATTGGTCTTATTGGTCGCTACAGTACCTTGGTACCCAGATACCTAGGTAGCAAAATCCGCTAGGGGATGTTTGACTCGCTCAGGTGATCGCTCATGCATTTACACATGCCCAGGTGGTCGATGAGATTCTAGCCAGGGTATCTCAGAAGGTACAATTGACTTTATCAATCAAATATGTTGACCTCTTCCAAAAATGCTCCAGTGATATGGATGAGACGATATTTCGTTTCATAGCATCACGAATGAAATTCAGTTCGTTATGATACTTAGTAATTATAATTTTTAATGACTCATGCTCCCCAGCGTCTTAGCGGACCTAAAACAGACTCGGTAGTAATCTCGTTCTAAAAGGTAGATGAAATTGGGTGGATCTCAATGATACATTCCGTTGTCCCGCTTTAACATGTGTCCCAGTGACTCTGTTCGACGGGCTACGAAGATGAGATTTCCCCGGCTGATAGCCTCTGTCTTGCAAAGTCGATTCAAAATCGAGGTTGAAGACAATTACATCTGCTTTCTGTGGCTCTGTAAGCCACCATGCCCATTTTAGATTTTCGTTAGCCAAAGACAGTCACCCAATCTCTCTATTTCTATAAGCGATCGATCAGCCGACCTGCTATGCCACTGCGCCACGCTGAGCTCGATCAAGAACAGAGTGTACGAGGATATCTGCTATCAGCGGGATATCACCCGACAGCTGCAAAATCCACGACAGTTCTATTTGCTTGTCGCTCAGTTATATAGCTTCCCCGTAGCGTCATTGACTTCAGATTCCTTACTATCTTGCAGCTAATACTATCTAACGCGATATTTTCTCGCAATTAATTCATCATCTTCGTAACTACCAGATTCAACACTCTCAATCATGAGGAATCGCACAGACGTTGTTCGTCCGTTCTTGTTTGCAGTTCGCCTGCTCCTGTGGATCAGCGCAGTAATCACTTTGGGTCTTACTGCATGGGTTGTCCCTCATCAGAAGGGCTACCGGGTTATTTTCACGCTTGTAATTGTGAGAATTTGAACCTTGTTTGATGTTACCAACTGCTTAATTAATACTGACTTATTCGCGTAGGCTGTGCTCGCCATGGTTTTCTACGTTCCCTCACTCTTCACCGCATGCATGCATCGCAACCGTGGCTATATGCTTCCATTAGACATAATCTTCTATTCCCTGTATGCCAGAAAAATCTCCTTCATACCTTTCAATTTGCTGGAATAAGCTACTATCCCATGGAAGTACGCAAAACTAATTCTTTGGACTTCATAGATGGCTATCAGCATTCATATTTGTTGCGCAGACTGATGACCTGTCGAATGGAGCCGGGTGTGCATACTATATTTGGGACCTAAGTAATGCCTGCAGGAGGAGGAATGCCATTGAAGCGTTCACTTTCCTGGCATTGTGAGTTGATACCGCAACACCAGCCCCCTCCTTTCTTTTCCATATGCGAGGACATATTTTAATTCTTTCTCAAAGTTTTTGGACTCTCTGTGGCCTGTGCTTGGAAATCGCCAATATTTATCTCGATGTACCTGTGGTTAATACCCATCCTGAGAAGCCGCCTGTCAGTTCCAACAATGGAGCTGCTACGGCCCCAAGCGCAGGCTCTGGGCCAGCAATGAATGGTCAGCACAATGAAGTTTGATAGCAATCATCCTCATCGCAAGATCCTGGGGCTATATTGTCAAAGGGTGGCTTATTGTTTAAGTAGGACTTCTGGCTTTGTCATTTTTTCTTGCTTATTGGGCTCTCCATGGGAAATGTTAATACTATCTCCAGGGGCCGCTTTTGCTCTTCAGTATTCTGCAACATATGTTTTTCTAGTCTACCTAGGTATATTCAACCAGATTGTATATCAACAACATAATTTCGATATCTTCAATTGGATGTTGCCTCACACCTTCAAGTAATTACTGATCCGTCTTCTGCTGCAAATTGCTATCAAAATTAAATGCAGTTCTCTTTTGAATAAATTCTACAACAACGTTTCTGGTATGTATGGCGGTGGAATGCAATATTTCACTGGATGTGGGATCATTGCCAACGATTCCAATGCCTGCGGCGTTCCAACAAATCCCTTGACCAACTCAACAAAGTAACAGCCTCGGGTAGGGATGGACGATTTGGATGTGGAATACAACTCTCATTGGCCAAACAGTTTATCCTTAAGAAAGCCTTTGGAACTCGGCATGGAGCTCCAGAGCTCACGAGGGAACACAAGTAGTCTCAATGCTAACAATTTAAAGAAAACCCTTGAGATAAATCTGAGTGAGATACTCGGAGCTGTGAGCGACTCATTCCAAGGTTCAAGTTCAAGTTGGGACTTCCGCATGATTAAGGCCGTTTACTAACTAGTTACTACTAGTATTACTTAGGTAACAGTATAATATATCACGACACCGATGCCGCTGAGTTTTGGGCACGATTCAGAGACACCTGGGCAATCTACTAACCATGAGACTCGGACTCAAAATTGTCACCGGAATTTCTTCGAGGGGTCGTTCTTTTCTATAAGGGTTTACTAATACACATCTTCTAGTTGCCATCGTGGAGGATTACCTCAATACCCACGACTTGCGTTGTTTTTGCGTTGCAGGAAGAATTACGAAAATCGGGTCTCAAAACCTCATATTTACATGTTAATTTGGAAGGTATACTAATATGTGCCTCTATCTTCGCTCGACGCATCTCCAAACAGTCGTCTTGGCTAAGAAGAAAAGCGACCCGGCGAAACGGAAGAGTGAGAGCCCAATAGTACCCCATACAACAGCCAAGAGATAATTCCACATCCTTTTATCCGGCAATGTCTGGAAAAGGAATTAGAACAAAGATCAAGCATGGGACTGGGTTTGAGAACTTACCAAAAGGCAGAATTGGGAAATTCCTGTGCTCATAATGCAAAGAACCATGATCAAGTTACTGAAAACCCACAAAGCCACGAGATATGTGCGGAAAGCTTTGTAAATATCATCGGCATCTTTGTCCTCTGATTCAGGTGGCTCTTCGAATGTTGCTAAGGCTCGTTTGACAGTGGCATGGAATAGGCTGTCAATATCAACCTGCGGTCGCTCCATTTCCTCGATGAACCTCGACTTTTCATCCCTCTTGGTCTGCGCCTCCGGAAGGTTCTTGCTCTTATCGATAGGTTTTGTGCCAATTGAAACATCATGCCAGTTGCAAAACGCGTATACCATCAAAATATTGGACCCACAGGTCGTTCCCGCGAAGTAAGCCCAGAAAGAGGTTACCACATGCCAGGGGTCTAGATATAGTAAGCTTGCCACAAAATGTACACCGTAAGTAGCAACCAATGTGATTAAAATCATTGTTGATCCCAAATTGTGAGAAGCAGCGGATAGCATGTCATCCTCATCGATAACAATGTCGAATGATACCTTTGTAGTGGCTTGGCTGACAAGATAGAATGCCAAAACTGCGGTGTATATCTGGATGACAGGGAAGTAGAGAAATGAGACCGTGTACGCTAGACCAGACCTATGACACCAAGAAATGTTAGCAAGAGCCAAACAGGTAGATGGAATCAACTTACCCTTTGGGACGATTTCCAAGAGACAAAATAAATTGGATGCCCAATAATAACACATAGCCGTATTTGAGAAAGTCGTTTACAATCAGAGAAGCCTCGTTACCGAAAGGCCACGCTCTATTGTTATTCGACCTCATTGGCGTGCTCACGACACCCATGATAACCGAGGTTATTAACCAGAAAGAAGCTAAGAATGTCAGTAGGCCATCGTCACCGGAGTGATTCGGAAATGAACATACCCAATGAGAACCAAGAGAGCACAATTTGTACAAATTTATACACCATTTGAACATGAAGAAGAGCCATCTGAAGAATACTCTGTCCACTCTGGTAAATTCGACCGAAATGGATGAACGCATACAGATTCGCAGCGAATGAGCCATTGAGCCACTGACGTCTGGAATTGATGAAACCTGCAAAATCCCTTGGCACTTCGGCCTCGCCTCTCGCTCCTTTGACGAAGGCCAAACGCCAGTTGAACCCAGCCTTGGCGACCAACTCAAATGACAAGATCCGATCACCAGCGAAGAACATATTCTTCTTAAAAATACTCATTTCGTCGAAGCCCTTTCTGCCTAGCTTCTTTGAAAGCGTCAAATCACCGTGGAAATATTGTTCCAATGGTCGACCCATGATGGCTCGATACCGATATGCAGAGAACTCTCCAAGTGAAACCTGGCCAAGGATGCTTTCCAGTGGCTTTTCGAGAATATTTGATTTCTTCATCTCAAAGTTTTGAGCAGCAACGAATGGGTTCATAAAGCTCGTCTTTTTCATGATGGGGTGGACTTCGCCGCAAGCTCCGCCGAGATTTTCGTCGTTATAGAATGATTGCCACAGCATCAAAAACGATTCCTTGCAGGGCTTTGTCCCGGCATCCAACAAAACGACGACCTCGGGATTCAGCATACGGGAAAATGCGTTGAATATCCATCGATGTGAGTTGATTTTGTTACTGGTTTGCTGCTTCAAACAGAATATCATCTGGACTGGTGGAGGATTCGTCAACTCATCACCGTTCGGCCGAACGAGAGCTTGTTTTGATGTCACAGAAAGCTGGGTGGTATATTCGAACTAGCCAATTGTCAGTGATTTGACAAGAAGATAAAATTGTCAAACTTACAATGTGAGCAGTAGTCTCTCGCGCATCAACAGACCGCTTCATAATTCCGTCTTGGTAAACCCCGATTGTCGCCAGGACATCAAGGGTGTTTTTATCGCAAGGGTCAATTCCATCGAAAACTAGACAGACGACGATCTTCTGCCAAGCCGGCCCACCCTGATTCCAGAACTCTGATTTTTTGAGATTGACGATATCGCGGATGTTTTGGGTGACGCCGTGCAGGGTCCTTGCTGTCAGCACCTTATTCTCGCTCCGGTAGGTTATTGCGATGAGTAGTTCGGTATGGCGGTTATACATCGTAGGGCGTAAATTGTAGCCATTTCGCATAACAAATTCGTCCGGATCGCATGTTGCAGCCGTATCTGTACTGTCAGCTTTGAAAGGGGGTGTTCATTTCAAACGGAGCTAATGCTCACATCGTAAGTGGGTGAACTCCTCAGCATTTTCTGCCGATTCCCGATACTGTTTCTGCACGGCATTCTGAATCGCGCTTGGTACCGGGTAGTCTGCGCTTAACACATTTCCTTCTCCGAGCTTGATTTTCCTGGTCGGATGGCGACGAATTCCAGGCACAAGTGACCGGCGTACCTGGGAGATATGTTAGCATCCTTGATCCCGCTTGTGGCCGGATCTTAAGCTCACGGGGGCGGGGGGCCGCGCTCCACCAACGTCGGAGGAGCCATCGGAAAAGAGACTGCTGCTACTCCTTTTGTGTTGGCTAGTGGAAGAGTCACCAGATTGACCAGAAGAGCTGGCTGATGGCGTGAGAACCGCCATCATGTCTGGGGACAGCCGGGTCAGGGGTGAAGTGACTCCGGGGGAGTAGATGACCAGTTACTGGTCTAAGCGGCCAAAGCGGCAGGGCTAAATCGTACGAGGAAAGATCTGGGGATTCAAGAGAAAACGGTGGAACTTATGCCAATCGTCTGGGCGATCAGTATTAGACTGAGCAGCTAGTGTGACTGATCATCACGCCCAATAAATGACCAATCCAAAAGCGACACACAGCGCGGAGTGGGCAAGATAAAATTATTGACAGTCCAGCAGTGAAGGGCTTTTTTCTGCTCCGATTTCTATCTTTACATTATCTCGTACATTGAGGCATTTTGATTGGCAGCACAAGTTGCGGGCCATGGATTCGAATCGGCGGAGGTGGCCTCGCTAACAACGCTGCGCAATGGTCGTACGTCAGCGGGTCTAGATAGCGGCGCACTAATAATGGAGGGGGTGAAGATAATTCCGTGATGCTATCATGCAACGCTTTTCCCTGCAATTATGCCAAAAGAACCTCATCAACGAATTTTTTTGCTAGGGCCAGTTAGGAATAGACGGAGATAGGAGACTGCTTCACGCGGGCGTACACTCAATTGACTTTTCCCGTGGAGCGAGGGATGATTGAGAATAAACTATCGTTTCTGGGGATCCACTCATCCCCCACCCTGAGGAACGCGTCTCTCACGCGTGTCCGTCTTCTAGGCCCTGTTTAACTAACTAAATTGGACTAGGCAGTGTGCTAAAAAAAATTTGAAGGGTGGATTCTTCATTCGATCTTCTTTTAAACTGTCAGCAAAAGAAGACTGAATTAAAATAGGAAACGATAAAAAAAATCGTCTTTTGCATATCCGTGGAGGGGCGTTGTGGCTGCAGGAAAGACAAGGGATAGGAACGACCATTGGAAGGACACCTGCTAGCGTACATGGTCAGAAAGGCGGACAAGAGCTGTATTAAATATAGAGCACCTGGGCATTGTACTGCTCTCTACGGAGTAACGTCCAAGCAAATTAAATGCGAAACAACATAGACACATCCTGGACAAAACTTGACAGAAAAAACGACAAACCTTTCAAGGTTGGAACATACTAGTACGATTTAAATGATCTCAACCCGGTGATTTGACTCAAGGGAATATTTCCTGCTGAAATACTGGTTCAGCATAAAATGTGGCTATTGAATAGCTCTCACATATTTCACGAGCATGACTGCGCAGGATTGGACCCTGGTGGCTGTGACGACTCGACCAGATGTTCATAGTGGATACTTCGAATTCTTACGCGCACTTGCACCGTTTCGCCCATGCTTTTCTTGGCTCACCAAATATTAGCGCAGACCAAAAAGTCTCGAATTTCGAAATATTTGTTGCAAAACAACCTTTGAGGCGAGGCGGTAGACTAAGAAGACAACGAATGCATTGGTCTGCGACATGGTTAATTCATAGGTATATGCTTGACCCGTACCACTAGTACTAGTATATTGTTTTGTATAACTAATTGAGTCAAGTACACAAGAGCCTCCGAGGATTAGGCCTCTTCCTTTGCTTCAAAATTTGAAGAAAAATGGATCCCGACCTGACCGGATGGGATAGTATTGGCCTTATACCTCGACCTGGAAAGTGAAAGCCACTGTGATGCCACCAAAAATCACTGCTGCTAAAATCACAGGCAGCCCAAGTTGATCTGAGAAGCTGAAAGGTACCAAATTTTGGTTCTGGGGCCGCAACATCTGCGGATAAAAGTACCACGTTGAGGTGACCCCTAGCCATGCCATCGTCCAGGCTAGCCCAAGAATTCGTTGCCATCGCGGCAGCGGTGCATGGTTGTGTGTTTTGCTATCCTTCCTTTGACTTGACAGGAGTCGCCACACTGCTTTAATGCCATCTTCGACCATGAGTCCTAGCGGAGCCAACGCGAAAAATAACATGGCACCTGATTCTTGCGAAGGTATTCCTTGCACAATGTCCAACACAACATGCAATCCACCAGAGAGAAAGAAAACAACGCAGATATTCATGTACCGGTAGAGGGTAGAATTTCGTGTTAGGCCTATGACATCGCGAGTAATGAAGCGGCTGATAGCCGTCAACGGTTGTTGTAAAAGTTGATGCCAAAACTTTCTAGATGTAACATTATTATTTGAAGTAGGGGATTGAATTCACAAGCAAAACTTACGACCAGAATCCTCGTAAGCTGTAAGTGTCTGTTGCCTTCCCAAATAGCGGAGGCCAATCAGACGTCGAATCGAGACCGATTCCAACAGCCACGACCGAGAAAACACGGTGGTGGAAATCAATAAGGATGCGACTGACGACAAGCCCGGCCATAATATTTGACACGAATCGCTCGATCAGTTGCTCAATTGATATATTCCAGTGGACAGTGTTCGGCAACCTTCCTGATTTTTCTTGTTCCATTGCCTGCCGCAAGGCAAGGTTCGAAAACATGTCCAGTGCTAAATATTGCCAGGAAGCGATTGAAATTTGCCGTATTAAGAATCGCTTGCGTGTAGGCACAGCCATTTTCTTTCGTTCGTAATAGGTAGGCTGTGGTGGGGCATTGTTGATTCGCCATGGAGTATTAATCCCACGAGGATGTGTGAAAAGTTGAGCCGATGCGTAAATGCGTCGCATGGCCCTCTGGCCAACATCAGGGGGCATGACATTGCCATCCTTCGGGTTGATCAACAGTAGATTCAGACTCTGGCATGCGACTGTAAGAAACAGACGAGCAAGCTCGCACCAAATGAATCCCGGGCCTAGCAGGGATGCGACATGTATTGCTCTATGTAAAATGCAGAGCGAGACTGGAATTGAGAGATATCGTAGAAGAGATCGCTTGGCCGTCGTCAAGAGCAGAATCGCAGGTAATAAAACATGGGCCGAGTAGAGAAACAAGATTTCCAGAATATTTGCTGCAGTCGACGCTACTGGTTGATACATGGTCACACCGGGTCACTCTGCGACTAACACAACTGCCGTTTGATAGGAGAACCTTAGGTAAGAGACCGCAATCAAGAATGCTCAATCGATGAGTCCATGAAGAATTTTAGTCCATTCTTGCTTCTCAGCCCCGTCAGCATCGCGCGTTTGGCAGAAGATTTCATTGGCTGTCCACTCCAAGCTGCAGATCTCAGGGGGGGGGAATTCACTTTCTTGGCCTAGCGCATATTTTCGCCAGTCGAAACCCGAGATGCAGAAATCTTACGGTCGCGTCGGCCATCGAAGACCCTCGTGTTTGTATTTGGGCTGTTTGATACAAACCGCCGATTCCGATTCCGATGATGACCGTGGCAGAAGCTCGGAACCATGCAAGTGGTGATTTATGCGAATGTCTAGAGATTTTGGGGAGCGAGAGCGAGAGCGAGAGCGAGAGGGAAGCAACGAGAAGGCGATCCTAGAGGCCTGAGGCAGGAAAGTCTCAACTTGAATAACGTGCGATAACAGACTGGCACCCGACTCCATCAGTTGGTTATTAGTGAACACATTGGTTCTTGAAGCGGATAGGCTACCATTATTGGACAAGACTCATGTAGCACAGCGTTAGATAATTATCTAAGAGGAAGATTTTGAGACTTCAAGCTTGAAGTCCCGGAGGTTCCATGACAAAGTCTCGGCACATAATAGTGATCTCAGAGAGATTATTAGCCACTAACTCATCCCCATCCATGGGTGGATATTAAGCGTCTATGATAATATTCGTTTCTTCTATATTGGCGGAAAAACTCGAAGATGTCTCGATTTCGTGGTTGATTAATTTCTCTTGAATTAATTACTCATGAACTTGAGAAAATGCTTGTCTCATCGCATCAGCCACATTTTCCGCCTGAAATGAAATTAGTTAGTGCCAGCTCAGGTAAGAAGGATAAACGACTCACAAAAGGCGCTTTCATCATCGTGAAATGGTTGCCTGGCGTGCGGAATATCTTGATATTCTCAAAGCCTAATAAGGCATCCCATAATTGAGGTCCGAAGTCTTCTTTATTTTCCAGAAGGAATTGTGCGTGTCCGTAAGGATAGGGGTCCGGCCGAGGATCGTCAGGGTATTTGCAGACACCATCTTCACACCAAATGATATATGTAGAGGGTGCTTTTGCTGAGTCCATGGCGCGACAATCGTAAGTTGACAAAGCATTTATAGATGCCTGGAAATGAGGCAGGAGCCATGGCGGAGTCTTTGCAGCGCTTCCATCTCCGAGAAGACCTATAGAATTGAACCACTGGTGCAAGGTGCCCGGCAAAGGCTCGATGGTTAATGGACATGGTGCATCTAATAATATCAAGCGATCGACCTTTTCTCCGGACCGAATAAGTTGCCGAGCTCCCTCGAAAGCTATAACGCCGCCTGCGGACCATCCCTATGAAATTTTTTGGTTTAGCTAGCAGTTATATGTCATATGCGTACTATGCCGGTACGTATATTCGGATGAGAGACTAACCCCGATATTATACGGCCCGCTTTCCTGTCTTTTTCGTATTTCCTGGACGAAATATTGAGCTATACCTGAGACTCCACACGTATATTCCTCTGGTGTCGTCATAAACGGCGAGTTGAGACCGTAAACAGCAATATCTGGAGACAGATCAGGTATCTGCGTATATGAAGTAGCGGAGCCACCGCCATCTGGGATTAAAAATAACTTTTGTGAAGCTGTCCTTGAATTTCCCTGCAAAAGAAAAGAGGTGGCGTGCTTCTCCGGGATCGGTGTAGATAGAATTGACAGTGGGTGAGAAATATTTGCCAAAGATTGCTGCAGAGGAAGGTATTTCTTTTCTTCTTGGTGATCTGGATCATTGCTCTCCCAGTCTTCTGTATCTTCCGTAGAGAGGATCGTATCATCTGTGATGCTGAAAATACTAGATGGATTGCGTTTGCCGTGAGGGGCTGTTGTAGATGATAATGACTGATCTATACATTCGGGACTTTCATGATCATTCAAGCACCGTATGTAAGTTTTGAGAGATCCAACTGTCGGGTTATCGATAAAGATAGTGGATGAAATTTCAAGAGATATCTCTTCCCTTATCCGAGAACTTATAGCAAGTTGCATTAGGGAATCGACTCCTAGATCAGCAAAGCTGATAGGGTCCGCTAGTTCACTTTGGTCAATGCCGCATTCCTCGGCTACTATTGCAAGAACCTGAGATAGCAACGATGGACATTGGATTTTTTTCTGGCCGATCTCCAGTGGAGATACCTCGACTGGAGAAGCTTTTCTTGGCTCAATAGCACGTTCTTCGGGAATTTTGGCAGGTCGAGATGTCGTAGACTGAGAACGAGGAAGTATTTGATCAAGTACGGTTCTTGGTATGCGCATGAAGGTAATACCACTGAAGACAGCAATGACAGAAGATTTTTCAAAGCAGTACAAGTCGCCGGTGACTAGGTTACCTGCTGTCCTTTCCTCCATTCGAACATAGGTTCGATATTTTTTTTCCAAGGACAAGGGTCTTGGCGAGTCGGAGAGACTCCCAGCCATGAGAGACGTAGACACTTTTTGGATTATGATCAGTCAAATGTGCATTCAGAACGAATCCCGACAGGTGTCCGATACTGTCAATCCAGTAAGGGGGAACGGTGAAGGTTTGATCGGCACCTGGGGCCTCAAGCACGACATCTGCAGTCGCTTCCCAGTGTAAAGGGCTCAAATAAACCTTTTTCATGCCTTGGAAAGTCTTTTCATAATCCACAAATGCCGAGAAGAGCTTATAGACAACTGCTTGAGATAGAACATGTGCTTCGTGTCCTTGTCTTTGCTCACGAAGCGATTCCATGCGAGATTCGACCAGAAATTCAATTCGCCTCCACTCATCAGCACATTCCGACTCTTTGTAAAATTCAACCACAAAAGAAGCGTGCTGGCCCTCCTGTGAGCTGATATTCATTTGAATGCTCTGTTTTGATTCGCTGGCCTTTGCGTTTATGCTGATAATATGTGGTGTCATATCTCCTGATATGAGTGTTTTTTGAACAGCCATGTCTCGTACATTCATACCGGGAGCAGAATCAGTTGTTAGATGTGGGTTCATCTTTCTGTGCATATAAGCCCCTATGGTTATACCGATGTCTCCGTAGAGCGAGGAAGGACATAGTGCCACGTTGTTAACCATATGCCCTCTCAGCAAGCAGCGAATACCCGACAGTGATAGATCGGTTTCTGCGTCAAGGATATTCTCGTGATCACCAAATCTCTCTTTTATCACACGATGAACGGACGTGGTAGGAATGAAATCCGGTAGTTCATAACGCTGCGAAGGTGCAGTATTAATCCCCTTGTTCAAACACCAGTCATTCTGATAATCGATCCAATAATTTGACTGTGCCCAAGCGTAAGATGGCAGTTCAAGCAACTCCAATGAGTCTTCAAATTCTCGGTGATATTCCCCCCCAATCAATCTTAATCCCTCGGTTGCTAAGATCACTTGCCGCGTGGGCCAAGTTATCCCATGGCTTTTTCTTCCGATGCAGGGAAGCACAGGTAGTAACTGATGAGCCAAGAGTCGATCTAACAAACGCATTACACACTGGGCTAGGCCCAATCTCCAAGAAAGCAGAATCACTTGTAATGAGCCCGTTGGACTGAGCATCGCAGAGTGCCCCGTAGAAATTTACCGTTTGACGGGCATGTCGACACAGGTAATCCGGGCAAATTACAGATTTTCCGAGGGTCCGTCCAAGCGTCGGAGACAGAATTTCACATTTCGGTTTTCGGAAAGTGACTCTCGAGCATAGGTCCCTAAAGGGTGCCAGTATTGCATCAACTTGTGAGCTGTGGAATGCGTAGGGCACAGCCAAGGGTGTCACTGTGTAGCCGAGACCTTCAAATTGACGTTTAAACGTTTCAACATCGGCAGCTAGGACACTCAAAACAAACTCCTTGCCACTGTTTATACATGCAAGTCGAGATTTATGTGAGTTCGTCAGATCCGAAGATAAATCTCCCCCTTGAATGGCAAGCATGGTGTGGGTGCCAACGGTACAATTCATCTCCATTAATCTGGCTCGGGATCCCACAAGATAGATTGTATCGGCTGCTGATAGAACACCAGAAGCAAAAAGTGCAGCGTATTCGCCGAGACTGTGACCGATTACAACGTCCGGTATGACTCCAAGTGCGTTCCAAAGGCGGATTAAAGCCATTTGAATTGACACCTGTGCCACTTGGAGAAGAACTGGTGAATGCTCAAGTAGTGATCGATCATCGCTTCCATCGACAACGGCCTGGATTTTGGGGAACCCATAAGAGATACAAATCGAATTGAATTCGATCAAGCTAGATCTGTACACCTTGTTCATGCGGAAAAGATCGGAACCTGCAGCAGGGTACATCGTGCCTTGACCGGTGAAAGTCATTACAACCCTGGGCGCCTGCGGAACGGGCAGAATATCCGATTCCATCGCCCGCGCCAGGGCACTTTTGACTTGGTCGACATTCGACGCTGAAACGGAAAATCGGTAGTTGTGATGTATCCTCCGTGAAGTTGTTGTGTATGACAGGCTTGGAAGAGAAACGTTTGGGTGTTCAATCAAATAATCGAATAGGTTTTTCAGGTTGGCCTTGAGCGAAGATAAGGCACGAGCCGATACTGCTACGACTTGTGTGGTTCGAGGGTCAAAGCCTCTTAGAGACCTGACTTTGCCATCCGTGATGACCATTGCAGTGTTACCACCCGCAGCACTGAAGTTATTCACAAATACTTTCCGACTTTGTGACGATGTGCACTTCCAGGAGACAGGCTCCTTTGCAATATGAATATTTCTCTCGGCAAAATCAGGGAACCCCTTGTTAAGTGTTTTTTTGACACCGATATGGGGTGGAATCAAATTGTGACGCATCATGAGAAGAGTCTTGATCAAAGCAGTGACTCCTGATGATGCTTCGCCGTGACCGACATTTGCCTTAACAGATCCGACGTAAACTTTCTGCTCGTTAGATCGAGAGCCCAGGGGCGCGAAAAATACTAGTGACAGATGACATTTCTGTATGGTCGCCTGCTTGTGTACCGGTGCCATGCATTTCGACATAGGAAATATCCTGAAAGTTTACGCGGGCCTGCGACAGAACCCGACGATAAAGATTCTCTTGTGTACCCGCATGAGGATGAGTAATTGAAATAGCATCGGCTGAATGATTTGTTGCGACAGATCGAATGATTCCCAAAACATTGTCGTGATCAGCCTCAGCATCTGTCAGTCTTTTTAAAACGAGGGTTGCAACTGCATCCCCACGACAATACCCGTCTGCGTCATTGTCGAACGTCTGGCACGGTCCAGTCTTTGATAAAAATTGGCCCTTACTTAGGCCGGAAAATATATCAGGATTTGTCATAACATTGCAACCTCCTGCAACAGCCGTGTCACAATCATGTAGCCACAGTGAATTACAGGCCGCGTGAATAGCAGCCATGCTAGACGAGCACGCGGTGTCAATGCTGAAGCTTGGACCACTGAATCCAAAGTGGTAGTTGATGCGGCCCTGCTCAATTAGATAGAGGTCAGTATATGAAAAGAAAATCCGACAAGCATAAAGCTTAACTGTTCAGGATGGCACTGATTTTAGAGAAAAAGAGGTTCATACCGGTCCAAACGCCCTGACTCCACCCGTAATGAAATAGGTATCAATTTCTTGGGCCGCATTTATCTCACGCCAGTCGTCACTTGTCTGTCCATAAAATGTCCCTATACGATCCAAATTAGTAGAGGGTGTACGATTAGGCACATAGCCAGCCATCTCGAGTGCCTCATAGGCGGTGATCAAAGCAAGACGTTGCATGGGATCGGTTTGCGTCGCTTCTCGCGGAGACATATTGAAAAATCGTGGATCAAACAGGCCAGGTCTGTCTATGAAGCATCCGAATGGCGTGTGGCTTTTGTTATAGCCTTTCCCGGACGAATCAAAATGTGTTTTAATGTCAAAACGGTCTAATGGAACCTGTTATTTTGATTTGTCAGCTTGGCTGTCTTGCATGATTGGACTATAACTCTTCTTCGGTTTCAACTGACTTCGCGGTGCATGTCCAATCCCTGCCGTATCACTTCCCAAAATTGATCTAAGTTTTCAGCACCGGGAAACCTCCCTGACATTCCGACAATAGCAATATCGTCCTTTTTCCAAATGTTCGCGGGATTGGACTTTTTCAAGCCATGCTGATACCAATCAATAGATCCTGTGTAGTTTTGAGCGAGATGATCCTGCAAAGCCAGGTTTATGGGCGTTTGTCTATCGAATGAACCAAAAGATAGAACTCGGCAGTCCTGTTCGGCCGACGGGAGGATATCACGATGACATTCAAATAAAGAGACGAAGTCTTGGCATGATCTCAATATATCAATAATCACCGTAGAATAGAGCTCGTGTAAGGAGTCAGCATGATATGTTTCTCCTCCCTGTAACGTAAGAATTCTATCAAATGGTATTTTATTTATCACGGCATGGCCTGCGAGAAATTCTGAATCCATAAAGTCATCGATACTGATTGACTGATGGAGATGGGCGGCGTGGCATGGCCCAAAGGAGTGTCCCCAGGTATGATGAAAACTCCCTTTGGAGCTTAAGGCGCTCTTGAACAGACTCAAAGTGATCGGAGGACCTGATACTGTGATGTATTTAGGCCATATGCTACTAATGTATGGCCGTTGAGTTTCTGGTAATGCCTATGAAATAAAATGAGAACTTGGCTAACCGCAGTTTGAGTTAAAAAATCTTACCAAATTGCTGACGAAACCTTCTATTATGTTATCAGCTTCTTTTTCTTGTAGTCCAGTAATGTCCAGAGACCAATTCTCCACTATTGGATGATCTCCTTTCAGAGACATGCAGTTTGCACAACTTTTGACGTATAAGGCAAGTCTCAATGTAATTTTCACTGCATGAACCGCGAACTCTATACCAGCCATGCCACGCGGGATTATCGCCGCGGTTGTACCAGCAATTAGCCCATAAGAGACAGAAACAATACTTCTGGGGCGGGATTCGAAGTTAAGATTTGTCTCTTGAAACCTGAATAGTAATCGTAACGTTAGAACGATAATCAACCGAACTGAGGACAAGTATCCATACGCAATGTATTCAGCTAATTGGATGATTGAAAGAAAAACGGTTTCTATGATCGGATTCGTGCGTTGTTGTGATATGTATCTATTGACGAATTCATGTAAGTTCGAAAAGCAAGGGATGTCGGTTGTTGTCGCCCCTGGTAGACTTGAAAATGTTTGCCGTAGCATAGAGCTCACGGATAGCAAAAACTCTGACACTAGGGGGTGATTGGATTGCGAAAAGACCAAATCCTGCAATTGCACGGAGCAGGTTGTATCTTGACTATCTCCAAAAACTAGAATATCCATTGTGTTGGATATACTAACTTTAGCAGGCTAATTTCAAAAGATAATGATAAAAGTGACCGAGTTCAAGCCTGTAGGCAAGGAAGACGGAAGGCTCAACGTTGGCTATTTATGTTAACCAAGTCTAACCGATCCACAAAGGTCTCATAAAATATTATCTTACAGCCCAAGAAGCTCAATTTGTTCGTGACTAAAATCCAAGTCGTCAGATATGTTTTCGGGTACTTATATCAGCACTAGCCTACATGATGCTTCAGTGGGAGCCGTGGGGGGACACAACATATCATGTTCCACAGACAACACTGGAGTTTCAAGTCAGCATGACCATCATCTTTGGCATATAACAAACTTGCTTGCAGATAATAATAAGACCAGCCATCCAAATAGAAACCGACAATCATGTGGATAAATCCACAACGTTAAACTGGGTCTCTCTTTTCAATTATATTATATCTTCCGCGCCTGTAAGACTCGGATGCGACAAGCTGCAGGATGACGGAAAGAAAGGATGGAAGGCAGTGTGACCTTTTCGTCTCATGTGTGAGCCATTATAGACTCAAGGTGACTATGCTATCAGGCGGTATCAGGTTGGCTGACAGATGAACAGTAATATAACCTCACTAGCTTACCTAGCCTAAATAATTCATGTCTAGGAATAGCCAGACTTGTATCAATGCTCATAGCAAGCCACAAGACTAATTTAGTAGCGTTAAGAACCATATCGCAGGATTGACAAGAAACCCAAAAGGAAAAAGGAAAGAAAGAAAGAAAGAAAGAAATTAGAAATCGTATCTAAAGCCACCTTCTAAGCTTGGAGATAAGATATAGTGTATGCGAATGGAATTATAGCAACCAGGTCAGTTGTAGATGAACAGAGAGAAACTTTGAATTGGACCAACGATTTTTGCTTATCGTTTGTAGGGGGTCAGGGTGAGGAACCTAAAAGGAAGACATGCCAATATTGGTATAGTGCCATGCAACGGGCGTCAGCAACGAACTTCACGTATATGCAGGGTCGACATTATGCTGCTTGCGCCACGTTTTCTGTGAAACAGAAGAGCGAAATTCGGCCCTGCGATGACTAGATGAAATTGTATTATCTGAAAATCCCTTTAACAATTGTATGGCTCATTTAGAACCAGGTTAATCGCATCGTGTAGTTGCTGAAGCATTTACGCTATCAAGAGTCTTTGCATGCTTCAAAAAAGTCGGTTCCCCTGAATCTCTAGGAAGTATGCTTATACTGAGCTTGTAGGGCTGTGTATCATATCTTCGAGGGAAGCTCTAGAACATTTAAACAGACCTAGAGGCCATAGTCACCTAGAAAATCAAAAAGTAATAGTAACCTGGAAGTGCTGCAGTAAATTATATATCTTCCCTCTACTAGTAGTAGATGTTTAAACCCCACTAACTACTAGTAACTAAGTACTAGTAGGTAGGTATATAGTAAAGCATTCAAGTTAATTCATGATATGAGTAGTGGGTGGCACGGTTGCCTTATTAAGAGCTAATCTTCCTAAAGTAACCCCGCTCTTCCCCTGAGTTCCTTGGCCACCAGAGGCCTATGGAAACGCTCCCAGCTTCTTCAAAGTTAAATTCGAGCAATGTCTGCTCAAACTTGCTCATTGCGATGCCTCTACTCATGCATGTATCAAAATCCGGAATGAAATAGCTGTATATATCCCTACTGAAGGGTATCAAACTGCTCTTTGAGGATCGGCGTCCATTTAATATGGTGCAAAGGTCGTCAGTATCATTCATTAATATATGCAGATTAAGAAGGCCATTGCAACCCTCGTATTTACCCACGTATGATTCGGGCGCTCTCATCGAATCATCGGGTATTATTTTCTGTTCCAGGGCTCTAGCATTCTCTCTTTGAAATATCATTGCGCCAGCTTCGTCTCATGCTCGACCCACGGTTTTAGATTAAATCTCGGCTTGAGATCGAACAACTGTTGGATCAAAGTCTGTGCCACAAAGTCACTTGCATCTCCAAGGCCCCGACCATTAGTCAGGACTAAGATAGCACTCTCTGTCTCTAGAGAAGTCCAGATCGTTGCTAAGGATCCGGGAATTCCACCCGAATGACCGATTGCCAGTAATGAATCAGAGGACTTGCCTAGCATATATTCAGGCATTAAATAATTCTGAGAATCTTTCTCGTGAGAAAGGATATTTCCACTGAAGGCGCCGAGCATTGAGGAAGGAAGATCCAGTCTAAACCATCCCATATAATAAGCGGCACCCCTGATTGTCGAAGGGTCATTAGCTGGTCGAGTCCAGTACCCACGAGGGATGCGATTCATTTGCTTCAAGGGATTATTTGAATTAATTAATCGCGTGGACGACGTTGATGACTCGAAATATTTGTGCCCGTGAAGATTGTATAGCTCTTCTCGCTCGGCTGAAAGGACCGCTTTGCACCATTTCAACATGTCATTGATACTGCTTCGAATTCCAGCAGCAGCTAACGTGTTTCACAAGCGAGCCGGCCACCCCACGATATACAGGAAATACAACTTGAAAATATCTCAACAACTAGACATAATTTTCGAATCTACTTTGTAATATAGGTATTTATCATGATAAAGAGTTGTTCTAGCTATAGCTTTCTAATTTTAGATTATTATTATAGAATATTACAAAAAAGTATATAGCAATTTCGATATCCTTAATACAGATGTATATATTTCTATCACAAAAAGACTTTTTATATTTTAGACTTCAAATATTAGTTCCTAATAATATTCAGAATATAGTACCTGAATATAGCTTCTAACATAGAGAAGATTGTTGAGATATAATGTTATAATTTATCATATTTACTATGTGTTTTGGAATAGGGGATACAGAAGCTGAAAACTGTCACTTCCTCGCCGCGTCATTTGAAGAATGTGACCGTTGGGCAGCCACCCACGCATCAGTATTCGCCCCTGAGAAGTTTGCACTTGTGCACTTCCATCGGCCACAATACCGCACTCGAAGGACACCACCAAATCCTGCAACCGAAGGGGAATCAAGTCAGGACCCTGTGGAACACGCAATTAACAACCACACACTCAACCTGGGAAACGGACGGGTGATTACGCCATCCAAATCAGCGAAGCTACTAGGCGTGATCCTTGATACACACCTTCGATTCGACGACCATCTTGCACAAATCGACAAGCAGTGCACTCGTAGTATCCAAGCGGTGACCGGCCTAGGACGTTCAGGCTGGGGATTACTTCCAGATCAACGCAAGCTAATTTACGAGGCATGTATTGCCCCAAAAGCAATGTATACAGCGTCAGTGTGGGCAATACCCGATGTTTATGGCAAAAAGAGCGCACGCAAGAGACAGATACAGCAACTGAATGCTATCCAACGCCGTGCAGCACATTCCATTAGTGGCACCTTCCGAACAGTCTCCGCCACAGCGATGAATACAATCTTGCACCTGCAACCAATGGAACAGCGAATTCAGGAAGCCCTATGGAAAGGCCTCTCCCGATTAGCAACCTCCCGTATCTACGCGAACATCATCCGTCAACGCGTCCACCACACAAAGCAATCCTATCATAGCAACCTCGAAATCGCCGAAGAAGCCTTCCTCCTACGTGCGAATTACGACTCAGACGACTTCAAAACCCGTCTTCCATTCGCCGTTCCCCCCATGGTGGGAACCCCCAGAAGTCGACATCCCCTCATCTCGCAAAGAAGCGATGTTCGTCCACGACCTCTACCACGACCCATTTAATAGTGGCATCCCGAAACTATACACAGACGCCTCCGGCCGCACAGAACGCATATCGACAGCAGTATACTGCGCCGCCCCCGCTGCTGAGTCCTCCGCCTATCTTGGCCCCATACATAACCACAACCCCCATTGTGGCGAGCTCGCGGGTATAATCCTCGCCCTACAATTAGCAGAGAAACAACCCTTCGACTGTAACATTATCATCTTCACAGACAGCCAGTCCGCGCTCCAGGTAGTACACAACCCACATCAAACATCTGGCCAATATCTCATCCGTAAGATCGTGCGGCTGCTAGACGTGCGACGCGGTAATGGCTGGAGAACGACCTTTATATGGATCCCCGCTCACTCCGGTATCCCTGGTAATGAAGAAGCCGACAGACGGGCCCGAATTGCCGCCGGATGGCGTCCCCAGGAACGAGATAATGAGGGCCCCCCTCGCACCGCTCCTATTGATCGATGGGAATCCCCCCACGTACGCTACAATCGGCTATGAATTACTGGGCACGCCGCACTGTAAAGGAAGCCTGGTCGGATAGCTGGTCATTTCCCCGCGCTGCGGTGCCTCCCGGCCAGGCTCTCCGACTTTTAATGCCCGATCTCGACCCCCGGGGCGTGACGATCTACCGAGGACTCTCCATACGTGAGGCATCCGCTATTATGCAGGCGAAAACCGGCCACCTGGGCCTCAACGGGTATCTCTATCGAATAGGACATGTCGACTCTCCTCTCTGTCTATACGAAACCTCCAACGAAACTGCCGCACATATCATCCTTCTATGTCCGCTATACCACGAGCTACGGTGCACAATATGGGGCTTGCAATCAGCACCGAGAAATCTCCGAGAAGCTCTCTGCAGCACGGACTTCATAAAAGGAACTACCCGATTCCTGCTGGCGACAGGACGGCTGCAATCTCTTATGCCGATGCCCGAAATCGAATCAGATATGGAAGAATCTGGCTCAGACTCAGAAGAAGAATATTGAAACTAACCAGCAGCAAGCGACATATATACCATGGTAGGCAACGCAGCTCCGTTCCTAGCGATGGACTAGGGTACGAGGCAGTGAAACTAACCAAGCGACATAACCGGCACGCTCTGGGGGAGGCTGCATTACGCGAACGACAACTTTAATCGAACTCTCGATCCCCCCCCCTCTCTTGATCCTTATTTCCCGACAACCAGGGAGCCACAGCACCGGCACACTGCTGTAGTGACTAGGTATGCCAAGCGACCTGAAATGCCGATGAGAGCCGCTACAACGAACTACTGAGGTGCCGAGGGCTTCAATAATCGATCAAATGATCGACCCCCGGAACGCTACGCCCACCTGCCCCCACTCGCTACAAGACCCCTGTGCACAGTGACCGATACACAGCTATCGGAGCCCGACAAACGTCACGATACCGGGCCTCCACCGCCGCACGATGGAGATGGAGATAGAAGCAGGAGCACTCACAGGCAGGGGCAGGGAGGCGTGACAGCGGCGGAGCACACGCGTGTAAAGGCGACACGCGTGTAGGAGGGATTACACGCAGATAAAGGTTACACACATGTGGGGCATACACGCATATAAGAATTACACGCATGTAAAAGGACATACACGCATGGCATGCGCAACTTCAGCTGGGATGCACAAGACGGACAGATGACAACTGGCGAGCTCACGAGGACACACTGGTGCGAAACCACATGCGCAAGACGGACAGCCAACAACTGGTGAACCTATGAGGACATATGAGCGCAAAACTGGTGCAAATTGGTGCAAATGGATGGATGGCATGTATGGCATTTTCTGTATATATATCACCTCAGTGGCGAGCAGCAGCGGCCGTCAGCGACACCGGAAGAGCCCCTCGGGAGCTGATAAACGGTGTATAATGCAACTCTCTCTCTCTCTCTCACTATGTGTTTTGGAGCGGCCGGCTCGCTTGTGAAACACGTTAATAGCGGCGAGACATGCTCACATGGCCAATCTTCAAAGTCAAGTTTGACAGATTGACCATTCCCAAGGGTCAGGCATGGAGTAGCAAAGTTTGCATCGGCATGAACTTCCGCTCTTGTCATAATAGTCCGAGTCATTCTTAGAGGTCGTAGGATGTGATCCTTAACAAATTCGTTAAATCTCTGATCACTTATTTGCTCTATAACATGAGATACAATTCCATACACCACATTATTGTAAGCCCACTCGCGATTGAATCTCTGTCATTTCTCATTGGATGTAGACATCAGATTCAGGAGGGGGAGCAAATCAACCTCGTCCATTAAAATAGACCCGTTGGGCCCAAGAAGAGACGACCTGCCTCGCCAAGGCCGCTTAAGTGACGGAGCAGGCCGATAAAATCCGCACTCTCCCCAATTTGGGGATCTTGAGTGGGACAAAATTTTGGAAGAAATTTTGGAATGGCATCTTGCCAATCTACATTCTGAGCATCGACCAAAATTCCCATTTTGAGCAGGAACTGAGCATGTATATGGTGTCCGGGCAGGCCTTTTCAATCATTTCTGGATCTCGATACCCGGTAGAGTGGCAGAACATCTCTCCTTTATGAAGAGCACCGAGAGAAACGGATGGGACTTGACACAACTCTCGAACTAGTTCGACTTGCGGCAAAACCTCCTTTAGGCACTCTTCAAATCCCTGTGTCGGCTTGGCTTGCTCTTCATTTTATCTTGTGTGATTGAAATAACTTCGACCTGAATTTGGAAGAGAAAGATTTATTGCGTGAGAGCGAGATGCTAGTGGCTTCAAGTCGGTCTGATGTTTTTAAATTCAAAGACGGCCGCCAAGATCATATACCTAGGTATCGTATTTCCAAGGTTGCATCTGTCTCTGAGTCCGCCCAGTATCCCGAAGGACCGGTGTCTTACAATTGCGAAATGCTTATGCAAGAAAATCTATAAACGGCTTGATTTTTAATCATTCAATCATTCAAGGTTTATTCGAAACACCTGGATCGAGCAGGTGAATATTGAAATTTAGACGAGGTACGCTAGTAAATTCCAAATTCCAAATCCCATTGTCATATTTTTCATGTTCTTTTATTTTTCCATATAATGTTCAACTTGAATAGATCACCCATTGACTCTGCATTTGCATTTCGAACACAAGGGAAACCTTGCGAGTAGCTCGAAAGGAAACAAAAACCTGTACCGAGGCAACTCGAACTCACTATCCTACTTGGGGAGAGGGATCCTGCTCCACTTTCGCTGCCAACGGAGCCCCAGAAAATCAGCGGGATACGCCCATCTTTGGGCTAGGCCTCGCCACCTCCGAATGTGCTGCTACCAGATCCCCAAAAGATAAAGGGAACACGCTTATTCTTTGGTTGAGCCTCACCGCCACCTGACACACCACCTGCAGAACCCCACGAAAAGATGAACATGGCAAAGTTTAGACTATATATGCATGCTTCAGTATTCCAATTCAGATTATCTTACCAGATGAAGATAGACAAAGCTACTTCGCGAATAGCGTAGTTTAAAAGTTTCTGTAAAGAGTGGTTAAAGATCAACTTGAATTTAATGGGAACCTTGGAATGGCTTGTATAGAAGGGTGAATGAAGATGAACTGGAGAAACTTCTGGAATATATACCATGAGGGACACTCTATTGCAGTGAATAGCAACGAATCAAATATTCATCTCCAAGGTCAGTTGCTTGGAAGAAATAAAACCTCTCTGTGTAACGAGTTAAGTTTCCACTTTTCGAACAATCTGAAAGTCTCTATATGGATCTTCGAGGAGTCAGGAGTGAGATTCAGGCTTGGTGGCCACAAAATTTGTACTGAAGCAGGTAATGCGTGACAGAATCATCCATGAAGCACCTGTGCATCAAATCATCAGCAAGTACCCGGCATTAGGGTATGATAATTTTGCATATCCACTTGTTCTGGTTGAACTTTCCAAACACAAAATACCTAGGCAATTATACGGATTTCTTTGTCTTCAAAGTACAAAACCTACCTGCCCAGGCATGTAGTGCTTAATAGTAGTGAAGTGTTCAGCTTTAGAAATATTGAATAATCATTCAAGTTGTCGGCACGCTTAACTGTAACGGTGATTTAGCTGAGGATGGGCCCCGTGAATCTACTAACCTTGGAATTCGACGACAGGTCAGCAGTTTTACCCAGTATCCGAGTCAGCTTGCGTATTTTGAATTTAAACATGGTAATGTCCTTGGCAAATCAATATCTGAACTAAGACATAAAATAGACTGATGTAATCTTAAGGGGGTCCTACTAAGCAGTGTCCAATAAGCTTATAACGGAAATCTGAGTGGTCGACTACATCTTCCTTCGAGGGTTATTCCAGCAGGAATGGCTAAGATGATTGGTTCAATTATGAGATCCTTCAAGGTTAAGGATAGATATTATGCCCACTGGCATGGTTTACCATCTCAAATCATAGTGTTGCCCTACCTGTGTAACATCGGTCTCGTTCGGATTTACATGTCACAGAGAAGATCCATGCGATGCACAAGAAATCTGAGCTGGTAGAGCAATATTAATGGGGATAAGGTCCTTTACTACTTGCACTAGCTTTGTCCAAAAGCGAAGCCCTCGATAAAGTCCTTTGTTAAGAAAAATACCCGATTGCGTCGCCTTCAGAACCTTGCATCCTTGAAATACGAATGAAGGCTTCATCTACCTGGGCTCAAGGGGATCCCAGATGGATACTCAAATTAAAGAATATGAATCCATATCATTCATACTAGCTCGCAATCTGTCTTCAATTTTCAAGGCTCTCTGTGATAGTATACCAAAAATTCCTTATCGGGCGAGTCAGAGATTGAACAGAATAATTGGGCTATAGACATTTAAATATACTAACAGAATAACTAATCTCACTGCGGCTATATCCTGGCTTCCTTTGCCCGAGACAACTCTAGAATTCCGCCTCCGAGGCTGCCCGCGAATGAGCAACCGCATTAACATTGCCCAGTAGCGAATCCCATGTCCCTACCGAATTTCATCTCTGAACCTTGATATTGGACCTCAGTACTGAGACACAGAAATTTACAAGTTTCACGCAGAGAAAAAGATGGGTTGCCTTCAAAGTTTGATGAATGATTTAGCTATATATGACTACCTAGCATGAAAGATGGGAACGACGAACAGACAATTGTGTGTCGACTTTGCATTATAGAAGAAAAAACGACACGAAATCAACATAGCGAACGACAATCCCGAGTCGAACGACAATCCCGAGTGTGATGCAATGGCAGCTCTTGGCCAACAAGGAGATCTCCTGCAAGTGGGACCATGGAAGGCATTCTTCGGGCAATCTGGAGATATTCATCTCCAGATGCAGAGCTCTAGCTAAGCATTGGGGACTTTAGCCGAACCTTCGGTACCAGGTGGCATTTCCGAAAAGGTGCAATTTGATCATGACGTCGATTATCTTTCGCTTTATGCACCCTCTTCCCATTTACGAGCTTCTTTTCTATAGCTCCACTGGAAGTTGTACCATAACCACCTATGTCAACATCGCCTAGCACTTCATAGATAACTGCAATAATTGACGGCTTCCAAAGCTCTGCGCGAGAGTGACATGAGAGAAAGAAAAAGAGGCAACGCCCTGGTTATAATTCCGGGCAATTGGAAATGAAGTTATATTCTCGTTTTGGGTCGTGTATATGCAAATTAAGCCACATGCCCCTGTATGTTTAAGTTATGATACAATCTTATTGTCGGTTTTCTAATACTCCTGCTGGTTGTTCCAGTAGAGAGTGCCATGAGTAACCTCTCCGAGAGGTTCAAGCTCCCATCTTAGAACCAATCTAACCCACTGCAGTAGATGGCTGGCCAGCTTGATGTGGCCGACGTCGGTCGGGTGGTTCTTAGGGTTGATATCGTTGTGTTGCAAGAGACCCTTGGTGCTGAAATAGTAGACGAACCCTTGGTCCTTATAATGTTCATGAATCGCGCGGTGTTCGTCCTCGTAGACCTCGGTCGGAACGAAATTTAAGCCATCTTGTTTC